AGGAGCCGGAGATGGAGAACAAGGTTGACGTCGTGACGCATCAGAAATGGAGCGGGGCAAACTATGTTGATGAGCTGTTGAAAATGGTCACTGGTGGTGTTAGCAGCACTAGTGCCATGGGTAAGGGCGTGACGGAGGATCAGTTCAAATAAGCGGGGATAACTGCTCTAGACCTGAGATTTTTCGTTGGTGCAGTGGGGGTGTGGTCATCATCGCAGGTGCCTTTCTTTTTTCGTTTGCATAATTAGAAATATGCATGCTGGGAGGTGGCGTGTGACCTTTTTTTTTTTTTTTGGGCCATATTCCAGACCTTTGCAGAGTCGAGATTCCTATGTTTTTCGGATTAATTACTGTAGATGTGCATTATGTACTGGGTGTATCCAAAACCAAAGGCATTTTACATATTTGAGGAATCTACTTTCCAACGTCCTTTTTTTTTTATTTTCTTTTTCCTGGAACAGGAGGTAATCATAAAACATACTGAAGTTGAAAATATTCCAAGTATCTCTGATATGCTTAAAGAGGTCCTCAACCCCTGTTTTAAGAGATTCATTGAGACAAGTAAAGGGGGTATAAAATGGGAGGAGAAAGATATATATGCCAAAAGAGGAGAGACAACACAGAGACCACAACAAAATGAAATCTATTGTCACATCGAGTAGAAAAGAAAAAAAATCATTATGCATAAGACATTATCTCACATATCAGATTACATGAAGGTAGTTTAATCAAAAGCAGAAGCGAAAAAAGAAAACAGGGGGATTCTCAAGATTTAAAAAAAATAAAAAAAAACAAGATGTAAGTAAACAAAATCTGGGGAAAGGATCAAATATTATCATGCAAATCGAAAAAAGGAAATCAGAAGTAGACAAACAAGACATGTATATCCCGGAGATGTCGCGAGAAGCAGGAAAAAAAAAAAAAAAAAGGGCGGGAAACGAAGAGCAATAGAAATCAAACTCATCTAATCATGTCTCTATTCCCTCATAAAGACTCCAATATGCCAAATAAAAGTCCTCAAAAAAAGCAAAAAATAGTGATCAAAATCCCGAATCAACAAACTCCCATGCTGCCTGATGCTGTTGATGACTCTGATTATGCTGAACCTGGCGCGGATGCGGATGCGGACGCTGAAAATGATGCAAATGCTGCTTCGCTCGCTGTTGCTGCTGCTCAATCAATCTCATCAAAACACGCTCGGCTTCGTTCAAAAGTCCACCATCGTTCCGAATGCCTCGTGCATTTCTAAAAATAATAAGACGAATGTGTTCAATAACTGACGTTAGGTCATGACCCAGGGTATTTTGCGGCGTTGGCTGGTCGAGGAATTGTCGGAGAGCAGAGGCGGTGGAGAGGAACGTTGTAATATACTGATGTACAGAGATTGGGGGTATTGGTGAAACTGGAGTAGAAAGCGAAGGATTGGTCGTAATTTGGAAAGGGGATGCTGTCGTGCGGTTTTCGTATGCCCAACAGATCAACGAGCAAAAGTATAGTATCCAATTGGACTGGAGCATCGTGAGGGGAGAAGCTGATGGCTGCTGGAGGGTCGTCGTAGGGTTGCCAAGCAAGGCATCTTTGGCGCTAACTTTGCGCTTTTGAGAAGTAGGAGAAACGCCTGGGGTGGAATGTCGCGAGTTCAGAAATGTCTTTTGAACTGGGGTCGAAAAGTGCAGATCCATACTCGCTCGACGCTGTTCCTGAATCGGGACTTCCGATTTATTTAGATCCGTTGGTCCGATTGTGCATCGCAGAACGTGCATGGCATGCCACAGTGCCGTTTTCGCTTCTGCAGCGTTTGAAACCCAAGCGTGCACCCGTTCCTTTGCAGTTTGGAACTCGGTTTCAGAAACCTTGCGGTTGAAAAGCCAGGATTCTCCGCTGACGGTCAAAAGCGCCTGGAGCGGTGCGTGCTTGGCGGCAAGGAGTGCATGGTGCATGAACCGGATATAAGACGCTCGAGGGTTGCAAGCATCATCCGAGCTGGCTTTGCCTGCGACCTTCTCGATGAATATATTCATTTTATCTTCTAGGTCGCTCGTATTGGGTAAACTCTGGCTAAAAATGAGACTAGCTTGAAATGGATCGAGATCGATTCCAGAGCCGTCGACAGACTTGATGATGCGTTCCCTTGCGCTGGAAGAGACTAGCGGGTCATACTTCTTCGCAGACTGAGCCCACTGCTCAATGTCGCTGCTTTCCCAAAGCTCAGAGCTGCAGGGGAATGGGAGGTCGACCTTTGGAGAGACTCGATATTCTCTCATAGTGGGATCCAAGGTTGACTGGAGGAATGTGGCCAATGGCTGCTGGAATAAAAGCGACTGTTGCACCTCGAGGATGAAAGCTGCTTGCAGGACTCTTCTTCGTGTCTCGTGCTCAACCCAGAATTTATGTGCTTTTCTGATGTCGTCTGTGCTTGGCTTCTGAGATAGGCTCTGGTAGGCGGCAAGCGGGTTCTGAGAAGCCCAATGGCTGTCCTGAATAAACTGCAAAATGTCAAAAAAAGAAAAATAAAGAGTCAGGGAAAAGGAGATCCAAATAAAAACTTTCTAGGCAATTAGCACTTACACTGCCATATAGAGTTCTCAATCGATGAGAAACCTTCACATCCGCTTTTCGCGACCGGTACTTGGACAGAATTTCAAGTAAGAAGACTGCCTGGATATCAGATATTCGCGAACGGCTGGTAATGGGACCTCGCTACAGAAGCTGTCAGTCTACAGAAGTGAAAACTTTCGAGTGCAGGGCCAGAGAGGGAACCCCACCTTTGACAAGATCTTTTGGCAGGCCTCTAGTAATGCCAAAGAATATTCCTGCGAGTTTGGACGACGATCGTACTGCGAACCAATAGCAACCATGGCCCCAGCCATCAGGGGACTCGGCTTTGTGGAGAAGAAAGACGACCGATGCACGATTGGGAACAACGGGTGAAAGTACTGCCAGTAAGACTCGAAACAATCCTGCCATTTTGAGAGGTCGATTATTGCCAGTCCATCATTGCCTGAAAGGACTCCGGGGGTGGAAGTAAGTTCGCGTCGTAGAGCAAACCATTCGACTCCATCCAGGTTGGAGAGGGGTACTGGTACGGCTGGGCCAGGGTCAACAACCTTCCGGTTGGATGTCCAATAGATAAGGGAAGGTTCACCTACTGTCTGGGGGATGTCACCTCCGAACTGGGTGGTAGGCAACATCTGCGGAGGCAGAGTGACGGCTGCCTCGAGGGGAGTCCACTCAGGGTAGGATGTCATCGGCGTGGGGGAGGTTGTGAGTTGCTGGGAGAAAACGGCCTCTGGGAATTGCTCGATTACGGAGAACTGAGAAGAGATGGGGAATGGACTGCTGTTCGACGACGAGCGCGAGCTGGCGGGGGATGAGAACGGGACTACATCGTCAACGTGGGCGTATGGGGTCTGGGGCACCGTATGACTCTTGTCCAGCGGCTTTCCGGTTTGGCCCCAAAAGGGGGCTGTAAATTCCCCTCCGTAACCGTGCGGAAGCGTAGAGGGAGGCGGGGCAAGTGAGGAGGTAGCAGTTGTTGCAGTTGTTGTAGTAGTTATTGGGAGAGCCCGAGGAATGGGGGTCAATCCGTGGTCTGGGAGAGGGACGGGGATGGAAGCGGGTTTGTCGGAGACAACAGACGCCTGGCTGCTCTTCCTGCGCTGGACGGGAGATGGCTTACGATTCCGTGCTTGCGAGTCACTCGAGCTATTATTATTAAAAAAAAAAGAAAAATTGCCGTCAATTATTGCGCGATCAAAACAAAGGGAAAAAGAATTTAAAAGTAATAAACTCACTGTTTCTCCATATGGCGTGTGAGCAGATCATGGCGATGGAATCCTTTTCCGCAGCCTTCCACCGAGCACACGAATGACGCCTGGGGGTTGTGGTTCAATTCGTGACGCCTACAAGAGATCATTAGCCCCTGGGATCTGAGGCGGGAGGGGGGCACAAAAAAAAAAAAAAAAAAAGGACATACCGTCTATGTTCAGCTCTGGTGAAAATCTGCAAAAGAGGAAGAAAAAAAAGTCTCAGTGACAATTCTTTTAATTTCTCTCATTTTTTTTTTTTAAAAAAAAAATCACACGCGACGAAATGAGAACAGGATCTGGCTTACCTTCTTGCAGCCTGGGAATTGGCAGAGGTGGACTCGTTTCCCCTTCTTGGCCTTGCTTATTCTGTGGGTGGCGGGAGTGTATGTGATGGGGACGGACGCCTCGAGCAACTCCTTCTCGCGTCGCAGGGTGAGCGCGACGTCCTTGGGCAGGCTGTTGGCGGTAGTGGATGCGGTGTTGGTAGAGGGCGGTGGTGGTGGTGGTGGTTGTGGATTTGCGGCCCAGTGATGGTCTAAGGGGAGTGGCTGCGGGCGAGTGAAGGGAGCGATGGAGGGAGACATGTGGAAGTCGAGCAGCGGTGGGATCGCGGAGGCGGAGTGAGCGATGGTCCTGGCGTCCCAACTGGCCTGGGCGCAGCTGGTAGCGGTAGCCTGGGAGGTAGCAGCCATTGTTCACGGAGGGCGTTGGGGAGAGAGAGTGAATCGGTGTGGTTGCTTGGAGCTAAGCTGACCGGCAGGGAGGAACAGCGGCAGCAGCAGCAGCGGCGGCGGCGACGGCAGCAAGGAGAAGGAGGAGGAGGAGGAGGAGGAGGAGGGGCAGCGGGACGAAGAAGCAGTTGGGTGGAGGCCAGCCATGGGAAGTTAAACAGTATTAATATGGAGAGCGAGTCGAAGCAGGTCGAGCGGTGCAGCAGCGAGCAGCAGCGACAGAGAGAGGCCGCGGCGGGCAAGCAGCAGCTGGCACGGAAAGATGCAAAAATAGAAAAAACAAGAGTCAACAGCCGAAAAAGCAAAGAGGCAGCTCGCCAGCCCATTGGAGATCCGCCGGCCGGACGCCAGCAGGCAAGCCCCCTGTCGAAGCCGCAGGCCAGAGGCTGAGTGGCTTCCCCCTAGTTCCCTAGTTCCCTACAAAGTTCCCCCAGTTACCGGCCTTGGGTTGACAAGAGCCATGGTACGTACTGTACCTCTTGTTTCCGGCCTTCCTCTCCTCCATGTTGAAGCTACAGCGGGAGCCCCAGGGTTCGCTCGTCCCACGCTGGGCCTCAACGTGTTCTGCGAGCCGGACTTGAAACAAAACCTAAATCGCGCCGCGCTACCAGACATGGGTCTGTTGTGGATGTCTACTACGAACTACACTCAATGTACTCTGTACTGTACACACACGCTCACTCTCCACTCAATGTACTGTACACACGCTCACTCTCCGTATTCTGCCTGTCTTGTCTGTCGTTTTGAGTGTTCTCTTTCCAGTAAACTCCAAACGCATTGTTTTTAGAACGATATGCCCACCATCACAACCCCCGGTAATCCCGTTCTTGCTAACTCCCATATTAACTAGTTATTTCATTGGGGCTGAGCGAACGAGTTGTCTGCAGTCAACCGCAATCACGAGTCGCTGATGTCGGCTTGCTGGCGGCTTCATTCGATGATATTCTACAGTAGTAACCAAACCAGTAACTAACCACCCAGTTACCGGAGTATGTATTCCAGCGTCTGCGAGCCTACCAGGAACCGCTGCAGCGATTGCCATCCGCACCGACTGTGCGCGCTGCCAGTCAACCACACACAAAACACATCCCTTCTCTCTTCGGACTGTGTGACTGCGCCGGCGGGCGGGATCGCACCTTCTTCGCCTTTCCAAGAATGTTCGATGCATTCTTCTACGGCAGGAAGCACTCACTCCAAGGGGCTTGGTGTGTGGGGTGGTGCAAGAAAGTACGAAGTGTGCTTCCTGTGCGACTTCCGTTTCGGCGCGTGTTTGACAGTCGACTAAGCGCCGGGCCCTGCCTGCCTTGCCCGCCGCCCACTGCCCAGTTACCTCAGTAAAACCCCAAATGTGCGTGCGGAGTGTTTCCTGCTAAATCTGGAACACGCCCAGGGGTTACAGCCAAGTCCCGCCTACCCCGTTTAGGCTAAGCTGGATTTCCTAAAAATAGGTGGGTGGCCGTTCCCTTTCCCCTGGGGGAAATTTTAGCGTAATGAGGTTCCCGGGTAACGGAGTTTGCATGGGGGAAAGGAAGAGGCTCTCGTCCCTCCCCCTTCTCTCTCCCCCTCTTCCCAACTCCTCCGCTCACCACTCACCACTCACCACTCACCACTCACCACTCACCACTCACCACTCACCACTCACCACTCACCACTCACCGCTCGCCGCTCACCTTTTCCTTGGGGGAATGCGGAATTAGACCCTGGAGATCCTCGCGACGACGATGCCCGCAGTGACGGTGAGGGTGAGGGTCAGCTGCCACTGCTACACGCGGCCATCCCGCTGCCAACACCCAACACGCCTCCGACTCGATCACTCCAATGTGATCAAATGTAGACAGTTACAATTTCATCTCGCTTCGGCCCTGGAGTGGCGAGTTATTAGTTGTTCATGCGGACGAGAACAGACACTCCCCTTCTCGTCCGGAGATGCGGAGCAAATACGTAGCGGCGAGTTAACTCTCCTCTGCTAAACTAAGTCATGGCTCTCGCTCCAACGCCAGCTCGGCGATCACCCGCATGCTTCCACGCTCCATCGTCACCGTCAAGCTGCCGAGCCAAGGGCACATCTCCATAAAGGGGCCAACCTCTGATCCATGCCTTCTGCAAGCCTCTTCTGTGTAATTATCTATCTGTCTCTCATGTCTGTCTGTATGTCTGTATTGCGCCCTCCCCCCCGACCACCACCTCTCCATCAGGGTCCGTAATGCCGTGTTGCTCCCGATCGCTTTCTCCGAGGCGTCATTTCCCTTCTCTTCTCGTGGGGTCCTGACTCAGATCCTCGGCTCTAACACTGTTCAATCTAACTACTTCATGAAACACACATCCGCACACAGATGGATCAATGCGCTTTTGTTCTTCCGCTGAGACCACTAACGAAGTATCCAACCGATTCCAGCCCCGACCGTCACCCAGTCGCTATCTCAATTCTTAACAGTTCGTTTCTGGGAAGCGGTCGTGCAACGCCAGTTCGACTGTGTATACCTCATTGCATCATATTCTTCAGGGTTCACCCCCCCGGCGGTAGCGAGTCAGTTAGTCTCTTCGTCTGTTGGTAAACACTCACTAGTCAGGATTCACGGTGACAGGGGTGCGGAGATAAAAAGAAGCTCATCACCCTTCAGTCCCGATCACCTTAACATAGCCCCCTTGCCAGTTTCCCCATTCCCCGATACCAAGAGAACGGCTCCGCCTACATATTTCCTAAATGGATCTTCCCCCCTCCCCAGGGGGGTGTTGACAAGGGGTTGCTGTGACGGTCTGTCGAGAATATATAGAACGCTTGTTTTGACTAAGCAGTGGCTTCTAGCCTAGAGGGGGTTTTAGTTACCCCCATTCTTCATGCTCACTGCCACAACAGGGTCTGCAGCGAAGAAGCGGGATCGCCTGGATCTCCTGACTTTGATTGGACGACGTGGTCAATACCCGTCGAGTCTTCACGGGCAAGTCTACGGCACGTCAAGCGACCTGCATGCATTAGGCTTGTATGTCCATACGCACATCCCATATGTGGGAGTCTTGAATGTGTTTTGACGGACATGCATACTCTGGAACAGGCTAATTTGCTTTATTTTTTTTTTTTTTTTTTCTCAGTCGATCTGAAACTTAACTTCCAAACTTGCAATAAGAAAATATGAAGGGAAAATAATAAATAAATTTGACTAAAATTATCTGAAATAGATGACAGACGTTCACTTTTGTCTCGTCCCACGCTACACAACAGACTCGAAGACAGCATATCGGATGTTCTGAGACTTCCACACTCCGTACCTACATACGCACATACATTCTCCATACAAAAATCCCGAACCAGCGCCGGGTTCCGGGCTCCCGAGAAAAATGCGAGTTAATTTCTAAATTAAGAAACAAAGCCACTCCCGCTTAACATTTCGACTTTTCCCCGGAAGGCTAAAACACAAACCTTTTGTGGAGTTAAGTCGTGTTAAACCAGGTTAAGTTAGGGAGTTAATTGGTCAATTAACTCGATTAGGGGAGTTAATATCGCCAAGACTTGCTCATCCCTCGTTTCGTTTCCCGCCTTGACCGCCCAAACGTCGCCTGAGACAGCCGCCTGACACGCGAAAACTGTCGGTCAAGGGATGGGAGAGCGTTTCAATCTCAACTTAACAGGGTAATGATAATATGTCCATTAATATCGCTTTCGTACTCCTGTGTACTTAACTCATTATCGGCCAGCCCTGGGAAGGGGGAAAAAAAAGAAAAGGGATTATCAACTAGAAACCCAACCACCAAGGCTTAGCTCTCGCCCTGCAAGATGTTGGTTTTATGCGAAACAACCCGCCATCCATCCCTCCCACCCCCTTTTTTTTAAAAAAAAGATGACCTACCCTGGATGGATAAGTTAGGTTTCCTGTAGGTAATGTTGCGGAGCAAAATGCGACATAAGAACACCGCACGCCAACCTGGAACCAAGCAGGGATCGCATCGTCCACTTTCAATTGGACCTTTGAAAGGAAACGAGTCGGAAATGCTGAGCCACCTGGACCACGGGGTATTGTGTTGTACTAAGTCTTTCCTGTCTTGCGAGAGAAATGAGGGGACGGTGATCTTCGTCTTTTCTTGCTCTATTTGGGCGAGCAGGTTTCGCGGGGGAACAGGTTGAGATATTGGGATTGCCCATGCAGGGGGGGGAGAAGAAGAAGAAGAAAAGGCAGGACTGTTTTTGGAAAGGTGCAGTTGGATGGATGGAGTGGGCGTTGACGTACTGAATTTTTGGGGGGAGAGTCTTGCGAATGGCTTGTTGTCGAACGGGGTGTGACTGCGCGGGATTTACAGGATCTGGTGGCGAGAAGCAGACTTTTGCTGCGAAAGATGATTTTTTTTGTTTTGATGTGGAATTGTTGTTGATTTTGGGTAACTAGTACAGAGCAGATGGGATTTTGGGGGCCTTGTCTTTAACAGAGAAGGGGGTTATGGACCGATACGACCATGATCTACAGTCAAAGCACAAAGGGACAACGGCGCGATGTGAGTAACTAAAATCTGCATTCCAGTTTCCGGAAGTTCAGCGAACTAACTACAGCTCAGCGTGATTAACCAGTGTGCTTAGCTAGATACACCTTTCGCTGTCGTGGACTGCTCTCATGCAAGCACATCCCCTCCGTCACTGATACCAGATCGCATCGTGTAACTGCTCTTCGAAAAGCCTTTCTGCCGAGTTGCGGCTTGAAGAAAAAGTTGCCAGGTTGAGCTCATCGCCAGAGCCCAAATTAACGCCATTATTCAAGTGCGGAACTCGAAGGTTCGACCAGTTTCCTTGAAAATTTTATCGACCAAGTCGCGAAGCGGTCCAGACTCCGGCGATGCGATTCTGGAGGTGTCTGCCCCGTTTTCCAACAGCAACCTGACGACTTTCTCGTTGTAATAGTACGGACGATGTTCACCGATGGTGTCTGAGCCGCCTTCAACAGAAACTTCCAAAGCGGTCTTTCCGTTGTTGGCTCTGGCGTCGATGTCCATGCCGTAACGAAGCAACATCCGCGCTACGTCCTCCAAGCCCTGTTTGGTGCGCTGTTCAACTAGCATGTGGAGAGCCGTCATTCCGCTGGCGTTTTTCACGTTTGCATGGAGGCCATGTTTGAAGAGCAGGTCGAGCATGGAGAGGTTGACGCGTTCTCCCGGCCACTGGATCAGGGTATGCGCCAAGTTCCCATAGACGCTCCCCACCGCAGGAATGCGTTCACCGTTCTCGAGGAGAACCTTAGCCGAGTCAGTGTCGTTACCCATCACGGCGCTCTCGATGGTGGTGTGTCTATGTTTGTTCGCATAGGCATCGGCGCGCACGCAGTGTTCAAATATCAACCCGATAATTTCCATGGTCCGACCGCGCCTTTCCAGATTCCTCCGCGCATATTCCATGTCCCGGGGGAAGATCCCTCCCTGACAGAGAATTTCCTTGATGAACATGCTGACCTGGCGAACATAGTCCACGTTGCTGCCATAGTCGAGCGCGAGCTTTACAGTTTCGACGTTTCCCTTGTCCAAAGCCCACCAGATGGCGGGGTGGTTGCTGGATTTCGCGTGACGACGGTACAGCTGCGGGTTCAGGAGTTCATGGAGTTCTCGGCAAGTTTGCAGGAATGAGTTGAGGTCACAGTCTCTCTCAACGTTCTCGGCGATCTGGTACAACAACTCATTGGGCATGTTCAGGAGCTCAATTGGAGGCACATTTTCTGCCGCCATGGCGACAAACAGCCTCCGCAACTAATACAAAACAGATATCAAGCCAAACAAACAGACGATGTCATAGATAAGTAAGGGTGGGTAGTGTGTGTTTGTGCCAGAGAAGAAAGCGGGATGTTAAGCGAAAATGCTCACATTTCCCCTTTTGGGCCTATTATTTGTGTTGTTGCTGTGCAATCTGATAGGCAACGCGACCTCCCAAGATACATAACAAAACAAGTATTGCTAGAAACACTCATGCATGTAGACAGCTGCATACATGCCTGCATGTCTTCTGTTATCATGGAACACTCCGGTCCAAGCATGTTAAACATGTCCACAGCATCCCAATCCCTTTCCTTTCCTTTCCTCCTCTCACGGGCAGGTGATATTGCTTCTGCATTGACAACAATTCACAACTTCACCGATCCTTGTCATGCTGCAGCTGTCTTTATGAGACGCATCACATTACTCCAATCCATCTCCGAAAAAAAAAAAAAAAGCATAAGTAAGACTACAGGGCGCATGCAGCCCCATTCCATTGTATGTAGAACTTTTCTTGCCAGACATTGTGTCCTGCAGAGCCAAGATGCAAGGCCATAACCATTGTAACACCCACACATCATTAGACAGATCCGTGGGCAAAAAAACCCCGCCTACACCACATCCTGAATATGCACATACATGTACGTATGGAGATAGTTCTATTCTAATCCTATTTGTCCGGTCAATGTTTCCAGAACTAGTTTGTCCGACATTAAGAGGAACAGGGTGTGGGGGAAAAAAAAAAGAGGGAATGATGGGGAGAGTTCAGCCCTAACCAACATGCAGACTACGGTGATCACAGGGGTATCCTAGAAACCAATTATTTATTACACTTGGATAATTCTCTTTATTTTCTTGCTGTTAGGTCGTACAGCAAATGAATACACTTGTCGAACATGTGGCATCCGGAACAGCCTTCCGAGCAGCAAAAAGAGTGTTGTTGAAGTGGGGAAAAGCAGCCTTGTCCACAGCCAACATGAATCCACAAGAAATTCAGCCCACATGAGGCTGTATATAAATTATGTACGTATGTGCTACCTAACCTCGATTCGTGGGTATTGGTTATGGTCTATGAACGCGTACCTTTATTGAATGTGTGTGTGCGTGTATTACGAGGGACCGCATGTCTGCACTGCTTTTTATCCGAGCGGTCAAACGAAAGAGGGATGTTGCCAACCATACCACCAACAGCATGATTCAATACAGGTCGTTGCGTCGTGCCAACTTTGGACGGAGGAGTGGGGATGGCAACTGATGGTATCTCAGCCGTGAGCTCCGTCCTGCTCGGCACCACCCGCGAGCACCATCCACACCAGCTCCTGACGGCTCCCGAGCATTCCTTCTTCAAGTACGCTGACGATTCACGCTCATCGTCGTGCTCATCGACACTCGCACCGACCTTGACTCTCTTCTTCACCTTTTGTTTCACTACGCCGCCCACTCCCATTATCTCTTGCCTCAAATATCCGGGACCCTCATCCTCTGCGGAATGGCCTTCGCCGGGGTGAGGACTCGGATGCTCTGAATGCTCTGCCCCCCAGTCATCGACTTCGCAGTCTACTTCGACCTCAATTTCTTCTGCCGCGAGGCATTTATCCTCTCTTCCGCACTGTACGCCCAGACAAGTGTCGCCAATGCCTGTACCAAGGCCGCCGCCCAGGTATGTGCTATATCGTGTCCGCCACGAGAACACACGCCTGTATGCGGTGTCATCACTGTGCAAGACCTGCCCGCAGGGCCGGCAGAACCAGACTTCGTTGCTGCAGGAACAGAAAGGGGAACCAAGGCAGGTGTTATGATCTATTAACGACTGTAGAGGCGCCTCTAGACATGTAGAACAAAGTCGACGAAGGCGATTCTTTAATATCGTAATGGTAGGTGGTTTCATGGCGCAATTCTACCAAGCAGTCAGTGGCCTGATCCAGCAGTAGATATAAACTTGGGCACACATGCTCTGCAGACTACGGAGGAACATCTCTGGCAATGAGCCACCATATCCCTCGCGCAGGGGCATATTTTTGTAAACCCGAACTGCTGCTGAGAAGTTTTCTGAGCGTCGTTCCTTTCTCCAAGTGAGTCATAGCGGCAACGCAGCGTTTCGCGAATCAATAGACCCCGAGAAGCGAGCAATATCTCGCGAAACTGACGACATGTTCTGGACAAGGCATGTAGGGTATTCAAATCCACACAGCGAGCGATCTGCTTTACTATCCTGCGAAAAGAAAAGAAAACTCCGAGGTTAATATCTGACACGAGGATTGTTATCAAACAAATGCACGATTTGCATACGGATAGCAGCTCAGAGCCAAAGAAAACTTTGAGCCGACGGAGTCCAGAGCTTTTTCTCTTTCTTCCCTTGCTTCGGAAGTACTCCAGTCCTCGGCACTTCTGGACTTAGTCCCACTTTCAGCAGCACAGTCGGCCGATAGCGGGACCGGCATTCTGGTGTTTTCTGGGGGACCAAGCACTGCAATATCCGCTGAGAGCAAACGCTTTGCCTCTAGGTTCTTCTGCGAAGCAAAGGCAGCGTGATCATCTTCTGCATAATCCACGAAAATCACCATCCTTGTTCCTGCAGGAGCGCGGTGCCGGTGTCAGCGGAGACTGAAGGAGCTGTAGGCTGTAAAAGGTAGAGCCTTGAAAGAAAATATCAAACTCGAGATGCTAGGCCATTTCATTCCGGAGGAAGCAAGCTGCTGCTGACCGCCAGCATTCTAGAAGAGAGTGAGTGATATCAGTTGAACGATGATGGGCCGAGCGCTAAAACCCAACCTGGCGACACTACTCTTCGAGACAGGGACTGGAGGGGCAGGGTTAGATTAGTCAGCAGAATTCGGTCGCAAAGCGGTCATTTAGCTAAGCCTAAAAGGGACTTAGCTGTATTTCTGTGGTTTCTGGAACTTACCGAATGGTATTCTGGGGACGGTTCGGCGGTTTCTGGTGATATCATTGGGTGGGGATCCATCACAAGGCCGTCCACCAGGTTGGCGTGGGGAAGCGCTCCGAGAGAGCAGCACGGGGAAACAGGCCATGTCGGCGAGGGGTTGGTCTGTACCAGTCCTACCATTCACGGCATCTCTCCGCAAAGGCATCTTCGCATTTCTTCCCCCATAGTTGACTCACTGCACCTACAGTCGCATAAGAACCCCCTCCTCCTCCTCCTCCTCTTGTGTTCCGTCCGAAGTTGAAGACAAAAACTTCCCTGAGCATCGTGCCAATTCAACAGATACCCCGGGTTAAAAAATGGGGCTGACATGTCGAGATATCTACTCGGTGCCGGACCTCCAGTTCTGCCCGTTTGCGAGTAGACGGAGCGTGGTCCATAGCACCGCCGGCATCGTGGCATGCACCCAGCCATTGGCTGCTGCTGCAGGACAGAAGATCTTGCAGCAAGGTGGAAATGCTGCTGTAAGTAGAGATCACCTTGACTGTTTGTATGCCATTACCTCTAATCACATTTTTGGCAGGATGCAGCTGTGGCCGTTGGTTCGTTTCCCAAGAGAGCTTTCCATTCGGAGAGATCGGGTCCTAATATTGAACTTTTGATACAGCCGCAGCATTGAATATGACAGAGCCCAGCTCCACCGGTATCGGTGGGGACATGTTTTGCTTGTTTTATAATGCGAAAACAAAGAAAGTCTCTGCGTTGAACGGCTCAGGCCGTGCTGCGGGGAACCTGTCCCTTGATGCTATTCGAAAGGACCTGGGCCTTGCGCAGGGCGAGACTGGAGGGATTCCCATGACCAGCGCCCATGCTGTAACAACGCCAGGTGCAGCAGCAGGATGGGTAGATACCGTTGAAAGGTTTGGCAGCGGCCGCTTGACCCTTGAGCAAATTCTAATGCCTGCCATTGAACTCGGAGAAAAAGGGTTTCCGGTGTCGGAACTGGCTTCGACTTTCGTATGTTGACCCCGTTGTTCCCCATTCAATCAAAATATATATATATTCAATTCTTCTTTTTAACCGGTTTGAACATAGTGGGAAGCATGCGAAGAGCCCATCCGAAAAGCTTCGCCAAACTTCAGAGAGATACTGAAAGCAGATCCACAGGCCAGAGATGGTGTCAGGTGCCCTCTGCCCGGTGAGCTCTTCAAGAACCCACAGCTCTCACAGACATTCCGAACTCTTGCCAAAGAAGGAAAGGAAGGTTTCTATAAAGGCAGGATTGCGGAGGAAATCGTCAAAGTCGTGAAGGACCTTGGGGGCTACTTGAGTCTTGACGATCTCGAGTACCATGTGGAGGTAGGCAGCCAGGAAGTGGATCCAATATCACTAAAGATCGACCCTGGAGAAATCGCAGGAACCAAACGTGAAGGAGGGGGTGAAGTCGAGGTCTGGGAGCATCCTCCCAACGGCCAAGGCATCGTTGCACTGATGGCTCTTGGCATACTCAAGGAATTATCACGCGCTGGGAAGATACCACATTTCAGCAAGGATCAGCACAATTCGGTTCCTTATCTCCACGCCATCATCGAGAGCTTGCGGATCGCCTTCGCCGATGCACAGTGGTGGGTGACCGACCCCGATGTCGAAAAGGTCCCATCGCAGGATCTTATCTCCCCAGCTTATCTAACCGAACGCGCAAAATTATTTGATCCCAACAAGGCCTCGGATATCCTCGATCACGGAAGCCCAGCCCATAACCACTGTGACACTGTGTACTTGGCTGTGACGGATAAAGAAGGCAACGGCATATCTTTCATCAACAGTCTCTACGGGGGTTTCGGGACCGGCATTGTCCCCAGAGGATGCGGCTTTCCCCTCCAGAACCGGGGCTCGAACTTTTCCCTGATGCCAGGCCATCCCAATGTGATTGCCCCGCGCAAACGCCCCTACCATACGATCATCCCTGCTATGATCACTAACCCACAGGACAACAACTCGTTACATACCGTCTATGGTGTCATGGGAGGCTTTATGCAACCACAGGGTCATGTTCAGGTTCTTATGAACATGCTGGCGTTCAAGGCTACTCCGCAATCAGCCCTTGATGCCCCGCGGATCTGTATTGGTGCTGGACATCCTCAGTCTATTGATAAAGTGGATCGGACTGTATATTTGGAAGAAGGAATTAGTGAGTCAGTGGCAGAAGGGTTAAGGCAGATGGGGCATCAGGTTAAGATCCTCAAGGGGTTTGAGAGGGCAATGTTTGGAAGAGGCCAGGTTATTAGATGCCACGTTGAAGATGGACAGATGTTGTATAGCGCAGGAAGTGACCTTCGAGGCGATGGAGGCGCGTTTCCCGCCCTATGAAAGACAAAAGCGATGGAAATGGGTTGCTTTTAATGTTTCGGGCTTTCCAATTCATGTGTGTGCGCGCGCGCACTTTGATTGAACATACCTTATTATTTTATTTTGTTATCTCTGGAGAAGCCAACTGCCTTGCCCGGTGGATAGTTATTTTCCCCCCTGCCCCAGTTCGCGACATGGATAGGGTTTCCAGATCTTAATTCTATCAAGCCATTTGCTTCAATGATTACCTATTTAATTTTGACAATCCTTCCAGAATATAACTCCCACCCCCTCTCAAAACACTGAACAAGGCGCAAGGATAGCCATCGAGCATGTTGCATCAGATCTTCAACTCCGCGAATCTGGTCACGTCTCATTGAGCTCGCCGAGAGATCTAGAGGGGACGGATCTGGAAAATAATCTCTCATTTCCTAGCAGGCAAACACGACATAATACCGGTTGAATAGTTATTCGCCCCAGGGGTTAATATGGACTAATAGCGCACATGAAATTAATCCTCCTTCCAAATAGATTAGATATGTCAGACGACCACTAGCACAGCTCAACCATGGATCGTGACCCGGAGGATCCGCCGAGAAGCTCGGGACGGTCCACTCGCAGGGCAAGAAACGCAAAAAAATGTTAAAGCAAATTATCATCGTTCATCAAAGGCTGCTGGCGGTCATAATTAGGAGGTAGTTGTTTATCTACATTACTCTTAGTAACGGCCCGGGGTACGGAGTAGAGCATCCGGAGCTGGCCTCCCGTCGATATCCCAATCTTATTTAACCAACTAACGACTCTGGATGCAGCACATACCCTGTAATACAAAATTAAGGAGAACTTAATCAAGCCACAAAAGTGACAAAAGTGAAGAAACCAGAGTTGATACATGACTTTGGGCAGCAAGAGAGAATGTTCTGAGGCTGGAAATATGAATGGACAAGTCTACTCTCTATCTTTTAAACACCCTAAAACCGGTTGATTTTAGACTCCTGTCACGCTGGGAGCTTGCCAGTCCTACCACGAACGATTTTTGATTTGGAGCATTGGTCTCCCATCCAGGTGCTATGGTTGGTTACTGCTATGCGTGACATCTCACGGTATTTTCAACTAAAATTGGGTCTAGGTACTCCAAAGAGACCAGAGTGCTTCCATGGTCATGTTTATTCGAGAAGGACCTGGTCTCTTTTGGGGGGTTCGGCGTACCCGAAAGGCACCCTGCCATTGAGTTCGAGGACAAGGGTCTTTCACATCAGGAAGCAGGAAAATCAACGTCATCCGAGGTTCGTGAAGATCGGACATGCCGTTTCCGAAATGCCTTAAATACCTTTCTGGGGGACATCTAGTGTAAAAGGTGACAGAAGAGAGTCAAGTGGCTTGCACTCCTAGTTAGTGGATGATTTTGAGCACCCGGATATCCCTGGTATCCAACTCATGGATACTGCTTGAGGTTGTGATTGTATTCACTACTTGCGCAAAGAGAAGGCTGCTCCTTTTCGCATACAGACGCGTAGAAACATCACATCATGGTTGATGTGAACCAAGACAATTATATAGAGCATGTAGTCGAGGATCATCTGGCTTGTTAGGGCTTTGTTTTGCTCGACTCACCTCAAAGACATCTGTTATAAGGAGTTATTTCTGGAAAAGTAGGCGTAGGAAAATAAGACGACATTTTTCCGTCTTCGATAGGTGATAAAATCAAATACTGAGGGGGGGAGTCAAGGGCACACTGCTCCCCCCGGTTGTAGACGTCAACCGAATCCGTTTTGGAGGCCCATCTAGTTAATTCGAGATATTATATGCTCCGTAGCTCTCCGCATCTGAAGCTTAGCCGAAAAGAGACGTTGCATTGCGATTAAGCGGCGGACTTGCCTACAAGACAATAGCTTCAAGGTAAGCATGTAACGATGGACTGGTGACCCTCAGGGAGTGCGGCCGCCATCCAACTGGGGCACCAGCACTCGCACCTTCAGAGCTCAAACGGGCATTTGAGACACCGTTGCACCTCCTGATTCGCTGGCTGACGATGCCAGGAGGAAGACGAGGGTCGTCAGCAAAGAGGTTGTCGGCGCAGATATAACTGCTGCTGATTAGAACGAGCGGCAAGTCCTCCATCCAAATAACCAGCTGGCCGTGAAGGTATCCGGAGCATCTGAGGGGTACTCCGTAAAATACATCAAAGGAAGAATTGTTTTCTTTTTCCTTTCTTTTTCCGTTTCAAAAAAAAAAAAAAAAAAAAAAAAAAAGAAAGGTCGAGCAGAAAGTCTGAAAACAGACCTCGATTGGACAAAGTCGGTTGCACAGCTGAGCGAGTGAGGGTTTGGCGCAACAAAGTTGGGTCAGAGAGACGATCGGCAGCCGACCCAATACCCCACCATCACCACCACTCCCACACCGCGGCCCCTCCTCAGCCAGCGAACGCCTGTCGCTCCAGCTTCACACTTCTCGCTGGCCCCTTGAATTTCCTTCTCTCCGCCGGACTGGCTTTCTTGCACCTCTCATTGGCTGTGGCTGCTGATTTATTTTTTTGGCGCCCAATTGAATCAAGCAAGCCTGCCAAGTAACTATCAGTCTCATCCCTCCAGTTCATGCTGCTTTCCCCCCCATCCCATCCCGCCGTTTTTCTGTTTCGAATGAACAAGAGCTATTAAACGCCAACTTTTGTTGTCGTCCTCACTCTCTGGAACCTGAAGACAAACGGGGGAAACCAGCTTCAAAAAAGCTCAGATATTTATCTTTCTCTTGGGCGTATGACTTTCGTTTTCACCCTCGTTTTCTCTCGTCGTATCTAGTTTACTGCGAATCCCTTCTCCGAGCCGGGCCAGGAGAACAAACCCTATCCACGCCAGGCTGCTGTATTCTCGAGCCGAACCTGTCCTTTTATCTCTCGACCAACTCACGGAAACAACCCGCAACTTGACCCATACCCTCTCCCCGCACATCCTCGAAAACTTCAGATTTCACCGTTGGCCCCGTTACATGTGATTTCAAGCTACGGCACAATGGCAGATTTACAAGGACGTAAGGTGTTCAAGGTGTTTAACCAGGATTTCATCGTCGACGAACGGTACAATGTCACAAAGGAGGTCGGGCAAGGTGCTTATGGAATTGTTTGGTATGTGCACTGAAAGCATGTTTGCTCCAACCGCTGCGAGGTGGAGCGGTACTCCTCCGACCGGAGCAGCCGATTCACCCCTTCCCACTCACAATTACTCCTTCATCGGTTGCCAATTTTTTTAAGGATTCCTCCTGCATGGTTGATGGCCAAGTTCTGACACAATATATTTTGTTTTTCTTACTCTTAGTGCCGCATCCAACGTACAGACCGGCGAGGGCGTTGCTATCAAAAAGGTCACCAATGTCTTCAGCAAGAAAATCTTGGCTAAGAGAGCCCTGCGAGAAATTAAACTGTTGCAACATTTCCGCGGTCATCGCAATGTATGCCCCCGGGACTTTCCACTATCCAGATGGACGGACTCAACGACTGACCTTGCTTGAAGATCACCTGCCTCTACGACATGGACATTCCAAGACCAGACCACTTCAACGAGGTCTATCTCTATGAAGGTGAGGAACCTATCATCCGTGGAAACTGGGTCCTGATGCTAAGAACATTATAAGAACTTATGGAATGTGATCTGGCTGCCATCATCCGTTCCGGCCAGCCCCTGACCGATGCTCACTTCCAATCTTTCATCTATCAGATTCTTTGTGGACTGAAATACATTCACTCCGCCAACGTCTTACACCGTGATTTAAAACCAGGAAACCTCTTGGTCAACGCTGACTGCGAGCTCAAGATCTGCGATTTTGGTCTTGCTCGTGGTTTCTCAATTGATCCAGATGAAAACGCTGGATACATGACTGAATATGTTGCGACGAGATGGTACCGTGCTCCAGAGATCATGTTGAGCTTCCCGAGCTACACGAAAGCTAGTATGTCCCACCTTCCTCATGGATACAATTTAACAAGAATAAATGTTGCTAACCTGACTTTCAGTTGACGTGTGGTCTGTCGGTTGCATTCTTGCAGAATTACTTGGCGGAAGACCGTTTTTCAAAGGTCGTGATTACGTTGACCAACTGAATCAGATCCTTCATTATTTGGGGACTCCAAATGAAGAGACCCTTCGCCGCATTGGCTCCCCACGTGCACAGGATTATGTCCGCAATTTACCATACATGCAGAAAGTTCCTTTTCAACGATTGTTCCCGAATGCGAACCCAGAAGCTTTGGACCTACTTGATCGGATGTTGGCGTTCGATCCCTCATCCCGTATCTCGGTCGAAGAAGCTCTTGAACACCCTTATTTACAGATTTGGCATGACGCATCCGACGAGCCGACTTGCAAAACTACATTTGACTTCCACTTTGAAGTTGTCGAAGACGTTCATGATATGCGCAAGATGATTTTAGACGAGGTTATGCGATTCCGTGCACATGTGCGACAACCACATATTCAAATGGGCAATGCGGGACAACAGGCTGCAGCGCAGCAGACCAGTGTCCCTATACCCGAAGAAAACATAGCATCTTGGAAACAAGACGAACCACGGCCTCAGGAGGCCATTCATGGGGGGATGCAGCCTAATGATCTTGAAGCCTCGTTACAAGGAGGTATGGATGCTATGCGGTAAAGCAGCCCAGTTCTTTGTCTAAAAAATTTTTTTTTCGTACTCCCAGCGTGCTGATTTTCATGAAGATCATAATGCTTAGAGTTGTCATATTTCTGATACTGCATTTGCATTCTATCCATTATATGTTTCTTCCCCGCCCCTTCTGTTTGATGTCTTGCCTATGTTGTAGGACTCATGAATTGCAGTTTGACGAACGCTGGATGGTTACAAAATACATTTAACTATGCATAATTACCTAAAGAAAGTCTACTCGAGCCCCTCACAGGTCCAAGGATGTATGTATCTATGCATTTTTGAGACATCCTATCACTGGAAATCAATGGCGTTCAAGCCATCCAATGTAAGACATTGTTTAGGTTCCGATTTGAGACCAAAGCCAAGCAATCCGTGGAACCACGTTTGCTGGTGAGTATTATCAAAGATACAACTTTGTCATTTTGCCCATGTCCATCACGGCGTCCATCCGCTACATTCTCCAGGGGCAAGAAAACCCTCCCGCTGTTCACTTGGCGAGATCTAATCCTTGAAAATCACTGATCCATTCGGCCCAGTCCTGTTAATCCACGTCTCGGAGCGATGATTCTCGGCTTGTTCATATACTTACCTCTGGCCCTTCTCGGGTGCGTTGCCGCTTCGCCGAATGGGTGGGATAGGGTCCAAGCCTGCTACGCTGAAGAGCTCCCACCACTTCGAGCCAACCCCATGGCGAGAGAGATACCATGGGGCACACCGAGCGTCCACTTCTCATCGCTGAACGGGACGCTATCAACATGTTGCGAGTCTCTCGACGGCGTTCGCGAGGCACTCGACGAGATTGACAAGCAGTTTCTTGAACTACTGAATCGCCGGTAATAACACACTCCTTGTCCTTTTTCCTTCCTCAGATTATATACAAAAATATGTTTATCTCGTAATTGTTCCTTGCAAAACCCTCATTCCATCGTTTCCTCCAATCATAGCCCTTGACACCTTGCTCTGACCCCTGAACAAAAACAAACCCTCGTTCCCACCCCCGCCCTGCCCTGCTTGCACCTTTTTAGATCAAGGCCGATTCTCAAACCTCCCATCTAAAAAAAAAAATCAAAATCAAAATCAACAGGATGGCATACGTCCAAGAAGCCACCCGTTTCAAGCACACGCGAGAATCCGTCAATGTTCCGGCGCGAAACAAACAGATCGTCGAGCGCGCGAAGCGGGAGGCCGTCAGGTTGGGGATGCCGGTGAGCGTTGCGAAGGCGGTTTACGAGACGGTTCTGAAGGCAGGGATCCGCTTTGAGGAGTGTATTGTGAGTGTGATCCTTTTTCCCCCCCAAGATAATGGTGGTTGGTTATTCCCGGCACCGAGGGAAGGGGAGGGATGAATCCTGTATTTGGCTTCTCTATGGTTACCTTGAAGACTGACGGTTTATGATAGTTTGATGAATATGAGGAGTCATGTAAGTCCTTATGAGAGGCTTGTTTAGGAGAAGACACGCGGATAAGGAGGAATTGGAGCACTGTGGCAGGGTTTTAGCGTACTTTATGATAAAAAGCCGCGGGAGTCTTTACCATGATATCCTATTCTGATTATGCTTCCATGTGTTTTGCTCTTTACTAGCTTGCTTTCGGGCTCACCGTTCAAATCGCATCGTTCTCGTCAATAGAAAGGAATATATATGTTTCGTGGCAGCATGGAAGACAACTTTAGCGAAAGATAGATGTCATCCAAAGAGCGGGCCTGATATTATTATGACGTGAGTTCGGGAAATTTCAATCTTAATATACACTCGTGTTCAGCCAAGCAAAGCTCAGATCTTGAACAAGCACACTCCAGAATAAAAACGAAAAAAGTAGCCATTCACGGTCGGACGGGCTCCCAAGTCTGATCCGATCCCCGCAAGGTATTGGTATCCGACGTGAAGAAGAGAGGAGACGTCTCCATGATGCGCAGATACTCCGCCGAATCAAGCGTATTTCATCTATGTATATCTTAAAACACCCACCAACGCCGTGCTATGCAGAAACCAGAGAAAATTCCAAGATGTAAAGGGGGACAGTTCGCTGCTTTAGGTCTATAAGGGATTCCCACGCCACATGCGCAAAGGCGTGTTTGGCTTTGCGTGTTTATTGGTCTATTTCGTGTTCTCGCTTAAGAGGTCTTCTCCAAAAGCTCCTTCGCCTCGTTGATCTTTGTCGCGAGGTACGGGCTGCCGCCACGGTCCGGGTGGTTGAGCAACATCAGCTTTCGGTGGTTTGCGCGGACTTTGTCCTTGGTAAGGGTTCGCTCACTATAAATCCCACAACTCTGTTAGCTAGTTATTCTATCGAGAGAAAATAGAAGAAGAGAATGTCTACGTACGAGAGTTCTAATATCAAAGCGGCTTCGCGACGGTTCATGCGGGGTTCAAAGCCTCCCTTGTAGAATGCTCTTCCCATAGCATTGACGCCCCCCCTGTAGCGGCGGAGAGCAACCAGGCCAGCGCGACCCTGGAGAAGGGAAATGTCAGCATTGTTTCGCTTCATTAAGGAGGAATAGGTGGAGAGGAAGGAGGATATACAAAGAAAGCGGCCGCGGCAACGCCAATGCCCACTGCAACAACAGATGTCATGGTGGTGAAATGTGGTTAAACTGTTGAAATCTAAAACGTAGCAGGAACTAGCAACCTCAGAGGGAATGCTTGAATGAATGCAGCGGTGAAATCAACGAGCGAACAAAGAGGAGTGGTGGTGATGGTGATGGCGACGATGGCGAGCGAAACTTTTTTCTGCAAAGTGAAAGAAGCGCTAGTCACACATTGGGTTTAGCGCAGGCTGGGCACTTCAACGTCAGTTTATCAGAAAAATTTACCGCAGCTTCACTAGGACAAGTGGATGCAACAGCTGTGTTTTGAGGCAGAGACCGGGCCAACAAAGCAACCATGCGGTAGGTCGATTCCCCCAATGTATCAATCCCGAAAGTCTTGCTCACGGATGTCCCCCAAGGGTCGAAACTTGCCACCTCTGCTCCCGCCCCGTCTACCCGTCTAAGGGCATCACCTTTGTCCGCAACGATGCCCGCACATTCCGCTTCTGCCGCTCCAAATGCCACAAGAACTTCAAGATGAAGCGGCAACCCCGTAAGCTGAAGTGGACCAAGACCCATCGTGCTCTTCGTGGCAAGGAGATGATCGTCGATTCCTCCCTGGTGCTCTCACAGTTCGCCAAGAAGCGCAACGTCCCCGTCAAATACGACCGGAATCTGGTGGCAGCAACGGTCAAGGCCATGGAACGAGTGGAGGAGATTCGGCAGAGAAGGGAGCGCGTGTTTACGAAGAGGAGATTGGCGGGAAAGCTTGCCCGCGAGAAGAAGAGAGCGGAGGATCGGAGGGTCGTCGCCGAGGGAGAGCATCTTATTCGCAAGGAGCTGCAGATGCTGGAGAAAGGCGTTCCACTGGAAGAACAGAGGGTCAAGAATGCCGTGGTCGGAAAGGAACAGGTGCGGCACAAGAAGAAGACAAGAGTGCTGGTGGACGGAGGCACCCAGGAGGAGATGGATATCGACTGAGCTGCATTGTCTACGTCCGGGTGTGCATCTTCTACTTTTTGCTTTCTATATACCAGGGTATGGTTTTGGTTCTGGTTCTACTGCATGTTGACGACAGTTATGTACGGGGCGTTCAAGGGGCATGGTCTGCCGCTGATACTAATGCTGGTCTAAGATATAAAAAAGCGCTGTTCTTTTTTTTTTTCTTTTTTCCCTTGAAAATTTTCGATTTATATGGCCTCCATATCAATCCTCTATCCTCTCCACCTCAAGGCACTCAGAGATATCCGGGACTTGCCAGCCCTTGCATTACACGGAACTCTCCGCTTCCAGCACACTCTCCCCTCCCTCGCTTGTGCTGGCCTCGTTGCCCTGATCGCACGAACACAACATCGCGCTTTTCCTTTACCTGCTAACCGTCTGGCGAAACTTCGCATCAGCTTGTTTACTGGTCTCGTGGTTAGCCTCCATTACCGAAGTGTTCCTCCGACAGTACTGTAAAATCCTCTTTGTCCTCCTTCTTTCTCTCTCTCCTCACCATTTTTCCACCACATTCACTTTGACCACCAAACTCCTTCACCTTGGTCTCCTATCTCGTCTACTTATCCAGAGCTAAAGCATTAACAATCTTCATTTATTAACTCTTTTTTTTGCCAAATCTCCTTTACCCTCTTTTTCCGCGCCACTCTCCATCTTCGCCTTCTCAGGCAGACACTTTTCTTTCGACGCCACCATGCTTCTTTTCACCATCATTTTTTCCGTCCTCACTATCTGGGGAACGGTAGCGCCAATACCCCATACCGACGTCCACCCTCAGGAAAGTTTTGGACGACGATTCCTATCGACTTTTAAACCAGCGTTTATGGTGAGAGGAACGCTCGAGGGCGTCGAGTTAGTTGTATGGCTTTTTGACCCAGACCCTTGCAGTGTCTTCCCGTGGCGCAGACGCGCGCTCAGACTTGCTCGGGAGGCCGAACTAGCTCGTCTCGAAGCTCTCCACTCTCTTCACTATCTCCAAGACTTCGATTTGGATTCGGCAGCGATGCAGGTGGCCCCTGTCCCCAACCCGACTCGCACCCTTCCTGTCCCGTCTCGTGTTGTCCGCGTGGAGAGCGAGTCGCCCGCCATCACCTCTCGTACCGACTTCGGCTTCAAGTGGGGTCAAGTCATCTGCATCGTTGTGGCTTTGGTGTCCTCCTTGGTCAGCGGACTGAGCTTCGTGCTCTTCCAAGCGGAGGAATTGACCTCGAACCTAGGTAGCCGCTCGAAGGTAGATCGACGCCGTGTGTCTGTCGCTGTCCGAGCCAGTTCCGGTGACCTCACTGTAGGGTTTACTACGGGGCTGGACTCTGTGGCTGACTTTATCGGTTTGTCGGCTTTGCCTTCAATGAGCACCGAAAGCTTGGTTGAAGATTCTCCTGTGGAGTCATCCACCAACGCTGACGGTAATCGCTATACAGGCTGGGAACTCGTTCCATACACTGACAAACCCTTGCGCGGAGTTGTTCCAGTCATAATCGTCCCAAAGTCAACCCCAGAGGGAACGGAAAGGCAAGCCTTGGTGGAGCAACGGGAGAAGCCAGCTCTCTCCGGAGGGCTGACTTTTAACCCCTTTGTTCTCCAGGAGCTCGACCGTCACTTCTGGGCGACGCTGCGGGCCCAGCAGCAACTCTACCCTCCGGCGCAACCCCAAGGTGTAATGGCGTCGAGTGCCGAGTCTACCCTTTCAACAACAACAGACTCGGCCCCTGTCCCAGAGGAACCAGTTGGTCCTCCAGCGGTGGTATCCTCCAAGGAGCTCTCGCATGCTGTTCCACCAGTTGAAGAACAGCGACAAGAACCCTCCGAGGCTCCAGTGGAGGTACCAGCAACAACCGTGGAGGAGCCCAACACCCCACCAGAGTCCGCCGTCGCCGTCACCGTCACCGTCCCAGGAAGCGGCAACGACAACGGCAACGAGGCTATGCTGCCTAAAGAGGAGCGGCAGAAAGACGGGCCGCAAACCGAGTCCCTTGGGGAGGCTGGCGAAGCGGGCCCGGCAAAGACATCCTCACGAAACCGGCCGTCCAAAAAGACCCGCCGACGGCGGGCTCGAGCACGCCTGCTCGACGCCCAAGACGAGGCTATCCGCAAAGCTGAGGAGCAGATCCGTGTCTCTTCTACCTCAGCGGGCCAGTCTTGAAAGCCGTCGTCCGGTGTTTTCGGTTTCGTGTCCGCTCCCCCCTGCGCTCCTCTTTCCATGCTTTCTGGGCTACCTACGGTGATTTAACCTGGGGCTCTTTCCACCTTCTTGACTAAAGAAACAAATAAACGAAACACGAACTTTTTACTCTGGTGACAACTGTCGCATCCTTATCTCCTATGTCTTGTCTTACCGATGTCGTCTCGCGCCATGTCGTATCGCCTTGCCATAGTTACCCTTCTTACCTCCTTTCGACACTACTCCGGCAGGTTTTTTGACCGACATCGCTTCATCTCAGCCTACCTACCAACGGCTTATCTCTCTCAAGACAAAAATTCGTGACAGAGACAAGAGACAAGGACAACAGAAGGTTGAAATCCCCCCGACGGTCTGAATCCAGCCAAACTTCTCGCAAACCCCTCCCTTCTCCTTATCACGCATCCTCCCCTAAATTACCGTCCCACAACCCCCTTTCTCCACACGAACAGCAAAGCAAAATGACTCCGTCTCCAAAAAGGAAAAAGAAAAAGAAAGAGAAAAAGAGGTTCAGACCTGATGGAATGATAGGAGAAACGGGAAAAGACAAGAAAAGAGCCAAGAAGGGAAAGAGAACAAGAACGACCAAAGGGAAAAACACATAAAAGATCTTCCGCAAAAAAAACGTCGACGGTTGAGTAACTCCCAGCAACACTCACAAGTCTTCTACTTCACTGGTATCGACGACTTCTCCGACGCCTCCACGATAGGAGAGAAGAAGAAGAAGAAAGTCAAGGAGCCTTTAGAGGAACAAAATCGACCGTGGAGAAAGGGCCTTTCGGGTTCCTGTTTTCCCTTGGTTTTGTATCCGTCTGCTGCTTCGAGATTTCTCTTTTTTTCCCCTCTTCCGACCGTGGGGGTCCAGGAGATGTTGTTGGCACCAAGTGTGTGTTGATGCGTGGGTGGGCGGGTTGCTTGTCCGGGGTTTTTATAGAGAAGATCTTTGTTGTTATTCTTTTGGCTCTTTTTTTTTTCTGACCTTCCTTTCTTTTCTTTCGAGTCTTTTCTTATTCTTCTTATCTACTTCTAAGTCTATATTTTTTTTTTCCTTCTTCTTCTTCTACTTCTTATTTTTTCTTCCGTTGTTCTTATCAATCGGGAGCTCCTTAATGGAGTTTTAACCATCTTGAATATACTTGCGTGATCCTTTGTTCTTTTGGGAATGGGTCTTTTAAGGTAAGAGGCACATCTCCCGATAAAATACCCAGATGGCATGAAGGATAGACTGATATTTACGTTTTCTTCAATCAGAGAAGTCTGGTCGAAGCTCGCTGCGTCAACCGATATACCCTTTGAGAATGGAAACTGGTGCTTGTGAGAATAGCGGTTGCGCTGAAAAAAAAAAACAAAATATCGATAGATATTACGGATTTGCGCTCCCCTTGACTCCGACTCCTCCTCCTCTTCCTTTTATTTTCCTTGGTTTTGCCTTTTAATCCACTGCGAAGGGATCGATTACAGAAAAGCCTCGGAAGCCTTAAGAGTACATACCTACGGCGATTTTACGAATCCGATTTTGTGAGAGAGTTCGAAGATGCCCTACGGTCTAAGTTACGTTCCTCCCCCCACTTTCGAAGGGGTGATTCGATTATAAGAGAGAAAAGATAAAGAGCCTTCGGGGCCCTGAGATGGTTTTTGACGGTTGTTTTAAGAAGAGGGGATGGGTGTTGAGTCCTCGGACACATAATTCCTCATCGAGGGATCGATATCGAAAAGGCTTCGGCCTAAGACTTGTCACTGGTGGCGTTTGATCCGGGGTTTTTGCTTGGGTGGTGGATGTGTATGGTTCGCGCATGCTTTGGTGGTCTTGTCGCGATTTATGCATGTTCAGTTATGCATGGGGTGTGGCTTTGATGTTGTCGGGAGGTTGGATGGGCCTCTCCGTATTCTTCTTTTTGTGCGGAGTACAGAGTCCCTTTTTTTTTTTTTTTTTTCAATTTTTCCCTCTCAAAATCATGCTCTACTCATGTTGTTCTCGTCGTGGCTGGGCTTTGTTTTATGCGACGTTTCGATACCCGTCCCTTTTTCCTTGGTTTCTGTTCCTGGTTTGTCTCGAATCATGTTTCCAGAGGGGCAACTTTTTAACAACCTGTGTTTTGTCCCCCATTTTTATTTTATTTTATTTTGTTTCTTCAGGGCCATTTGGTCCTCATTTGCTTATTAAATATCCCAAAAAAAAAAAAAAAAAAAAAAAAAATGTGGGTTTGTCTTTTGATTCTTTTTCTTCACAAATATTTATCAGTCCCCAAGAGGAGGGGTTTACGGAACACATCGTTCGAATCTCCTCAAAAATTCTCATTCCTCGAAACTCGCACGGTAGAAACGGCCCAAAAGAAACATGCGTAAATGCTCAAAGCTAAGGGGTCTCCAAAAAAGAAAAAAGAGAAAAAGAGAGAAAAAAAATAAAAAAAAAAAGGAAAGGTGTATAAATTCGTTTCATTGTACATCGTATAGTTGGTAAAGCAAAGTTTACTAGGGAATCAGGAAGCGCGACGACAGCTTAGCACTCAAAAACGGTGTGGCCGTAGGGAGAGAAAATAAAAGAAAAGGCGCAAAAATATTCGAAAAAAAAAAAAAAAAAAGCCAAGCATCATTATCCAGTCAAGGCGTTGTGCAAGATAATAACCAGTGGGTATGGCGGTCTCCGTGTTCCCCAGAGTTGCTTGATGACAAGCGATGTCGATCATGATGGATCGCCGCTGTGCCCCCATCTTGAAACATCGATCATGTCGTCAGAGCTGATAGAAAGAAAACCAAAACGCAAAAGACAAAAACAGGACACCAAAAAAAAAAAAAAAAAAAAAAAAAAAAAAAAAAAAATCGAGATGCCTTGACTGGGAAAGGAGGCGTAGGCCATATATATATATGTATATGAGTTTGCCCATTCATTCCTCCATCTTGCCAAAGACCCCGTCATCATCTTCATCCATGGGAACGACAGAATCTCGATCGAAATTGTCGTCTTCTTCGTGGATCGGTTTGACATCGCCCATTTTTACGTCCCGTTCGTCTGAGATCTTGTATGAGAGCGGGGGGTTGATAAGGAAGGGATTGAACATGGTGGGCGTGGAGGACGCGTCTTTAGAGGTTGTGCTTCGAACGTCGAAGCTTCGCGCGGTGTTGTGTGCGCCGCCGCCAGCGTGGGAGCTGTTATTCATGCTCTGGCTCAGGTAGCGAGCTGGCAGTGGAGGCACCGGAGGGACGTCAGAGGACATGGCGTTGGCACCGGTCCGTGGGGTGCCAAAGTTGCATAGTTCGATGGCGGCTGCTAGACCGGCCTCGTCGTCATCCAGGACACCGGTACCAGCGGTTGAGGGCCGAGTGTCTATGCTGGACTGGCGGAAGTGGGATCGGGCGGGGGAGTATGATGGAGCGCTTCCGGCGAAGGAGCTCGACGGCATGGACTGGAACGAGCGAGAGAAGGCAGAAGAACCAAAACGGTGGTGGTCTCCCAGTTTGGTCATGGATTCGTCACCCGCCGGTGGAGGTGTGGTCTCTGTTGAACTCAATTCATCGCGTAATTCTGATATTCCCGAGGCGGTTGGGGAGGCGGAGGAACGGTCGGAGTCGCCAGAGCGGGCATGGTCCGACGGGGTGGGCTCTTGGTTCATGTTCACCAGGACGGTCGCAGCTTCGAGGAGCTGGACCTGCTGATGTTTGGAGATGAGCAGCTTAGAGGTATAGGCCCACGCGGGGTCATGTTCCCACCTGTTCCAGGAGTGTCAACGAAGTGGCCCAGACATTGGAAAGGATCGCGGTCTGAATGAAGGAAGGGCAGTGGGAGGTAGTGAATGGGTGGGCGGTGGCAGGCTGACAGGGAACCATTTCATGGACAGCAGCACACAGCAGACCCGGAGGTGGGAGAGAGAGAAAAGGAGAGAGAGAGGTGCCGTGAATGAATGGAGTGTGAAACGCCCATGAGAGATACAATCTCTCCCATCCAAAGGATGATTTTTTTTCTTTTTTTTGTTTTGTTGGGAGGGGAAGCTGCTGGGAGGGGAGACTGCTGGGAAGATTGGATGGGCATCGATTGAGGTATACGCACATATGCTTTGTTAAGCAACTGCTATGCTTATACCCTTTCCCACACCGATCACACTTCAGCTCAGTCAAGGACCGTTTTCCCTCGCCTCTGATGAGATGTGAGCCCTCGCTGGCTCGACGGCTGCGGTGTTTGGTGCTGATCGGTCGACTCGTGGATGAGGTTTCCTCTCCGCTTTGATTATTATTACTGTTGATGTTGATGTTGTTGTTGTTGGTGGTGGTGGTGGTGGTGTTGGTATTATTGCCGGCGGTGGTGACGGCGGAATTGGGCGAGTTCTTCCGTTGCTGGGCGATGTACGAGCCGAGGGCGGACGATGAGGAGCCCATGGAGGTAGATTCGAGGCCGACTTTTCGCGAACTCAGGCCTCGACGGTGGTAGGAGGTGGTGGGCAGTGGGTTCTGGGAGGCAGGGGAGCCGCCGAGGGCAGCAGCGACGGCAGCGACGTTTGCGGTAGAAGTCATGCTCTTCCTGCGGGTGACACGGTGGTTTGTGTTGACGACGCCGAGGGATATGGAGTGGGAATGGAGACGGCCGGAGGACTGGCGGGTGTGAGGAGTGGAGGACTGGCCAAAGGGTCGGGCATTGGAGGCATCCTGCGGAGCGATCAGTCGGGGGTCTAACCAACAAACTTCATACGTTCGTGCACGGTGGATTTTCTGGAACAGGGCGGCGGTGGCCGTGGATAAATGGGGAGGGAGGGAGAGGGAGAGAGAGGGAGAGAGGCGTACCTTGAAGGATGTCATTGTTTAGAGAGGAATGTAGAGTTGGGGAGGATAATTGTGGGAGTGGAGAGGGGAGTAAGAGAGAGGTGAGTGAAGTGAGTGAATGTGAGAGAGAAGAAGAAGAGAGAGAGCGAGAGAGAGGAGAGGAGTGGAGGTGCAGCGGCCGCCCATGCAACCAAGGACGGGGAATCAAAGGGAAGGCGAATTGACAATGAACAGACGGGGAGAGAGAATGGGCTGATCAGACATGTCAGGAGAGAAAGGGGGGGAAGAGAGGGAGGATGAGAGGGATGGGGATTTCGACGACAGCAGAAGGATGAAAAGGACAAGAAGAACAAGCAGGATAAAAGTGAAGAAACAAGCAGCAAAGTTCAAGTTGAGCAGCAGCACACAGAGAGAGAGAGAGAGAGAGAGCAAAGCCGGGCCAGGGGACTGTGCGTGGAGCTACGCTGATGGGGCCGTGTGGGTTGGCCGCGCGGTGGGAGGGCGAATCACAGTCGGATTAAAAGACCCCAATTCCAGACCGAGAGCGAAAGCAAAAAAAAAAAGCAAAAAAAAGTGTAATAAAAAAAAAAAAAAAAAAAAGGAAGAGAGAGAGGGGATGAAAGTAAGTTGGGCGGGAAGGGCAAAAAAGAGAGTTGAAGGACGAAAAAGCCAGAAAGTTGCTTAATTTAGCACAGACAAATTCATCCCAGGAATTTGAAATTCTCCTATAACTAATAGTCGAGACGTTTCATCCAAATCAACAGAGAGAACACCAAGGGGAAAATATATATATATATATACGGAGTATGAGGAAAACAGTTTCTAAATGTCTGCTACGAGTCGTACTAGTAACTAACTAATCGGTAAGAAATTATTTCTCGAGTGGCGAAACAGTGGGATCGGGCTCGCTGATCGTCAGCTGCAAGTGATATTTTTGTTTAATTTCTATTTTTCTACTCCGTATTTTCTTCAATATTTTTTTTTTTTTCAAGTTTTTTGCGGGGAGGAAAAAAGAAAAAAGAAAAAAAAAAAAAAAAAAAGAATGATGAACAGGGCAGCCGTGGCAGTAGGGCTGGTTTGGCGCGTGGCAGTTACCTTAGCCCGGGTTTAGGGTTCCCGCCGTGTGCCTGACTAGAAGCAATTCAGCAATTCAGCATCGACAACCAGTGACAGACAGACGACAGACGACAGCGACAGCGACAGCCACAGACGATAGGTGACAGACGATGGTGACAGACGATGTGACAGACGGACAGCTGACTGACTGACGGTGGGTGATGGTCTCTTCGTCCTCGTCCTGGCCTTGATGCTGATGCCGATGTCGATGTTGATGCCGATGCTGGTACTGATCTTGCTTGCTTCTCTCCTCTCTCTCTCTCTCTCTCTCCCCGTCTCCGTCATGCGATCTCCACTCCCCTGTGCGCCCACTCACTCTGCCCGTCCGGCCAGTCCATCGCCACCCCTCGCCTGGTGCCGTCTGTCTTGCAACTGACTTAGACAGTCAAACGCCGGGCCAGGGCCTCTGTTTTCTTGGTCAGCAGACTGTGCGTCAGGATATTTCCATCCAGAAAGAAAAAAATTAGAAAAAAATTAGAGGGAAAAAAAAAAAAAAAAAGGAAAAGAAAAAGAAGAGGCGAACAACTATCCTCAACTCTCCTCAATGACTCTACAAGTGGGCTCGCCGTCTCCACCGTCCCACGCCCCAAAAAAAGCACACAACTCTCCATCCTGACAAAATTATGCCCAAATGACGGTATCAGGTCGCAGAACACCGTCATGGCCCCAGTTCACCTGGGCAGGCTCCGTACGTCGAACTCTCTTGACTCTTTCTTCATCCACAAAAGGCGTTGATATGTACCCTCTCCCGAGCCTGGAACTCTGTGATGCAACTTGTGGGGGGGAAGGTTTTGATGTCAAATTCGAATGTCAGACTTCCCCTTCCATTTCGTCATTCTTCCAAATAAAAAAAAATAAATAAATAATACATATGTAACTCTCTGTATCCTTTTTTTTTTTTTTTTTTTTTTTTCCCTTTCCTCCCACAATCAATGTGCCATTGGACACCGCATCTCGCTCTCCCCCTGCCCTCCCCCTTCCGCCATCGGACTGGTGATCACCGCGTCGCTGTGCTTCGCGATCTGCCGGAACATCTCCAGCGGGTCAAACCAGACCTCGATCGACTCGATCTGGAGCTTGTCGTTGACCCTGGCGATGAGCATCCCCTGGATGTCGATCATCCCGCCGTGCGCCTTGACCGTGACCTTGTCGCCCTTGCTGTACAATTTCTCATTGGTAAGTAAAAATCCTGTTCTCCTCTTAACAAAATTCTCTAGGACCTTTGCTCCCAAAAATAAAAATAAAAATAAAAATAGAAATAGAAATAAAAAGAAAAAGGAAAAGGAAAAGAAAAGAAAAAGGAAAAGGAAAAGAAAAGAAAAAGAAAGAAAAGAAAGAAGAGAGTGAATGAAGGAAAAGGACGGGGTTTATACTCGTTCATTCCCACATAATCATTGGCCATCTGTCCCCAATGCCTCCATTTAAACGTCACCGTCGGCGGCCCGCTGTACACCTCCAGCACCTCCCACGCAAACGTCGGCATCATCCGCTTGAACGCCTTGTGGCTCGTCGCAAAGTCCAGCCGCTCAGGGTCGTAATACTGATTCGACGGTATGAGCGCATTGTACGTGCCCACCCGCAGCATGTGGTTCCCGTCCTGCGCCGGCCCGCCGTTCAGCGAGAACCTGTAGCAGCTACCGTCCACCGTACGCCACTCCTCCAGCTTGGTCTTGAACGACGCTTCGATCTCCCAGTTCTTCACCAGGTTTTCGACGAGGTCGGGGAGGCTGCGCGGTTCGTGGTTGCGGGTTTTCCCTGTGATTGATTTTTTTTGGCTGGCTTTAGACGGGCCATGGCCTGGTGAAAAGGTGGAAGTGGGATGGTACCTTCTTCGTACACCTTTCTCGTCTTTGAATAATCAGGGGCCCTTCCGTAGCGCCAGGAAACTTCGTCCTTCAGCACGGCATCGGGATCCAACACATAGTCGGGAAGAGCCGGTGCAGACTCGGCCGCCGTCATGATGCCCGTCTCAATTCCTGTGAAAAGGAAGAAGAAAAGGAAGAAGAAAAGGAACAACCTAGGATCTATAGTATCGAGAAAGAGAAAGGCGAGAGATATGAAGATCCTCTCGTCCCCCGAAAACACAGTCCACAGATTAGGTCTCTCCCGGCAGCCGCTTGAACGAGAAGGGGGACCGCGGGAGCGTCAATTTAATACAATCAGATCGTTCCCCTCCCCCGCCCGGCTCTCGAGAGCCCGACTGGATGGAACGCTCTCCCGCTTAGAGGTAGGTTGGTAATGTTGCGCCTCGCATTGGCACTGATAAGATTCCTTGTGGGGTGAACTGTGCAGGGCCTGCTGCCTTAGCGACATGCGCTGGAGGTAGCATCGGGACTCCTCATGATCCTTGCATAGTAACGGCGATAATAGAGTGCTCTTAAAGGTGGTTCGATTTACGGAGTATTTAGCTCGAGCTTCCGTCTAATTCTCCGCCAAAAAAAGGGAGAAATATAAATTTAAAAGGTCAACATCTGTGTTCTTTTGAGGTAGTTCCTAATCAACGTGTATTCCAGAGCCCATTGAGCTGCCCTTCTACTCCGTACACCGTTCCTTTTTTCTTTTTTCTTTTTTCTTTTTTTTTTTCTTCCCTTCCCCTTTAACTGCTAAACAAGAGCTAATTATATGGTATATTCCCTCCGCAAGCAAGATGATCCTTCCAACGGCAAAAGAAATCCCGACCTATATTCGTCCCACCGCCTGTCCATCCCTGCACGCGAGCGTACATACATATGTAGCTTCCCTGCCTGCGGAGAACATGGCCTTTTCTTGGACGCTGCGGATGGAATTCTCGGCTTGTAGAGTGGAGAGCACAGCGCAACTGTTTGCTGATTATTTAGGTATCGCAATTGTGACATGTGATTGGTGTGGTGGTTGGTTTAGTTTATGTTGGCCAGATGTGGGCGATACATAGGAGACTGGGCTGTGATGCTTGCTCACGGATAGAATCCTTCTCAGTCGTCTCGAAGTAGATGTAATGCTCGAGCCGTCCGACATTGAAAAAAAAAAAAAAAAAAAAAAAAAAAGAAAAGAAAAGAGACAAAAAAACCAGTGATGAAGGCGGCTTGAACGCCATCGATCAGGTATGAAGAAACATCCAACCGCCCTGATGTCACTCCCACTTGAGGGCGGAAAATTAAAAAAAAAAAGGGACTCTTTTCAAAGCCTCTCCCACAATTCACGCTCTCCGCTATCATCATCTTCTAACAAAAAAAAAAAAAAAAAAAAAAGTTCCCATATCAAATTTGCCTTTTTACCTATCTCTCCTTTTCCCACTCAATCCCATTACCACCCGCCCAATGCTGCCCTCGCGCATCCAACCCCTCCGCCGCCCTTCCACCCCGCCACCACCACCAACACTAACACCAACATCTTCATCCCCCCCGCAGCCCACCATCGACACCAACGCCACCGATCCCAACGACGCTGAAGACCTCCTCTCCTCTTTCCTCCCCCATCTCTACCCAGATGAAGCGCCCTCCTGCCTCGGCAACCCGGGCCAGACACTCCTGTACACGTCCCCGCTCTTCGGCGGCGTTCGCGTTGTTGTTCCTGATTATGGGTGTAAGATAGCAGAAGAAGAAGAAGAAGAAGAAAAAGAAGAGACAGAGGATCAAAAAGGTACTACTGCGCGGGAGCGGGAAGGGGAGGAGGAGGATGCTGGCGTAGAGGCCGGTCGGAGGCTGTTTGCGCATTACCTGTGGGGAGGGGCGCTGGTGGTTGCGGAGCGGATTGAGGAGGCGGAGAGGCTGAGGAGGGTCGGCGGCGGGAGAACGCGAGAGGAGGAGAACGAACTCGTGAGGCGGTGGGGTGTGAGAGGACAGAAGGTGTTGGAGGTTGGCGCTGGTGAGTGACAATGATAACCAACTTCGGATTGGACTTTTTATGTTTTCTTCTTTTTCATTCTGGTTCGGTGCTTCTCCCCTTTATTCTACCCAGTTTTTCTCTTTTTTTCTTTTTATGTTTTGGCCTGGCGATATGTGTATATGTATGTAGGTAGGTTTTTCTGGAGAGATGTCCTCGTTGTCTCGACCTCTCCAGTCTGATCTATGTACATGGCATCGGGTATATCTTGCCGTTTTAAATAATATCCATCCGCAAGGAGGATAGCCATCTTCTCCCGTAACCTCATTCTTTGTTGCTTCAAACCGGCGCGATGCCCTGTCTGGTCAGGAACACAGCCAAGCGCAAAGAATAATACAGTTCATCTAGTAACGCGATGGATTGAGCCGGGGGGGGGGGGGGGGGGGGGGGGGGGGGCGGAAAAACCAAAACATCACATAGCGAACGCCTTTCCAGACGCTGTTCCCCCATTGCATTGCTTTTCGGCGTGGCTTCAAATCATCTAGCTCAACCGTAACTCTCTCTCACCGCAGGCACCGCGCTTCCGTCCTTGATCGCCGCGCTCGCCGGCGCCGAGACGGTATGCATAACCGATCACCCTTCCTCCGCCGCCCTAGCCGGCGCCGTGCAGTCAGGAATCGCACATAACATCCCCGAACGGACGATCCGAGAACGGATATCTGTCCACCCACACGAGTGGGGTGTTTTCTTCGAAAATCAGAGCAGTGGACGTGAAAACCCTGCAGAAGACGGAGATGAGAACGTGATCAGATTCGCGGCGGATAACAAGGGCGCTTTCACGCGCATCATCTGCGCGGATTGTCTGTGGATGAGGGATCAGCATGAGAATCTGGTCAGGTCTTTGCTGTGGTTCCTGAAAGCGCCGGCGAAGACCGAACAGGGGTCAACTGCTGGGCCTGTGGAGGACAGGGGTGAAGAAGCGGGCGTGGCATGGGTGGTTGCTGGCTTTCATACCGGCAGAGAGATCGTGGCTTTGTTTTTCGAGACGGCCGTGTCGATGGGGTTAGTTGTGGAAGAGATCTATGAGAGGGACGTCAATGCGACGAGCGAGATGGGCGAAGTGACGCGGGAATGGCGGCCGGTCAGAGAGGGCGAAGGCCCGGAGAATCGAGCAAGGTGGTGTGTCGTGGCGCTGCTGAGAAAGAAGAATTGAGAGAAATGATGTCGACCTTAGGAGGTGAAGGCCACCGACAGTGGGTAACTAAGATATGTAGATATCCTGTCTTTTCCTCCAACCGTCAGCCGAACCCGTAATCAAAGATCATTTTGCAGTCCAAGCAAGAGAACCACCACACTCACCAGGCGGGCTCTTACTGCCCTCTCTTCCTCTGAAAGCAAACCGTGCACACCCCCTGTCCTTCCATTCCGCCAAATCTGAACTTGGGATACTCGACCTTGCCCCAGACCTCCAGCGCATCTCCCCCGTCACGGCCATCAGCCCGCGTGAACCATCTCACCAGCTCGTCCTCCGTCCAATTACAGCTTGTCACCACCAAGAACCCGCCCTTCTTCACCAACCGCCTCGCAACCCGCGGATACATCTCGCACACCCGCCTCACCACCTTCCTCTCGCCCTCGACAATCTCCTCCCCGGACAACGACACGGCATCGAACGTCCCCTTATCCAGCACGATATCAAACCCGCCCTCCGCCGCAGGAAACCACTCCAAGCCGTCCAGTCCATTATTACCACCACCACTACCATCATTATCATCATCATCACCCTCGCCAGCAGCGAGTATATCCCACACCTCAAACCGGATCCGCCGCCCCTGGCCACCACCACCTCCCCCGGCCAACCTCCTCGCCAGCTCCACACTCCTCTCCGAGTAATCCACCCCGACCATATCCCCGAGGAAACCCCCTTCCTCCCTCAGCAACGTCAGCATACTCCCATTCCCGGTCCCCAGATCCAATATCCTCGGCTGCTCCCGCCCGCTCGTGTTGCAGGGCGCAAGCGGGAACCCTTCCGCCGTCAAGAACCGCAACACTTTCTCCGGCGCATTGTGCTCGGTAAACCAGGACGTGCCCGGATCGTCATCATCATCGTCGTCGTCGTTATCGCTGCTGGCGTCCGCATCTCCAGGCGTCCGACTCCCGCGCTGCTTCGAGGACAAATGCTCCAACGAGCGTTCGTAGTATGACTCCCAGCTACAGCGGTGATTAAGCAAATACAATAACAAAATAGGGGAAAGTACTCCTTATGCGGGTGGGCCTCTTTTCTTTTTTTTTTTTTTTTTTTTGCGCGGGGGAATTACTTACTATTGCTTCGTGCCCAATTCGCTCGGATCCAAGTGCGGCGGGTGATCATCGCTCTGCGTGAGCTCTGTGGTGGAAGCCATCCTTTCTGATGTGTTTGCCGTTGTGCAGTGGCGGGGATTTTGGCGGTAAGACAGAGTACAGAGTAGTTCCTAGGTTAATTTTTGTTTTTATTTTTTTTATTTTTAACATGGCAGAAGAGGAGGGGTAGAAGTACATACAGCTCCACCAGCGATAAACTTCTGCCGCATACAAAACTCCCGCCTCCGTCTAAGGTGCAATGGGAGAAAAGCTTAGCTGCCAACATACCCACGCGCGCTGTCTTGATGTCACTTCTAAAGTGTCAGGATTGGGTGTGGCTCCCGTCAAGTTGCTGACCACTGAGGAACAATGAGATGGCGGAGCAGGTTGAGAACAGCGCAGCAAGTCTCTTCTTGCACCGTACAAGCACGTCCCCCAGGAACTACATACTAAGTTATGAGAGATATTAGATTGAGAACCAAAAAAAAAAAAAAAAAAAAAAAAAAAAAAAGGAATCAGCCATAAGTTTATCATTAATTTTCCATTCACTCTAAAAAGATTCTCCGTGCCTGCATATTTCCCTTTTTTTTGTTTTCCCCCTGCACTTCTCCCACCGCGCCCAAAGCGCATCGAAAACAAAAGTCAAAATAATAAATAGAGAGAAAAAAGGGGAAGGGGTTTTAAATTCGTCCGCTCATCTTCGCCATGCTTTCCCTTCCACAAAAACTCCCCGCCATGCATAAAACATTGAGAGGAACCTTTCGCAGGGAAGCAAGCCAGACACAGGAGAATATAAAAACACAAAGATGACACCCCGCCGTATCAAGGGGGAACCCAACCCAACAAAAAAAGGGAAAAGAAAAACTAATATTACATTTATAGAGCATCATCGGGAGCTCATGTCATGTAATCCTTCTTTTTTCATAGAAAAAAAAAAAAGAGAGAGAGAGAACCCTTTCCCACGCCAACGCCAATGCCAGGGATGAATTTGCAGGGGCAGAAAGAAAAACCAATCAAACAAAGGCTCATGGTGGAATAAAGCAGGAATTCTAGCCCCCAATGCAGATGGTGTAAAACGGGGCATAGCCGAAAAACTGCAGGAAAAAAAAAAAAAAAGGTTGGAAATGGCATGAATGAGAATCGTACACACAAAATAGCGGCGTGCCTACATCAAGACACACGCGCTCCCCTCCTGCTAGCTGTAATAGGAGGGCGGGAGAAGAAACAGCAACAAAGCCCGCTTTGGCCGTAGAACCATTTCCGATCAACAAACAATAATCGAAAAAAAAAATAAAAAAGAACCACAGAGTATGGTCGCTCTTCCCGAAGCACCCTCATAAAATCCTCAAAAATATCCCAAAAAAGGGAGGGTTTGGTAGGTAAACTCTTGGTCCGTCTGAAAACGTCATCTTTTGTACCGGATAAAATCTACCGAGTTTGGATTAAGAAATGAGAATCCAAACGAAGAAGGGAAAATAAAATAAGATAAAGTTTGTTTTCTTTTTAAAAAAAAGGTCAAAGAAATTCGTCAATGCTTCTCATGATAATCGGCTCCGCTCTTCTTTGCGGTGACCTGGGATCATTCATGCTAGGTCGGCGAACGAGATTCGGTGACTGAAGGTTGGCGAATTTCTCAAAGGTAATATCACCAGCCTTTGACCGCGGGAAGGGTGCTGCGATAAATTCACTGGCTTTAGGGGAAAAGAACGATGGACTTGGTGGTACGTCCTGCATGACAAGGTCCATTTGCAGAGCGGACCGTACCGAAGGACGCTGAAAGGTGGTTGTGGTTGTTGTTGTGGTTGTGGTTGTGGCGGTAGTAGCGGTAGGTCCATCGTGGCAGGGTGAATTGCGTAGAGAGTGAATGGTGTGGAATTTTTCTCTCAACGGCAGAGGTCGCGGCGTTATATGTCTTCGAACTCGGTTAGAAGAGGTATCCGGGCTGAACGGGTTGACCTGGGTGAACAGTTTCGAAGGATCCACCACAGGCTTTCCGTTGTTTGGGGTGGAAGCTGCCGCTTTCGAATGGGCAATTTCTCTTTCGATATCTGTGGTCTGGGTGTGTGAACTTTGGGCAGTTCTCATGGCTTCATTGTAGTCTGCGGGAGATCTCGTGATGGTCCCGCCCCGAATTTTTGTTCGAAAATCGGTAAGCTGGTAGATCAAGCTCATGTTTGGTCCGACCCAACAACTTCTCTCTTTTACCATGCCGTATACCGCGTTGAAGTCCAGATGGGTGTTCTTGTAGAGCCCGTACGCTATCACGAGCGAGGCTGACCGGCTTACTCCCAATTGACAGTGAATCAAAACCCGCTTGCCCTTTGAGATCCTGTTATCGATGATTTCGCAGAGAGGAAACAAGTCGTCCAGAATTTCGGAATTGTGATCCCACGGGACATGGATATACTCTGGTTCCGGTCGGTTGGCTTTGGGGGTTGGCGGACATTCGTCGGATAGAGATTCCAGGGCGGATTTGAACGACAGCTCTGAACAAGCGGTATCGGGATCCTCCCCTCGCAAAGCTGCGTTTGACTGGGCAAGAGTAGCCTTCCAGACAGACATCACGGTGTCATGTTTCGGCCCGTCCGTGCTGAACGGATTGTTCACTTCTTTAGCGACGTTGAAGACGACATCGAATTTTGAGGCCTCCTCCTCATTAGGTTCCAGATAGAGCCAAAGTCCGGAGTCATAGATACGTATTGGGCCATCTGGGTAGCCTCTTTCACTGCCCTTTCTCGACTCCCGGGAAATGGGGCAGTCATCCTCTTCTCCAAACTCAATTAGGGGTTCATTAGGATTAAAGTTAGTCTGATTTGAGGCTTTACCCAGATCGGCATCGCACCACGTCCCCAGTGAAAACGGTTTCGAAGGAAAGGGAGCAGGCATCATAGGATTTGTGTGAGTAGGCGACAGTATGGAATTGAGTGATGGTGAAGATTCAATATGTCGGAGGGTAGGCCTGACGCTGGGTGTTGGTGGCACCACCCGCGTTCCGTTGGAAGAGTACGGGCGCTGGAAACCAGGAGTCTGAATCGTCAGATTAGGTGGACGGCGCTTGGATCCCCTGGAATGGGGCCGTACTGGTGATGATGGTTCTGAGAGATGGCGACCAGATTCGGCGATCGGGGCGGTGGAGAGTGGAGGACGGAAAGGCGAGGCTGGCAATCGAAGCGACAGGTTCTTCAGATTCTTGGCCCGCCGGTTGGAGGACTCCGTTGGACCGGGATTCGCATTCGGAGACATCGGTCGTAGGAATGACTGATTCACGGATCCTTGGTCCTGGTGGCTCGATTTGAGCGATGGTAAGGGCATGATGGAGCTTGGTGACTCTGGAGAAGAATCTGGAGAGGTCTCGACGATGATGGGAGAGTCAAAAGTCGAACTGGTGGTTGTGGGAGAAGAGTCGGTTGATTCCGAAGCCGTTGACATGCTTTCGCGCGATAGCAACGGGGGAGCGATTGGCGGATGGTCTTCGATCTGCCTTGACGATGGCGATGATAACAACGACGACGACGACAGAGATGGTGGAGCTAGGCCATCGAAGCTACCAAAACTCCTCGACATGGCGGGAGGTACCGTCGACATTGTCATCAGGTTTGTGTTCTGTGTCCTGTTGGGGCCCACTGCCACCGGCGCGATACCCGTGATTGTCCTTGTTCCCCCGGTCGAGTCTCGCCAGGGTCCATCTCTAAATGTTGATTTCGCTGTGAATCCAGACATTAAGGACGTAATAACGGAAACAGCAAACGGCTGATGGCTTTCGGGAAGCGTGGCAGTCGGAGGTGCAGATGCTGATATATGATTTGCCTGGGGAGTACCGGTTCTGCGACCGGGAGTGTGATTATTATTACTATGTTCCAAGATCGGTGGCTTCCTCGAGCGCTGTTTTCTCGGAGGCTGTTTGGTGGAATATGGGAGAGATTGAGCGATTGTTGGAGATAAGGGCCTCTTATTTGTGTTAGCCATCTTGTCAAAGAGGGAGAGACAGAGAAAGATGAGTCTCTTGGGGGGGGGGGGGGGAGGAATGGACAAGAAAGGAAATGAAGGGCGGCAGCAAAGACCATCCAGCCCGTCGAAGAAGAAGAAGTAAAAAGGAAGAAAGAAAGAAAGAAAGAAAGAAAGAAAGAAAAGAAGAGGAATCCAAAAAAAAAAAAAAAAGAAAAGAAAAGAAAAGAAAAGAAAAGCAAAAAAAAAAAGAAGACGATGACAGACAAGATCACCGGATCTGTCCCCCAAGCATGGAGTAGAGAAGCAGGAACAAAATAAACAAGGGGTGGGGAGGTACTACGGGCAATTAACCTCGCAGGGGTGATGGGAGGAGTGGAAAAAGAGACCAGGGCGATCCAGCTGAGACGGGATGCAACGTACTGTTTATGTGAGCGTGTGGTGTATGTAACTGGTGGATTTCAGGGCCAGACACGCGGAAGGACGAGAGAAGCGATTAAAAAAAAACAAGGCCTCCGGGAGCGCAAGGACGGATTGAAACAAGAGATGATGGAGGATGGAAGCGGAGGCGCGGCGGGTAGCTGGTAGGCGAGGATGAAGCTCTGGCGCTGGTTGATTCAGGTTGGGTGAGGCGAAAGAGGAGTTTGCGAGAGAGCCGTTCCACCTGGGAATGACGACGGGGAGAAGCTGAAACGAGAGCGAAACGAAAGGGACACAAAGGAGGGTCAGAGAAGGAGTGAATGAGAATAATATAAAAGAGAGGGAGCGCGAGGTCAAAAGAAAGGAGATGTTCTAAAAAAGGGTGGCAGGAATCCCGCTGATGAGCTGGTGAGCCAGGGAACTGCTGGGATGCGACAGTGAAGAGAGAAGAAAGAGGAACACCAGGCACCAGGTGAGGGTGTGATCAAAGGAGAGTGTGAGAGAGAGAGAGAGCAAGGGAGAGGAGGGAGAGGAGGGAGAGGAAGGAGGAAGAGAAGACAGATGCTGGTGCAGGATGGGAGAGGAATGCAATGAAGAAGCAGAACAAGAGAAGAAAAGAGAAGAGGAGAGGAGAGAAGAGGGGAGGAGAGGGAAGTGAGAAGAGGTGAAGTTGAGATGGATGAAAGAGAGTGAGTGGGTGAGTGAGTGAGAGAAGAACGGCCAGCCAGCCAGCCAGCCAAGCAGCAGCAGCAGCAGCAACAGCAACAGCCAGCGACAAGCAATACAGCAACCAGAAAACAAAAACCCGGACAGCCAGACAAAAACCAGCGCAACTTGACGCTCAGCAGGGCGGGTGGGGTACAGCCACTGCGCTATCCGTAAGGGTTGTGTAAGTCGCTGTACCGGGGGGCGTGGGTTGGTGTATTTTAGTGCAGAGTACGGAGTACTTTCTGTAGGTAAGTACTCCGTAAGTATGGAATTTATGGGAGTACGGAGAGTATGGTCAGGGTAAATAAACAGCCCGTTCGGTCAGCACGATGTCAGCACTTATTAAGTGACCACCAACTTCCATCACACTGCCCTTATTGATGCACATTTTCTTTTCTCCCCTTGCTTCTTATTTTTATTTTTATTTTTATTTTTATTTTTTAACCCTCTTCTCTCTCTCTCCCACAGAGTGTGTTCCTATAATACGTAATACTCCTTGAAATACAAAAAAAAAAAAGAAAAGAGAAAGGTTTTTTTGCTCCCCTGTTGCAAGTTTCACCATCCGCCGGCGGCCCCGTGGATGAATCGAAGGTTACAAACCACGCGAAAACCCACGTCCTGCGCGATACGAGACAGCCCAGGCCGGCCAATCAGCACCCGCCCCCCGCCGACCAACCCCAAAAAAACTCACGGCGCTTGGACGAACTGTCCTATCCTGGCCAATCAGCACCTGCAACGCCCACCGTCCGTTCTCTAAAAATAGCCATCACGCCCCACAGGCCTCTGTCATTGGCTGTAATTTACCGCTGTCCCGCACGACACGGCACATGTCTGTACGGAGCATCGTACTATTACGTATGTATGGATGTACTGTACGGTTCATGTCAAGGCGAGCAAGAGTAAGGCGGCCCCGTTGTGCTGCTATCCTCTTCCTCTTCATGCTTGTTCTTCCTCCCTTGTATAATGATGGAAAAAAAAAGAAAAGAAGAAAAAAAAAGAAAAGAAAGAAAGAAAAAGAAAAGGAGAGATCTTCTTAGGACCAGGGTTATTTTACTATTACTTCTCCAGGCCCCCCGTTCGTGGTGAATCGGGATCGATCACAAGACTGCAGGCACAATCTCCACCCCCATGTCCGATCGCGGGAAATGAACGCGACAGAAAGTAAGGTGGGTTTCTATGTTCTGGAAGGCTTCTTCGTCCCCTTCCTCTGCCCAGGGATGAGACGGCCAGCTAGTTAGTTACAGTTCGACAGGATCATCCCGTGCAGCACACAAAGCAGCAGAGAACCCACCGATCGAGAAGCCATGTGGCCGGTGTACGAAGCATGTACGGAGTATACTTTGATGTACTGGACACATACGGAGCACGTTAAAAAAAATAAAAAAAGGATAATTAACACCCGCTCTGCTGCCAGCCCTACCGTGATGGCCGCTTGCCGGGAAGAACATCCATCCGCCACTGCTGTCAAAGACATTGCTGCTCCTCAGATTATTATCTCTGTCATCTTTCCAAACCCCGAACACTTTTTGCCACCCGCTGATCCTCCTGTCCCCCGGGGGAGGGGGGGAAGAGGGAAGTGAAGAGCAGAAAGGAGAAAAAACAGGCCCGATTTCCTCAGCCGGACAGCGGGGGGTTATTAATAGCAGTTGGTCGCCGCCCAAGTCTGGGATCGCAAAACTTCTCACACTCGCAGCCCCTGCGCTACTGTTTCAGCCAGGCCGGAAGCAGCCTGACGCCAGGGGCAGCGTGGCGGACTTGGCGCCAAAACCAGAGATCCGCCGCTGAAACAACCCCCATCCGCACCAACCAGCGTCAATCGTCCATCGCTGCCCCCTTGTGGGCGAGCATGAACCGCTCCCAAACACTGTCCAGCACTGCAATGCGGTTGGCAAATCAATGACTAACTAGCTCACTCACTCACTCACTCACTCACTGACTGACTGGCTGAAAAGCTCAACCAGGACCAGCTCCGCAGAGTTGGCAATCCTTTGAATCCTGAGGTACAATCAGCCAAGTCAATAAACCGCAGATGCACAACCCTCACTCTGAAGATCCAATTGTCAAGGATTGAGACATGACGTCGATGGGTCACCGGGAGGGGAAAAAAAAAAAAAAAAAAAGAAAAGAAAAGGGAAAGTCAGAAAAGGCCGAATGAGAGCAACGGCAATCAATGCTGAACCTGGCACCCTGGACACTTGCAGAACATGCCAACCGATTTTCCGAGCAAATTAGACATGCAGCTCCTCTAACTTCCACATTTGTTCCAGATGATCACCCACACTCTTCTTTTCTTCTTCTGCTTCTTCTTCTTCCTCTTTTTTTTTTTTAACCCCAGGCCACCTGCTGCGTGGCCACATGTGCAATGCCTGTACTGGGGTTTGTCCTCAACATCCCACATGTTCCGCCCCCCTCTCATGACCACCAAGGGAACATCCATGTCTGGAGACACATCCTGTGCATCCGTCTGGAGAAGCCCGCGCAACTCACGGCAGACTCATCATCCACGTGGCGCCTCTGCAGAACCTGCAACAATGCACATGCTGGGGGAATTCTCCGGCCTGCAGTGCTCAGAGCATCCTGTCTTGTCCGGCTTTGGAATGGGATGGTTACCCCCGTTTCTGGTCGGAAACCAGCTGTCTCGCACGTGAACACTTCCTCCAGCTGAGACACTCTCTAACATCACGCATATGTAGCATGTCCCATACGGATACGGAGTGCAGAGTTGCCAACCAAATGGTAAATTGGGCCATGCTGAGATACCCAACTCTTTCTTCTTCAGACCCCCTGTTTCTTCCTATCCTCTGCACAGCCCTGTTTGCTTGGCTTTTTACGGACAATCGTCATTATCAAAAATGGAGGGAAAAAGAAAAAAATAAAAATAAAAAATAAAAACATACAACTGCAGATCAGCTTACACAGCATCACCTCATCCCCGTTTTCGACAATGCAAAATCCATGCAAGAGAGCATAACATCTTTTTTTGTGTATGTATATTTCTGTTGTACATGATCCGGTCTGCAGTCTGTGACACGTTTGCTTCGTGACAACCCTTTTTGAGGTCATGTAGATGCTATTGCCCAAGGCTCTTCCTGAGAGCGAACCGAATGCAGTTTTTGTCCTTTCGTATTGCGTTAGATCTCAGATCGAGGACTTCTCTTTCTCTCGTTCTTTGCTTGGCGCTCGGGATTGCCACTCGACGGTGCCGGGCGGAAAGCCAGCAGCAGCGACGAGCTACATAGCCGAGAGAGCCAGATTTTCCCCGCATCCGAAATACCCAAAGACTGCAGATGTATGAACGGTACATACCATCTCGCACAAGATGCGCGACTTTTGACTGTCACTTTGTATATGTTCTGTGTGTACAGAGTACTCTGTACATATGATTTTAATTTGACTTCCGGCCTATGATTGCTGGTTTACTAGAAAACAGTCAATCACTCATTGCGGTCAATACAGACAAGTAGTCCCGTATAGACATCTTCAACGTTCCTTGAGACAAATCCCCCCGTTCCTGTCGCCTGCAAGATACCCATGTCCCAAATGGCACCATCCCAGTCCCTTCAAGCTGCCCTCTCCAGCGTCCAAGAGGCATTCGTCAAACGAAACCCCCAATCCAACCAGGCCCACAAGGAAGCTTGTAGATACTTCCCTGGCGGCAACACACGCTCTGTGCTCTATACCACCCCGTTCCCGCTGAGCTTCCAGTCGGGGCACGGCAGCACCCTCACCTCTGTCGACGGGGACACATACACCGATTTCCTGGGCGAGTACAGCGCCGGTATATTCGGCCACTCGAACCCGCAGATCGCAGAGGCGCTCGCAGGCGTCCTGTCTCGCGGATGGAACTTTGGCGGCGTGAACTCACACGAGGCCATCCTCGCGCGCAAGGTCTGCGAGCGTTTCAATCTTGAAATGGTCCGTTTCACGAACTCGGGCACGGAGGCAAACATGATGGCCCTGGCCGCCGCACTGGCCTTCTCCGCCAGGAACCATCCCGGCCGCCCGGAGCCCAAATCCATCGTGGTCTTCAGCAACGCCTATCACGGCAGCACCCTCTCCTTTCCAAACACCCTCGTGGACGAGATCCGTCGCGGCCACGATGTATCTCACCTCACGCCCAACCTACCCCACAACTTCCTCATCGCGCCCTGGAACAACCCTGCCGAGACCGCCGAGCTCCTAGCCACCCGGCCCCGGGGCTCCATCGCCGCGATCCTCGTCGAACCCCTCCAGGGCGCCGGCGGCTGCCGTCCGGCATCAGCGCACTTCCTCAAGACCCTCCGAGCGCTAGCAGACCAGAAATCCGCCCTGCTCATCGTCGACGAGGTGATGACCTCCCGCCTCGCCACCCGTGGGCTCGCCCAAGAATGGGCCCTCAGGCCCGACCTGATCACCCTGGGCAAATGGATCGGCGGGGGTATGAGCTTCGGCGCGTTCGGCGGACGCAGAGACGTACTGCAGCTCTTCGACCCGCGGACGACGAAGGTTCCGCTCGGCCACGCGGGTACGTTCAACAATAACGTGCTCAGCATGGCGGCGGGCTGCGCGGGGCTGGACGTCTACTCCGGCCAACGCGTCGCGCGGCTGAACGAGCTCGGATCGACGCTGAAAGCGAGACTGCACGCCCTCCTGGCTGATGCATCGCTGTGCGAGCCTCCTGCCAACCGCACCGACAACGACAACGATGATGACGATGATGATGCGCAAAGATATCCCCTAGAAACAGATTCCAACAGCGACACCAACGACGTACCTCCCACACCACCCCCAGGACGGATGTACGTCTCCGGCTACGGCAGCGTCCTCAGCATCCGTTTCTCGGGCCCCGACGCCACGACCTGCCACCAGCTGTTCTTCCACCACATGCTCGAAGAGAAGATCTACCTCGCTGCGCGCGGCTACATGGCGCTATCGCTCGAATTAAGTCGCGCAGACATCGAGCATTTCATCGCCGCCGTGCAAAGATTCGTGACCAAGTACGCTGCTCTGTTATTAAAGGATGGATAAGAAATAGAAAAATAAAAAAAAAAGGAAAAGAAAAAGAGAAAAAAAGGAACTTTACACGGCCTCAATCTCCACTAGTCGATGGATCAAAATAAGTAGTTCAATGCCGTCGAAGTAGAAGAAGGATGTAATGAATAGATGCATGCAGGCATGTTTGCTTGTTTGTATGTATATATAATGAAGCTCTACTACTTCGTACTGCTTAATGTATTTACGTCTTCGCAAAGCGAAAAAGCATCCCGAAGAGGGAAAAAAAGCAAAGAAGGACACACAGCCCACAAAACCAAAAAGAACTAAGAGCCTAATGGAAAAACGCTGGGCGTACATTATCATTTCCAAACACAAGAGGAAAAGGGAAAAAAAACACCAACCATGCTGCTAGGCAGGACGCCCTCAATGAGTCCAACTGCGTGGCCCTAGTCCTTGCGAGAAAGAACAAGGAAAGAGAGAAAGAAAAAAGCACCGGCAAATGTGGTAACGGCAGCATGGGGAGTATGCTTGAAGGAAATGATAAAAGGAGGGAGTCTCCAAAAAGAAAAACGGAGGGTTATATATGTACGTAGAAGCGCAGAAACAGAGCCAAAAGAAAAGAAAAGAAAAGAAAAGAAAAGAAAAATAAGGATAGGAACTGCCAAACACAGCATAATTTCCAAGGAGCTGCTCGCTCGCTCTCCCTTGGATTCACACTCCATGGACAAGGGGAGGATGTTCCGAAAATGCATCTTGGTAACAACCAAAATCGCCCAAAAGGTTGAGATAGTTAAAGCATCTTATGCTTGTCATGGGGGCTCTCTTTGAGGGGGTAAAAAGGGAAAAAAAAAGGAAAAAAAAAAAAAAAAAAAAAAGGCTTCATAACTCGCTAAAGTTGCAACGCATGTTTTTGTCATAACAATAGGCTAAAAAAAAAAAAAAAAAAAAAAAAAAAAAAAGGGAATTTAATTCGATCTCCCGAAGTTTCGAATAGGCACCGTCGTCGCCAAAAGGATATAACTGTGCATATATGTGCCGGACTCTAATCGAGCAATTTTAACCCGCATTGGCAACACTGCCCCCGTCCAGCGTGCGTCGTAGGCTCAGCCGCCTCGTTCCAAAGCTATTAGTCCGCGGCCGGAGTTGCTGCATGCTGCTGAAGTGCGACGCCGTCCTGGTGGTAGGTGTTGTCGCCGTAGCAGTTAGCGGCGAGCTCACCGTTTCGCCTTGATCAGGAGCTCCTGCACCTGCTGCCCCTCCTCCTCCTCCTCCTCGTCGCTCGGCCTGAGGCGTCAGGCCGGTGTTTATGACCGAGCTGCCGTATCTGCGGTAGCCAGGCTGAATGTTGAGGTGACTTGTCGTGGAGAGGTGGGATCCCGTTGAGAGGAAGGTTCGGCGAAGGGGTATTCCGGATTGATTGGATGGAGTGTTTCGAACCTGGATAGTGCGTTGAGGGGGTAATTGCTGGTCTTGATGCGTCTGCTGGTCATGCGAGGGGCTGAATTCGCGAGAGGATCGGTGGATGAGGGAATGTCGAGGTTTCGGCTCGGGGATATCCGTGAATACTCGTGATGATAGGGTACGGCTCACTATCGACGACTTATCGTGCGTGTCTTCCTCATCCTGCCGTCTGTTGCGCAAGGTTGCTGTTGTTGACGAGCGTCCGATTCGGCTGACGGGCGTTGATGGCTTTAAAGTAACCTGGGAATCAGAGGCTTCCTGCGAGCTTCGCACCGTAGAACCGGTAGTGGAAAGGTTGAGCATGCTTGAACGACGCCCTTCCAACCGGCTGCTCGTCAGCGTTCGTCCTAGAGAGCCAGCTTGCCGTCCAACGTCCTCTGGCTCATGACTTGCACTTCGCCGAAAATTGGTCGTAGTGGTATTGGGTGTGGTGTCGGCACCATTCACTTGTGGCACGCTGGAGGTCGCATCTCTGCTTCCGGGGCGGTTCTTCGACGCCGCGATCAACTTTTGATCAGCCAATGCGATACAAAGCTCGGTGAGGCTTCGACACATGCTGTCGACTTTTCTCTTGAACTGCCGGTCAGAGCCGGTAGCCGTGCCAACCACAGACATGGTGCTGGCCAATTGCTGGGCGTTCGAGCCAAACATGGAGGAAAGGGTCAAAGCATCGTTCGCGGTGGCCTCGAGCGCAGAATAGATCTCCGGGCTCACCGCCGGCTTCACCTTGGTCAGTCCGGTGCGGAGCAGCGTTTGCATCTGAGCATCGGCCGTCGTCGCGGCGTCACCGGAATTGTTGGGAGACGCACTCGTCCTTCGCCCATGTTTTGGAGAGGACGAAATCGTGGTGACGGTGGTGGTGGCAGTCCGCGGTCTCTCGCCCGATACCGATGACATAGCAGCGGCTGAAGACGTAGGGAGTTTCCCGGTCAGCTCTAACTTCCGGATCCTTGACTTCAGATCGTCCAATTCATCCCAGACTGTGGAAGGCGCAGTCGTTGACAGTGTTGATTCAGTACCGTCGTATCGCGATCGCTCGACGTCCAGTTTGGCTGGATCTGTGCCGTCGGAGTTGGACAGCGCGCGGTAGCCTCTTCCACCTGGGATGTTTGACTGTCGGTGAGCTCGCAGCTGAAAGGTATCCTGAGCTGAACCACGCCGCTCACTTGGGCGTTGCTGCTGCGGTGGCTCCGGCGACAATTCACGGGCTGTGCTGCGACCAAACCTGCTCCGGGGCAGTCCAATTGTCGATCGGGCGGTGGATCCAAGGTACTTAAGACGACTCGAGTCATCCAGAGGATGGGAAGATGCGGCAGATCTCAGGATGCCGGTGGTGTAGCCGTTGAGCGGAGATACATCCTGGGAATCGTATATGTTTCGATCGGGAGGGGGCGTATCTTCTTTCGTTCGTAATCGCGAAGACAGGCCAGTGAGCCCAAATTTCGACTAGAGAGCAAATTAGCCAAATATAGGAAGAGGAAGAAGAAGAAAATAAATAAAATAAACAAAAAAATATGAGGACTGACGGGAGTGCTGGAGAGGGGGGAGGAAAAGAAAGGAGTGGGGGGAAAGAAAACAACAAAAACGAGGAGTGGGGGAAAAGAAAATAAACAAAAAACGTTTGGCTTACTCTCTGTCGCTCTGAACCCCTTACCGAGTCACGGCGGCTCGACGAGGATTTTGCAATGTTCAAGAAGACATCTTCGTTTTTCTGTCTGCTATCGTCGGAGTCCTTGGAACTCGCATCGGCATTGGTGTCAAGTCTCGCGGTAAGGTCATCATCATCATCATCACCATCATCATGGTCGCCATCGTTGGGGCTCTCGTTCGCCTGCGAGGCGAGCGTGCTCCTGGGCCGGTCGCTCTGGTAAGACGAATAGACGGTCCGGGTCGGGAGCGACGACCGTTTCAGGATCGAAGTGGGCGACTGTTCGGGTCTCATGCCGACCTCGACGGAGGTGGAGGCGGAGGAACTATTCAGTTTGGAGCCAGAATCTCGAGTGGAGGAGGAGGAGGAGGCCAGGCCAAAGGATCGGGATCTGTTGGGATACTCGAGAGATGATGACAGCGTGGTGTGTCGTTCCTGGGCAAGACTGCGTTGGGTGCTTAGCGCAGGAGGCGGCCCGGACGCGGTTTCAATGCCCAGGCTGCTCCGAGACGCGGGGGCGCGCTTCTGATACGACGTCCGGGAGTCGATCGTAGACGGCGGACGGAAGCTCTCGGACGGGGAGACGGTGGACGATGCGGCGCTGGGGAGGGTTCCGGGCGACAGGGGCGAGTTGAAGTGGGCGGCGGAGGACGACTGGGACTGCAGATCCAGGTCACGGGCCGTCCGGGGGGTCTGCAGGAGTAGCTTTGGGATGGAAGAGGAGGAGGAGAAGAACGAGGAAGACGTGGTGTTGGACGTAGAGAAGAAGAAAGAGGAAGAGGTGGTGTTGGACGTGGAGGAGGACACAACCCCTGCTCGGGCACCGGACTTGAGGGCGGCGACCTTGCGAGGCGAGAAGCTGGCGAGCGCCGGGTTGGAGAAGCTCTCGGAGCTGAGGGGAGAGGCTGGGTTGAACTGGAGGGAGGCGGGTTTGTGTCTGTGTGTTGGGGACGCGAAGTCGACGGAGCGGCGGTCTCTGACGGAGGGTCCTGGGGGATGATGATGATGATGATGTCTGGCCGACGGATCAGTCTGGCTGCGACTGCGAGAGCATGTCCGGATCGCGGTGTTGTTGTTGTTGTTCTTCTTCTTCTGGGGTGGCGAGGGCAGAGTGGTGACGGCGGAGGCCGCGTCCAGGCGCATGACGAATTGGGGTTTTTTTTTTTTTTTTTTTTATCCGTGATGCGAGCGATGAAAGTTGTTGCAGATCCAAAAGGGCACGAAGCAGAAGTGTATGACGCTGGCTGGTTCAGCAGCAGCACGGCCTAGACCCCGTCATGCTCGTATGTCTTAAGTGGTAGTTAACCAGTTTAACCTGCCAGCAGAACTCCCTCGCTCAGTCAACAAACAAACAAACTCTCTCAGAGAACTAAGAAATAGATAGATAGAGAACTAAGAAAATAGAGAACTTAGAAATAGAGAGAGATGCTTTGAGAGACGGAATTGACTTTCAAACAGGCGGGCTGGGGTGGCCGGCTGTGATTGGGAGGCCCTGATCCATCGTCCAGCCCTTCAATCTCGCTATGGCTAACTAAAGAAGACAAACTCGAACTCACAAGAAGAAGACTTCTTTGCTGGTGGTTAATTCTGCGGTGGAAATGTGTCTTATTTTACAGTATATATCAACATTCTCCTGGAATTCCCTTTTTTTTTTTTTTTTTTTTTCTCTCTCTCTCTCTCAAGGCTGGAAGCGCCTTTTAGCTCTCCATATTCTGCCGGTTCACTGCAGAAAGGGAAAAAAATAAAATAAAATAAAATAAAAAAAGGAAACAAAAGAAAGAGAGAAGTATTTAAATAACCAAATATTAAAGAACACACATTGAACTGCAGCTCACAATCCACCGACAAAGCGACGACGAAGCGGCACAGTCCAACACCAGCACGGCTTGACATCCCTTTATGCCTCTTTGTCTTTCCTCGTTCCTCTGCATGCTTCATTCACGTTGAGAGACTACTATTTGTTTAGACAGGCCATCGGGGCCTGGATATTGATCTGCTTTGGTTGTCTGAAGTCTCACGACAGAATAAACAACATATCACATTCCATGAGAATTGAATATATTTAAAGAACTCCGTGATGCTTGCACAATAGCAATTTAAGAGGGAAAAAAAAAAAAAAAAAAAAAAAAAAAAAAGAAGCAACAAAAAGCCAGCCGCCTGGTTAGATATATTTGTTCACTTCACTGATAACCTACACTCTGGCTCCCGCGAGAGTTCGTGGCTGATCTCGTTCTGGTCTTAGAAAGACTTGGACTTGCATCTTGTCTTTTTTTTTTTTTTTTAATTCTTATTTGGTATATTATCTTCCTTGTCTAGGTTCATAGCGATCTAAGATAGTAGCAGACACTCACCAGGAGTAACCAGCCCAAGTACGGAGTACATACTGTAGTCAACTTAGATCATGATTCCCTCTGTCGATCCTTCAGCTCTCCACGCTCCCTGACCGTCTGTGCCATCCCCTTTCCCGCCTCCGTCCCCAGAGCGTCAAAGCCCCTGACGACCCCTTCCCGGTCGCCCTTGCTCATCTCCTGGCTCATCTTGAACTTGCCCTGCAGCCGATCGACCTTGATCTCGATCCCGATGATGCCCTTCCTCAGTATCTCAACGTACGGAGTCGGCGCGTCCGCCACCTCCCACGCCGCCGGCCGTCCTCCTTCCCCCGTGTAGCCCATGATCGACGACTCGGTCAGCCGCGTCAGATCCTCGACCTGTCTCTGCAGGAAAGCGTTCGTCTCCTCTGCCTTGGAGTCGCAGAACACCTTGATCTTGCCGTACGCCTGCACCGCCGAGTAGTTCCACGTCGGAACCACCTTTCCCGACACCGGCTTGGTCTCCGTGTAGAACTTCGGGGTCACGTAGTGGTGGTGCGCCCCGTTGAACAGCACCAGCACCTCGTCCGGCAGCTCCAGCCCATCGTGGCCTTGCTCCTTCCTGGCCGCAAGGGCCTCCATCAGCACCTTCGCCTGCGGGTTCTGCCTCGCGATGTGGCCGCGAAGTGTGCCATTCGACGGGCTGCCGCCGTCCTCCGTCTCCGGGACGTCGATGACGAACGGGATGTGGCTCGACTGGATGAGCGGGTGGAGCGGTGACTGGATCGCGGTCGTCAGTATGCCCAGCGGGTTCTCGCGGACGAGCTGCTGGAGCACCGCGATGTTCTCCTCTGCGTGGACCGCTCGAAGATGCATTTTGGCGCAAAAAATAAAATAAAATAAATAAACTTTAATCCAAACAACAATCTCAATCAACAGAGGTGCCCTGGAGATGATTTCCGAGTCGATGTCGAGCCTGAAAGCGCCATCCTTCGCGATGTTTATATCGTCGCCGGCTTATCATCGCGGTCAATCTGATTGGGCACCCCACACCGAAGCTGTCAGTCTCTGGCCTCGGATGAAGCACCTTGTAAAACCCAAAAAAGAAAAGAGAAGAAAAGAAGAAAAAGAAAAAGGCGAAACATCTGGAAATTTAGGCGAGCGAGCGATCCCCCGCTCTCGCGCCTTGCCAGCGGACACGGCGAATCGGACCCGTCTTTGGAATCATTACTGTATATGTGGGTTGACTCAAGGCACTGGGGCCGGGATGGATGTTGAGCAAATCTCGATTTCGCCTTGGCGTGGGTGACTCCTCCGCTTACCCGGGGGCGGAGAAGCTATCCGTGAACTTTGGTCCTCTGAAAGAACTATGTATGGCGGGATCAGGCGACGCATAGCCGGAGCGCCTACAATTATACGATGTGGGCTCCAATGCGTTGTTGATATGGAGCCGCGCCGATTTCCAGCTTGCCCGAGAGGGCTTTTCTTTTCGTCAAAACCGCGGTTCGCGGTTCACGGTTCACGCCACTCGCAAAGCACATACAAGCAAGATGGACAAGGGCGTTTCAAAACCCCCCCCTGATTGCCGAGCCTGGAAGCATCTCAAACCATTGAATTTACATGCTACCTGTTGCCGGGCAAGGTCAAGGCCACGAAAGGCTCGCAACGGAATAGTTGGGATAAAAAGACTGGCACTGGATTGTGACCATCACATTCAGCAATGATCGACTCCCTCAAACGGAGTAAGGCTTCCGGTTTCTTTCAATGGCGAGACCTTTGGTCACAAACCCGAATCTCATTGAAACTTCGGCTATGTGCATGTGTAGGGGATCCTCGACGTGACAACTCCCGTGGCCGCTTGACACCAAAGCCAAACGCCATTGTGAACGATAACAAAAAAGCACTAGGCCTTGCTAGAGCTCTACCAGACCCTGAGAATGAAAGTAATGATTTGACTCATCATTCACCCCATGTTTCCCGAGGCGGAGACCTTCCCGCATCCACAAGAATCCAGACACCCTGACCCGAGCACACATTTTGTGCCAAAATGATTCCAGGCAGGCCTTGTCCAGCCGTCAAACCGTCGTCGTAATCGCTGAAAATTGGCATGCACCGGAAACTAATCCCCCACCCAAATCAACTTGCGTCTCTGAAAAGATTGCTCTGACATTGGAGACCCCTCCCCAGAAAAGGCCCGACGTGAAAGACATAAAAGCGCAACTTGAATATACAACCAGGCGTATATTATAGCTCTGAAGGCAATATGATTCCCGAGAGTTTAAGGGTGTCAACTGAACTCGGAACAACTATCAGCGTCCTCCAAGAAAATATAACCGGGTCTCTGTTAAGATGTGCCGGCGCTGAAGAAGCAAATCAGGTCGCAGCGAACCTCTCTCCGCTAATATTGACGATAGCATTCGTATCTAGTGTCCCACAAAATAAGGCATAAGGGGAAGGTGTTAGAAGATGTATATATATGTGGGCTATTGGCACTGCTAACCACACATTACCGTCGCTGTCCAGCAGTGGAGACACTCATTCCGAGTTTGCTTGCCTGATTTTTCTTTGGGGATGGTTTCTAACGATTGAAGTCCGAACCAACTAGCATCAAAGCTCCCAGGGTCAAATAGCTTAACCACCCTCGTAAGCCTTTTGGCCCCCGTTGGGTTCAGAAAGGCCTCTTGGAGAATCCGGAACGTCTCCTCCTGCGCATTACCGGATAAGGAAGACAATCTCGCCTTCACCGAGACTATCGAATAGTATTTCCTGTCGAGGATGATGTGGCATGTCAAGGTTCTAGCGGGCCCAATTGGAACAGCTGTGTGAGCATCCAAGCAGCCTGGATCGAGGCTGTATATTTTGGACAATCAATTGCACTATGGGCACGGTGACCTTGGTCTTGCATGGATGATACTGATCATGTGCACAAGGAGTCAGTATAGTCTTTATTAAAAAAAATAAAATAAAATAAAATAAAATAAAATGATGGCAGAACCGGGCGCAAATATCCCTCAAATTGAACAAAGCTATCGTCGAGGAACGATATTACCATCGCATAGACGTACATTTAGGTGTGGCAGAAGCAAGGAGTGCATCCGTCCGTTCCATCCTCTCACGGAAGCAATATAAATATCAAGGTAGGGCACGTAGTTCCAGTTACTCCGATTGGTTTTCGCTTGGCTAAGAATCATGGGCCAGTCAAAGAATTGACTCTTTGATGCTAACAGTGCACAAGGGCCTCTCTTACCAATGAGCTTGGTGAAGGTTAAACAAGCATCCCTGGAGGCGCCCAGGGTGATCAGACACGATCACAAAATTTGTAAGCAGGTCGCGACCCAGCGAAGAGTTAGCCGACTCTCCAGTCGCTTGTCCGGCCTGGTCTGCTGGCTTTTTTGGTTCAGTAGCCTTCCATGCCGTTTCCTGAGGGGTTCCATTTCGGATGGTCAGCGGGGGTGTTTTGGCTGCGCGGGTCCCAGGCGGGGTGGATGCAGTGGACAATATCAATGCGGAGCGAAAATACGAACTTGAGGCAAAGGACACCTAACTAGTTATCGGAAGGGATCATGGCCAACTTGAAGATTTCCCCAAGGTTGAAAAGGCATTGTCCATGACCGCCAGCCATCGATCGTTCCCACAAGCAACAGTTGGTATCCGGAAGGTGGGTGGTATGCATAATGTTTGCAAAAACGACGACTTCAGAAAAGGCCTAGATGATGATCTAAATGCATTAATGCCCATCTCAAGCCGAATCCAAGGAAGATCATAACAGGCCTGCGGAGGTGCTACACGGCCTGAGAGCAGTCAATGGGCAGAATAGGTGTGTATTATCAGAAGACGTCTGCGAGGGTGGGCAGCTTCAGTCAGACGGAAGGATGCAGCCTCCTCCCAGCACTGGATGGGATGCCCTGAACGAACTGAGCAGCCCTGGGTTTGACTTATAGTCCAAAGAGGGTTCAGAATGGAGAGGGACCGAGAATCAGGGAAACTGCAATCGAGAAGAACTTGAAAAGCTATGCATTTTGATAAGTGTATATGCTACCATCGCTGGGGTTTCCGGCCCGATTGAGAACACATCCGAAATCGCTAGTTCGTTTCCCTGCCCTAGGGTATGATGAAGTCCCAGTCTTGCTTTTCCCATTCCTATACTCAGACGCTTGCCAGTGTTGCTGAAGTTGGGCCGTGCCACTGGTCGAAGAGGTAATTGGGCGCTCGGACAATTTTGGTTGTTTGGGGGTTAATATCAGTCACGATGATTGATGGTTGCTAAAACTAGATACAGTAAACATTCACTTAGCCCTGTTTTACCCCTCAGAATGTAGCAATCACCTACGCCAACAATCGCCTCCCCATGTGAGATCCAACCAATCTTCATAATGGATATCCCTCAAGGTGGTGTGGCAATGTAATGTAAATGAGGGGAAAGGTTCAATCCCCAGAGATATAAAGGCCTGTGGCATCGCTGTCTCTCAACGTTGGAGCTTTCATTCTTGTATATCCTCACTGCAACCATTTCCATCGAGCTTCAGAACCTGCTGCATTCTACCGTGTATACATTTGTTAAAGTTTTGAATAACTTTTTTCGTTCACAATGTCCGTCAGTATCAACGCCGCGCTCCGTGTCCCCGGGTACCAGGGCGAGGGATACTTCTTCAAGGGCCAGCGCTACCTCCGCATGTGGTGGAAGCCCGGAACCCCCGAGGAGCGCAAAGTCTTCGGACCCGCCAAAATCACTGACGAATGGAAAATCATCCGCGACGCCGGCTTTACCTCCGTGGATGCAATGCTCCCAAGCACCAACGACCCGCAGAAGGTATATGCTTTCAGCGGAAACCGCTATGTCCGTTTCAGCTTCGTTCCCGGTACTCCGCAGGAATCCAAGATCTTCGGCCCCGCAAAGATCGTCGACGAATGGAAGTCTCTCCGTGACGCCGGATTCGAGAAGGTCGACGCCGTCATCCCCATTCCATCCACGAAGAAAGAAGAGTATGAGGAAGAAGCCTACTTCTTCAGCGGGACCCAGTACATCCGCGTGAGATACACCCCCGGCACCCCGAAGGAGGAAGTCGTCTTCGGACCCACGAAGATCACAAATGAATGGAAAATTCTCCGTGACGCTGGGTTTGACACGATGGACGCCTTTATTCCAAATTCGAACAGCAACACCGACGTTGAGGTGTATGGATTCCGTGGAACCAAGTACGTCCGCTTCCGATTCACTCCCGGAACGCCAAAGGAGGAGGTGATCTTTGGGCCGGCGGGTATCTCTGAGAATTGGGCCACTCTCCGCGAGCTTTAAGCGCTATATGGCCCTTGCAGCCGGGTAAGCAGTTGTCCATACCGTTGCTGCTGCTGCTCAGTAATTGGGCTGATTTGTCCGGGTACGGCAGCAGAAGCGGGCAAGCTGCCCATTAGCCGCAAATGAAGCATCATCAAAAGCCAAGCGCTTCTCGAGCAGGTGCCCTACATTCCTTTCACGGGCTCTTTTGATCTTTGGGCTGAGGTTATCAAATGATGGACGTTGGCGTGCGCTTGACTGCCTGTAGGAGGGGGTCCCGAAAATGATACGGGCCGGATCAACTATCAACCGCCATAGCCAACTTAGTTAGTCAGCGAGCCTTCGAAAATCTATCAATATCAATTATTAAATATTTCTCCATTTTTTTTTGAACGCACAAAAGCTATTGCTGGTATCTCATGGTATATACACCAAAAAAAAAAAAAGAAAAAAGAAAACCAATTAAAAAGCAATAAAAATCATGCACATACAGCCGTAAAACCCAATCAAGCGCATTCATAAATGCCCAAAGGGCGTGACTTGGTTTTCTTGACTCAGTCCCGAACTGCTACAGTTCGTGTCATCTTTTTGCTGCCGCTTCAGCTCAAGCGGTTCTATGATTCCGGCAGAGTTTCGCCAGAATCTTGATCTGTTCACCGGAGTGGCCGCTGCGTTGCTCTTTGACTGTCGCTCGGTCCCCTCCACTTCCACCCCGTTCTTCGCCAGCCAATAATCTCGAAGCCGATCGAGCGCGGTCTTGAAGTCGTCTAGCACAACAGCATCGCAAAGACATTTGAAGACAAAGGATAGCTGTAGAGAAAAGGAAAAAAAGAGGTGTAAGCATTTGCGACATTTTGTTGGGATTTGGGTGAGTGAGATGATTTAAGCTTACTTTCCAGAACGGATTGATGCCCGTCGGTAAAGCCCCCTTAAGCACGCGTAGCACGCTTAGGGTGTCGAAAATGATGAAGATAATGGAAATGCACATAGCAATCAGCATGATGCCAAATCGCGGGCCGTTCCGTAATAGCTCGGAGATTCCAAAGTCGTACTGGGATTTGATAACCCAGAAAAGATTACATGTTGTATATATCCACCAGGGATCTCTGTCAGAAGCAAATCATTCAGCAAATGTTTCGCGCTTAGCGCCTGCCAATATCAGGAGAAAAGGATATCTCACCGGAAAAGAGGCTCCCAAGGGCGGGTCCTTAAAAATAAATCATTAATATTATTGAAAAAGGCGAAATTCGCGTATATCTCCAACACCCAATAGGGTTGGGCCAGGATAACAGTTCCGATATATATCATGGACACTCTCCGGCTCATAAACGGCCTGTTTTTCAACCAGGCAATGATATTGTGAAGGGTCCAGGACATGTTCAAGCCAATCGCAGTGCAAGAGAGATACCAGCCGTATACTGGTTCGTGGAAAAAGATAAAGGTTCCGTGGCCAATGCCCAGGAGCAACTACCCGTCATCGTACAAAAGTCAGCATGCATTCAATCCCAAAAAGCCTTCACTGCATGGCGACACAAAAAAAAAAAAAAAAAAAAAAAAAAAAAAAAACATCCCGCGCACAGAGAAGATGGCGAGAGGTGAAAAGTTTTCATCTTTGTTAAGTCTGTACCTCTGCTAAAATGAGTTTGTGAAGCAACATGCGCCGCCGCATATTAGCGATGGTGATTGCGGCCATGAAGACCAAGGTTCCCACCATGAAACCCTGCGCCCACGCCTCCAGTACCAATCCATCCGGATCATGGTCAGGGCGCCCTCGTTTCTCTCCCTCATCCCGAATCGTGAATGCGAAGCGCTCTCGCATGGCGACGACGATTTAATCTGCAAGTCGGGGTTTGATCATCTGTTTGTGTCCATATTCGCTGCAATGTCCCGCCAGTTGCACACCAGATAATGATTTGAACTTAATGATGACTCCCGATGATGAAAAGTGAATGGAAAGGTGAACCCGAGAAGCCCTCTGCAAGCTCTGGGGAGGGTTATCTAAGGGGAAGGGCGAGGCCAGCACCTTTATGACAGCCGGCGTTGCAGTTGTCTGGATCGCCTTGGGTTCTCTTTCCGTCAATAGATGATGGAGACGATTGCCTGTTCCCGTCTAGGCGAACACGAAGCGTAAATCGAGGAACGTTTGGCAAAAAAAGTGCCCATCGTTTTGGCATAATATTGTGGAGACGCCAGAGGGTAAGCTGCTCCATTGGCTATTACAGAATAAGGATCTGTTGATTGGCCGGCAGGGTCGTCAGACCAGCTTTAGCACGTCTCGACCGTTTTGGAAGCTCGTCAATCATATACGGGAGACTGCAGAGTACATCCTACGTGTGTAAAAGCGATTATCCAGGCACTTGATTGTGCACCCTGGCATCGTGCCAGGGAATGCAGAGTTGAAGTTGCAAAGGGACTCTCAGAATCTCAGGGATAGGTGCACATCCAAATTTCAAATGAGCCAAGTGCGCCAGGAACCGCAATCTCCAAGCTTGCCACCCCCCCCGGCAATTAAAATTCCCACAGAAGCTCTTGGACACTTTTGCACGTGTCAGAAGTAGCTCTATGTACTCCCTATCAGGTGGCAGTCGAGAATTCCCCGCTCCAATACGGAGTACGGAGTACGACTTGCGGCCGGACTTCTTTAAGTCGGAGTTTTAGCTCCTCAATACAAGGAGGGGTCAAACCGCCCCCGAACAGCCGTTCGGGTTGTTCTTCAATAGCAAACGCCTCCGGTCACAACACAGCCGAACCCCTTTCTTTGGTCGGGCAAACATCTATTGTTCTTTTCCTTTTTTTTTTTTTAAGCAATCTCTCCTGTGTGCATTTTGTAGGCATAACTGTTACTTCACCTGCATTCTGAAGCGGATCAGGAAAATCATCACAAACAACTCCTCTGGTCTGCCGTACGCTGATGAGGTGTCTCTGCTGGCGATTTTGGGCCATGCGGCTGTTGTGTCTGCAAGTCCCCATCCGTGTCAGTCCTTGGGTAACTAGTGGTGGCTGCATGTGCCGTGCTTAAAGTTCCTTTCCAAGGGGTCGGGGCTTTCCAAGGATCTCAAAACAAATTAAACTCCTGGGCCGCTAGGGGGGGAACCAGGATTCCCAGACCAAGGGGATAAGGTCTCCACAGTTGGTGATCTATTGGGAGCTTAAAAAGAGGATAAATTGAGGCCTCAGAATGAGATTTCTGCGGCGATGAGAGCGAGACGGAGCTGCAAGCGAGAGTGTGTGTATGTGTGTGTGAGCGGAGACTGTGCTTCAGTTCCTCCTGCAGGTGCATTCTACCTTGGAACTGCAGAAGAGAAAAGTTGGCAAACGTGTCATGCGTGGGTGGTCCGCGTATACGAAGCGGCATGCAAGGGACGTTTGAGGAGAGTTTCTCTAGTGTTGAGTGTCAGCGGGGCTTTCCAGCGTCCCCCGGGCCAACTGAGCATAAGCGATGGCTGGGGCGTTTTGTCTTTTCCACCAGCGAACTCGACCCAAGTGCTGACAGGCGAGAGAGAAAGAGGCCCATTGGGACATACAACGTCCAGTCAATGGCAATGCTCCGTCTGAGTGCTGAGTGCTTCGATATCCTGGACGTGAGAAATGCCCAAATCTCGCTCAAGCCGTGCGGCGCCTGGATTGGCGTCGAATCAGCCGCAGGAGATGCAAACCGTGCAAACATTTAAGCTCCGGCCAATCAGAAGTCTGCGTTTCTGTCCAGTCACGTGGCAAGTGACGCCAAGGCCGAAGCCGAAGCCTCCCGTCGCTGTGCCGTGCAGCAGTCCCTGAGCAGAGAGCAACGCACACACCGCCGGGGCGCGGGGAGGGTGGGAGAACATGGCAAAAATATATACATATGAAATTCGTGGGCCATCCGTGATAATGGCGAATGCTGCCCAGCAATGCGCCAATGACCATGCGTGTCTTCCCCCCCGACTGAAGTGAAATTCGAAGAATAACATTGGAACGTTCCGTGTCCTGCAGACGCCCGCCTCGACCACGATCGACGACGACGACAAGCCGCAGACTGTGAGAAGGGACTGATCATCGTTCGGAAATGGCTGGGAGGCGAGCTGCGTACCCGGTTTCCCGTCTACGATTCAATTGCGGGACGTTGAAACCCACGGTGACGACGAACGCTGAGGTTTGAGAGGGACCTCCACTTCAAGGATGAGAAATTTGCCAATTTGACGAGTCACAACCACAAGTACCGATGGCTTGGTCAGAGATCTAGGGCCTGTGTGTGTGTGGCCTTGGACCTGCGCTTATGCCCCTTCGTAACCTCTGCTACGCAGTCCATCGTCAAATTGCAATGGAGATCTCAGAAGAATAGGGGTAAAAGTTGGACGAGTCGCTTGCAGCCCTATGTGTTGCATGCGCAAAGGCTAAAAGTGGTCCAGAACCCGTCCTTTATTGGAATGATATTCCTCTTCTCGAAGATCTCACCATCTGCGTCCATACGCAGAACCCGAGCCTCCAAATCCAAAAAAAAAAAAAAAAAAAAGAGGGATTAATATCTTGGAGTTATTTCTTTGTTTTACGGTGGCAACACCACTGGAGAATATGGTGCCCAGCAAATGGATTGTTGATACCATCGCCATCCCTCAGGGGGTAAATGCGGTTCCATCCCCCCATGGCTCAATACCCACGCGAGTTGAAGACACGCAAGGGCAACTCAGCATGCAGGCAAGGATTGTGTTGTGAATACGATTTGTATTATTACATGGATCTGGAAGGCGATGTGGCTCCCATGCCCGCCTCCCCTGGCCCCAGAGGGTATTTCAGTCTTATCATCCAATGGCGGACACCACATCATCTCCACCCGTCACTATCCCGTGGAGACGACAGGGAGAGTGAAGACGGAAATCGCGAGGACACTGGCCGGTAATGGCCTCCCAAGCTCTTAATGTCTGCTTTCATAGCCTATCGGTTTCGCCAGCCAAAATACCGATCCTGGACTCGGGAACGGTGGCGGCAGAGCTTCCGGAATGGAGGGCCATCAGAGTAAATCGGCAGTTGAAGAGAAAGAAAGCCGCATCCGAATGGGAAAAAAAGTCGAAAAACGACAAGGGACGGTCTGTTGCGTGCTAAGAATAATGAGCATTTTGTTTGGTGAACCCAACCAAGGCTTTGAGGAAAACGCAGGACTTTATCCTGTCTTGTGATGAAGGAGAAGCAATTGGCGTTCTTCTGCATTCAAATTATAATAGACCGGGTAGCTATATGTCATTGAAGGTCAAGAAATGCAATACAGACTCTTTGCGCACTCCGAATTGAGGCCAAAGGAGACTCTATCCGAAAAAAACCCGCCATTAAATTACTTCACCAACGGTAGAATACTTTTAACCGCGTCAACAACAGCCTCCTTCAAAGGCCGATACGTTAATCCCAAAACCTCTTTCGATTTGCGGTTGTCGAACCCGAACACCCCCTCTGGCGGATTCTCACCCGACTTCAACGCATCGCCCTGCGGTAACCTATCTCGCAGCTCCGGGAACTCATTCCATATAATCTCCGCAATCTCCCTGTTGCTGAGTTCCCCCGCAACGGTGAAGAACCGTTGATTGGCAGCCTCTGGCTTCTCGGCTGCCAGGGCGTGGGCAAGCGCAATGTCTCGTACGTCGACCCAGAGAGGACTGACAGTCGGCGGACAGTGCTCCTTGCCTGCGCCGGTTATAAGGTCGCGGAATCGTTCGCAGGAGGTGTTGATGGCGTCGAGAGAGCTAAGATAGTGGACCAAGGGTCCTATGACAAGCGGCGGGTTGCACTGCATCATGATGACGGTAAACATATGTCCCAAGTTACAAATTAGAAAAGGCAGGGGGTTGTCATACTGTTGCAAGAGTGAAATTCGGCTTCTCCTTTTCTATAAAGTCCCAGGCCGCTTTCTCCTGTAGAGGTTTCGGTTAGTCAATTGGAATTCTCCTTATCAAGTAAGATGGAAGAAACGTACGGCAAGGGCTTTGCTCGCGCGGTAACCCAAGAAGGGATTTTTTGTAGCGTCTTCCTCCGTAGTCGGATTGAAGTCAGCCTATTGGCATTTCATTAGTACACGGACTGCAGGTAGGATGTTTGTGTGAGGGCAACTTTACCTCTGAATACACATATGTTGGTGGCTTCGCTTGGTCGAGGATGGCTGCAAAGGAAGACGTGACTACCACTCTCTTGACGGTCGGAGCGCTGTTTTTAATTGCACGAAGGATTCCAACGGTTCCGTTAATAGCTGTAGAAGCCATTAGACACTCTCCCAACAGACGCTGCCGAAGCAACTAAAAAGGAAGAGCCGCATACCAGGCTTCAAAAGCTGCTCATGGGCGTCGGTAGCCCGGAAATGGAATGGGCTGGCGGTATGAATAACAGTATCGAACGGAGGGTCTGAAACAACGGCCTTGTCGAATGCTGCCAATTGAACATATATCAGCAAAACTCTTCCCCAAATTTTCCCCTTGGAGAGATCTATACCGTCAGGCTTCGCAATGTCGGGCACGATCACAAAGTCAAGTTTCGCCTTGGGAACGCCTGGATGCGCATCTCTAATTCTCTGAGCTTTTTCTTCCGACCTGACCGTCGTCACGACCGAATGGCCACGCTCAAGGAGGGTATCAAGAACATGGGCGGCAATAAAGCCACTTCCGCCTGTAGACCGCGAAGGTTAGCAATCGATCGATCGCAAACCGATGCGCGGGGCAGCATGCGTACCGGTCAAAAGAATTCTGGCCATGTTGATCGTCTGTGTCTGAGTGTCAATTCAACAGTTCACACTTTTGGAGCATCTCAAATCCCCTCCCCCCCAAGAAGCCGGGAAGTCGCTATATATATCTGGATGCATGGGCGGAGGAGATCCGCTCTGTGAGGCTATTGACGGCGGAAATTGAGGTTTGAGTGGGTGTGAAAAACGTCATCGCGAGTTGACAGGATGACTAGAATCTGACAAGGGCGCGCATTTGCTCGGGCGCTCGAGGAGATTGCGGAGATAGCATTTCTACTCCGTAGTATTTCCAAACTCCGTTCCATCTCCCAAGTCCTCAGGAGTCGCTCCAGATTCGAGCTGGATTCAGGCTGCTTTAATCATCCGTGCGTGGAGGCCATCAGAGTCTGGAGAAGAGGCTTTTCCGGCTAAAATTTCCCGGATGCCGCGTGCCAAGGTCGAGCAAAAGAGATCTCTGCCTGTAGTCTGCCTGTTCCGCGATTGATCTGCCTTCTCCCATGCGCCTCTATCCAATGTGATCAGGATACCAACTGAAGGGTATCAAGTCGCGGGATAGTTTGTCTAATTTTCCGACGGCGTTGTTCACTACATTGTTATGCAAGTATTTGAGAGATGCTGAGCAACTCGCTAACCAGCTTTTGGAGCCCAAGCAGAGGCAGACAGATTGAGGAACTCACATCGTTCCACCAATTGAACATACTACATATGTATCTGTCACTTGAAGCAATCATCAGAAGCTTCAACCACAGGATTCCTCTCCCGGCTGTGGAGTACTGGGGTCCTGCAACTTTTCTTTTCCCAGCAAACGTTAACCAGGAGACATTGATCCCCGCTGGAAAAAGAACTGTGTTGCGTGCAGCAAGATGCAGCACGGCAGCCAATTTGGCACAAACAAGTGTCGCCCGCCTGTTCGACCCCCCAAATATGATTTGGCGCTTCCGTGTTCGAGTACGGAATATCTCTGCTGCCATGGCCCCTCGCCAGTGCAGCGGGGTCGAGCATCTATGATGATCTCAACATCAAAGAATTTCCATCAAGCAAGCTGATTTTGTGGGCGGGTAGTTGATCCGTCCAAGAAGACGGCGACATGTCTCCCGTCTCTGTTCTATCTCCTGGCACATATCCAATTCCTTCCCGTGCCTTCGAGGACAGCTACGCAATGGGAGGAGTGTGGCTGTCGTGCCTTCAGAGTCAGTACTTGGCTCTTTATACAATGGCCTACCCCGGCGACCGTCCTCTGCCTGTTTTTTTCTGATTTCTGATGCCCCTCTATTACCCACTGCTGGTCCTATTCACTGTTTCTGGTTCCTTTCCCGCGACACACGACATGCCTCCAAAAAAATGGTCCATGTATCCATCACTTCACGATGATGTCTCATGCCTATTGGAAGAAGAAAACCTTTATTTCGACTTCCGTGAAGGCGATAACCCTCAAGGCTGCTCTAAGGAATACGATTCGCATATCATGGGTCGATTTACATGCCACAACCCCAAATGCAGCTCGAAGGGATGGTCGAGCAAGAAAATTTCCATCACCATCCGAATGTACCCTGGAGCAAAATACAATGCGAGGGTATATCATCAGCGCTGCAAGAGCTGCAACTCTCTTAGTAGGCCCCGCTTAGATGGATCATATGCGGAAAGAGTTGCATACCGTCTCAAAAAATGGTCTGGAATACATATGGAGATGCCGAGGGCCTTTGGCAGAAGCAAAGGTCCGCACAATGAGCATTTATGCGAAGGATGCAAAGCTGGTCATTGCAGCGCTTTTCTAGTTTAATCATAAACGGGGCTGTGAGTTATATGGGCCCATATTTTCATCGTGAAACCATGAAATCTAGCTAACGGCTTCAATCTCCACCCAACGCAGCTCACACGCGAACTGTCGTCACATAGTCGCCTATTGCCATAATCACGGACAGGCGTCGAGAAAAAGCTATGGAGCAGCTTACCAGCAAGAGACCCGTATGGTAAAGCCCAGTTGAATTACCCCGGATTGGATTTTGGTGGTCAGGACAAAGGGGCATCATACTGCTCGTAAAATGGGGAAAATGGGTCTCACTATTACAGTCCGTCCTAGATGAGAAGGCTATCATGCCTTATTACTATTAGTCGCAGATTGAGTAGTTATCTTGCTTCTTCTTTTCCTTTTCCTTTTTTTTTCCCCCCCACCCGAAACCATAGCGGTTGATGTTGATGTTGATGTAGTAGCTTGGATGATGGAATTCTAACTAAATTAACTCCCAAACCCATATTGTCTGTCTATTCTACCACTCAGGTATAGATTTGAATTTTAAGACTGGCACTTGGTTTTGACCAAGCTTTCATTTTTGGCCGCATGGTAGAACTAGATTTCAGGAACTGGGTCGGACAAAAAGGTTTAAATTCCGCGTTTAAGTCCGCCGGCACCCAAACTCGCGCTTGGTGGCGATCGTGGGGTTGTGGAAGTGGGGAAGAGAGAGCTCTGGATTGGTAAGCAATCTCATCACAGCGATGAGAACCAAGCTGAGCTTGAAAAAGGACCTGCAATCCTGCAAACTTGCTCGTATTTATTCAAACGGCGGAGAAGAAAAAGGGAATTGCTGGTTGGTTGAGAGCGAGAGAGTGGGCTACAATGACTAACTTCAGCATCAAAATCGTATCAGACACCGTTTGCCCGGTATGCGTGGCCCCCCCCGCAGAATTTGTGATTCTACATCCCGCTTCTAAACTAATGTACTTATTATCAAATGTCTTGCAGTGGTGCTATGTTGGCAAAAAGAGGCTTGAAAAGGCCATCAAGCTGTACCGCGCGGCCCATCCAGAATCCAACGACACCTTCTCAATCTCCTGGTTTCCGTTCTACCTCAATCCGAACTCACCCAAGTCCGGCATTGACAAACAGGCGTATTATCACCAGCGGTTCGGACCCGAACGGAGCCGGATGATGCAGTCTCGCCTCGAGCAGGTGGGGCAGGCTGAGGGTATCAACTTCAAGTTCGGAGGGCGGACAGGCAACACACGGGATTCTCATCGGCTCATACAACTGGCAAAGACAAGGGGAGAAGATACGCAGACGCGTGTGGTCGAGGAGTTGTTTGCTGCGTATTTTGAGAACGAAGGGGACATCACCTCTCACGACACGCTCACAAAAGCGGCCGTAAAGGCAGGGCTGGGCGAAGCCGAGGTCAAAGCCTGGCTGGAAAGCGACCAGGGAGGCCCAGAGGTCGACAAAGAAGTGCAGGATGCTCAGAGGTCATTCGTATCTGGAGTGCCAAATTTCACCATTCAGGGAAAATATGAAATCGGAGGCGCGGAAGACCCTCAGGCTTTCCTTGAAATCTTTGAAACAATAAAAAAAGGCTGACGGGCCATCGGGTGAAGGCACTGTGACACGATATTAGTACTGTACATACATACATATCCATCTTAAAAACTTTCAGCTCAAACATTGTTGTTGCCACGAACCGTACTAGATGTGCATTCGGCTTGCTTGATTTCATGTTCACTTTGGGCGTTCGGCCCTTGGGGAAGGGTATTTTATCATTCTCCTACCAATAGCAAATGTTTCCTTGGGGGGGTTTTTTGGGTCCTTGCCTTAGAGACCGGGAAACCTCCAATACTCTGTACCAGGTATCTCATAAGCAGGCAATGCCGCCGGATCAAGGACATCTGGCACAATGAAGTTTGTTTGGCCGTTATTTCCACCATGTACAGAATATTCACTGGTTGATGTGGTTGTTGAGGTAGGGTCCCCTGTCACAGTGCAGGTTCCTTCGCTGTCGCTTTCGCCCTGCATAGCAGGCGGTCGACATGTAGCTGTAGCTGTTGAAGGATCATCGTCTGTTAGGGTAAAGCTTTTTTGCCTGTCATTTATATTCAGTGGAAAGAAAGGCTGGTCGAGATTCAATGATAGACCACCCCAAAGCTGGTCAACTGCTGAGCATATCCGTTTAAAGTGCATAGGCATGAATATGCTGTAAAGATTTCGAGTAAAATGAAAGGCTGTCCATTTATCTCTGCCATCCAAGGCAGTGATGGAGAATTCATGAATAGAATGACGCCAGAAAGTAGCAATGCCATCCTTAAACACAGGGTAGTGACCATAAATCCGCACGAATTTATGGTCATGGGATATTGAAAAGGCCAAAATCTCTCGGTTGATCTCCGCGGCGCGCCCTACCTGCTTAAAAAGTTGTGTCACCCCTCTCAGTGAAATCGTCGCGCTGTGCAAATTGCGTCTGTCGGCGACATCAAGGCCCTCGCTGCCACACTTGACCTCAGCTGTGAATGATGGGAAGAACATGCTGAAGGATCCAAGGAAGTGAGACGTGCAATCCCAATCACCGATGTATGGTAGAAGCTTCGCTATTTGCTCCTCGGTGAAGGAAGACCGTTTAAACCCAACGGAATAATGCGGTTGGGGAGGCGGGCCGTAGAACGGCTCGCAGCTGTACCAGCGTTGATTGACGCCCTCGATGAGAAAATCCAAGCCAGTTTCGCCAAACGTGGCAAGGGTTTCCGCCGAGGGAACGATGAGGCGGCTCACATCCTGGATGACTCTGGCACCGTTTTCACCCTGTAATTTCTCGCAGGTTACTTTGAAGATATCATCATTGAACAGCGAATGCTGGGGCACCTGATGCTCGCATGTGTTCAAAATGGAATGGATTAGAGCTTGGCTCTTGGCCGTGATTCCTTCGGGCGCGTTCCGCTGATGGCTTCCCAAAAGTGCCATCTGCGCTTCATAGACTGGGTCTTTGTAGGGAGGAACGTTGGGTTCCCGCACAAGGTTTTCATGTATTGACCTGCTTGACTCGGATGGTACAAGACCGTGAGCATTAGACAATTTCTTTTTCGCCAGCAGGGACTCTGTGTCCAGGTCTTCACCGACGAAGAAACCCTCAGGCCACTGCTGCTGCTGCTGCTGCTGCTGCTGGACCCAATGATTGACAAGATCGAGACCGGAGACCATTGGTATCATATCCGGTGTAAAATCCGGGATGCCAGCCGGGTCAATCGGCTCCATCGCTGAGTTTCTGGGGAAATGCTTTGCTTGTGAATATGTTTGAGGGGTTGTAAAGGGTGGATTGGCGGAAGAAGAGTCAAAAGAGGTGTGGGCTGCTGCCTCTTCCATCTGAGGCGGCAACTGTATCTGTTCAATGTTGTCGCCGTTCCCGGCGAAGCATATCAGATCTTCCCACCTCCAGTTCAGGAGATCGTTCTGACGCGAGGCCATGGCGCCAAAAAAGGGAAAAGAAAAAAAAAAAGCAAAAAGGGAAAAGGAAAAAAGGGTGCAGACGTCAAGCTGTGGGCAGTCGGTAGTAGTTCGGCTTCGAGCGGGCGCAGCGACACGGTTTGGATCCAGGAACTCTGATTTCGTTGGCGATCGTTGCAGCTGGAGCTGGGATTTGCTCACAGGGTTGTTCGTTCCCCCCGGCCGTGGCTGTGCGAGGTATTTATGTAGTTACTGGATTAGAGCATGCATCACGTGATTGATGTGAATCCCAGCAGGGCATCGAACAGGGCGGGAGTCGCCGCGAAGAATGGACAACAAACCCACCGGAAAACATGCACAACATCCTCAAAGATGCACTATCCTACCTTTCGCTCTATGGAGCGCTCAAGAACTACTGTCGGCGCTGGAAGAGTACCGTCAAGAGCCACAAGCTGAGGCACCCGCTGACATTGCCTCCGCCAGAGAGCAGACCACTTCCCATATATCACCGGAAAAAGCAGCAGCAGCAGCAGCAGCAGCAGCAACAGCAAAGGTATCAACCGCAGACCGAGTCGATCTTCTTCACGCTTCCGTTGGAGATACGCAGACAGATATATTCATACGCCTTTGGTGGGAGAGCCGTGAAGAGGCCCTTTCTTGTGAGATCCGTGGACTGGCATGCGGGAGGGCATCAGCATAGTAGCCATGCCTCCCAACAGCAGCATGTCCCGCGGCGGATACAATGGGCGGACATCATCCCCATAGCGTTGCTTCAGACCTGCCGGCAGATGTAAGAGAAAGAAGCTCATCCCACGCTGTTTTCGCTCGACGATGCCATGCTAACACCATGACGAGCAACACCAGCTACACCGAAGCTATCGAAGTGTTCTATTCGGACGCTATATTCAAGGCCTTCACCCCGGTAGACATGAATCGGATATTTATGGGTGTCCCTTCCCAACGCCTGGACTCCGTTCGCTCCATCTGGATCGACATCCGCTTCGCGATCACTTGCTCCCTGCAGTGTGACGGCCTCGAGGAGGTATTCGACGAGCGCACTTGGGCCGAGGTCGTGAGGTCGTTCGCCAGGTTTCCTCGTCTCCGAGATGTGCGTGTTTCGTTTCTCAAGGACGACTTGACGGGCGGCGACTATTGCGCGTACCTGCTTGAACGTTTTGTGCTGCCGTCGATGGCCGCGATGACAGACGTACCCAAGTATGAGTTGATGGTGAACTTTGAAGTTGAGAGCCCTGAGAATGCCCCATTTCGAGTAAGACGCATCAGGGCTCCCATGTTATACTGATGGTAAGGACGCTCCATCCACTCATAGCAACGACACGAAAAACGCTTTTTTCGGTCGATAACAAGACACAACATGTCTAGATCGAGCGTCGTTGCGACAGTGTTTCAGCCCATCTCGAGCAATTCTCGCCAAGCCACTAACTAGCTAACTAAATTAAGCTGCTGATTGACGATGCCGAGCGAGCCTCAACCTCCGCAGTGCCTCAAGACAGCTTGCACGATGTGTTTCTTTTTTTTTCAAATGTACTGTATGATTAGTGACACATTCTGCTATCGGAGAATATAATACATACTTTTTATCTTTGGAGGCGTAGAGTATCTTTAAATCCATGATCTTTTTACTCCCGTGGAACGCTCCATGTGCGTACCAGGCTTTTTCCTGCCCCCCCATCCATGGACCAGGGGACGCTGAAGAGGTTAGCTTCAGCTGGTGAACGGCTTGGCTTTTGTCCCAGCCAACATCTGAGGCAAGTCATTTAATGGTGAAGCCGGCTTAACCAGCAGGCGCCCAATACAAATGAAAGGGCTGCCGTCTTCGATATGTAATAATTTTTTTATTTTTTTTTCTGCCTTCGCGAATATTTTGCCGTTTGAGTGGAATTTGTATCGTATTTGACCGTGTGTCTCTCTCCAATGGGGTCCGTCGCAAGTCCGACAACGTTGATGCTTCGGCGCAACGGTAAGCCGCATTCATGCGAGCCATGTCGGATCTCCAAGGTCAAATGCGACCACACGACTCCGATCTGTCAAAGATGCGAGACCCGCGGCATAGTATCCAAGGTAAGCATTCCCCAGGCCCCCGGTCCTCGAACTTCGACCCTGACCATCGCTTAGTGCTATTATCACCCGGCGCCGTTGACCAAACGGGTGAAACCGAGTCCTGGAAGTGAAGACTCCCAGGAGAGGCCGAATAAGCGGAAAAAGCCCGCCCGCAGGACTAAATCACCCACTGTGGCTTCGGCCATCTCTCCCACGAATCTTGAATGTGGTCTGGCGACAGACCAAAATGCCTACCTTGGGTCCACCAGCTTCCTTTCAGTGTTTCATGACACTGTTCCCCAGCTGTCCAATATTGCCATTCAGCCTATCCCACCGGAACTGGTCCGCTGGCAGAATAGGCATCTGTCCCTCCAGTCCCAACTTTTTAGGCTGCTTTCTGCCTTCGACCTGTATGACAGGCTCATAGAGAACTACTACGATTGGGGATTGTTCACCATCATTCCAGCGCCTTTGATTCTGAACTCCCTCCGCTTCACGCGGAGATATATGGAGAATGAGGACACATCTAACCCCAAACAGAGAAACCTGTATCGAAGGATCAGCCAAAACACGGCGAAGCCGCTTCAGCTGTCTACGGAGACAACCGCGGAAGAGTTCTGCCACTCATTCACTGGCGAAAATCTCAGATGGGAGTTTATGGGGGTTATTTTCGCCATGGCTGGGTTGGGTGCGATCAGTGGATTGACATCGCCCGCTACCAACTTGGCCATTCGCTTTGACGACGGGAACGAACTCAGCAGGTCGTCGTTCGCCGCGCAGATGGTGGCTGCGAGTAATGATGCAATTGAAATATCTCGACAGCACGAAAAGCTCAACGACGTTATGATATGGCTTGAATATACCCATTGCGTGCTCATTTCTATGGTCCTCGATGAGAGAAGTATGAATCCTGTCAGACCCCTCCAATCCTTTTGTGCCATGCTAACACACAATTTTAGGCCATATCGTGTATAGAGGCTTTGGTACCCTGATATCTGACATGTTTGCAATGGGTTATCACCGTCACCAACCTCCCGGGCCTGGGATCCCGTTCTTCCTCTCTCAGACTCGCAAGAGAATATTCGCAGCAGCATACCGCTCGGACAAGAATCTCGCTACATTTTTGGGAAGACCTCCGCGAATTCAACATCTGTACTGCGACAACACCATTCCATTGGATCTGGATGACGAGACTTTGATGCTGAATGGAGAAGAGCTAAATGCCGCCGTTGAGAAGCTCGACGCTGACGGGTGGAACCCGGACAGGACGCAGGACGGGAAATTTCGCTCAGCAAGCGTCATAAGAATACGGTATATGATATCCGCCCAAAGAGAAAAGATCCTCGAACTGTCGCTCGGGCGGAAGACGGATAATTCTGTCGACGTTCTCTAGTACAACCTCCCCCCCTTCTTCACCACAATGATGAGAAAGAATAAGACTAATCATATACCCAGCAAAAACTACCAAGAATGCCAGAATATCTGGGCCAGCATTCCTATCCAGTTCCGGTACGACGCGAACTGCTGGAAAACCTTCCGTCCCGTTTCCTGTATTGCGATGCTCGTCATCTACCTCGAGTATCTCCACAGTCTCTTCCACATCCAACGCATACTCTGCCAGCAGAACATCGCCGCAGCCTCCTCCCTCCTCAACACCTCCATGCAACTTCTCACCACCGTCCTCCACCTCCTCAAACAGCCCGAACAACCCACAGAAACCCAAACAAACTTCTCCTGGATCGTACGTCCCCGCCATTTTTCCCCCTCACCCCCACCAACCAAAAAAAAAAAAAAAAAAAAAAAGAAAGTAAACCACCGTTTATATACGTAAGCCCATACTCACCACCTCAACCTCTCTCCAGTTCCTCTTCTACGGCCTCCCCGCCGCCGGAGTTCTCGCCACCGAACTCTACCAATCCACCCTCTCCGCCGTTCCCTGGCCCTCATCCACCCCTCCCCGCTCCCAAATAATCCGCGACCTAGGCATGATAATCTCCTGGTTTGAAACCGCCGCTCTCCCGATCAACCCTACCACCCGCGTCTGCGTGGAAATCACCAAAGTCCTGAGCAAATTGCTCGATGACGCGCTGAACTATCAGCCGAGCGGGCCGCAGCAGCAGGAGGAGGAACAGGAACACCCACAGCCACACCAAGAATCGCAACTGCGGCTCCTGGATCAGGTGGACCGTGCGCGAAGCACGTCGCAAGCCAACATTGCTTCTGGTACTGGCGCTGCTCCCGGTGATGCCAACGAAAGACGAGATCCGACCCGTGCTGAGGGTGAACAAAGCCGTCAACAGCAAGTCTGTGACAACCCCGAGCAGGCCCAACCGCTGCTAGCACCCGAAGCGCCGGAAATCGGTATCGGTATCGGTATCGACGACCAATTTACAAGTGAGAAATTCCTGAGCTGGCTTGATGATCTTGACTGGGACGCGACAGTGCCAGACCTCCTTTTCTAATATATTACGCTCGCCGTTGCGCTCTATTATATATGGTTTGGGGAAGTAAACCGTGCTTCTTACACCTCGGAAATAATATGCTGGTTTAATGTGTACAGGTACGAGGAAGGACACGTCACGATGATCACATAAAGCCCCGAGGCCGACCCGTTCCATTCTTAAGAGCTATTCAAATGTTTGGCTAGAATATCATATGCAACGGCCGTAGAAGGATAAAAGGATTTAAGACAATTTTCAAGTTTGTGGACTTTTCGACAATATCCACATAGTCCATCATTCCTACCGGCTTTCACCAACCGGTACGTCAGGAGCTCAGGAGTCAATGTGGAATAGGTTTGCAGGGTACGGAACGCGTGATGCATTTGGGAAAGGAATGGAAGATAGTTCGAGTAATAGCTGGATAGGGAATACCGACCAAGTACCGGCCAGTATGAGAAGGGCTACAAGGATTCGGAGAAGTGGGATAATGACATATTATAACGGATAAAGTGAGATAAAGCTATAACAGGTCAAAGGGTCGACGGGAGGTCCCCAAATAAATGTGGGTGAAAGGGCAGGATAATGAGACGGACTTTTTTTTTTTTGGGTTAGGTGGGGGATAAGAGATGCATCGTGATAAAGAGAAACTCGGGCGAAGAAATGTGAAGAGAGGAATGAGCGTCAGATATATGATATCGGCGGCCGATTGTGGTAAGACGAGCGGAGGCCTAAGGGAGAGGACGACGGAAAGCGAGTTGGTGTGAGGAACGTGAAATCGGTATTAATCCCGTCAAACGGGGCAGTCACTAATGATATGAAAGACAACGCGTTCCACGTACAAAAATGAGCATCTTTAAGCCGCGGATATCACGACATATGAGGGGATCGTAGACCATAGATCGTGTGTGGACGTGGTACTTGAATCGGTTCGACGGCTCGCACACATGGTGATAAACGCTCGACTGAAGATCGCTATTCCAGAGTTTCCATGGCTCCGTTTATTAGAAGTCGGAGATGCAAGAACGTCCTCACTCCTGGGGCTGCTGGCTGCGTCGCATCTTCTCAGCTTCGAGGTTTTCGTAAAGAAGATAGAGTGCTTTTTCATTGGCTTGAGCGCTTCCCATGATGGTAAACATACGTTCGCCCGTTTCATCATGCGCAGCCTTCGCGATAGAGATTCGTGCACCAGAGCTCCGTCGAATCTCGCTAATTTTGCTGCCGCCTCTTCCAATAATGCATCCGACCATATCAGAAGGAATGCTGATGTTTTGGGTCTGGACCTCCTCACCATCTTCGGTTACGAGGGGAATGCCACGATTTGGTGCATCTGAATTGTGTCGTCTGTTATAAGTGCCGGGATGGTCGCTGAAGTCAGCTCCATTGCCGGTGCGATTGTAAGGACGTCCGCTATAAGTATTAGGGTTTGGTCCAACGAACGCGCTGTTCATCGACGCGCCGCCAACGTTGGCTCGAACAGCGGGGTTGTAGAGAACAGTTCCCGTTCCACGCTGCCAGTCATCGATGAGACACTTGCCGATTTCCCAGACAGCCTTTTCGATACCCTCTGGGGTTCCTTGGACTTCAACGATTCGTTCGGTCGACTGCGGGAGCATCTCTTTCTGGGCGACCATGCGAACTCCAGAAGCATCTTGAATGCATTTGATTTTCAGGCCGTTTCGGCCAATGATAGTTCCCATCTGGTTGTGGGAGATGAGAAGGCGAACAGCTAAGCAAAATTCAAGTGTCAGTGCACGGGAGTAATGGAAGACAGTGAAGTGTGTGGAGCGCCTTACGATGAGTGCCGTTGTTCTGGATGATTCCACCCATGCCCATCTGGGGCGCACCCTCAAGCAAACTCTTGGCGACCATTCCGTAGGCCTTAGCGGTTCCCTGAAGGGGCCCTGTGACGGTTAACACCCGATCGTGCACGCCCTGGACGACCTTGCTGACGCCAGCCTTGACACCGGTTTCATCTCTCAGATCAGCGACGTTCTTGCCGGCCTTGCCGATAATGACACCAGCTTCCTTGGTCGAGACGATTGCCCGGAGGGTCAACATGGACTGGGCATATTCTTCTTCGGTCTTGGGAGTGATATCTTCCCCTTGTTCGCTCAGGTTGACGCGATTGAAAGATTCGCTGAGACCCTCTTCGTGGCCGGGGGCGCCAGTAGCTTGTTGCTGTTCAGTCGCAGACATTTTTAGGAGGACAGAGAGGTATTTTGGAGTATGCGAGAAGGTTCAAAAAAGGGGACAGGGGTCCGGGAGATAAGGGTTTTGCTATTTTTGGATGTTGAAGAAAAGGTGGATGGATGGTTGCCTGTCTTTGGGAACATCAGTTTTATACATTCAAGTAAAGTAGGAATCGACAAAAAAGACGCACAGTCAAACAACCAGAGGAGGAGGATTACGCGGTTGGTAGTGAGAAGAGAAGCGGTGGAGGCCGTGTGTGCCCCCGGGGTGGATGAGCGGGAGAAGAAAGAAGTGATAGATATGAAGGATTCGCGGCGAAGGAGTCGGTGAAGCACGATGGAATTTGTGGCCACAGGGACGAAAAAGAGGCGAGAGTCAGGAGAGAGAGAGAAGAGCGGAGCGAAGCGTGGAAGAGAAGACGGAGGAGATGCAGGAGGAAGAAGAAGACGAGAAGGGAGGATTCGAAGGGGGAGGGGGAAGGGCAAAACGTGCGACGAGGTGGGATGAAGAAGGGTGTGTGAAGAAGAAGGCGAGGTGAGCGAAAGTCCCGTTTGGTGCTTTTGTGAAGGAAGTCATCACCAAACACCAAGCTGTGTTTTGTTACCGAAATGGAAGCCCACCACAGCAAACCTTCCAGCAAAAACCATGAATTTCTATTGGCTGCAGGAGCCTGTTTGAGCCGCTAACAAAGCCGCTTTCATAAGTATCACCCAATCACAGCTTGCCATCCACTGTGGATGACTAATACTCAGCTGTATTGTAATGTAATGATTCACTGGGTCTTGTGTCTTGTGTCTTGCTGTGGCGGCCGAAGCTGCGGCAAACTCTCACGAACCTGGCGCCGGGCGTTGGTTTGAGCCTGATACAGCGCTTGTCCTCAGGAGCCAACGGGAACCGCGTCGCCCTCCGGCCAGGAGTTCACCTGTTGCTTGGCTGCGGTTCCCCGTCGCAATGCCAGCACCCATCTTCATCCATCTCTGTCTGATCAATGACTGTTTTTCTTTGTTCCTGGGTGGCCGCACCCCTCCGGTCCCCCTTTGAGATGCCCTCATGTCCTTTCAGTCCGGCATCTACATGCTGCTCTGGTGAAGCGCGGCGATAGCAGTTATGGGTGATATTCAAACCTTGGGTTTAACTGTCGAGAAAATGTGCTGTGGACACACCATTTCTATGGTATCAACTGCCAGGACTTAGGAGTTCGATTGTTAAAAAATATGTTATCATTGCCATAACTGGTATAATATATATCATCTGTTATTTCCATTCCGATAGTGGTAACAAAGGCCCTCCCGGAGGCTTTGAAAGTGGCCAGCTTGAGTACACGATTTCAGTCTATTGACTGGCGTCGAAAATGACCTTTTGAACCTGCATTTTGTCGAAGATTCCATACCCTTCAACTGCCTGGCTCAGCGGCATGATTTTGTCGGCCATAAACCTGTCGTCAAGCTGCGTTAGCCATATATACATATTCTTTTTCTTTTTCCTTTTTCCTTTTCTTTTTCTCTTTTTTTAGTTGCTGTTACTCACCCGAGCAGGTGCTGCTTCTTCTTCAGCATATCGAGAGCCTGTGGGAAGATCGATCTCACTGGACATCGACCCATCTGCACCTTCAAGTTCTTTCCGTAGGCTTGATTTCCGGTCCATGGGATCTATCGTGGCCTTGTTAGCCTCCAATCAAATCCATTGATCCTGAGCACATACCTCTCCGTTATGGACTCCGACGCTACTGATCGTCCCCCAAGGCCGGAGCAACTCAAAGCCCATCTTGAGGGCGGGACTCAACCCGACAACTTCGATAACCACATCAGCACCACGACCCTCTGTCAGCTCCTTTACCCGCTTGTCCAATCCCTCCCGATCAGTTTGATAATTCCATGGTTCCGCGCCCAGCGACCTGGCCAGTTCTAGCCGTGATGGGATGGAGTCAACTGCGAGAAGGTGCTTGGGCTTATAGTCCTCTGCATTTATAAGAGCGCAGAGGCCGACCGGGCCGCAACCGATCAAGACGACCGTCAGCTCCGAAATTTGCTCCTTGGTAAACTCCCTGAATGCGTTGCTCGCTGCGAAATAACCTGTGGGGAAGATATCGGCCATCAGAACCAAAGCATGGTCGTTGATTCCCTCTGGTGCTTTCATTACGGTGCCATCAGCATTTGGCATTCGAACCTGCAGGAGTATCGTTCAGTGCAAGTCCTGGTGATGGCTTTTTTCTCATCAAGATATTAACCTGATTGCACTTACATATTCAGCCTGGCCACCATCTAACGTCGCCGACCCCAGTAACTGACTCTGTTCGCAGCGCGAAGAGAATCCTCGTTTACAGTAAAAACATTCTCCGCTAGATGGACATAGTTCGTGTTAGGATCCTTCTCCCCCGTTCCTTTTTTTTTAGATTGTAGCGTGCACTCCACCTACCATGACGACGTAAATGGGCTAACAATCTTGTCTCCTGGTTTCACCGTCTTGACATCACTTCCGACTTCTGTCACAATGCCAGTGTACTCGTGGCCCATGATGAATCCCGCCCCAGACGGCTGGTGGCCACGGAAGACATGAAGCTCACTGAACCGGGTTAGCATATTTCATGCATGATTTTAACCGCTCAAATTGCGAGTTTGAACGGATAAACTAGGAATACGAAATGCATCCGACGTACCTGCCGCAAAGCGCTGTGTATGTAACCTTAACAATGATATCCTTTGGGCTTTGAATCTGCGGGATAGGTCGGTCCTCCAACTCGACCTTGTAGGGGCCCTTGAATACGACTGCCTTCATGGTACCTTTGGCCGCCATTTTTTTTTTTTTTTTCAAAGTATAAGTAATTCTCCAACTCTACCAACCTATTCGCGGGCTTGAAAATGGCCTTTGTTTCGATTATGTGCCCCAATTGGACCTTATAGACGTGAAGTTGAACTTGCCTCCCGACACGGAAAAGCGCCAGTAATGATGACTACAAGTTCGGTGGCGGGCGCACGGCTGGATGATATTTATAGCCTAGGTACGGAGGACAGAGTATTCGCGAAACAAATCCCCGGACATCCACGCTTCTGGTCGTCGACCCACGATCCATAATGTGGAGAGAAACGGCGCGGGGCAAGGAGTTACTTTCTGGCCCTCGGCATCTAGGTACAGCCATGTAAATTGCCAGTCACTCCGGACAAACGCATATGTGGAGCTGTGAAGTATCCATCATGGCGGCATAGCAGAGTGTATAGGTGGCTACTGGGGATTGTTTGATAGCTATCTTTTGCTAGTTGTGTAATTATTGGGGAATCTGGATGCTCCCCTTCCGAGTTAACTAGTTAGCGCAAGAGGCTTGCTGCTCTGTCTTCATCCTCATTGTCCTCACCCCTACACTGATTTGAAGAGTGACAGAACGGAACGCCACCTTGCTCACGGTAACACTGTATCCGTTGTCAATCTCCAAGTCTCAGTAATATTCAAAATATCTGTTGCTGTTACGCGTCGAGTCATCCAGATTCTTCTGGAAAATCAACTTATTTCTTGAGTGCCTGAGCCCAGATACAGCAGAGCCCTAAGAGCGAAAATTCGTCTGAGCTAGGCCACTGCTGGAAGTTAATCAAAGTGATTATCTTCAAAACCCGGAGTTACGTACCTTAAAAGAGTTGAATGGCAATGGCTGTTCCTACTGATATCTCTTTAAATAGGTCTGCAAGAATCCCTGGTAGGTGTGCATGCTCAGCTGCGGAGAGCTTAAAGCAGATAGTTACTTTACTTCCTCAGGAGACCGCCTCACCTCCATCCCCAAGAATTGTCCCACTTGGCCATGAGACATTCAATGCCCGATCTGTTTTACCATCTCTGAATCATAGCTAGGCACCTGACTCAATGTATAATGAAGGCATTTTCTGAGTAAACCGCGACCGAACATCTTGAGAAATACATATAATGCTGTTTTCAAACCACCTTTCAGTAAACGCGGGCGGACCCTGTGATTTTCCGAAACAGGAGTGCTTGTATCTGTATGTTTTGCGACAGGACTTGCATATGTACCTATTTTGAAATCATCGAGAATGACATCTCAATCCCAGGTCTTGCTGGGAACAGGTTCAATTCTTGAAGTTTGACACGGTGCTTGGAGATTGGTCGACTGGTTATTTGCTTAGCTTGGGTGCGTCACCGACCCCGCTCCCATCGGAGGGTCCAGCATCAGTAGTTGTATCTCCCATACATAGTACTGTCAAGGATCTTGCTGCAAACTGTGAAAGGCCCCTGGCTCACGCCATTCGAGAACTGCGGGGGAGGGGCAAACTCGGAATCCGAGCTGAACTTTGAAGCTCCCAGGTCCCCGTACAACGTCGGTTGCAACGACACACACGCGACGCATGATCATGAGAAGCATAGGAATGGTAATTGACGTTGTGTTAATGTATATCCGATTTCAAATCTCAGGCATTCATCTCAAGAGAAAGCGAGGGAGAAACATGATGATGAGACCAAGCTTGGTCAAAAAGACACAACCCCCGGGGAGTCTCGGCGCGCGGGAGTTAACCGGCGTTGTGCTAATGTTAGTTTGCACCCGGGAAAGTGCACAGGCAGCGCTCTGGACCAGTCCATCCTCTGGTCCAGGGAGCGGTGTTAGGGACGGGCATACCCTGAAAAGCATGGATTTCCCCCCTGAAGGCTAGGGGCGGTTAGGGGTGGCCCTGGCGTGAGCGTTAAGGTTTTCCGGGGCTCTCGGCGGGCAACGTGTACAACGACCTTATGACTAATAACATTACCATCACCATTTCCAGGCAAAACCCAAAGAAAACCCGACCTCGACTTGCGCCCAAAACCATCCATCCATTTGCAAATTCAAGCAAACAACAATACGCTCTGCTCAACCCACTATGAAACCGACCTCGCAAAGCCAGCTCCACACGGGCCCCTTCTCATGAGAAGCCTCTTCAATTGACCTAAGTCTTCCATTCCGCACCGCTCCATGAGTCGCAATGGCCGAGCCCACGCCTTCCTCCGCCGCCAAAGAGGCTGCCGCTGCGGCGCCGCGTTTCCACTACATCCAGTATGACAGCGCAAAGGAGAATGAATACGTGCCCGCCATGCGGCAGTTGATATCAAAAGATCTCTCCGAACCCTACAGCATCTACGTCTATCGATATTTTCTCTACCAATGGGGAGATCTGTGTTTCATGGTTGGTCCTGAGAAGGCCCGCGCACTTGTTCCCCAGAAAAGAAAAGAAAAAAAATCCATACACACCGAGAGAAAGCAAGAGGAGCTAACGGTGACTTTGTCAATAATGAAATGATTCCAGGCGATGGACCAGAACGATAACCTAATTGGAGTCGTGGTGTCCAAGCTCGAACCTCACCGCGGCGTTCCATTACGGGGATACATCGCCATGCTCGCCGTGCAAGAAGAATATCGCGGGAGAGGAATCGCGACTAAATTAGTCTGCATGGCCATCGACGCCATGATCGAGCGGAATGCGGACGAAGTGCGTTTCTCAAGAAACTTCCGTCTTTTCTTTTCTTTTCTTTTCTTTTTGTTTTTTTTTTTGTTTCTTTTCTTCCTTTCCCTCCCCCAGTGTCATTGGCTGAGCCCACCCGCTCGCTCGCTCTCCTAACCAAAACTAACGACGCCCTGTAGATCGTTCTCGAAACGGAAACGACAAACACTTCCGCCATGAAACTCTACGAGCGCCTTGGCTTCCTCCGCAGCAAAAAACTACACAGATACTACCTCAACGGCAACTCCGCATTTCGACTGGTCCTTTACTTGAAGGAAGGGGTGAGCATGCTTGATACCTACGGCTGTCCGCATGCGCCGCATCCAGCAGTCGGAGGCGACGATGGGCTGCCCTTGCATGAGGATGGTGAGTACCCCGCAAGGCATATTGTCTGATAAGGATCGACGGCTCCTTTCGCCCGAACAGAACGACAGACAGCGAGCGAAGGAGTGACTTTTCTTCCTCGCTCTTCGAATGTATGGCGAATCCTTGAGACATGCGGCAGTAGGACATACCAAATCTAGGATGTATGTTCAAAGGGGTAACCATATGCGATTGCTTGTTTTGGGAACGGAGTATTTTACTCCATCGAGGTACTATTATATGGACTGAATGCTTGCTTTTCCGGTTGAGCAATATCACAATCCCACAATATCCATAATTTGACAACGAACATTGAGAGACATGCTACCAAGCGACGAGACACTGGAGTTTCACGGCCTGCTCACCACAAACTCATACGATTGAGCCTCGGCGCCTGTTGTGCCTGATGTACACACATACATACATGATACATAATACTGTTGATACAAAAATAAATTGCTTTTCGCCATCCATGCCAAAATAAATGCGCCAAACAAGTGTACATTCAATACTGATAAACATAGGAAACCCCACAAGCGTCCAACCCAATAAGATAAAGTGCTCCTATGACCAAAGGTTATACACACTACACTTCGGACACGCTGATTTCGCACATTAAGTACTCTATAAGTCATAAAAACTATGCTCTTTAAGCAGGTGGATAGCGCGACTCCTTGTCATAAGCATAGTCGACGATCATATGCCTGAATTCCAGATCCGGAAAATCATCATCAGACTTAAGCATATCTTCCAATCCCGAGCGCGCAAGGGCGTCCTCTATTTCCTCCTGGTGCTGCTGCTCCGTTTGTAATACGCGGTCTTTCACCCAGAACTTAGGTTGGATAGGGACAGGAATGGTCTTTTTTCTCTGGAGAAGAACATCCGTAGTGGCCCTCGTCCAGAAGATCTCCCGGTCAATCGCTCGCATCAAGAGATCTGGCAAGGGAATAGAAGGAATATGGGCCGAACCAGACTTCAGGTCCCTCTCGACCAAAATCTTCGCTAGCTCTTCGCGCCACTCCATGGGCGGGCCGTTTTCTGCGTCTGTACACAGATGTTCCACGACTCCCACTTTGGGATTTGACGGATACTGCCCCTCGAGTCTATTGTTCTCCGTTAAAAACTTCGGAACGGGAAGAACTCCAACCACAATCTTTCCGAGGTTTATGAACCACCTTTGCCCGATGGTCAATTCTCGGTCCGGTTCCAACGGCCGGGCAAGAGATCGCATAACCGTTTTCGCAATGCCAACAGTCGCTGAACCTTGAAGACAGGCGTATCTCCAGATCACTCGGCAGAGTGCATAAGACCGGCGTCGAACAGCCAAGAACCAAAGGAGCTGCCAGGTCATCAGGCTTAGTTTTGGCCTGTACAGCTTAACAAACTTCGCAAAGAAATTCACCCCGGCTCTGGCATGCTTCGTATCAACATAGTAGAGAAGGACGTTATTCAACGTGTTCGTATTTAGCTTCAATTGTTTCTCGAAACAATAGCGAAATATTTCGTTGCGTGCTTCCAGGTTTTTTGTCAGGGTAGTTTCCAGTATCATTTTATTGACTGCCAGAGTTGATAACCAATTATCCCCGAATTTCCGCGCCATTCCTGTCAAGAACTCTGATGTGCGTTCTCCATTTTTCAAGGAAGCGCGGAACTTATAACGAATCGTAGCGCTGACTGCATGCCTGATGGCGGTTGGGTGCTTCAATATTCCTCGGTTGTAGATTTCATCAAGGAAATGTGCTTTAAGCTGCTCACTACCTATGGAGTGAATGAAAGCGACCCAGCACCATTCATTCGGACGAATGTGATGATTCTTCATGATGTTGACGTAGGTCTTAAAGAGCTTCATGTTGTAATTCGCAGCAGCAGATCGTAACAATGCGCTGAATGTTCGACTAGTGAAGAAGTCCGAAAAAACTGGAAATAAAGTTCCAATATCCTCGAAGAATTTATGGTGGTGGAGATAGCCTATCACAAGGGTCATTGTTCTAGCAGAAAAAAATTTCCTGTTCTCTGGGTTCTGGCAAAGCCGAAGCAGAATGTTTTTGACGATGATCTCGTGGACGTCTCCATTATCGTAAATTACTCTGTGTGGAGACTTGGTATGCCGGAAGGTGGTTATACTCTCCACATAGTCTGCGAAGGTTCGGATAGTCCAAGACTCTGGCATTGGTATATCATCAACCCGATCAATGGTCTTCTTCGGACGGTTGAAGAGAAGCGAAGGTGACTGCATCCATACACCATGTTTACGTAGAGTGCGTTCAATCTGGCCTTCAACACCGGCTCTCATTCGTCGGGTAGACCATACTGAACGTACGCGTGGGGCTTTGGGCTTATCTGTGAAGCGCACAAACGGTGGAAGAGACGAGCGTTTGGAACCTTCAGGGTATCCCAGTTCGGCCATTATCTGCTTCTCTCCCATCTCGACTGCCTTCGGTGAGCCTAGCAAGCGGACTTTGCGCATAGGTCCATAGTCATCCTCCTTTCTGGGGAGTACATGGACTCGGCAACCGCTTACCACCGAGATATCCCAGGAATTTTCCACATCGTCCCCTCCCAATGTAACGACGGCCTCCTCGGGCAATTCAATGACTTTCTGACTCTCAAATGTCATAAAGGGAGTCTCTGGGGCCTCCTTTGATAAAGCAAAAAGCATATCCGCGACCTCTTGACAAAGCTTGAAATATTGTGGATCAAACGGCTTGTCTACAGCGCGGGCCTTTAGTAGATTTGAAATTCCCAACCAATCTAGTTGCGGAGACGACGTCTTTGACCCTCGAGTGCTAGGATCTCTAGTAGTTGGGGTTGTTGTCCTGGAATATGTGCCAGGAGGTATCGATTGCGGCGACTCCGAACCATACGCTCGTTTCCCAGTAGGATGCTTTCCGCGGGACGCGTTGTCGGCATCATCGAGTTGGAGCGGGGCCATCCCCGAAGCAGCACTCTTTCCACTCATAAACGTCGAGTCTGTGTCTGCTAAAGCGTTGTCGGGAACTCGAGATTTGGGTGTGTGCGCATCCGTATTTGGTGTTCGGGAAGCCAATGCCGCGAATCTGACACCCATCCCTCTCATTGGCGTTTTGGGTCGTAGCCCAACATACTGACCCGACCGCACCCTTCCAGAGACATGTTTGCGCTGCGTCGCGTTTCCGTTCTCTGAAGGATATGATTGTAGCAATAGGTCTTTTCCAACAGTCCGATCCTGGCTTTTTGTCTCGATGCCATTCGACTGAGGTCCGTTTCCTTCGACAGCAAGGGCAAGTAGGTCCGCCTGTTTCGCGAGGGCTAACTCGGGGTCAATATCGATCTCAGGCTTAGGAGTTTTGATAGGCCCGAACTTGTAGCGACGTATTACAACCGGCGATGCTGTCGTCGATACCTCCTCACTACTCGCACTATTAGCTCCCTCGGACATAATCATTGGTTTCTCAGAGTAAGTATTTTTCTCTTTCGTGCGGTACTGGGATTTATCCACAAGCCCGGATCTATAAGACAACCCCCTTCGACTAACATACCTGGCAGGATAGCCACTTGTATTCGCCGATGGCTTTCCCTCCTCATTCCCCGCCGGTGCGCCTCGTGTAACCCGATTGGTGGGTGTAACTCCGCGTGAGCTACGGGTCTCCGACGCCTCTGTTGAGGAAGAGGTGCTCCCAAATCCCGACTCGTGCTGATGGACTGCAAGCTGAGACGAATGCCTCACAGACGTATCGCAATGAAAATCTTTCAACTGGCTCCTGCACAGCAGTTTCGGCCGCCTTTTGGTCCTCAATGCATCGACTGGGAGTGTGGTCAAAGGTTTCCCGTGGGAGCCTTCGAATTGTGACGCAAAAAACCGGGGATAGAGGAAAAGTAAGGGTTCATGGGCGGAGACGGGGAGCTTGTCGGCAACTGCTGCTACTCTGCTTCTCAGGCAGTAGCGACTACCAGACAACATGGAGGGCGAAATTGTTCGCGATTGGGGTTTGACTAGCAGCAAACCTCGAAGTCGCGGAAAAAGTCTCTGGATCTCAACCGTGAGCCTGATCGCAGCTTATGTAATCCACCCTTTTGGGCGTATTATTCCAACGCCGAGTAACCATTTCTTCCGTACGTACGTACGGAGTACTCGTTGATTTCTACTGCAGTGCGGAAGTACAGCTTCATGGCAATAGGTTGTATTTAATTTATGCATCCCCCCAGAAATAATGCAACATCTACGCTAGGGGTGAGAACCACATATTGGCTCTTTTCCCTTTACGGCACCTATCTCTGGGCCGACATCTCCCCAAAATTCGAGGTCGTTATAGCGACGGTAGATAGTGTCGATAGCTCTAACAAGATTATTCCTCCTCCGCCTTGCACTTTCATCACCGGTGACTTCGGATATCTCTTCAACGGCGCTGACGAGGAACTCGACCAGCTGGCGCCGGGAGGTGTGGAAGACAAGCATGGACATTATGTCCAGGATCTGTCAATGAGTCAGACGAATTAGCTCTAGCGAGGAGTGATACGGCTCACTGACCTTTTCTTCCAAATACACTAGCTCTTCATTTCCCATATGCACAAAGGCCTTGACCGCTTCGATCTTTTCTCTATCTAATGTGGCCCTTTTGACAGCCTTCAACAAAATAGCTGGATTTGTAATCTCATCTGGGGATATACGCTCCTCCTGCTCTTGTCGTATTCTGCTCACGTAGCTTGCACTCTCTGGGAGGCTGATACTTGGATCAAGATTTCGAGAGACCGTTCTTGAAGGAAGGAAGTCCTCAAGCGTGGAGTGTGTGTGACTTCGATCATCAGTCGCTAGCCTCTGGAACCCCTTTGGTCCTTTCCTCACTCTTTTCCTCAACCATCGCCTTCGGCGCACGAACGAATGGTACCACGGATGTGTCCCATGCCATGCGAACCTCGACGCGAAAGAGAACGAATACTGCCATCCTTCCTCATCCACATCATACGACATATCGATATACCAGGTCCTCCATGCCCATTCCCAATTGGGATCGGGAGGTTGTGCGTTGGTGATATCCACCGGGCTCATCTCGAAATTCTTCGTCAGCCAGGCGGCGGGGTCCAGATTCAATAGAGATTTTTCCGAATAGTATGGCGTGCCGAAGAAAAACCATCCTCGCTGATTCTCGTAGAGAACATCAACCACGCTATGCGGCTCACCCTCGACATTTATCCACTCCACGTCCAAGTCGACGCCATCCGCTTCGGCGCAGCTGCTCTTGGTGCTCGCACGATTGATCGACAAGCTGCGTTCTGGTTGGGTGGAATCGAGTCTCGATAGAGAGGTTTCCGCGCTCGAACCGGCTTCTTGGTTGTCGTAGCGATCCCTCTGCCATTTGGCATATTTGCGTCTCGCAAGGTTCTCTCTGACCGAGTTCCGGGTAAGTCTCTTGCCCAGGGATCTGCGTTGTTTTATGTTAAGGGAAGGGTGCAGCGAAAGAGTGGTCTCGGGCTCGGCTTCGGGAAGCGTACTATCAACGAGAGTGATGCTCGCGTTGTCTGTCATCGTTTCAATTCCAAGGATGTGGTGTGCTATCTCGCAGTTTGAGCAGTCATCGTGCAGCGTGGGATTGGATCATCCACCTCCAGCCATGCACGGCAGGAAGATTCAGTCAAGCCAGAACACATGACGAGAGGGCGTCTGGAATTGAGATAAAAAAAAAAAGAAGAAGAAGAAGAAAAGAGAGAGAGAGCGCAGCTGTGCCACTCTGCGGCGTCGGAGAGCGGCCAGCGCCACCCAGACCAGGAAGGGAAGGAGCAGCAGGCCGTATGACATAATTTGCCCATCCCACGCGACCCACAGCCGCGCTAAGCCCAATCGGGCTGATCCGTTTGTCGCGAGAACCTTGCGGCGACCCGGAGGGAGGGCTGCAGACAGATAGACAGACAGACAGATAACCCCGTCTAGGATCCCTCGAGAGCACTGCGGGACAGCCATTGATATCCAACTGCCTTTGTCTCCTCATTACTAAGACCATGCAAGCCCCCCACCACCGCAAAATCGAGCTCCAATCCACCGCCGACCTCGCCTACCTCTACACCAACGCCCTCAATCTCTCCCGCCAAAAGCTCGACCTTCACTTCCCCCCCTCGGCCAACAATGATTCCGACGACCCCATGAAAGCGCGAGTGCGCGGACTCGTCGACGAATTCATCGCAAAGACATTCACTTCCGCCATCCCCTCCATCAGCATCAACGGACTCGACACGTCCGCCGCCGGGAAAAAGGGAATAGAGCTCGCCGATCTCCTCTCCATGCGCGAACAGGTCGAATACGAACCGTACGACTCGCAGCTGGCGGCCCGTGTCACAAGCCTCTACGCGCAGCTGGAGTCTCTCACAACGACGGTGGCCCAGATGCGCAGGGATGCGCCCGTCAAAGCGGCGAAGAAGTATGCGAAAATGCTACGGGATGCGCTAGAGGAGGATGACAAGCAAGTCGCCGGTGACGGCGCAGATGCCGATTACAAATTGTATGGAGGCGAGGACTTGGACTCCAAGGATGCAGCGTCCCTGGATTGGGCGCAGATCCAGCAGCATCGACCCGAGTGGATCCTGGACGTACCGTTTGGCAGCCAGCGGGAGCGGGAGAGGTGGTGTGACGGTGAGATTGGCGAGGTCTACGCCGATGGATTGAAGACGCTGGTCCGATTACAAGGTGAAGCCACTTTGGGCAAGGATGACAGTGACAGTGAGGATGGAAACGGGCACAGCAGTAAGGGTCTCGCTGCGACTGTAGGGAAGGTCGAAAGGGCGAGGCAGGCTGCAGAGGTTGTTGAGAAGATGTGATTTGTCCTTATTGCCTTTGGATTCTCCATAATGGCTTCGGAAATGTGTTTCGTGAAATGTTGGCGTGGCTGGAACAGGTGTCATTGGCGTTAATGGAGTCCCGGGATTTACATTTGGCCGAGCGTGTATGAAGGCTAAAGACGAATGATGATGAGAGAGGTCATACATATACCCCCCCCCCCCCCCACAATATATGAACTGCAATTAAAGAAAATATTACGATGCACTTATATATAACGGTGATAGAGCAACGGAGAAATCTCCCACCATTCACATCTAAACTATATTAGCACAACCAAATGTGCTTCTTGCGGTGAGAGCAGCCAAGGAAAAAAGGTAGTAAGGGGGAGAAAGAGTATTCTATCTATATTGCAAGGCCCAACCCTTTTTCTTTTTTTTTTTAAATTTCCTTCATCCTCTCCTGGTATAATGTAGTCAACCAAATGGCATTTGGGCGCTGAAGAAACTAAACTCCAATCGAATGATGCTCGCCTCACATTCCCTACGCCGAGATCTGATCTTTCTGCGCCGGAGCCGAAGTAGTCTCCGCGGGTGCAGCGGCAGCTTTCTCCTTGTCGGCATCTTCCTTTTTCTCCTCCTCTCCCTCCGCCTTTCCTTCTTCCTTCTTCTCGCCCTCCTCACCCTTGTCGTCCTTCTTTGCCCATTTTGGCGGCTTAGCCCACTCCGACTCTTGCCAGGGCCCCATGTCACTGAACGGACATCCACCAGGACACTCGCACTGTCCACCAAACTGCTTCGGCAGATTCTCTGCGGGGACCTGTGCCAGCAACTCCTTCTCATATCCAGAACCTAGAACGTTGATCTTGCTGACAGTCACGGGGTCCAGGAAGCCCTTGACGACGCTGAAAACGGTGCTGAATCCCCAGGGGGCATTGATGATGTACAGCTTTCCTAGACGCTCAGGGTAGTAGTTCTGCGAGATGGCGGAGGCCTGTTTGATGTAGCCGAAGACGGAGGCCGCGTTGGAGATCCCGACGCCCTTGAGGTCCATGATCGTGCAGCAGGTTTCGAGAAGATGACCTGATTTGCGTGCACAGGCGGGGAGGCGGGGATCAGCGAGCTTTTCGTACTCGCAAACCAGACTTTTGAGCATGCGTTCGCTGGTGGTGATCTTGTACATGGCTGTGAGGTCGATTTTGCCAAGCTGTTCGATGTAGACGGGTCGTCCATCCTGTGTAGGGGGTTCCAGAACTGTTAGCAGAGTGTATGCGTTCGGTCGCCAACTCCCTATAGGGGGCCCCGGAGAATAATAAACCTACCTTGTCCGTCTTATGATAGTATTGGGGGTAGTACTCAAACACCTGCTCCTTTTCCGTATAATGGAAATCTGTCACCAGCGAATCTGTTCCAAAATCTCTTCTCCATTGCTCGCAGGCGACGAACCTAAACAGCACATATCCAGGTCAACAACAATAACGGAAAGCACCAGATCCTAGAAAAATTCCCAAAAGAAATTCCTGGCCAAGGACAAGAAGAGGAAAAAGAGGGAAAAAACAAGAAAAAAAGAAAAAAAGAAAAAAAAAGAAAAACTCACATAGTCTTCGCAGCCTCTACATTAAACTTCCTCGCTCTGAGAAACCTCAGTAAGGTCAAGGTATCCAGGCGATCAGTGTACCCCAGAGCCTCCAGCATCATCCTCAGCTGAGCAACCTGCGCATCCTGCTCCGGCGTCGTGTGGCCTGGGTGCCCGGATTGCGCTACAGGAGCCGTGGTGGGAAAATCATAATCGTCGTACTTGGGATCAAGCTTAAGAGGATTCGTAGGTTTAGCCGGGGGTGTAGTCGACATGATTAATGGGATTATTATGAGGGGAATGTGCGTTGTGTGCGTGAGAGAGAGAGAGAGAGAGAGAGAGAGAATTTTGGTCTCAAGCTGCTGTAGGCTCCAAGAAACCCGAAAAACGGTTGAAGACGGTCTCTTTCTTTGTATTGTTCTCGAGAATGAGAAAACAGTACACAGACCGAGCGATGAGTTTGACAGCTGAGTTTTGAGAGCTGAGTTTTCGAGGACGAATCGGCGGGAGGGCGGGCAGGCAAGGGGGCGGCGGGGCGGTGATCGTGGAGGGTTCCTGTTGCTGGGATCTGGGCGTGGGTCCGTGGGCAGTTGCTATGCGAAAGGAGGTTCGTTGAAGATCGCTAAGCTGGAGTATCCTTTTGTCCCCTTTGACATGAACTAAACTTAGGGTTAGCCGAGCCTAGTCTCCTGTCGGGGCTTTGGGACCGAGAATTTGGCTCGAGCAATCGTCAAGCGGTGAAAAGACGCTGTGGCGCCAAAGTTGGTTCTTCTGAAGGGCGGATGGAGTTCCGGGAGGGGCAATTCCAACGTCTGGAAAACTCTACCCAGACACAGATTCCCCTGCCGGCGAAAAAGGGCTTCCAAAAGCTCAGTTATTCCTAAAATATGGCTATATAAGAAGTCCAATGCCAGCTCAGAGAAGTGGTAATCATCAACTGATCTTCGTCTCAGCTTGACATCCTCATCTGGCCGCGACCCACCACCGTATCGTTATGAGATGGGATAACGAATGACATACAAAATCCCCACATGCGTTTCCCCCCTTTTTCGCCGTCCAGACGGTGAGCCACGGTCAGCTTCCCCTGACTCGGCAGCTTGGAGCTTAACCAAAATGACTTCAGGCAATTAATTCAGGAGTTCTCCCTGCCAGATCCAAACCGTGCTTGAGTCTCACCCCTCGAGGGCAAGGCGTCTACTCCGCATGCACGGAAGCATCGTCGGAGGTGAAAATTGGACGTACAGGTCATCTGTCTATCTCACCGCGCAGGAATGGACGGTTGTAACGGCCCCCCCCCATCGAGGAACGTAATGGGCACGTTACCCTTAGCCTCGTGGAAAAGAGTAGTTGCAGAAAAGGAACTAGAAAACACGGCATTTCTGTCCCTGTCGCGCATCGAGGATCGAGCCGTCTTCAATTAAACCATGGCTCTCAATCCTACGAATGCCGGCCACACTTTGCCGTCAACAACCTGTCTCCCGGCCATCTGGACGCATTTTCCCAAAACCCTCGATCGTATCATTTCATCCGACCTCGGAGGACATGCCTTCGTGCAAATTGTCAATGGCAAACTGGCGCCCATGATTGATTTTGATCTTAAAGATGGTCGCAGCCGCTTCTCTTCCAATTATTATCTCTGGACCACCTGAAGAAGCCATGGAAATGGCCAAATGTTTTCAAGACGGCTTCTGAGCAGATGCACTTGAGGTTGATTTTCATATCAGTTTCGTAAAGGTGTTGAGAGAGGAGGTGTAAGAAAGAATCTATAGGCTCTTTAGTGTAGCTAACGCTGCTTCGAGAAGCCCACATAGCTGAGGCCTTTGAAGATATGCAGACAGTCGCCCGGCTATTTATAGAACTTTGTCTGCATCAATGTGTACAAAAAAGAAAAGAAAAGAGAAAAGTGATAACTAGCCAATCCAAGAGAGTGTACCCTCCAACAGCTACCTCCGGGGAGCATGTGTGCATGTCGACGCTGTGTGCTTATGACCCATTGTTGAGCCTTGACAGATATTTCTTCCTGTTGCTGTCATACCAACAGTAGTACAGTTATCCAGGTGAAATGAACTTGCCATCTCTGACAGATACAGCTGAGCCAAGCAAGGTCCAGTTTATATACATGACTCCCACGGGTGAAACTAACTCCAACTTGAAGGTCTTAACATGAATCACAGAGCCATTCAAAAATAAAACTGTGTTATTAAAGGGAGGTTACTCTGGTGCTAGTCATTAACCTAGCCAACAGTACAAATATATTGGAATTAACTACCATCTTCATGAAGCTAAATGCGAAGGCCAGCCACAAATATCACAGCGGCTCAAAAGTAATTATTATGTCCCAATAGACCCCTATGATAAGTACATACATACATAACAAGAGTTGCAGAGAGATCGCTTTCTCATCTGCACCATCACTACATCAAAAACCAGTGTGAGATGAAAAAGCACCCGCTCAGAAGCAACCAAGTAACGTCAGAAGGCAATAATCAGTGTAGCCCGGGCGGGTTGGGGGGGTGTCATTCAGAGGAATTTTTTTGCAGATAAAAAAACACACAAAAACACGAAAGACAAAAAAAAAAAAAAAAAAAAAACACAGGGAGGGGAATCTGATAAGCACAATACGGTGAATTAATATAACAAGAAAGAAAAGAAATAAAAGGAAAGGAGTCAATCAAACAGCATCGGGGGCGCAAGAGGAGGGGCGGGACGTCGACTCAATCATATCAAATTCAAAACCGACACGCAAAGAACAAATATGACCACCATCTGCAGCCCTCCTCTCCCCTCCCCGGCCAGCGGTTGGGGGCGGGAGAAGCAGCAACTCATGGTCTCCATTAGCAGACACAAGGGGAGGATAAAAGTCACTATCGGATGGATTACAGCATTAGATTTTTTTTTTTCTGCTCTTTTCCCCTTTCTCTCAGCCAGTGAGTCGGGGGTAGAGTGCGTCATCCGGATGGGATGCGGGTAGGCAGAATAGTCAAGCATAAAAATAATACGGGGCATGACTTGAGAGGGTGGAAGGGGAAACAAAAACAGTTAAAACGGGGAATTTGAGGAAGATGCGTTCGCCTTTCCCAAGTAGTGATGTGTATGCAAACGTGCGAAATTTTTCGTAGGGTAAAATAGAAGCGGGCTTCAATCGGGGCCTCATATCTTCCGATAGACTGTCCGTACCGTCGACAACACAAAGCGCTTAAAGCCTGCTCCTTTTATTCATTTTTGGCTTCCTCGTTTTACCAGCCTTTCTTTCGAGCAAAGCGTTTGTTCAGCAGCGCCAACACCCTGGAGACATTGAACTGAACGTATTCCAAGTCCAGATCTTCTTGGTTATCCTTCTGCATCTCCAGCAGATCATCAAGTTTCAAGTCAAGCTCCAAGAGACCACGCGCACGTCCTGAAGAGGGGGTAAAGTATAAGTGAGTAAATCCATCAACTCAAGACAAACCAAGAAAAAAAGGGACAGTTTGAGGCAGGGGAGAGTTACTAACCTTTATAATGCAAGCTAATAACAAACGTCCCCGGCAACGGACTCTTGAACATAAAATATATATTAGCCCTTCGGTTCTCGGGAACATTACTCTTTCGAATAACCCCTTCCTTCTCCAGCTGCTGATGTGTGAACTTATACGGCCCCAGCTCCTGATGTTTCTGCTGCTTCCTCTGCTTCCCCTCCGACTGACTGCGCACATTATGCAGATACGACTTATAAGTCTCCAGCTGCATGACCAGGTACGTATTATGGTCGCGAATCGTCCGATACACCTCGTCCAGCTTCCTGGTTTCCTCGATAACCTTCTCCTTCAACGAGCCCAGGTGGACGAGCTCCTGCTCGACTTCGTTCCGAAGCAGGCTAAAGTCATCAGACTTATCGATGACACCGAGTTCTTGAAGCGAGCTCAACAGCTCCATCGTACGAATCCCCTTGCGCACCATGACAGCGTCGTTCTTCAGCGTCGCAGCAGCCTCAGCGATCCGATCTAATCGAAGCGGGCGGCGCGTAACAGCCGAATTTGGCGGCAGTGAACGTAGGATCTGAACGAATGTGGACTTGGCTTCCATGAAATATATCTCTTCTTGGGTGATATCCAACGCCGAGGTTAAGTCGTCGATCGGGGTTTCCCACTTGCTAAACAGCGGTAGATTTATGACTCGGTTCTCCTTGCGCGGTAATTGGGGCGGAGATGGACCGAGTTCCTGTAGTAAGACGTGAAGATGCGAGTGTTGGTCGGAGGCCAGGGCGGCACTGTGTTTATCAAGGAGGGCATGAGTGGCGTAAACTTCGTTTAGAGTGATCTGCAACTCGAGATCGCGCTTGGAGAGGGCAACGTAATTATCCATTTCCAAACTTTCATAAAAGTCTTGAACCTCGCAGAGATCCAGCAGGAATTTGTTGACCCGTTCTTTATTCTGATGGATGAACGGCTGTAGTTTGGCCATGTATGGCTCTTTCGCGTAAGATGGCTTGTTCGCGATGTTCTGCAACATCTTCGCGATAAGCGTCAATGTACGCCGCGGCTTCTCGGCGGGCGTTCCGTCGATAAGCATGTAGGATCGAGGAGTAACAATAGCGGGGTTGATGAATCGCAAAAAGAAGAACCCTCCAATCAGGGTGCAGATCGTATGATCTTGCGCATCAGGGTATTTCCGTCTCGAAAGACTCCTGATCTGCTTGCAAATCCAACGGATACCGTACGGGGTCTCCTCGAGTCCCTCGATGATCGTGCCAAGGAAAGCATTGGCGATGTCGCTCAGCATTTTTAGACGCGGCGCGATAATCGCCTGGACCTGTTCGTTTGCAGCAGCGACTTCTGCCGTCACCGACTTTGGCAGATAGTCTGGCAAGGATCCTGTATTTTCTTCGATTTGTTTCACCATTGTTTCGTAAACTTTCAGTGGGTTGATCTCAAGATCCACGTCCTTCAATTCAATAAGAGAGTTGATTTGATCTGCAAGGACCTGCTTCAAATAAGCTTGTCCGGGGCCTCTTCGGGTGTACGTTGTCATCATCCGAGACACCGGAGTGTTCTGACGTAGAAGGGAAGAGTATTCAGGGGTGTTGTCGAATTGATATGTGAGGACGGATTGGAACATGGTCAGTAAGAGATGCTCTTCTCGGCTTTCGTATTGGTTACCGTAGATAGTGAACATGACGGTTTGAAGCAGCGAGTCGATCTCAGCCATCGAAACCAGTCTGCAAAGGTGTGCGATATGACGCGGTTCGGACTGTAAGAGGAATAAGAGATTTCCATATTTCTGCGTTTTATCGTCGTTCGGGAAGACACCCTCTTGGAGTTCGGCTGAATCGTCGAGGTGGCTAGCGACTTCGTTTTGCTGGTAGTAAATAACGAGTCAGTTGCGATAATACTGGAAAAAAAGAAAAATAAAATAAAAGAAAAGAAAAGAAAAGAAAAGAAAAGAAAAGAAAAGGAAAAAAAAAAGGCTCGACGTATATAAGCGGAGAAAAAAGACATACTTCTTCTAACGCCATGCGGTTCTGAATCAAAAGCGCAATTCTCGAATCCAAATATCGCACGTCTTTCTCAAGCACGAAGTTCTTCTTCGACTGCGACGATATCTTCAACTTCAATTCCCTCAGAGCTTTCTGCGCTATACACCGAGACAAAAGATAAAACCGTCAGCAAAAAGCTCGGCCGGATGTGAGAGATTGGGTGTTGGGTTCTCGTCAAACCTTTTGCCAGCTCATCTGATATCTCAAGATCCTTATCCTTTGCCGACATGGACAGATACAGGGCCGTGACGGACATCCGCTTGGACTGTCGCATAGAGCGGGCATCGTGCGAAGACATGGTGTTTTGTCTGGTCATGGGCTGGAATGAAGAGGATGAAGACGTAGACGCCCTCGACGCCCGCGAGGCTGGCTGGAGCATTGTTGCGACTGACATGGCTGCGGTGTTGCTTCCTTTATTTTCCTTCTTTTTCTTTTTCTTTTTTTTTATTATTCCCGGCAAAATAAATCGATAAACGAAGGCCAAAAAGAAAGCAAAGGGTATATTCCGAACGCTATTCAACAAACAGCAGCTTTCCTTTTCTTTTTTCCGAAAAAAAATGAGGAAAAAGAAAAAAAGCCAATAGATGCAAAAGGAGCGAAGTCGTTAAACGAAGGACGACGGCACAGTACAATCACCAATGCTCGACAAGACGGTCACCACTCACACGACCCTATAAAAGTTCCCGAGCAAGCGATGGCAACTGTTAGCAAAAAAGAACATCACGGCGAGCGCCAATGGTAGTTGAACCCACATATTATTATGCATTCCCGTCGGAGAAGATCACCATTGGAGCGCCAAAAAAAAAAAAAAAAGAAAAGAAAAGAAAAGAAAAGCCACTGTAACTGGGGCGATCAGAGGCGAGCTGGCTTATATGGACACGCGGGGTGGGAATTGGCGCCGTTGGTTTGCGAGAAGCGCGTTGGTTTGCTAGCCCCTCTCCGCTCGTGAGTATGTAAGGATGTATGTATGTACGTGGTCCCGGTATCTGGTATTATCGGAAGCGGAATGGCTTCGAACCCAGGTCAGGACAGGGGTGGAGGAGAGAGTGTGTGAGAGTGACAGTGGGAGATTGGAGAGAGAGAGAGAGAGAGGGAGAGTCTCTGGGAGAGGAAGAGAGTGGATGCCAAGAGGATATAGTGTAGGATGTCGAACCGAGACAAGGAGACCTGTCAGGGATCGTGAAGTCGGGGGAACGGGCGCAAGATTCCGCTCGGTGATGGCAGGGCAAGGAAGACAAGGTCGCGCAACTATTAATGTGGGACAGGTTGCTGGCTAATGTGGTGACGAGGGCGGTTTTGCGTTGTTGAAGTTTTGACACGCAGGTGGAATTGCCAATTAACGCAAAAGAGACTTGGGAGGACGCATGAAACAAGAGCGGGAACAAAGAATTAAAAAAAAAAAAAAAGAAAATAAGTGCAGGAAAGGATGAAGGACGATCAGGTCGGTGGTGGGCGAAGGCAGAGAGGAGGACGTAGTGGTGGTGGTGGGTGGTGGGATGCAAGGGCTGAATGACGGCAGAGAGAATTACAGTGCAGTGATTGAGAGACCAGACGAGAGCAGCAGATGGGCTGGGCGGCGCGTGCTGGTCAGTGATGGCCGGTGACAATGATGAAAAAGAAAAAAAAAAAAAAACCTGTGAAGACAGTGATGAGGATAATTGTCGACAAGTACTCTGTACTGATGGCTGTGAACACAGAAACAAAAAAAAAAAAAAAAAAGAAAAGAGGGGAACCTGAAGCAGTTAAGTTCGTGAGAGCAGGGCCCCCGTCACGCTTGGGTCTGTTAGTTCGTGGGTGGGAGTTGCGAGATGGAGGCGAAAGGGCGGTTTTGGCGCCAACGATGATGCTTGAAAGGGGGCACCGAGCCTGTTCGAGGATGGAGGAGTTTGTGCGGCTAACTTTCGAGTTAAATATGGGTTACAGGTTCGAACAGCCGCCCATCCCGTCCGTCCACGACCCGGTTCCTGATCCCTAATCTACGGAGTCCATACATACATAGATACTAAGACTCGACGACGCCTCCGATGAGAGGATGATTCTGTAATATCTCTCTGCATCGAATTGGACTGACTAGAAGTGTATGTAGGGGGAGTTCCTGGAGACCCTTCCCTTTGCGACCGGGCCGGGGGCCAATTTGATCCGCACGCAGGCCGAGCACGGTCCAGCAGCTCAACCAGAGGATTTCTCGGGTGAATAATTAACTAGCTAATTCAAGAGAGTGAGGAATCTTCCTCCACAGGGCTGCCTGGTGGGAGTTCCTTCGTCATCTACGCGAACGCTGACGAACCTTTTTTTTCTTTTTTTCTTTTTTTTTTTTTTGGAGCGACCGGCCGGTTTATGCCACGCACGGGAGTCAGTTAACCAACTACACCACCTTGGCGGAAGGCAAACCATGGTAGCTCCGGTGTTGGAGATGATTCGACACCTTTTCTGCCAGACCCGATCCAGCTAGCGAGAGGCAGCATGTGCAGCAGTCGTGTGGAGGGGAAGAAAAAAGAAAAGAAGAGCACTCTTTGTTTTATTTCCCTGGACTTTGCGGAGTAACGAGACCAGACTAGCCTAAGCTAAGCAAAGCTAAGTTGCACTGGGGGCAGATGAGCAGCCAGTTAGGTCGGCCGGTGTGGTTTGAATTAGCGGGGGATTTGCCAGCCCCCTGAGAACTTGAGAGTCAAAAAACGAGGAGAACAGCCGAGCAAGCGAGTGCGAGAGTGAGAGTGAGCTGGGGTTTGGGGGGTCCATCATATCAGTCTCAATATAATTACTGAATAACAACACTCACGACAACTTTCATAGTTATATATATATAAAGAGGTACAATGGTCTTGGTAACTGCCTGTCGGGGGATTGTTCAGTTAATGCTGCTGTTGCTTCAGTCAGTCAGTCAGTCTAAGTTCGCGCGGCAGGAAAGGGCGTTCTGTGGTGACGGACATACATACGACTTGTTGTGGGTAAGTTCCTGCCCTGCATATCTTTGTTCGCCAAGCAAACATTTTCTCAATGGGATTTGAAGGAAGGTACGAAGGGAAGAGGGAGAGGGGGGTTTTGAGCTTAACTAGTTCCGAGTTAGTTAGTTAATTTATGTATGTTCGGAGGGGGAGGTCGTTATTTAGTTACATGGAAGGAGTGGGTGGGTGTGGGTTGAGGGTTACTGTATTAGTTCCCTTTCCCAGGTCATGCGGGAGTTGTTGCCAACTTTTGAAACACTCCCTGCAGCCGTCGATTGCCGAGTCAGGTAGGAACTGGAGAGAGACCTATTCAGGAAGGCATAGTTATACTCTATCTGGCGTCATGCCTCTTGTTACTGTTTACTATACTTATATACATATATATATATATATGACTTTGTGTGTGTGTTTGTGTGTTTACGACGCGCAGGCTAATCTTCGCCGGTCATCCATGGCTGAAACCCCAACACGAACAGCTGGACTTCAAGTCATCCGGGAACTCCGCAACTAAATGGTCACCGCGTAAGGAGGAGGACGAGAAGGTAGGCGGTTTCTGGTTACCTGCAGCAGGTCCACGACCTTCCAGCGTTCGTTGTGCATAACGCTACGGAGCATTTCTCCACCCGCCAAAGCAACAGCCTCCTCCTCCTTCAGAAGAGCAGCCCGGTAGAATTCGTGCTCCGTATACTCCGTAGATCACCAAAATGCCAAATCACCACAGCAGCACCGCCCACAGCTCCTTGAGACCCTGGCAGACACCGTCCTTATTCTTCATTCTTGCATAACTATAGCATATTAATAAGACTTAGCATCAATGGCCAGTGTGGAACCCACGCACTGTTATGAAAAGAGGAGGAAGAAGAAAAAAGAGAACAAAAAAAAAAAAAGAAAGGGCCAAAGCCCTCCCCAGCGCTGATCACCCGCCCCAAATCCTCCGTTCAATGCACGTAAACAAAACCCTCCCCCCCAAAAAAGTCCACTTCTCCCCTTAGCACGCCGGTACCTGCATTGGTCCACCTTCATCTGTCGATATCTGCTCTTCCCGGCCTTCCGCCCCATGCATGCACTCTTACGGAGAACGGAGCACCGACATACACATCCATGGGTACACTCGTATGCAGGTCCTCCCCCCCCCCCCCCCCCCCCCTTTTTTTTTTTAAAAAAAAAATTCTCTTCCTGCACCCCCGGGCGCTTCCTTGGTTGGTTGGTAATTGGCGGTTATGAGATTATGCTGCAGGACCACCAGTCCAGATCCAGCTGACCATCGCAATAATTATTATTATTACAGTGACTATGAAGACTACTAATAATGCATGTGCGAACGCATCCATCATATCTCCGGTACGTAGTAGATCCTCTGTTATGTGCGTACGCAGGGATGGACGGTGTAAAAACCGTCATAAATCGAGAAAAAGAAGAAGGAAAAACAAAAGCAGGTCTTCAGGTCAGATTCAAAACTCGCCTGCGTCCCGTCCTGCAGAAACGTAACGGAGGACACAGACTTATGCACCGACAAGCAATCGCACAACGGTCGCCTTGTGGGTTTTCGGCCGCCTTGGGGGTGCTGGACTCCCGTCTGGACCCCCTGACTATAAAATAAATACATGGATATATTGCTGCGAAAAGAGATTTTATCTTCAAGCACCAGTTCATGTCCCCCTGTGAGCCATGCCTGCGATTTCATTTGCAACGAGTATGTAGGAAATTAAAAAAAAAAAAAAAAAGAAAAAGGCCTCCGTAAAAGCAACTATTTCAAACAAAAACACATCGAGAATTCAAAACATAGCGGACGAATCCCTGGTCATCCCATAAGAGAACATAACTCCCATGCCCATGCCAAATTTTTATTTCCCCTGGTCCTGTCCAGTTTACCAAGGCGCACAAGGCGACGAACAACAACCCTCTTCCCCCTTCCCTTCATCCCCTCCCAAAACACACACTTCCTCCCTCTCCATCTTACTTCTGAAATGTAAACGACTTTCCACCGCCCATATCCTTCTTCGACTTCCTTAACGCCTGCGGTGCATCCAACGCCTTTGCATAGGGATTAAACTGCGGCTTTCGGGGAAGATTACGCACATCCTCCGCCCGCCCTGCCTGAAGCACAGACTCCGCCTTCGCATAATCAAATGGAGCAACAACGTCTTCCGCCGCACTGGTCTTCTGCTTCTTAGATCCAGGGCCAGCGACATCTGGATGTGGTGAGTTCGAGACCGGCGACGGAGCAGGCGAGAGCTCGGTGTCGGGCGGCGCGGCTTTGCGTTTCGGCCCTGCGCCGAATTGCTTGACGGTGAATATCTGATCCGGTGCTAGGCCTGAAGTTCGATCGTCTTCTTTTTCGAATTTTGGAGCTGGAGGTGTGGCTGATGTCTCCATTGCCTCATCTTCTATCCCATGGGCCTCTTCTGAGATATTTATCGGCATCGAAGGCAGCGGTAACGAAAGTGCAAGGGCGTCGGCGGCAGCGAGGGGGGCGTATATAGATGCGTTCGTGGACTCGGTCTGCTCCAACGTGGTACCCCAGAATTGAGAGACAAGCGCCCGCACCGCCTTTGCTGAAGATGCCATGCTAGCTTCCTTCTCAGCACCTGCAGGACTCGGCTCCATAGCTTTAACCCCAGAAACCAACGTCGCCGGACCGGAAGCAAGAACCTCGTGTAGCTCCGGACCGTCTACACCACTTGCCTTGGCGTCTTTGATCACCTTCAGTAGCTCTGACAATCTTTTCCTCAGAGAAGGCGATACAGGAATGGCAAGCTTCAGCAACGCGGCCTGGTCGGATGGCATTCCGTGCGCGATGGCAAAGAGAGCTCGCTTCGAGAGAACTGATTGTACCCCTTCATCGTCCGTCCTTGCTGTCTGGTCTCGCCACCGATGCACCGCTTTAAACACCGCCAACTGTTCGCGTTTGAGCAAACTCGGACTCCGCGATAAAACGTCGTACCAACCCCCGGATCCCTGGCCGGTCTCTGCATCATACACAGGCCGCTCGTATCGCTGCAATGCCTCCTCTTTCGACTTGTCCTGAACGTAATCGATCAAGTTCGTATCGGGAGTGGATTTTTCAATAAGTTCATTCCGTAGGTTATCGTAGATGTAGAGAAGATAGTGGGTGTCAGATCGCGCGTAGTCGAACATTCCTGGGAGCAGAGGTCGAAGTCGCCAGTCCGCGGTTTGGTACTGCTTCTCTGCCTCCAAGTTGACAAATTTGTCGAGTAAGAATTTCAAGCTTTTCTTTGGATAGTTGAGAGCAACGGAGGCGTGGTAGGTGTCAAAAAGCCCGACCAGATACAATCCCAAATCTCGCTGCAGCCAAATCACGTCCATCGACGAGCCATGCAAGACCTTCAATATGCGGGGGTCCGCAAAAACCTCGTTCAGAATCTGTAGCTCCTCTCGCCAGGGTAGCAGTGTGTCGACTATCCAGTCCTTTTCACGGGTGCTGATTTGCATCAAACAAACGAGACCATGGTATGAATGCGCATCATGATGTTCGAGATCGACAGCGATTTCCTTTGCTGATTTCAACTCCTCTAGCATCACCTTGACACCCTCTATGGTGTTCACAAACGTCGCGGTTGTTGACTCGAAAGGTTTGTATAGCTGAGGGGTGGAGCTCGAGTATGTAGAAGCGGGGTAATGGCAATCTCTAATCTCATGGGCGTAAGGGTGCTCGCTCCTAAGACAAATGAGATACTTGTTAGCATGAACCTCAGCACGAATTTTCATTATGCGCAGCTTACTGTTCAACGTCACCGTTAGTGCTGGTCTGCTCAGCGACCGGAGGTAGAGGGATGAGCGCATGAGGTTTCTGTCGCAATATTGGTCTAAATGGCGAAGAGGCATGATTGTTTGGACGAGTCTTGAAGGAAAGCTGCGGCTTCGGAATTTTGGATGAAGCAAAGTTGTGAGCACCCGGGAACTGAGCTCTGGACGCTCGTTTGTTGAGTTCTTGACCGCGCTCATCTTGCGACGGACCGAGTTTCTTGATTATCCCAGTAAATTCATCGAGACAAGCATCGGCTTTCTCCAATAGCTCGTCGATAACGTCGACTACTCCTCTCCAGTTTTCGTCCACACCGTCTTCATCTTCGAGTGATGGAGCATTGAGATCGGAGCCGGACGTCGCAAAGCGAAGAATCGAATTTGTCAGGCCAAGAAACCGGGCACTTTGTTCGTCAAGGGAATTCGAGAGACTTGGGTTAACGGATCGCTGAAAGGCAATGTCTTGAGCCAAAAGCTGGGAGGTAGTCTTGGTCGCTTGCACAAGAGCCGCGGTCAATTTCTCCTGAAAAGGAGAAAATTCCGTTGCGAGATCCATCGGTTGGACTCGCAAATAAAAACAAAGGAACAGGCAATTGGGGTGGGCGGGTGGATAGGAGCTGCAAAACAAAAACAAACTGAAGGACTGGTGGTGAAAAAAAAAAGGCGGAGGATACCAGCAACTTTGAGAGATCAAAGATGAACAAACCAAAAGCTGCACCGGGAGGCCTAGGCAAAAACCAGTTAGCGCCACAACTCTAAATCAACTCCAAATATTCACGATCTTGCATCTTGCATGGAATCTCCGAGATGAAATTTCGTGAATACAGACACTCGCTTAGCTCTTAGCGCATCCAGCTCAGAATTCAGGAAGACATAAATTCTCGTTCCTCTGATCTCCAAACTGAAGCTTCCTTTTCTTTCTCTATAGCAGAATCACCTTGATCACCATGTCTGCCTCGCTTGCTCCCGAATGCAATGAGCTCAAAGAGTATGCTTGACAGCTTGCTCCCCAAAGAGAGAGAAATATCAGAAGACTGACAGCCCTTAGGCGTTATGACTCCTGTTTTCTCAAATGGTACAGCGAAAGTGGGTGCTCCCAGCTAAGCTAGGCATTTTGTGATTGAAAAGGACATCAGGCTGACCATTGATCAGAGTTCCTTCGTGGCAACTCCTCCAACAACGACTGTGAAAAGGTCTTTGAAGAATATAAGAAATGTCTTTCGGTATGGCTTACCTGAAATCAAAGAAAGCGAAAGAGAAATTGCTCCCTGGATGGCATCACTAAGACATCAGCAACAGAAAACTTTGAAAGACCGCGGCATTGACACCATGTTGGAAGACGCTCGTAAGAATAGCAAGGAAAATGACGAACATCACATGAAGAGATCCTGTATGTACCAAGTATCACAATGTCAGTATCATGAATGCTAAGTTGTTTCACAGAAGTTGTGTACAGATGTCCCTCGACTTCCTGATAGAACTCTAGAGTTCACATAAAGCCATATGTACGCAGTGAGTCATGGGAATGCTATGGAGGCTGGAGCCCTTCGAGAGCTCCAGAAGGACGTACCTTTTACCACAGACGGTCCTCTGGATCTAGGCTCCCGAGATACTCGAGAGCCTTGTCAACGACCACCTGGTCCTCAGGATAGGTCACTCTGCCATAATGACGGTAATCATCTATGGCATCGGCGACTGTCCGCTGCTCCCTGGGGATGTCGAGCTGTGGCTTGAGATTCTTGTTGAATCGGGACTCGAGGTCCTTCTTGGTGGCGGTGGAGCCTTCAAAAGTGCTCTGGAATGCGACTTCGATCTGTTTCCAGTCGAAGTTCGTCCCGAGTCTGAGGGCAGCGACGAAGATATCTTCGTCCTTTTGCCATCTGTTGGCATGACTTGCTGGCATGCTGGCAGTTGGTTCTGTTGTGGAGGTCCTTTGATGAGAGTGGTTTGGTGGTGGAGTGGTGATTGTGACGTGAGAGGGGGAGGGAGAGAGAAAGAGGATGTAAGAGAGCTGAAATTTTACATCATCACTTTTTGCGCCGCTTCGGTCACTGTGAACGACCCTAGCTGCAATGTCAGCAGCAGCTCCAGCCCTTTCCAGATCGGCCTTTTTTGCTGTTATGGTTTCTGCGCTGTGCAACGCAGTTAGGGCACAATATTTTTGTGCCCACGATCTGCTCATTTCTCTCCTCTCCTCATCTTCACCTTCACTATCACCTTCATCTTATACCATCACCATTTCTCCATCTTGCTCTGGCTTTCATCAATTTACTATCATCTACCGCCTTCATCTATAAGAATCGCCGAAATATTGGCTCAGTCAAGACTGATGACAGTACCTACCTTTGGTTCAAAGAAAGCTAAACAACCCTACCAATTCAACCTCACTCCTCCACTCAAGGCAACTCAAGATGGGCCTTGCAAAGGGTAAAGCCTTGCCAACACGAAATGACCTGTTCCTGGTCACACTGAAACTGTTGACGCGGATGTCCCGGCAAGAAATCATATCCGTGTACAATAGGGAATTCGATGCCACGGCTGTCCCTGGGGATGCTAGGAATCGGTGGGCGAGGCAGCTCAAGAGAAACCCGTTCAGGGTTTCGTTGGAAACAGACGGGCGCACTAGCCAACAGCGAGGGAGAGCAATCCCTGCAAACTCGCTCTCCTGGAGTCTCGACAGAGTCAGCAGTAGCCAACCATCTGCTTGCTCCTCCTCCTCCTCCACATCTTGCTTCACCAGCTATAGCCGATCTTCACCAACGGGTGTCATCTTCCGCGATGTTTGATCCCCGTGTGCAGTCTGCCATGGAGGCCACTCAGACCCCTTTCACGGTACACCAGCAGATTCCAGATCCGGCATTCTGGCACGATACCACGCACTCTTCGTGGTCTTCCCACCCTATGGTTCCTGCAATGTACCAAACGACCATAGCGCCGGACGAGTCTTATCCCTCCACATATCAATTAATCGAAGGATCCATGTCAGAGTCCGGTCCATCGGGGACTACATCGCCAGCTCACAGTCGCAGCCATCGATGAGGATTGTACAGAAAGAGTTTGTGGCACGTACTCACAAGGCCTGGAAATTGATCTCTTACCCGTACTTACGCCAAGTACGCCAAGCCAGGAGACGAGACGGGATTTCGCCATATAGATGTTAATATTCCCGATGCCATTACTACTGGAAGAGGAGTCAACATGATCCAAGGATCTCTAACCTTGACCGCTGAAGAGCCAGGTGATTGTAATAAACTCTCTACGACAGACCCTATAATGAAGCAGACACCCCCTCCAAGGCAAATGAATACATGGGAAGCGAATTTCGGGAGCGAAGACAATTCTCATCATCCATCGGATTGATATGAGCCGCAACGGCACAGACAATCATAATAAACCGGAACCCTGGAGCCTCGATTGCCTTAACTGCAGCGACTTTTTTCGCCCTTGACGACGGCTGCAGCCTCATATTTCTACGGGGATTTTGTCATTGTCGAAGATGTTCGGTGTCGGGAATACTGGGGGATTCTTCGAAATCCGGGCGACGTGTTGATATTTCTCTGTCACGTTTATGGTTTAACGAACCCGGCAGATGGACCCTCGCGGAGACCTGATTATGCCAAGGAGGCTGGTCTAGATGACACGGAGGGTCGCGAGACTGCAAACCAACTGAGGTTGATGCTCGCGAAGGAGCAAGGTTAAGCAGGCACGCGCGAAGAGAGATGAGGAGAGAGGCCAATGCCTTCATGACTGAGGAGGGCCGCGAAGCCTTTATCCTGTCATGCCTTCCCCCCCGCGGTTGTTGTTCCTCCAGCCCCGGCCGGTAATGTGAGTATCCTCTATCACATTTCAGTTCGCGGTTAACCTCTCTAGGTTGTGGTTGCCGTTCCCCGTGCCCCAGCAGGGTTCGTGGGTGCCGTGGTCCCAGACCACCTTCACCCAGTTGCCGCCAGCCGCCACCTTCGCTGGTTCGGTCCTCCCAGGCCTCCCACCCCACACAGGGGCACAAGCTTTGTCCGCCCGCGAAAGGGCATGGTGTCGCGAGCCTATCCAAAGGCCCGTGCTCATTGCTGGTTTGGACAATCCAAACCAGTTGGCTGTTCGCGCTCAGCTCCGCGAGGGAATCCTCGTGACTAGAGCTGGGGCCCAGCCACCACCTGGACAGGAGTGCTCCGCCTGCAAGAGAGCTCAGCAAGGCTATGGCAACATAGTCTTCGCAGAGTGCATCTCCGCGGGCATGGGTCAAAGATGCGAAGTAAGGAATTAGCTAGCGAATATTGAAGCTTTGTTGCTATATCTTCGTGTGTTCTCTTATAATACTCTCAATATCTTTGTGGATCACCAATATCCTTTGACAACATGGCTGGACGAAGCAACTTGCCTCCTTTGGCGCCAGCTCCCGAAAACCAAGGTCTGGTTATTACCAGAGACAGTGGGGTCAATTTAGATGGCCACTTCTTTAATAGCTTGGCCGCAGCTATGGAGTATATCGACAGCCAAGCTCCGCACCGTCGTTATGGCCTACAGGTGGAGCTAATGAATGCCCTTATGAGGGTAACTGATGTGATTACTGACTTAGTGGCCCACTTCTATCAATATGTCGAAAAATCCAGAGATTGGCAACATGTTACATACGCTAACTTCGAAGCCGACTTCCACGATGCCCGAAAAGTTACCCTGGATGTTGAACGACGCTGCATTGACATGCAGAAGATCAACGATAGGCTTGTTGCTACATGGGGCATTGACAGGATCGACGCCATTTGGCCAAAAGTGGAGAGCCTGTGGGCCGCCCAAAAGCTTCGCCATACCTTAAACATCTACAAGGATTGGGATAAGTTCGCCAATAACATTAATAGTGCAGTACTCCGAAGACTGGAAGCTACAGGAGCTGGACATCGCCGAAGCCTAGCTATATTGCCAGGCGATTACACTACAGCTGACAAAGAAGTCGACCGCGTTCCCAAGAGATGCCCTGCACCGGCGAGGCTTTACTATTGGAAGTTATGGTCTTCTACAGCCATTGGCTCTCCCCCAGTCGTCTAGCTCTCAACGCTCAATCCAGGATATTGCTAGGAGCCCGCCTACTGCAAGCAGCCCCCGGGGTCTACTGGAAGGATCACAATCGCTAAGATCACCAAGAGACGTTCCAATGGGTGGGATGTCTATGCCGCGTAGCCGCTCTATCACTAGGAATCGCGCGTTGAGAGCTCATGGGGATTCCCATGGTTCTCTGCAGCGATACCCAGCATAACTTCATAATGTTACTGGTTTCAAAACTCCTACCATAATAACAACGGCGAAATCGATCACTTCTTTTTGGGAGGATTATGAAAAAATATCAACATCGACCATTAGGCGTCTCAAATACAAGGGCAAACATTTATGTCAATCGAAACCCAGCAAATTTCCCCAGCCAGACATTATACCTTAACATTACTTGGAGATCGGAGTTTAAAGGCAGAGCGTACCGTGACAAATACATAGGACCTGCAATCCTCTCGATAAGTGGAATACGACTACATGCTGATTAACATATTTTTATTTTTTTTTCTTTGTAAACACCATTGGCGCCGATTTTGGCGTAACTATTTAAAAAGATCTTAAGATCTGTTTATCCTCTATTCCTCCTCCTCTCCAAATTCACAAACCCGTTGGAAACTCGAGATGACCCGCCTCCCGCGCCTACAACTCCAGGCATCCTTCTACCTGCACCCGTTCGCGCCGTATGGCTCCTTTCCGTCAACCTTGACCATATCTCGCTAATGCCAACTCGCCGAGCGGGCAGCATGCTATACTGCAAACTATACATGTTTCGGCGGTGAATTGGCGGCACGAATCGACCGGTTACCAGGCAGAGGATAACACGCGGAGACAAATAATGCTTACGGAGACGGTGGCCAAGTTGGAAGTACTGCTCGAACATGGAACGGAGAGAAAGAGGAACGGACTGTTTATGGTGTGGCGGTGTTAGTTGGTTTTTATATCAGTTGAAGGAAATGGCATTTGATTGACGCGAGATAGCTAAGGGATACCTACCTGGAGATTAATGTACGAAGTTGGCGCGCAGCGGAAAATGTCATCTGAATTAGGTGTACTTTGCTTGCGAAGCTCGAATTTGATACCTCCTATTTTGTGGTGTGTTAGAAAAAGGCCATGAGCTGAGAGAAATCTAAAGAAATCCACTCACCAGGCAATCTCCTAGGATCCTTAAGCCGTAGCATCAGGGCAAATAGGGGGAAATGATTCAACATAGCAAGGCACGTATCCAGCGTCGCCTTGAGCGATATTATAGCCATACGGGCAGAAGCAAAAGTAATATAGAATACAAGTATAGTAGGCAGTAAGAAAAAGAGCAGTGTGAACAGAATCGTCCCGAGAAGTAATTGATCGAGTTCGTAGTCGCATGAATCTATTCGGTTACGTAGCACATTTCTTTTTCGGCCGCGGAAGAGGTGGAAGAGGGATATTATAATTGTCAACTGCCAATGAAATATGCGCGCAGAGGCCGTGTAGAAAGAGTAGATGTGGATAGTGAAGAGCGATAGGAGATCGGAAAACATCGCGAGGGCCATGCTTGCTCCGGCAAAGCCGGAACAACCGATCATGTAGACGACATGACGAAGAAATGGGCGCAAACTGACGAGTGCGCCTATAACAAATAATGGATGAGCTAGAGTACGGCGGAGGAAGAACCGATGAGTGACTTACTGGCCCAATGCTCTATGACCCATAGAAACAAATCCCCCAGAAACGCCGCCAGTTCATTGTTGAGCTTCAAGCCCGCCGGCCAGTCCATCAGCCAGGAGATTGTTTGCTGGAGACCTTCCACAGTCGACCCGTTGAGAATAGAATTCATCTGCGACGCAACCCAGTCGGCGTTATCAATGAGGTATGAGCCGAGTGCAATCCCAATGATCACATCATTTGCGACCAGCCACAGGCTGTTGTAGAACCTGATATAATCAGGATGGCTATGCGTAACGCTTTCCCAATCGTTTTTCCGCTTGCGCAAGGTCAAGTATTGTATTGGCCAATAGCAAAATTGCTGCAGGCGAATATCTACTTGCTGGGCGGTAGCGGAGATGTCCTTCAAAGCGGCTGCGTCTGGTCGAGCGCGCCACTCTAGGACCGTTAATACGACCTCGGCGATAACACGATGCACTATAATCCCTGTAATAAGCCCTTGCTTGATGATCGGGTAAATCCACACTGTGAATACATAAGATAGCCCCATAACAAATAGATCCCAGGCAGTCGTTGCTGACTCTACCACTCGTTCTCCAACACTTAAACTTCGCTTGGGACGAGTTCCAATCAGTCCGATATTCTTCTGAAGCAACCTGTCCACCTCAAAGGCACAGTTTATTTGGTTGATAATTACTGGGAGAGACTGTTCCTTCGGCGTAGGGAGGTGTTTGACCACGGTGTGCAAACGTAGCTTATTGACGAGTTTCGCGGATTGAACTTTGGCCGCTTCTTCAGCTGCATCAACGTCGCCTAAAGCACCACTGGCCGTGTCGACGGTCGCACGTTTATCGCCTAGCACAAGAGACATCGGAAAGGGAGACATGTACTGCATGCGCGTGGGATGAGGACGGTGGAACATGATAACCTGGATCGCGAGCTTCGTCTCTGGTGGGCAGTATATACGAGGTAATTTCGACGAATGATTCGTCACGGCGTAAAGATGGGACGGAGTGAACGCCGTGGGGATTTCTGCCGCATTCGTAGAGCCTAGGACGTGCATCGCGGATTTCCCACAGAGATGTAACAGCCGTGAAATTGGATGCGGGCTGCTGCGATACAGTATACCTGTCCGCAGCGCATTGTCGACATTCCGTGCCTAGTGTACCGGGGTGGTCGTTTAGACAACTTTTTCGCCTCGCAGGTGAGCCAGCCAACGTACCTCGACATGTTCTAACACGGAGACCACGAAGAGGTCAAACTCGGAGTTTCTCCAGCCCACAATTACACCGGGAGCAGTGGATTTGGCAAATTCGTACGGCCAGAACACGCGCAGCAAACCATCATTCATAACCATGCTGTCATTATTCCCTTCGCTTAAAACGAGCCTCGCCGTCGCAACTGTTCTCTAGCGGATATTCCGTGGCTCACAGATCGAGGGTGCTAGTGCAGTGGTAAGAAAAAGAGCCAGTACTCTCGCATTGACAGGACTATAACTACCCAATTTATCTCCTGCGTGACAATTGCGTTGATGGGGATCAGGAGTAGGAAGTAGAATACGGAGAGGACGACGAAGCCTTTCGCTGCGCGGGTCTAGTGCTCAAAATCCTATTTAGCTACAGGGCAGAAACCAAACATCAAAACCGGAGGAGACATACCACAACACCGTGATCCCAGGCAAATATTGCCAATTCGTAAAGCCTGGTGACAAGATCCCACCTCGCGGTGATGTAACCAGCTACGAAGATGCTGAACGCGAAGACCGAGAAAGGGTGCATGAATCAGGGACGGCGGTGCGCATGCTCGGAGAAATTGTTTTTAGGCCAAGACAGTGAAAATATTCACACCGCAATGCCGCTCAAAGCAGTTTGCGGTTTGAAGCTGCTGGCCGAAGACAACAAGGGTGACTTTCGCTAAAGGAGCGGCCGGCGAACTTCTTGGGAGGCAAGGGATCGGCCAATGAGAGGCCGCCGGCAACCCGTCAACAACCTACAGGATCTTCGTCGATGCTTTGGGCTACGTCTGGTTGAAGCAGAGGATAACCAGTTAGTAGTCGCTTGTAGGAAATTTACTATGGATTTGGCGTCGATTAAAGGCACTGGCCATGGTATCTTCAAGCACATATAACTATTACAGCCACCCAGACCAACGAACTCCATACTCCTCCGACTAGATCTCCACGTCATCTGGAACAACGCACAGCATTTCCCTCTGCGCTCTCACAAAGCATTGATCCCTTGAAAGACTTTATTGGCCTTTAGTCTGCCATCCGCCTCAACTAGATCCCTCATTAATTGTCTCTTCTCTTCCACCGTCATATTCTCATTGCCAGGAGCTTCCAGCTGGGCTTTCCATTTGACAAGCATGGCCTTGAGCAGAGAACTTCCTTCTGCCACCTCCTCGGCGGAATACTTGTCGATATCCATGGAATTCTCACCCTTTTCAGCTGCTGTCGTGAAGTCTTCCAACTCTTCAGCTTTCTGGCGCGCCATATTGACGACTTTCTCCGGGAAGCGAACCAATTCGGCCACGTGGATCCCAAACGACTGATCGCAGACCCCTGGCTCTACCCGGTATAACAGGGTAACTTCTCGTTTCTTCTTGCTCGCTGTATTATTCTGCTTGTCGCTTACATTGTCCCCGATGAACGCAACGACGTGAAGGTTCTTGACCGAGTTGGGATATCGTTCCTCAAGGGCCGTTAATTCATGGAAGTGGGTTGCGAAGAGGCCGAAACATCGAATCTCAGTAATTATGTGCTCGGATATTGCCCAAGCAAGCCCAAATCCGTCATATGTACTTGTCCCACGACCGAGCTCGTCAATTATTATCAACGATTCCGATGTTGCTGTTTTCAGAATATTTGCGGTCTCGAGCATTTCGGCCATAAACGTTGAGACGCCCTTGAGCTGGGAATCACTTGCTCCAACACGAGCCAGGATACAGTCAAATATCGTGAGCTCCGCTTCAGAGCACGGCACAAAGCAGCCAGTTTGGGCCATGAGCGCAACCACACCAATCTGCCTGATATAGGTGGACTTACCGCCCATATTAGGACCGGTGATTATAAGAAAGGAGGATTCGTTACGAACGAGGGAAACATCATTGGTGATAAAAGAGATATCATCTTGCATTTCCATGCACGGATGACGGGCTTCTTTAAGGATAGTATTGCCGGTCCCACGAGGATGGACTTTTGGTCGAACGTACGGAGTAGGAGCATGGACTGAAACATGAGCGAAGCTGACGATGACGTCGAGATGTGCCAGCACGCCTGCAAGCTGTTCAAGCAAAGGGCAATACGATGTTGCGACGTTGACAACTTCGTTAACCAAACCGGTTTGCGTCCGGTTATAATTTTGAGATAACTGGTCATGTTCTCGCCGAAGAGATTGCATTGTAGATGTTGTGAAGTAGACGCCGTTCTTCTGGGTTGAGCACTCCTGGTACTCCCGCTTGTTGCGTATACAGCCCGCTTCCTGTTACAGAATTAGCTATCGATTAAACGGAAACAAGTAGATCGTTGACATACGTTTCGGGTTAATCGAAAACACCATCCATGAACCCGATGGTCCTCGAGGAACAGTTTCTTCTCGGTATCTTGATTCAAATCACGGCCCACACGTCTATGCTCAGCGTGCATATCGTACCTCAGTTTGTCTAACTTTTTCCTGATTATCCGCAGACTCTCATCGAACTCGGGTTTAATAATAAACTCATGATGATCTAGAGCTTCCAAGTCGACTGTTGTCTCCACCATTTCCGCCAATTTGCCAAAGCTGTTTGAAAGATTGCGGATTTTCGAAGTATACTCTTCTTCCAACGGCTCTTGATACTGCTCATCCATGACAGCCTCAAGGGTGTTAATAAATCCTGGCAGCCGTATGACAACTTGGTAAATCCTGACAACATCTTCAAGGGTTGCAGCGTTTCGTTGAAACTTCTTCGCCAACCTGTAGAGATCAGGGATGGATCTGAGGTGGTCTTCCTGCATTGTCTGCCTTAGTTCAGTGTCTGAGACAAAGGCTTCGACGAGTTGCTGCCTTTTTTCAATATCTTCATGGTTCATCAAAGGCTGCTTCAGCCACTGGGCAAGTAGCCGCCCGCCCACAGGGGTTTTGCAATGATTCAAAAGCCCATACAAACTCATACTTTTCACACCATCACGCGGGCCTGGCATTAAATTCAGCGCTCTCAGTGCAGCGGAGTCCAGCTTCATATACTGGGAGAGATCATGTTGATAAAGTTGATACTGGCCAAAGTTAGACGGATCCGACATAGCACCAAGATATTTAATCAAGGCAGCCGCGGCGCCCATAGCCAGCTTGAGATCAGTTTGTGGTAAAGTTCCGGCAGTACGTTCATCTTTCAGTAGCCTCGACAAATCTTGATCAATATCTCTCGTGTGGAAATCAGAAGCCGGCCTGCTCGAAATCGCGATCCCGCAGCTATCCGCGATTGATCTTATCTTCGCGAGCTCAACGTCCTTTTTCTGCCCATCCGTAGTGACCAAACACTCTTTAACCCCGAGCTGAATGACCAAAGACTCAAAATTTGAATATAGATCATTGTCATCAAACTCGCTGACACCCAACTCCCGAACACTCGCATCTGCAAAGCAAACGCCAACATGCCTAGTCTCAGACGCTCTCGCGGAGATCTTAACGGCAAGGATGATCGGTGCTGTATCCATCATCCCACCACCAGAACCCAGCTCATCTTCGACATCCTGCAAATTCCCAGGGCTTGCTTGCTTGACCAGTTTCCAAACTCCCTTACCCATTCCACCTTGAGACGACCATATCTCTATCCTCTTACCTAAACGGAAGAGAGCTTCTCGAAGAAAATTCCGGAACACAGTCACCGTCATCGTGACGGAGGGCAATCCGCTTGTATCGCTCCGCCCAAGCGTCCGGAGGACAGAAGTGGTCTTGTAGACCGTGCGAGCGATGTACTCCGCATCAGTGCCATGAGCTGTATACCAGTCGCCGCGGTCGAAAACTCGAACGGTTGTAGAGTCATCCTTTGATGGTAGCGAGCGGAAGAATCGAATGAAACCGACTTCGTCGTCGACCTAGACAGGCGTGAGATGATAGACTTTAAGAATATACTAACATATGACTGACCTTAAGCTCCGGCCTGGACGACATTTTTCCCTCCTCAGTGAACCCTGGTCTCGATGTTGCGTCCGTCAAGCCGTCGCCCGATCTTGATTTGAAGGAAGCTGATGGACGCGACCTCGACGCGTAAAGTGGTCACGTGAATTGGCGTTGAGCTGGGACAAAACGGGATATTTGCAACGCGGGAGAGAACCAATGGAAATATTCTTCTCCTTCTTCCCTTTTTCCTTTTTTTTTTTTTTTTTTTCGGCTCAGCATGTAGTTGGTTGAGGCATGTTAAAATGCAACGCTTGTTTATTGTTCTATAGCAATCGTAATAACTATGCTCGCATGCTGATATCCAACAATATAACTAATCTATCTCGAGCCAAAGCATCCTCTGGTTAACCATATCCAAGACACCTTCGCTTATGCAAATCATTCGAAGTAGAAAGCCGTCCGACCAAAAACATACTGCTATGCTTGGGAAAAAGAAAGATTTATAGACAACGCTGTGCCTAGATTTCACAGCTTTAATTTTTCGACCTTATCCTTTATTTCCTGCGGAGATATATTCCTTGACGGTCTCAAAATCACCGATTTTATCGAGTTGACAGACACGATTGTGACCCAGTCCCCTGAAATTTCCGGACGGGATAGGATATCCAAACCCGTTGAGATCTCGTCTTTGGAAACGGGATTATGCATTGAGTCTTGAATATTTTGAACGATCGTATCCAACTTGTAGGCCTTTTTTGCATGCGAAGGAGACATATCCAAGCCCGTAGATGCAGAGGGTGCCAGTAGAAGGAGCACGCCGACAATATCTGGGATGCGGGCAGCAGCCGCCCTTCGCATAATAGTCTCTTTGGATATTGGCGGGGCCAACGTAGACTGCCGTAGTGCCTTTTGTCTAATTCTTTCTAAGAGGCCGTTCCGCCGCTCAGTTGTACACGATTTACGAACGGGAGTCGTCTCCTTGACATTAGCCACTGTATCTGGTGTCTTTAGCCCGACTATTTCACGCCGTATATTGGACGCTTTTTGTTTTTTGATCGAAAGGAAGGTCTTTGGAATCTTGTAAATCGGCGCCAGGGGAAGGTCTCGCATGCAGTCAAAATCAGATACTGCACTTCTTTTTTCGGACAAGATGCGTGTCAAGCTTCTTCCAAAGTTCGTATTTAGCTCATCCTCATCCAAAGCATGCCCCGGAATCGTACCATCATCCGCCCGTATCCTTTCAAGCAGGATTCTCGATCCGTAATCAATGAGTCTAAAACTGGCGCTTTTGTTGGTTCCACTATTTTCCACATACAATAGCCTTTGAATATCTTCCGTGACAACTCTTCGTCTCTTCCACACCCGTTCCATATTGGGCAGAAATTCTCTAAGATCTGCTGCTGCCGTAACTCCATTGTGTGCAAGATGTAGCGATACTGCTTTGAGGAAGGAAGAATATAGGTTGGTAAGTTCATTATATGACGGGGGGTGGTGGTAATATTCGGATTGCGGTTCGTGTTCGGTATGAGGGCTTGCCTGTGTTGTTTCACGGACAGGTACATCGGTTTCGCTAGCCGGAGCGTCATGATCAAGGTGGAGTTCAATCGACTCTGCGTTCTCTTTGGGAACGCTGGCGGAAGCGCTAGCTTTATATAAAAGCTTCGAGACGGTCTTTCCGGGTTTCAAAGTCTTCCGTTCTTGAACGGGCGCCTTAATCGTCGTAATTTCTTCGATATCCGCATCCTGCAGCTTCCGTTTCAAAGAAGAGCTGCCACCTCTGCCCGCAACCACCGCTGCCCCAACGCCGGCTTTTGCTGTCCGCGTAAATCCCTTGATTCCTGCCTGCGTCGTCTTTGCTGGCGGAAGGAGAGATTGCGCCGGTTTCGCGGCGCGACTGCGCAAAGTTCTCGAGGACATGGTCGCCTCCTTCTCCTGTAAGACGGCTTGTGATAAAATATACTCTTGTTATATATGGAAGTGATAATCGATTGAGTGTGAGAAAAGGGACATTGCAATGCATCGGATGTGCCTTTCGAGCTTCGCTGTGTTCAGGCGTGGCGACTCGCGTTAATTGAATTTCTGACGCGCGGCGGGTTCGCGTCACGCGTGCGAGTGCCGTTCGATCTGGCCAATCAACGTTGCTTCAGACGGTCAAGCCCCATGTGGCAGGACCTCCTTTCAACTGCCACAAAAATTAGTCAGGGTGGTACAGACGGTGACGTCACTCGAGCAGCAGGACAAACCAGCAGCAGCAAGAATCACTCAAGGCAAAAAGCAAAAAACGGTGAATAGTGTTTGATCACATTCCGTGAGAATTGAATATATTTAAAGAACTCCGTACTAGATTTCATAACACCCGTTCCAATTTGCAAGCGGAAGGGAAAAAGCAAAAAAGGAAAAGCAGTTACCACATGCAAAAGCAAACGACATCCGCAGCTCACTGCTTTTATATCGGTTGATATTGGAGGGTCGTTAATTTTACAATACCTCCAAAGGCTCTCCAGCCGTGACCGAGTAGCACGCTGAGGAATTCGTAGCACCACACGCCCGGAGGCGAAATTCAACAGTAATTTGGTCTCTATACACACCCATCCCATTTATCCACTTGTGGCCCAGTCCAAGTATTTTATTTCTTGCCGCCACCAAACCAAGATGAGACGCCGCTCTTTGCTTCTTCGGCTTTCTTCTCGACATCCCGTTCTAGACTGTCGATCTTCTCGTGAAAATCTCTTGCAGTATCCTGACGAGCTTTCTCGAGTTCACTGGCTTTTTCCTTCGCATAGCCCGTGGCCCGTTGGTCTATACGCTTTGCAGTATCTCGCGCCTTGTCGACCTATTTCAATCGGCACGTTAAAACTGAGTTTCTTTGAGGATCGAGAGCGGGGGACCCGCATGTGCTTACCCCTTCATCAACCCGTGCACCGGCTTGGGCACCGATATCTTCCGCATCTTTATGAAGATCGCCTCTAATTTTGTGCTTCGCCCGCGAGGCATCCTCTATAAAGATCGAAGTGCACAAATTAGCATCCAAAGTAGATGTTCGTATAGCTCGTGGCTTGCGCATTCTTTTCATCGAGTTCACCCACCTTCGAACTTTCGCGTAGCCTTCCTTGGATCTCCGCCGGCAGAGTACAGATAGTAACCACCTGCACCGGCGACACCCAAACCGATCCACAGAGGCAAACGTGATTTGGCCGCCATGATTATACTAGAGTATATCTAGAAAGGACTTGTAAAATATCCAAAAAGATGCGTGTAGAGGATTTCTTCGGCGAATTGAAAGCAAATAATAGATATTGCAATCGATGAATGCCCTCGAGAATCGACCCTGGCGACGATACTTATGCTGTGATCTTGAGTGAGAGGGGATCGCCATCTATTTAACAGGAAGCATGTACGTGCCCCGTACCTCTCCCTTGAGTTCCAGTTCCAAGCATGGGCGAGCAATGACGTTAGAGATCGCCCGCGATTTCCAAGGAACCAGCAACTTTGGTTGGCTGCACGTGATAAATCGTGCGGATTCTCTGTGCAGAGAACGATGGCAGTGGCTCCGGTCCCATAATACGTTACTTTTTGCCTGCAACGGTCGTCATCAGTGGATGTTTGGGCGGAGTTGGAATTGAATGCCAAGACATGACAATCCATGTCGATTATAGCATGGGAACGTGGTGTGCGTAAAAATCATTAACTGGAGACCTATTCACTAACGGCGATGATATCGATGTATGTACTGTACATTGGTTGTGAGAAAGTTCAAATGCAAAGGAAACCTCCTCGAGAAGAATATAAACCCGAAAGTCGAATTAAAAACAGCTCCTTTCAGGTTCAACCGCAAAGGAAAAGAAATTCAAAAGGACGTCTAATTATAGTATCTTGGCTCATCGAAAACGTGATACCGATGCCCACGGACACCTTGGTCACGGAACATTGCAGGGAACCGCATTCCAACGGGGACTTGTTCTTCGGGAATTCGCTCGCTCGTGCCTTCTGGCTGCCCGACGACAAACTTTCCGACCTATATACAACATCGTGAGTACCAAAATGCACGAAAACAAGAGGGAAAGGGCCGGGGATTTCATACCTGTAGCTCGGTATCCGTAATGGTGTCGCGGCTCACTCTGGCGTATCCAACCCTGCGAATGTTTTTGTAGAGAATATACTCGCACCACCGGTCCCAATCGCTGGCGTCGATATCCTTCATTCCACTGAGTTCACTAACATAAGTTTTGTAATTACCTTCCAGTGGTTTGGTGACGAGATAGCTGAGTAGAATCAGCGGTCTCGGTGACTCTCCCATCAACTTGGACAAGTACTCTGTTTGGAGCCTTCGGTCCTCGGGGTCCTCTTCTTGGCCGGAATGGAAAACGACGACGTCGACAAGTTCTCCATACATATCTAAAGTGGCATGGATGGCTGGCGCAAGCTCGCCGACTGGGGAAGGTAACAGATGATGGGTCGAATTAAGAATAGGGAACTTGGATAGCAGGGCGCATCCCCACGTGTGTTTGTTGGGACCGGGTCCGTAATCAACATACATCCCTAGGTCTTCGGCAAGATACTGGGTTGTATCTCTATTGCCCATGATAATCCTTTGAAGGTCGGATTCCAGCAAGCCTACAACATCGAGTTCCAACTCCTTAATCAGATCACGCATGCGCTTCTCTGACGACCACATAGCGTTGTCCAGAGAGAAATGGACAGTCCAGATTCCTGCAGTAACGAGTTTCTCGTCCTTATGGTGGGGGGTATAGTCATTTGTTGGAAACCGCATAAAAGACGTAGCGATGGAAACTATCTGCAAGACGGCGACAACATAATAGTAGTACGACCGTTGCTTTTTGTTGGAAGAAGTCGCTTTCTTGTTCTTATAAGGTGACGAGTTTGAAACTGAAGCCGAGAAAACTCCTGCTCCGATGAGAAGCATTGTGGTAGCCATGACCCAATCCGTATGCTCTCGTACAAGCGGGCCTCCTGGAACAAAGGCATATGCGACCACCCAGACATGGAAGAGGACCATGAAATTGTAAATAAGGAACCCGAGACCAAAGGTCATCGCAGGAGAATGCCTGACAGCAGACTTAATCAGGACCGGCGCGACAGCCATAAGGTACGTGGATAGAGTAATCGCTCCGTAGAAGCCTCGCCAATGGGAGTAACAGGTCAACATGGCCGCACCGAGCGAGCCTAGGCCGAAAGCGGTCCAACTGCCAGACAGACGAGGATAAGACAAGCCTAGGATTACGCCAACTCCCATGGTGAGGATAGTAATAGAGCCGTGTGGCACTGCAATTGGGCCTCTGATTGGGAATCCCTCCCACACCCAGGATATCATGGTGCTAGAGTCCGACAGAAGTGAGTGCATAGCGAAAAAGAGGCCGCCGAGGCCCAGGGCGGCGAGGAGAGACGGCCCCTTCTTCCCGTTCGACGAAAAATAATCAACGGTATTCTTGGGCCGAGTCGATCGCAATACTGAAAGCACAGCAAGCACAAATGCAGTTTTATTCCATCCACCGTTTCCAGGATGAAGAATGGGCCATACTGGATTATTAGTGTGGAAGGCATACTTGGCAACGCTAGATGCAAGCAATCCAACAGTCCAGGCGACGATTCGAGCCTCCAGACGCGCCGGTTGGGTACGTTCCGAATACCATGTCGCGCTCCATGCCAGGCAACCCATGGACACGGCAAATCCAACAATGAAAAGCCGGTAAGCTGGATTACGGGCAAGGTATGCAAGAAGGCCAGAGAGAGTTAACAGATGTAGAACCCTGGGGCTTCTCATCGCAAACGATCGCAACGAAGGAATGGCCAGCAAAAATGGTGAAATGGTGCTCATCACAAGGGCTTCATAGCCTGATATGCCCATTTTCCACAAGGGGAAATCTGAATTGGCAATTAGAAAGAGTCGTTGGAACTCAGTCCGCGGGGGGGGTTATTACTTACACCACACCAAGACACCAAGGGATGTAAGGATAGACCAGAACACGAACTAAAGTGGAGATTAGATTTTGGAGTGTCATGGACCAGGGTATCTCCATGTCACCTACCCCATTATAGACGTCCGCTGCAGCGTCAATGGCCTCGGAAAATAGGAAGCCCTCGCCAAGGGACTGTCGAACTGAAATATCCTTTCTATGAAATTGATCAGTGACGGTTTTGGCATCAGGTGTGATGGAATATGGCATACTGTTCTTCGAGCACGGCATCTCTGGCTGTTTTGGTAGATCTGCCCATTTACTTAGAACTAGTTCCACTACCCAAGGCGCACGCAGCGAAAGTACATTTTTTTTGACTTATTTCGGAAGCCGTTGGACATACCCTCTGCTTACACCTTTGACATCTTTGACTACAAGCTCAAAACCTTCAAAGTCAAGGGCAGTCACCGCATCGAATCCAACATCGAACAGGATGAGCGACCATTCGAAGAAAGCATATTTAGTGTATGCTGCTCCAAAGTTAGCCTAAACACCATGCCGCGATTGCACTGATTCTCAAGACAATACTTACCGCCGGGGACCTTGTGAACTTTATGCTGAATGAAATAATAGACTAAAGGAACGAGAGTACCGAAAAAGAGACCGGCAAGCATCTTGCGATATTTCAGGGCCCTTTGGTTGTTTGGACTAAGCGCGAGGCACCCCAGCGTCCACGGGAGCGTGGCTATGAGGTATGAAATCATAAAGATATCGTGCCAATCGTGGTCGTCGGTCGACGTAACGTAGGTCCAGCCGCCGCATGTCAAGGTTCTGAAGAGCCCCGTGCCAGCGACAATCTTGGGGAGCGAGGAGTTGGGCCGAGAGGTCAGGAGATACCACAGGAACACGAGGGCGAATCGAGGACCGGATGTAATCGCAATGAACACCTGAAAAACTGATCGCTCGGGGTAGCGATCGCCGATGGTGGCAGAGACAGATGGAAACCATTCCTGAGGGTATCCGTAGTACTCGTTTTCAACAATCTTATGGAAGTGAAGAGACAATCCGACAATCAAGGCGCCGACGAAGGCCGAATAGGCCACAGCTGTATGTGCCCAAGAGACCCATTTTCCATTAATCTACACAGGTCAGCGCGATCGAGATGTTGGGATGTTGCGACGATAGTCAGCACTCACGGAGAGGACCGTGTCCCCGTCCCTGAATTTGGAAACCATTGCGACAGAGAGATGGTAAAGGAGCGGATTCAGGCTAGGAGGAACGACATGTATTAAGACTCCATTAAAATAAATACAGGAGAAATGAAAAGAGCGTCGAGAAGTAGAAACGAGCTGAAAAGGCCTTTGGACCCCAATGGCTCCGTGAGCTTCCGGGGATTATTGGAAGGGGGTCTTGTCGTGGAGCACGCGAAGGGGGAGAAAAACGACCAGAGCCAGCGGGAAAAGAGCCTAGGCCCGATTTAGGTTCGGAATACCAGGTTGTTCCGCTCCGGCACATGCACAACTTTACCTAATGTTTCTTCAGGTCTTCCGGGCGATCAGCGAAACGGTCAGCCGAAAAAAACAGCGATAGAGTGCGGGAGAAGCTCTTGACTTGCGGGTGACAGGGTCAGTCATGGCGGCGGCGAGCGACAAAGCTCGATTCTATCTCGAGCAGTCGATCCCAGAGCTGAAGGAGTATGAAAACAAAAAGATCTTTTCCAAGGTCAGCTCCCCATGCTGAATCCAAGCAGAGCCGTGCAAACCTTACTTACCAAATGCCTCTCCAGGATGAGATCGCATCGATCACGAAGAAACGATCCGAATTCGAACATAAGATCAATGCGCGTGGTCCGTCACCTGTAGACTTTGCTCGCTATGCCGAATACGAGATGAACCTGGACTCTCTTCGCCGGAAGAGAGTAAAACGCCTAGGGATCAAGGCGCCGGCGCATTCAGGGCAAAGAAGAATATTTTTTATTCTCGACCGGGCAACACGGAAATTCCGCGGTGATATTGGCCTGTGGATGCAGTACATCGATTATGCCCGAAAACAGCGCGCGCATAAAAAGCTAGCGCAAATCTTCACCAATGTTTTGCGCCTCCACCCCACAGAGGCAGCACTGTGGATCGGCGCTGCACGGTACGCTCTCGACGAACATGCAGACATGACACAGGCCCGTGGTTACATGCAGCGAGGGCTACGGTTTTGCAAGAGCTCGAGAACGATGTGGTTACAGTATGCGAAGCTGGAGATGATCTATATAGCCCGGATTGCCGCTAGACATAAGATCCTCGGTTTGGACAGCGGAACCCAAACGAAGGCCATCCGGTCCGGTGATGATATAGAGACAGATGCACCAAAGTTGAATGACGAAGATGTCAATCCGACGCTGGAGAATGACGAAGTTGATGAAGCTGCGCTTGAAACGCTAAATTCTACCCCTGCCTTGTCCGGAGCGATCCCGATTGCCGTTTTCGACGCGGCAATGAAACAATTCAATGAAGACAGTGGCCTCGGTTACGATTTCTTCAGCATTTTTACCGAATTTGAAGACATGCCTTGTCTTAGGCGCGTGCTCACTCATGTCGTTGAGCATTTAATGGAGACTTGTCCTACAAATCCGCGAGCTCAAATCTGCTATGTTAGACTCCCCGTCGAGGGAATCAAACCAACATCTCCACAGTTCCCTCGTGCCTTCGGGAACTCTCTAAGCCGGCTAAAAGAACTTGCGGGAGCTGGCTCCGCCCAGGAACTATCAAAAGAAGTTGCCAGATGGCTGGTCTCAATTAGTTCAACAGACGGTCTTGATCCAGCTCTTCGTCAGGTTGTGGAAGCCACCCTTAGAAATGCGGAGCGAACATCAACTTAAAATTCAGCTCTTGCAGGGAGGGGTTAACAGCCAGGACAGCTCACTTCATATTTTTCGTGAGACTATTTATTCATTTTTCACGGTAGCTTTTTTTTTAAAAAAAAAAGGGCAGGCGTTTCTGGTTGATGCACGGATGACAGAGCATCTCGGCGTTCACAAAAGTAACGGACATGGATGTTGGATTCAGTTGGAATCCACCTTTCTATCTTTTGTATAGCAATAGTTGATATCTATAGAGATCAATCATCATACCCTTTACCTTTACGGTTGTTCTTTTTGTTGCTGTGCACCTTTTTCATCCGGATTCTCGCCTCGTTCGCCCTGTTTTGGCTTTAACACCAACGGATTAGCAAGTTCACAGCGGAGGCACTCGACAGGTTACCCACAGTTCTTTCACCCTCTTCCTCTGCTCGGCCGATGTCTCGCCAGGAATAGCTGCTTTGCTGGCTTCGGCAAGGACATCACGAAGTTTTTCGAAACAGAGTTCGAGGTTCTGCGATTGCTTTCGCGTTTCGTCCGATTGGATAACCAGGCTATCCGTCCTCGCAGCAAGATATCGCGACGAGCGAATTTCGTGGTGTAGGACCGAAGGGACGAGAGGGAAAAGAAGGCCCAATGGCACCCTGAGCGTCACCTTGGAGTTTACCCTGAACCCTAGTTAGTGCTGATGATCCTAGTGCTGAAGACGGGTATGGCGTAACGCACTTATTCACATTCTGACCGCCTGGACCACTCGACCTGCTGAAAGAGATCTCGCAGATACTTCTGGGAATGGTCTGGGATGAAAGCCGACTCAGCCAGGACCTCGCGGTTTGAAGATCCTCAGCGTTTTGTCGGGTGCCATGTTGGGGCGACTGGCGCAAGGCACGACGACTCAGAAATGGTCTAATCGCAAGCCAATGCGGGGGGTCAAGGAGTGGGATTTGCCGACAGCCTCGCCATGCAAACATGCTCCGGGTCATTCGCAAACAAGCCAGCCAGCGCCGATGAAATGCGGTGCTGGCTGCAGCAAACTGTAAGACGTCGAGAGGCAAGCCCCCGATTAGTAAGCAGGCCGTGCCCGCCAGTCAACCAATTAGTCGAGAATTCACCCAGCACTGCATTACCTGCTAGTTTGTCGCGCTGTTGATGGTTCTGGGTGGAGAGCAAGGTTTTGCGTCCGAGAGCACAGGTCTGTCCCGCCAACCTGCTCATCAAGTCACGCCGACGTCCCAGAAATATTTTCATCCTCGACAACCCACTTTCTCGAGAGCCATCCTGCTGCCGTTCTGCGGTTGTTGCAGTTTCGTGAAGTCTGTCGGGTTCTTCTTTTCAAGACTGAGCCGTTTCCAGCCAGACAAAAGCCCATAGAACCTTTTAGCGTGGTCCGTCTTGAAGCTCTTGCTGTCGCCCCTGGGCTTTGGCCGACATACCAAGCACAGAATTTGAATGCTTTCGCGTCAGAAAAGGCACTACAGACATGGCATCCGAGCCTCCGGATGATGTGCTTCACTTTCGTGGCAAGACATTGACGCCGGAGAGCCCACGCCCTCTTCACTTTCCTGAGCCATCCAACATCCCGGTACTCGAGAATCAGATGGACCCAATCTTCAACGACACATCGACATACGAAAATTTACCGAGAACAACGCAGGCCGTATCTGATTTGGCAAAGGTCGGCGACACTGCTCATTTGATGGAACAATATGCCCGCATCTATTCGTTATTGGGCGAGAGGAATGACAAGGTGGCGGATGCCAGCGATCAAGACAAAGGCACAGGTAGCTTTCCTGCTTCTGACCAAGCAGAGCCCCAAGGGGCAAAGAATGAATTCAGTATTGCAGCTCTTCAAAGTCTTCTTCCAGCCAGCCAAATCTCATCTACAGTGACCGCTACCTCTGCCCAAGACACTTCCGCGAGTGCCCCCTCATCCGCGAATCGTCCTCTGAACCATGCGGACCCCTTCGAGTCATCCCCAAGGGAACCCCGCCCACCTTCCACTTCAACTGGGCCTAGTGACTTAACGCATTCTGGCCTTTCGAGGGAGGATCAAAGCCGGCCAAATAGTGATCAAGCCATACTTAATGATTCTGAAAATGGGATCAATTATCAAACTCTTCTCGATAACCTTTGCGAGCCAAATTCCACTGGCACGCATACCAGTGATGCCGTTGCCACCATAAAAAGCCCTACTGCTGATCCAAACCCCCGTTTATCAAACACGGAGTCTTCATTATCTTCTGCTTATAACCTGCCACCACGTCCGCCTCCACAAGCAAAGCCTGAAATTCACCCTAATTCCTCGCCCACTGATGATATCCGCTCTTTTCACGATCTGCCAGCGTTAAATGGAGTCTCCCAACCTTCCCAAAGTAATCTTCATGAATCGACATCTTTACAGTCGAATGGTTCTGATACCTCTGCCTTGCCATCCGCTCAAACCGGATTGCCTTCCCTACTTGCATTGTTCCATCAGCCCAACTCTCCTAGTTTTCAAAGCACCAAGGAAGCTGACGGGGCTGCATCTCATGCTCCTCGAAGTGGAGTCCCAGAACCGCACACCTCAAAGACACAGGAGGACCGTGATGATGAGGCGCCGTGGGGTCCAGAGACACAAAAGAAGTATGATGAATTCCTTCACGACGAACGAGTATACGTTACAGAAGGTGTCTGGGATCGTTTTGCTCCCGGCTCAAGATTGTTTGTTGGTATGTTCACTTGAGGTATCTGCACGAATGCGGCGAATTAACCACCTGTAGGTAACCTTCCCAGTGAACGGGTAACCAAGCGAGATCTCTTCCACCTGTTTCATAAATATGGAAAACTTGCTCAGATATCGATAAAGCCGGCGTATGGCTTTGTCCAATTTATGGATGCAACATCCTGCCGTAACGCACTGGAAGCAGAGCAAGGCGGTGTTATAAGGGGCCGGAAAATTCGTAAGCCGCGAAACTGAAGCGCCTGGGGAGTTTTGTAGGATTGCTGACAACAGTAGATTTGGAAATCTCCAAACCTCAACGGAGCTCCAGGAACGCCCCTGAGCCATCCAAGCCAAGCGGGCTTAGGAGATCAAGGTCACCCGATTATTCTAGGAACCGAGACGTTGGACGAGGTGGCCGGTTGGGAAGTGAACGATATGATCGAGTGGCAGGCGACAGAAAATCGTCTGTGAACGAGGGTAGGGACTACGGAGACCATCGCCACCGCGATAATTACAGACCGACATGGTCGCCGGTGCGGGGCTCTCGCCGAGAGGGGTACCGCTCTCGGGATCGGAGTGTCGAAAGATACGATCACCGGAGTCGTCGACGCTCGAGGTCCCCATATGGGCCAGGGACCCGCTACCGCAGCCCTACTCCCAGAGGTCCAAGCTATGACAGCGACTCAGAACTTCCAATCCCGAGAAGGGCGCCACGTCATGTACCGGATGTCCAAATAATTGTTTTGGAAAACGTGGACAAGTAAGTTAATTTGGTTGTTACATATATATTACAGACTAACGGATTTGCGCTTTGTAGTGAATTTGTGTATCGAATAGAGACAGCATTTAGGGACCGTGGCTTGCGAACAGACGTCCTAATTCTTAGCCCTCGCATAAGTCTTCCCGCAGTAATCCGGCGTCAGATACTAGAAGGCGTACTAGTCATAGTGAAGCTATCGAAGACCAACCAATATTCAGGCAGAATACCATTGCAAGTATTCGACCGTGGTGGCGGTGCTGATAATGTTCGCTTCAATGGTAAAGGTCACTTTTCACTACTCATTTTGGTATGCAATACTGATATCTATAGAATATGCCGGGCTTGAACCGAAAGTTGCGGCGGAGGTCGCCATTCACGCACGCAATATCCCCATTGGTACATCAAATCAGGGTGCCATGCAACAGGGCTTAGGTACCCAGGCAGCCGGCCCACCACAGAGCTCCCTTGGTCCTCAGTCCAATGTCGCAAACCTCATATCAAGTCTCGACGCTCCGGCTCTCCAATCCCTTCTTAGCGCACTACAACAAAATCCTACCGCCTTGTCGCAGCAACAATATCCGCCGTCTACTCTGCCGGCAGCCAATGTCGCTAACCTTCTGAGCAATATCACTCGCAACAACAACTCGGGGCTATCTGTACTTCCTCCAAGCCAGAATCCAGCCCCTGTTCAGTCATTTGGGCAACCCCCAGCCCACACTGCTCTCGAGGCGGAAACAAACTTGGCCGCTCTGCTCGCAAAGGGGCAGCTACCTTCGGGCCCATCTCAGACCCAATACATCAATGAGCAACTGGCGAAGTGGAAACGATGACGCTCTGAAAACTGTTTTTTAACCATTTGCTATTCACACACATGATTACTCATTTAGCGATACTCAACCAAGCTTCTGGAGTCTCTTTTTTTCTGCATCTGAATTTTTATTAAACCCCGATCAGTGGGGCCGGACAATGAATAATAGGAATAATTTTGTTGGACTTAAGTTCTATCTGAAGGACAATAATATACAAAATAAGTGGTGGGTCTGAACGGTATGACAAGTGGTGGACCCGTGCTACATATCCTTGAGGAAAGGCGATTCCATGCCTGCCCACATCCAGGTGTTGAGGTGGAGAGAAGAGCTGTTCTGATAAACCTCCCAAATAATACAATACAATAATATACAACTCAACCCGTGCGCCTTTTCCATGATATATGTAACATGCCGAACATTCAAAAAACTTCTGGGATTTTTTTTTTTTTTTTTCTAATTTCCGACCTTCTTCCCGGCGGCTTCGTCCTGTTTTATCCGTTCGATCGATTGGTCCCGTCGGTATTCCATTACTCGCTTCTCTTTAAAATATTTCACCTAAGATGGAAAGCAGCCCGAATCAGTACCCAGTGCATGAAACACGACATAAACTTCCACGGTGTGCGGCGCATAAGAGGCGAAGAAATTACCCATGTTGCCGAGCAAGCATTCTCAAACTCCTGCAGTTCTTTCGCGCACTTCGCTCGTGCTTCTCCGTCCTTCTTTATAGCGTCTATGATGCCGTTCTGGTCTAAGCATTTAAAAAACAGGTCTCGGCCTTTGTAGCATTTGTCTCGGGACGAGCGATCGGGGGCAATTTTACCGCCGTCGGAGGCCTTTTGGGGCGCATCTGAGGAACTTGAGAACCAGCCCATCGTTTTTGACAGAGGGCGATATAAACGGAGAAAAACGATTGAATAGGTACTCTTTTGAAAGCGGGCTGCGGGCTATTGTTGTTTCAATGCCGTACAGTTTATCGAAGTTCAGTCGGAATCCCGCCCATCGTGTTCCTCACGTGACTTTAATTTTTTCGATCGGGCAATAATTTTGGCCGTCGTCATCGTGGCTTGTTCCAAAGGGGAGACATGAATTTCGATTCAAAACAAGCGATCGCGGATCGACAAAACAAAAGGCCGATGTCTTTCTGCCCTTTTCATATATATTTCTAGTTGTCTCTTTTTCCTGGGCCAGATATGAACTTCCCCCACTTTTACTGCTGACGCACCTTGAGACGATTTTCCTTTTTACCCCCCATTCCATGCAACCCCGTCAGCGCAAACCTCGGAGAGCTGGTGCTCTGAAAGACCTCCCGCCGCTGATCATCGTTAAGAAGATCTTGCTTTTACAGGTCGCGTTTTATGTTTGCGCTACAATCTTAATACTCTTTGCGGCTCTTGTGGCCGGGACTGCATTTTCACCCGATCTCATCCTAAGTTGGCGGACGCTAAGAGGAGATACGACGATAGGATGGACGTTGAGCTTTGTTTGGTTGCTAAATAGCTTCTTCGGGTGCGTATCTGCTTTCCCTAACCGCCGCGGTGGGAACGTTTTGCTATCTATATCTACTAACCTCGCGGGGTTTATCGCCAGCGTCATCTTCATTCTTCTCCTAGTTTCGCGCTCAAAACTCGTTCCCGACTTCGCACTTACCATACATTTCATTCACCTCGTCATCACATCTTTCTATACCCACGAGATTCCTTCCAACCTCTTATGGTGGGGATTACAAGGCGCAAGTTCGGCGCTTATGACATTCGTTGGCATGTGGGCATGCCAATACCGGGAGCTTCGGCCGATCGCTTTCGGCGGCGTTTCGTCCAATCGAAGAGCAACCGCTCGGACCACTCCAGATGCACATGCAGACAACGAAGACCCAGAAGCCGCAGGCTTCTCTCGAGGGCGAAGCCGGGGTCATGATCGGGACGGAGGTGGAGAATACGAGATGGTTTCGGTGAAGGAGCCTCCAGAAGAACCCGTATAGGGATTTTCTTTATTATCCTGGATCAAACATTCATCTTTTCGCTCACTAAGTTATATACCCTCCATTTGTACTTGTGGGAGTTGGGGAGTTTGGAAGACGCTGTACTTCTCTGCGTGCTTGTGGGCATGTATTCCTTAAGGCCTACCTAGTTCGTAATGACCGCTGGGAGCTGGATCCCTCCTTTATTCTTCTTCTTCTTCTTCACATGAATCCGTGGCTCCGGATGCGCCTGATATTTCTTATTTATTTATTTTAGTTCCTTTTTTTTTTCTTTTTTTCTTTTTTTGTTTTTGGGGCCTCTATTGTCCGTTTATTTTTACAGCGTGTTGTATATACATGTGCCTCCGTAATTCGCCACGCTGGCGGTAATCCGCCGTTCCAATTGCTCATCCAAACTGTCCGCGCCTAAGCTCGCTCTGGCTGCTTCGATTCGTCGGCCGGCGCGCGGGTCGGTTAGCATTACAGGATTTTGAGAGCCCAACCGTTGATGACTTCATCGACATCCACGTGACCGCCCACATGAGCTTCACTCGGCGCGAACATTCGACCATCCCGTCACCCGGGCCGCCACCTCGACGGAGCATCTCTTCAAGACACCATCTGGAAAGCTCAGGGAAAAGGATTGTATTTGTCTAGTTTTCCTTTATGAATTGTATCGACTCAAGGCTTATATCTTCCGCTTTTTCGTTGTTGCACATCAGGGAACACTCGAGTTGCGCGGAGCTGCCTCAGATCGCTAAGCATACTACTCTCCAGTAAGCTTCCATGCCAACCCCGCATCTCTTCCCGCTCCTTGTCTGGTCTCTTTGTCTCGAACCGGCGTGGGAATATTTAGCTAAGGCTTGATCAACTCCGCCATTATGGCAACCAGAGAGCAGGCCAAGCGGTTCGTTCCCTCTCAGCAGGAGGAGCTCCGTTAACATGGCTGAACCCGAGCCGTCCTACATCGACTACGAGGCCTTCCTGGACCCGTCGTTCTCCCCAACGTCCTTCGCGAATAACCTTGTCACTAGCACCAACAATCCCTCTGACACACCGCTTGATCTCTCTACCCCTCTATCGCGAGTCCTCTTCGACATCCAAGAGATTGATACCCATATCCACAACTCGACCACTAAGTCTGCTCTACCGCTACTCACACATACTCGCGATCAGAACGATGCCGGACAGCGAGTCTTGCAGGCAGTCGAGGCGCAAGTCGCTGTCTTAAAGGAGGGGTATGAAAGACTGGAGAGAGATGTTCTCAGAAAGTGGGAAGCGGCTGAAGAGGTCAGAGGTGCCGCTGAGAGGTCTTGGGCGACCGTGAGACTGGCCAGGGCCGTTGGGAGATGTCTTATGCTGGGCAGGCAACTTGAAGGCCAGCTCGTGGAGCTCACCCCGCGATTCGTAGATAACAAAGGTGACGAGTCCGCACCCCTTATGAGGGAAGATCACAGGGCGCTTGTTAGAGCATCCCATACCTTGTTGATGTTGCGACGGATGTTCATGACAACGGCAGACGGGGAAGAAGGTTACGGATTGGACCGAGTCAGGGTCATTCGAACACTGAGAAGCGATTTGATCACTCCGGCCGAGAACAGCGTCAAGGCCAGAGCGCAGCAGATCGTCAATAAATTCTCGTTGAAGGCTGTCTTTATGGATGAAGAACATCCCGCAGTTTCTCCGGGTCCCCGAGCTCGGAGTTCCGGAGCAACGACGTACGCACAGCAAGAGGAGCTAAGAGCGCGAGTTATCTCCGCTATAACTGCTCTGTACCTGTTGTCTCCAACGCCAAAGAGTAACATCCCGGTTACCAGTTTCTCCCCAGAGCTTCTCTTGGCGACTCTAAAGGGCTACATTCACACATCGTTGTCCGCATCACTAGCTGCTTTGACGCGGGGTTTATCCATGCTTCCGTCACTTGATCGTGCCCTCCTCGAGGTGTCTACGCGGTGCCAACATATTGTAGCCCTCGAGGGTCTCTTGCAGACTGTGAAACCTCCAGTCCACCCATTCCTAATCTACCCATCTAGTGAACAGGACGGAACAGAAACGCAGGCAGCGTTAGACAAGAAAAAATCTAATCTCCTTCGGCCTGTTCTCCAAGCTCTGGACACATCATCCCTTCCATCTTACTTCTGGCGCTCGCTGGCTTCATCTCTGTCGCCTGCCGTCCAAGAGATTGTGTCTCGTGGTGGCGTCTCTGCTCGTACAATGAGGTCGAACCAAGACCGGCTCCGTGAAGATATCCGTGCATGCGTTCTGCGAGGCTCCCTGTCATCAAGTCCCGGATTGAAGAGGGAAAGTATGATGTCGATGGCGCCCAAAGTTGTTGGAAATTGGGAGCGTGAGGCTGCTGTAATGGTCAGCTCTGTGATCGGCGCCCTTGGGAGATGAGATGGCAGTTGGCAATGTTTGAATGGAATTGCTTTTTATCCCTGTCTTGGTGTGTGGAGCCCCTTTTGCTTTGGCGTACCTTGTTGGTGTAGGTTCCGTGCTGTCCTTAATCATCAGTGTTTGACCGGCCGGGTTGATGATTGGGCAGCTGTATGTATTTTCTGGAGTATTTGTGGAGGTGGAGCTTCTTGTCGTATCTCAGATGAAATATCTACAACGCATGTACGTACCATGGCCTCAAGTGAATGTATTGAAACCTTGAGGCATGCATGATTCAGACCCTCGGCGCTAGAGAAGACTTCTGGAAGCAAGGTCCGATACGATTCCACCCTGCACGCCTCTGGCTGGGGGTGCGGGTTTTCGTCGGCCCGAGAGCGCATCCACGGAATGCGGCTCAGCGAGGGCCAACAAAAGCCAATGATGTCAAAACGCGGTGAGCTGCTTGACGAGAGAGCGCCGACCTGGCGAATGGTTGGTGCAATTCTGTGACGTGGCCTAAGGTAAAAAGCCCAAAAAAAAAAAAAAAAAAAAAGGATACATTTGCACCGCTTCTCCCAGCTTCATCCCCACTATCAAGGCTTTTCCGAATCAAAAAAATTTCTGCAAAAAAAAAAAGAAATGTTGATAAGAGTGAGATTCGAACTCACGCAGGGTTTCCCCTACCAGGACCTTAACCTGGCGCCTTGGACCGCTCGGCCATCTTACCCGATTTACAAAAAATTTGGTGATTCAAAAATTGTTGAAGACATTTTATATAGATCGAAGGAAGGACCCGTTTTCTTTTTTCTGTTACGATATCCATCTGACGTCCATTTTCTTTCCCACTTACCAACAATTCCGATCTGGGAAGACTTTTTTACGCCATACCGGTGTTCTAATGATCCCTTGAACCGGGGTAAAGGACCAACTGGCTCTGGCCTCGCTTAAGTCTTACCTGAATACCTATGTGGTTACCGAGCACACTCCTTACCTTTCTCTGCATATTGAGTGATGTATGCGGCAAACGGTAACTAACCAATTATCTATGGAAGCGTTCCAACGATAGGTTGCTGGACAGGGCCTGGGAAAGGCTTCGGTTCATAAAAGCGCCACGGGGCATGCGATCCGGGCGCCGGCGCAACTGATATTTTAAGCTTCACACAGTCCCTTCTTTCCGAAAAGCTAGAAGGAGAAGAAGGGGGTGGGAAGAAGACTAACAGCCCTTCATCCATGCCATGCCGACTGCTGCATTTATCTCGGGGGAAAAATGGGCCTTTTTCACCGTGCTGGCACTTTCTTTATCTTGGGGACTGGCACTAATATCGCTCGCCATTTGTTCGGAGTTATTTGGGGGGAGAGGGGCTATTTTTCGGGCTGTCTGCTCCGCATACGGGCGACGAAAGAGCTGGATTCGATGGTCGAAGAAATCGGAGCAGGCTCTGATGTCGGGGATCAGAAAAATAAGAAAATGAACCACAACTATTCGAAAGAAAGCCGGAGTTGATTGGCGCGACAAAACGTGGACGCATCTGCCTACTGCGGAACTGTTCGGCGTGATTACTTTTGGACAGGGGTAAAGTATGTATATTGCCTCGGCGGAAGACGCATATGATGCTGAGGCAAAAAAAGGAAGTCAAGGTAAAAATCAATAGGAAGAAGCAACTTCTGGTGGTTAGTTGGGTAGTGCGTGGGCAGGTGACTCTGGGCAGAACTAACTTGGCCGGATACCGATCTTTCAACAGTAGGATGGGGTAGATCCAGTCCCTTCAATGGATGCTCTCAATAATATACAATCATCAATCGATTGCAGGGAAGGGAGGTCGATTGGTCCCTTGAGCTTGGTCCCTAGCTCCACTTCCGCCTAAGAAGGTCACCAGGACGCTCATTCGTTCGTATATAACATCATGATGTCAGGATCCAGGCCAATCTGCAATGTATAATTCCCGTACTCAGTAGCAGTAAACGGAACATATGGATGCAGACCGTTTACGTGCTTTTCAGAGCAGAAGCATCATGTCCCGGCAAGGGCGCTAATTTTACCCAGGTTCGAGCAAAAAAATATCCTGAGAGTCGTGCCATGGATGGGCTCACCCGTGGTAGTAAGCTCGGCCCAGCTCAAGCTCGGCCCAGCTCAAGCCAGTCCCGGACTCAACATATATAACTGGCCTGAGAGGAAGGACATTTAAAGTACCTCGGACGTAGGACGCCGGAACAGCATATTGAAACGTAGCGTGTGACTACGGGGTGTCTTCCCGCAAAATGGGCGCACCTGAGGCACAGACACCTTGCCACGTGTATTCCGGCTATCAGCGATTTTGAGGGTTAATTTTGCTTCTCGAAACCTGAAAGTTGGGGGTTCCGTTGAACTAAGATTCCAAATTATTGAAAAACCTGCACTGAAAAGCGCATGAAAGGAAGCTTTTTTTCTCAACGAGCTTCCAAAACCAGAAGACCAGACTTTTTTCCTGGAGAAGGAGGGGGAAGGGAAGAGGGAGATTTTGACGAGAAGGAGATAGCGGCATTCGAGAGGCCGTTCATTGGCCGAAACCGTGCATTTTCAAGAGTCAAAGTTGGACAAGGTTTCTGGGGCAAGTTGGACACCGCCGCATGGCAATCCTCAGGTACCGTGAAGAGCGGACGAACCTTGGTTGGATGTCAGGAGGATCGCGACCGCTGATTCGCACGTAAGGTGATCTATGATGCATTTGTAACCAGAGGAGAGCTTCCGAGGCGCGATTTCTCCTGGTCGAAAAAGTTAAGCCTGGGCGTGTGAGCCGTGTGGATTTCCCGGGGATTTGGGACAAGGCGTACCGGTACCTGGCGATGCGCACGAGGTAGAAAATGGCTTCTTCCAGGCACGGAGGTACATCAAGTACAGTACACGGTGTATACATACGTTTTTGACAGCCCAGGGACGGGACAAGAGTTGGGGGAGGCGACCGCTGCCAGCACGAACGTGCCATGAATTTCTTTTCGATCACAGATTCCGGGGGGCCACACAGGCATCTTCCCTGATAGGAGGGGGGAAGATTCTGTCTGACATGGCCTTGAACTCTGTTGTGCAGCCGCTCGGGGTAACAAAGAAGGGAAAAAAAAAGAAGAAAACCGAAAAAGAAAACAACACGATGGAGGGGTAACAGGCTGGGCTGTACGGGCTTGCGGGCTCGCGTGGTTCAATTGGACAGGCCCCGTTTCCTCACCCCCTCACTAACCAGCCGGCGAAGAGAAGCGCAGCTCCACCGAACCAAGAGCTGTGGGCTCCCCCTGGATAGTTCGCCGCATGCAAAAAAGCGAATTTATCATCATCAACGTCATCCAGGCGAGGGTGGCTCTAGCCCGGTCTCTCTTGGCTGCGTCTGCCGTTCCTCTTTTGTCACTCGCACCCCTATACGGAGAAGATAGGGTATTATTATACTTTTTCCTCCTGGTAATTGTACATATACATCTCGAGATCACAGTCGTCTCTCGTCAGTTCCCTGCATCGGTGTCGAAAGAAGCCCTGTTTTTCTCCCATCCATCATCCTGTAACAATGCATGTATTGTGGAGTACGGAGCTACTTGACTTTAAACGGCCGTCGGCAGTTGCTGTTAATTCCACATGGTTCATCATCCAGCAGCTTTTTGGAGTCGATCTGGTAGTTCTAGTAGATATGGATCCTGGGGGGAGTTCATGCCGAAAATCAGCCGCTGTAGGGTTGGACCCTCCTCCCGTCCCCCGGTCGCCACTGGGGCCAGCGGCCTCAGGCAATCGATTAACCAGATGGGCGCGTGGGGAACCCCTTTCGTTTGTCGGGATGATGATTCATAGAAAAGTCAAACGGTGAGGAACGGCCATTTTGCCTGCTGTCCTCCACTTCTTCCCATGCGAGCTCGTTACAACCGGCGGGCAACAATCAGGTCGGAGTGGCCTCTTGTCGATCATGTGTAACTGGCTGCGATTCCAGCGAGAGTCTGGCCTCGTATAAATTAAACGAGCTGTGATCCGTATGAGTCTGCCGTGGATTTTCCAATTGTCCATCAGAGCTGCACAGGAGCCCATAATTGAGTCCCGCATTCGGGAACTACTCAGTCAATCGGAGCACGCATCTCAGATCGGAGGTACAGTGTATTGAGCAAATGTAAAACTCGCCGTACGGAGTTAGTACGGAGTACCTTGACTCTTTTCATTTTTTTTTTTTTTTTTCAACCCTTTATTAATTTTCTTTTTGCTCTCGTCGAAGTGGGTGTGTGCGAAGAGAGCGGGTCGTGTGTTCCTTTTAACTCGCGGGAGAGCAAAGCTGCGAGGGCGAGGCACGGAGCTGTCAATCCCTTTCTTCACCCCTCCCCAGGCAGACTCTCCGGGGGCAAAACAACGCGCCCATCAGCCACATCCCACCGATCTTCCCCTTTCCCGTCCATACCCAGGCGCAACACTGGCCGGTCCCTCTCTTAAAGCCGCTCAGCCCTCCCTCGAGAAAACCCACAAAGCGGGCCTCATCGCAGGTTTCATCGTCGTCCCCGCCCCTCTCCCGACAGGTTAACCATCCCTTTTTTTTTCTGGTCTTGTCTTACTGTGCACTCCGTACCTGCTGCTCATATCAGCACGACCATCTTAACGGTTCCTTTTTTTTTTTTTAACTCTCTGACTGGATTGCCCAGACAAGTAGCCTCGTGGCGGATCACAGATACCTTTCGGCGTGTTCCGATACTTGAGACACAGTTAAGTTCTCATTCACCCACCAGATCCGCCCTTCCCCAAAAAACAAGGAGATCCGGCCAGGCAGACCCCTCGCCGCCGACCGCCACTCTCCCCCCATCGACTCTTAAGCCCTGCGCTGGCCGTCATCCCTCCCACCACCCGTCAAGACATCTTCCTGCTCTCGTCTACCCAGCTGCCATCGCTCGAGCAGGGTCCTCGCTGCATCCATCCTGATCGGGACTCCTGCAAATCCCGATGGTCTAACGTCACCCAATCCTCCAAAACCCATCGCACGTTGTATGCCTCCTCGCCGCCTTTTATCTGACAATCTCTACGAGCGTCGGCGCCTTAATCGACCCCGCAAGGCGAGCATCCTTCTTTTCATCCCTCTTCCTCTCTTCTGTTTTGTCCGAATCATTGTACCTTTCTCACCTTTCTTTTCTTTCTTTTCTTTTCTTTTTTTTCTTCTTTCTCCTACTTGGCGCTTGTCGTCCTGTGGTAAGCTTTTCGTTCCAAGATCCGCGTTCCGGTGGTAGCCTTTCCTTCAAGGAACCCTCCGGCTAAACATCCTCTTTGGGAATAAACAGGCTTCATCCTGACCTCGCTCCCGCCGCCTTTTCTCGCTCAGACCGAAGCGATCGTTGCCCTAGTCAACTGCATATCGGTGGGGTTGGTTTATTTTAAGCAGCCTCGCCTCATTGGACTCCTCCCGTGTTTCAGGGACGGCTGGAGGTTGATGTGGCCTCGTTCCTGATCCGAAACGTCCTCTCGACGTCAACTCTCGACGGGCCTTTTGGGGTAAAATAACAAAAAGTGAAAAAAAATAAAAATAAAAATAAAAAGTAAAACAATAAAAATAAGGGAAAGCCAGACAAAAAGGATAGTCATCCTTGCTCGCAATCGTCGACGATCGACAGGGTCAAAAAGTCTGCGACGCGAGCCATGACAACTTTTCTTCCTGTCAACATCAACCATACGGGCGCGGAGATAAAAATGGATTTTCAGCAGAAAAGTCCATCCACGCCATTCTTGCCTCGCATGGAACGGCCCGTCAAGCGCGAGGCCCAGGAGCAATCCCAGACTGGAAACGCGACCGGAACCCAAAGTGACAACAACAAACGCCCTGCCGTGGCCGGAGGCACGAACGACCATAACAAGTCGAATCTTTCGCACCCTCGTCCGGTTTCGAATGGAAACGCGAGTAGCGAAGGGTCGTCAACGCAGTCTTCTGCACCTGAGGATGTACCGGCGCATGAATCGGAAGGCGAACACTATGGAAGCGAGAACGAAGCGGATCACGGGGAGACCGCTCCTCCATCGAAGAAGAAAAAGGGCCAGCGGTTTTATTGTAAAGATTTTCCACCTTGCAATTTGAGCTTCACGAGAAGCGAGCATCTCGCTCGTCACATAAGGTTTGCCATTTTCTAGCCTGCTCTGCGAAGTGCCTTAAAAACGGCTAACCCGTGAGAAAAATAGGAAACATACAGGAGAGAGACCGTTTCAGTGCCATTGCTCGAGGCGCTTTTCACGCCTAGATAACCTTCGACAGCATGCACAGACGGTCCATGTCAACGAAGACATTCCTGGCGATTCCCTTGCTGCCACAGGAACTCGATTTCAACGCCAGATTCGAACCGACCGAGTACGCCCACCAGGGAGAGCCCGTGCTGGGACTGGTGGTAGCCAGGGTGGTCATAGCCGTGGACATAGCAGGAATCTATCTACGTCCAGTATCGCTTCCACGGTGTCATCTTTCAGTCAGACCCAGGAGCTCCGGCGCAGACCACCGCCACTAATGATGGCGAACGACGGCAATGCAAGAGCCAGGCTATCTCTAGAAACAGCCTCACCACCAAAGACCCCTCCTCAGCAGATCCACCCCTTCCAGGGACCATCGCCAAACACAGCCCTCTTTACACCGTCGTCAGCGAACTACGATACAGCGAGCCCTTTCTACGCATCTCCAGCCTCAACCACAGGATTTTGGGGAGATAGTATACATTCACGCCGCCTGTCCGTCCCCACAGACAGTCGACCATTCGACCCTTCTCATGCGAGCTCGTTCTCGCCTGTACACCTTAGACAGCTTGCACCCGCACACGGGCCATATCCTAACAATGAAACTCCTTTAGGTGGTCCATCAACTCCTCATACACCGCAGACTGCTCAAGGAATATCCCCTTCCGACTCTGACTGGCGACGGAGGACCTGGCACCCAAGCACCGGGTTCGCTCGACCAATAACCAGTGGTCTCTGGTTCCAGCAGTCTGCAGAACAGACCCCGTCCGCGTACCCGGTCAATTTACAACCATTGCAGAATCAAAACCCACCGAGACTGCCGGGGATCGAGAGTTTTGATCAAATGCAGCAGAGCCCGTTAGCACCGCCCCGGCGCGAGCCTACGCCCATGCAGATCGACCGTCCTCCTGGTCAGGTAGAACAGCCCATTCAACAACAACAACAGCAGCAGCAGCAGCAGCACCAACAAGCTGGTGCTCCCCCATTTCCAACTTCTTTCGATGCGCAGACGCCAGCGGCACGACCACAGCCCCCCATTTCAGGCCTCGGTCACCGTAGAGGATTTCTTTCCTTGGACCTGTCGCTTCACAGAAATTTAACCAAACTTGATCTTCGTGAGAGTCCTCCTCAGAAGAACGCTGGCCAATGGAGTCAACAGACAACCCATCCACAAAGTGCCGTAACCAGCCAGCAGGAACCTGCTTCAGTTTCGTCCGCTGCTCCCCCTGCTCCGGTTCAAGCTTTACCTCCCATTGCGCCCAAGGAGCCGCAGCCTATTGCTGATGCTACCAATGCGAATGATCATACCAAGAGACATACTTGGTTCATCACTTCGTCTGCCGACCCTTCACACTCGAATGTACCGGTTACTAGGGCCCCTTCTTCCCACCCAAAGACGTCTGAAAGCGTCCAGGCCACCCCAAAGGCGAGCGTCGACTTCCTCGCAACCGTCGCACAGAACGAAAGCGAAGCGGAACGTCGGCGTTCACTCGCTATTTCAGATCTTAGTAGCGAGAATGTGAGTTATACTTTAAATATCTACTTTTGAATGTTCCTATTTGAGTGTTTATTTTACATATGCTTACTTGATAATATTGATAGCCCCCGCAGCCGCCTAGGTATACATTTGATGCTAGTTCTGAGCCACGTTCTGGAGTCTATCCTGGTCCGGCCACTAATGATCCTGGACTGGGACGACTTGAGGCACTTGTTGCTGTTGCCACGAGCGAAAGCAGCGGTAGAATGTTTTGATAACATTCGAACCTTCGAACCACTCACGAGATATCTGTTTCCACCGGTGTGAATGTCAGAAAGTTATGCCGTTGATTCCATACGAACGAGTACACGACGCTTGGCTTGCCTCGGCTATATAGCCTTGGCTGCTCTCTTTTTATTCCTCTGGTTTTTTTTTCCCCCTTGATCAGTTCAGTTAGCTCTTTGCAAGTCGTTTCCCATGGCCAGAGATACCCTACTATCGTTTACCTAATGCCTTGCTGATCGTCTTTTATCTTCAATTTTTTTTTTTTCCCCCCTCCTGAATCACTTAGAGCTTCTTGTTTTGAGGCAGGTTCACTCCACATTATTCCCGAAGGTCCTAACACAATGACAATGACCCCTCTCCACTTTTCCTTTTACTGAGCTGAGAGCAGGCGGGTTCACTGGTGACCGCTTTGTCCCCTGATTATCTAGGATCCTGGACATTTTTTATCATCCACGCTTTCTTTTATGGTCATGAGCACATGAGCGGATATGTGAGGAAAATGGGTCAAGGGAGTATGTATGCTTTTGTATTGTTTTCTCTTCTCACTTTGTTTTTTTACACAGTGTTTTTCATTATTATTAGTTGTTATTATCATTGCGTTTTTTCTTTACTTCAGATGCTTGGCTTAACTTCCTCTTTCTTTTCTCTTACTTTATGCCTTTTGTGTTTTCCCGTATTCTGTGACCTTTAGTTTTTGATTTTATTTTATTTTATTTATTTGTTTTTCCGGTTCTGTTTTGCGGATGGGATTGACGATGATGACATGACTTTACGGCCGCATATATGTTTGTCATATACTCGAAATGAAGATGTTACACATGATTTCTAGGCAGTCCACTCTCTTATCGTCTGAATCCTGCGGTGTCTGGGTTCTGTGGTGTTTAAATGGTTCCTTACTCCGTAGTCTATGAAAACTCCCCTGGCCGCCTTAAGGTTTGACTGCTTCGGATCAGATCATCTTTGGCTTTTTGTCCTATTTGTTCTTTTCCAACACAAACCCGGATCTCGCATAATAGTGTTAGTTGTTATAGTCTTTCTTTCTTTCTTTCTTTTTTTTTTGTTTTCTTAATGCCTAAACAAAGTTCCGGTTTCTAGTTATCTGGTGGAAAAGCCTGCATTTAAAATGTCGACTTGCAAGAGGCGATTTTCCGCCCCGGCCCCGCCAAGGTAATTTCTTAGTGGTCACATGACCGCGCTGCAAATCTGGCTGGGCGACCACCGGATCAAGCTCGAAATTGAACGATTAAAACGGACACCAAGGTGATCAATGACCGTGTTGCAATATCTATGGTCTAATCTTATGGCGTTAAATGTCCCATTCAAAGTAAAGGGCTAATAATGGAAGCCTGTCACTCATCAAAATGCAAGCTTCTGAGAAGCTTGGATGTTTGTCTCTTTTGAAACAGCAATCTTTGGAAGGGATCAATCCTTCAATGGGTCAGAGGAGCAGAATAGCCATGGTTGGAATTCAAGCAGGCAACACCCGCAGCAAACGCCTGGTCACTCCATTGTGGGATGTTAAAGGGCATTGTCGGTGGTTAAAAGGAGCCGATGATAGGTAGAGCCTCTATTTGTCTCTACATCCACTTGGGGTTTGCATTGTGATGTTGAGTGTTATTTTATCATCTTCATACCAGAAGTTATCAGGATTTCACCATTGTTCCTGAATCAGACAATGGCCTGGCTTCTGCATTGTCATTTTCTAATAGTCATTATTGTGCCTCCGATTCATAGTACGCCATTGAGAACCAATTCAGAGCTGGAGGTGTTTTTTTTTCTCTCTCTCTCTTGAATAGTATCTCTTAGTTCCTTCGTTTCTCGCTCTGCTTTTATACATTCCATGTTCGTCTCTACTTACTATCATGGAACATTTTTGTCCGTGTATACTACCCACCTACTACTTCTTTTCCAGCCGCTAAACTACTATCTGAGCCCTCGTTGAAGAACCTTCATATAGATTCTCTATTTTGATGTGACTCTCGTGTATCTTTGAATCCCAAATTCACTTGAGTTTGGCTCTCCGAAGCAAAATTATATTAGAGATACGGCGGATGTCAAAGTCCCGACAAGAATGTCGACCGTGGACTATACGCATATGGAAATTGTTCCACATCCGACAGACGATGAATCGCTCTCAGGCGAAACAGTCTTCGACGATGGTCCTACAAACCACAGGGGTGTTAAAAGAGGGAGCTCCAGCGTCGAGAGCTCGGACGATGATCAGCATCCAGGTGACGACCACTCGGGGGGAAAGCGTCGCCGCCAGCATTTCGACCTAGATATGCCAGTTACAGAACCATGCCTTGGGCCACCGATTCACAATCCAGAACTATATGACCAGATTCAGCGCATCAGCAGGGCCACTGGATCTTACGTGGGGCCTGGAGCCGCGGTCGTTTTAAAATATGAGCCCCCTGAGCCACGAAGTCCAACGCCCATGGATGAGGGTTGGATCGAGGGGACAAAATCTGCTTACGAGCGGAGTCTGGAATCGAAGTTGAATGAACTCCGGGGTGGAGAAGACCAGAGCGATGAGAGCGTCAAGGCCCCGCCAATAAGTCCCTTAACTCCTATAAATGAACGTGTGCAGGTATCAGAGGGCGAACTGTATGCGAGTGAGTCTACCTTTTTTCTAAAGGTTGAAACTTTGAGCCTTTCCTTGCGGGTGTGTTTCTGTAAGATACTAACCCTAGGAAATCCGTGGCTTCTCATTACAATTCTTGGATCGTTTCAATCGATTGATTAATTCATGCCCTGCATGGAACTGCGAAGATCATTGTTTTTCAGTTAGAATTGTGAACTGACATCAACCCTCTTCCTAGATGGACGAGCGCAATTATCCTCCGAAGGTAGTCAGTTAAAACGTGGAGAGCGATCTCAGGGAGTGGAACTGCATGGAAATGAGAGAGAAGAAATGGAATTAAACAGAAGGGGAGCTTTGGAAGAAAATCATGAGCGAAAGCACAGCCAAATATTGGCGGGCCAAACGGGCGGTAAAAAGTTACCTGAGCTAATGGCTTTCCATGCCGAGATGGAAGAAGAAAATTCGTCGTTGAAGGCATCTTCCTCCGTGGCAACATTCAGCTCTTCCAATCTAAGAGAGTCGGAAGAAAGTTCCTCTTCACCAATCGCTCCCGGTCAGCGGCGCCATAGAAGATTCCAAGAACTCTCCGTCCCAGATGAAGCTGCGAGTGGAAGCAGCAGCACGCACGCTTCAAAGTCGGGAGCTCCTCAGGGGAACACGAACCACCCTTCGAGTCATGATTCTAGCTCCGGTCCAGCCCGAGAGGAAAGCCGGTCAAAGACCCCTACCTCTACTCGGCCCTCAGCGATGCCTAGAAAAGGACTCAGGAAAGGGTCACTACTTGAGCTTTTCCCGAGGATCACAAATTTCAGGCGGATTCGAACCTGGGCAGGACGACCGGGCAAGACGCCAAGCATCAGAAGGTTGAGTAATCCGATAAATCTGTCGCCAAATCCCCGTTTGACCAGGCCTTGTCGACGAAATGTCGAAATTGTCTCTCCACCACTGCCGATACCAAGCCCATCAGCCAGGACATCCCGACCATCACCACCCCGTCCGGCGGTGATAGATCCAGAAATGGCGCCGAATAGGCATGTTAGAGATATAGCGTTCCCCAGTATCGAACATGATCCGAACGCCGGGCCCATCGATATTACAACGCCACCAAGAAGACCTAAAATGAGAATTGGTCCGCCGCGCGGTCGAGGGAATAGATCACGACTGGGCGCATTATCAGAAACATCACGCCATATCACAAGAGGACCAGCTAGCCCTAAAATTAAGGGCGAATTTAGTGGTACTGGGACCCCAAGGGTGGTTGATGGTGCAACCCAAGCCTCTGGCCCCGCTCCAGCTGCCGTTGCGTCCAACCGGAATCCAGTGGGAGCTACAGAAGTAAGTCGCGGTGCACCTCGTCGTAAAGCAAACACGAGACGCGGCCCGCCTCCCGGTCGAAAAGCCAGAAAGCAGAATATCGCGCCCACAGTGACAGCACCAAGTGATACTGCGACAACTAGCCAAGGTGCAGGGATCGTGGAGACCCAACGCCAAGCTCAAGAAGCAGTCGCCCAGGACGCCGTTCCCACAATTGAACCGCCAGAAACTATCACAGAGTTTGGCGAGTCAAGAACTGTCAATGAAGCTAATACTGCGCTGAAAAGAGAACCTCAAAGCCGCAGCCAACCGAATAACGAACCAGAGCCAGCTACAATAGCAGTTCCAATGACGGGTAGGGCATATACGAAGGCAAAACTAACTACAAACGTCTCAGATACAACACCAGTGGCCAGAAATACTCGTGCAGCAGCGAGAAGGGCTGCTGCAGCGGCAGAAGCAGCGGCAAATCCTCCTCAAGAGAATGTGCAGGAACTGGAGGACCCACAGCAACGAGTAGAAGAGCCCAAGACGACGACCAAAAGGGGACAGGGAAAGAAGACAACCACTGCAGCAACGGCGAAAATTAAAGCACCAGCGGCCAAGACAGCGACAAAGAAAAGAGGCGGTGCGAAGACCGCGGCTACCGAGGACACCGAGGAGGCCGATGATGAAGGCGAGAGCGAACAAGAGGACAGTGACGAGGAAGCAATTGACCGTACTCCGAAAACAACCTCATCAAGAGCTAAAAAGGGAGCTGCCGCCTCCAAAGCAGGAGGGAAGGGTAAAGGCAAGACTTCAAGAAAACCAACCAAAGCCGCCCCCAAGAAACGTGGGAAGAAGAAGTAGCGAGGGCCAGTCGAATGGGGACGCTGGTCGACATGTATCTCGTATGGTCTCGGGCGATATGCATCCTTGTTGCATTTTCGTGGTCATTTGTTTGTTTTTAGCTGTCGAATTGCACTTGAATCGCAGATCGAATTTTGAATGAATTCTACTCCGTAAGGTGTCGTCAATTATAACGTACTCCGTAGACAGAGAATGCCATATAGATAAGATAAGATAAGATAAGATTGCCAAGACTAATTATGTAATCCGACTGTCGGAAGCGGATTATCAAACTCCCGAAGAGCTCCGATTCACAGCTTCGTCTGCGTCTTCATTCCGCAAAGCCTTCAAAGCAGTGAAGACGTCGTCACTTGGGGATCACCATCAGTTAATGACGGGGAACGGTGATGAAAGTCAATTACGCATAATACGCCCATTTTTGTACCCACAGTTACGAGGACCATGAAACCTCCCGCCTTTTCTTTGCCTATATTCTAAAAGATTGCTTGGTCGCCAGATCTTTGCGGACGCCTCTTTTCCGCTGACCTTGAGCCTTGCACAGGCTTGGAATTCAGAGCTAAGCTAATTACGATAAAGCGATTCCGTGATTTGAGGCCGTCGATATGTTTACGTTTACGCCGCTTCTTGGGGCCCAGTATTCCCACTCGAAGGCGTCTCAGTCCATTCTGGAACTTGATGGAGGTGTCAAGATCTTAATCGATGTTGGATGGGATGAGACGTTTGATCCGTCGGCTCTCAAAGAATTGGAAAAGTACGCTTACAGTCACTGTTCCGACCTTTTGTTTCCTTTTGATGACCGTTACCATCCTGCGCAGTTCTTAGTTTCAGTGACTGATTAACCCTCGGAATATAGGCATATTCCAACACTCTCACTGATCCTTTTAACCCATGCCACACCGTCCCACATTGGAGCCTTCGTCTACTGTTGTAAAACCTTTCCTCTATTTGCCCAAATTCCAGTGTACGCGACATACCCAGTTATATCATTTGGAAGGTCCCTCCTTCAAGACCTGTACAGCTCTGCTCCCTTGGCTTCGACCTTCTTGCCGACAACATCTTCGATATCAGATTCGAACGGCTCTGGTTCAGTGCCCACACAAGACCCAACAGCCCCTGCAGGCGCTTTGACCGAAGGTGACACTTTGAATTCCACTACAGCCGGAAAAATCTTACTGCCCTCTCCTACTTCTGAGGACATCGCTCGCCATTTCTCTCTTATCCACCCGTTAAAATACTCACAACCGCATCAGCCTTTACCATCGCCCTTCTCTCCTCCCCTTAACGGTCTTACAATCACCGCCTATAATGCTGGTCATACAGTAGGCGGCACAATATGGCACATTCAGCACGGGATGGAATCGATTGTGTACGCAGTTGACTGGAACCAGGCGAGAGAAAATGTGATTGCCGGTGCAGCTTGGTTCGGAAGTTCCGGTGCAAATCGCACAGACGTTATCGAACAGCTTCGGAAGCCAACGGCTCTTGTCTGCAGTGCAAAAGGTGGTGATAAATTCGCCCCTGGTGGAGGCAGAAAGAAACGAGACGACTTGTTGCTTGACATGATTCGAAGTTGCATCGCGAGAAAAGGAACTGTTTTACTTCCTACTGACACAAGCGCGCGAGTTTTGGAATTGGCCTATGTTCTGGAACACGCCTGGCGCGAGGCAGCTGATGGTCCAGATGGAGAGAATTCGTTGAAAAATGCTAACTTGTATTTGGCAGGGAAAAAGGTTCATGGTACTATGAGACTTGCTCGTAGTATGCTAGAATGGATGGATGAAAGTATAGTTCGTGAGTTTGAAGGTGGTGATGGTGGTGAGTCCCTTGGTGCTGGAAGATCTTCAGGCGCAGCAAGTGGACAGCAATCAAAGGGAACTCCAGGCCAAACGTCAGATAAGAAAAGTGCAGGGCCACATAAGGGGCTTGGGCCTTTCACATTCCGGCATCTCAAAATTATAGAACGAAAAACAAAATTAGAAAATATCTTACGATCAGAGGGGCCAAAAGTCATCATCGCGTCGGATACATCTCTCGATTGGGGTTTCAGCAAAGAGATATTGCGACATGTAGCGCAAGGCGCTGAAAATTTGGTGATTCTCACAGAATCATCAGCTGGTCCAGCCAACCCGTCGTCGTCGGATAGCACCGCAACGATTAGAGATAGTTTGGGCCATACCATTTGGCAATGGTATGGAGAGCGGAAAGATGGTGTTGCCCTGGAAAAAGCTTCTGATGGAGAGTTATTAGAACAGGTTCACAGCGGTGGAAGAGAGTTGACATTCATCGATGTCCAAAAAGCTCCTCTAGACCCTGACGAGCTAGTAATTTATCAGCAGTACCTGGCCACCCAAAGGCAGCTACAGAATACGGCACAAGGACGAGGGGAAACGGACCTTGAAAATGCTCCAGATGCGCTAGACGATGCCTCTAGCTCGACGTCATCTGAAGACTCCGAATCGGAACAGCAAGGCAAAGTTTTGAACTTTTCAACTACTCTTGCTCACTCCAATCGAAGCAAACTGGCTCTAACGGATGCGGATTTGGGTGTGAACATCCTTCTTCGACGAAGGAATGTGTATGACTACGACGTTCGAGGGAAGAAAGGCAGAGAAAGAATGTTTCCATACGTCGTTCCGAGAAGAAGAGGTGATCAATACGGAGATTTCATACGACCTGAAGAATATCTTAGGGCTGAGGAGCGTGAAGAGGCGCAAATGCAGGTACAGCGGGGCCCTGACGGCCGGATACAGCCGGCCCCAGGTCAAAAAAGACGCTGGGGCGAGACTGGAAATGGCGACAAACTTGGCCCTAGCAAAAGGCAGCAGCCCCAAAAAGACCAGCAGGCGGACATGTCATTGTCTGGCAGTTTGGATTTGAATGGCGTAGAAGACTCCGAGGTATCTGAGGAGGAGTCCGCGGGTCAGGATGTTTCAGGGCCGACGAAAGCTACGTTGGTGCATTCTGCAGTTAATATGAACGCTCGCATTGCATACGTTGACTTTGCAGGTCTGCACGATAAGCGGAGTTTGGAGATGTTAATTCCCCTGATTCAGCCGCGGAAATTGATTCTTATCGGCGGAATGAAAGATGAAACCATCGCGCTTGCTTCGGAATGTCGAAGTTTGCTAGCGGCAAACGCTGGTCTGGATGGTGCCACTTCGAAACCAGGCGTTGATATTTTCACCCCTCAACTAGGAGACACCGTGGATGCTAGTGTTGATACAAATGCTTGGATGGTTAAGCTTAGCCGCGCGTTGGTTCGACGTCTTAGGTGGCAAAATGTCCGGTCATTAGGAGTGGTTGCTCTTACCGCGAATCTGCAAGGGCCCGATACCGCTACCCAGAACGACGACGTCGAGGAACCGTCGAAGAAGAAGGCTATGTTGCAAAAGGGTGCCGACATCCAAGGACCAAACGTGGTGGAAAGCCGAGCTAATGAAGCCCTGATCAAGAAAGAAGTTTTCCCCCTTCTCGACGTCCTACCGCCAAACCTTGCTGCCGCGACCAGGTCCTTGTCCAAGCCGCTTCATGTGGGCGACCTTAGATTAGCCGATCTCAGGAAACTTATGCAAGCCTCTGGGCATTCTGCAGAGTTTCGAGGGGACGGCACACTACTTATCGATGGCTTCGTCGTTGTGAGGAAATCTGGGGCTGGAAAAATTGAAATCGAAAGCTCCGCACGTGCTGCCACAGTCAATCCCAAAGCATCGAAAGGTGATGAAGGAACTTTTTTGGCAGTGAAACGAAAGATTTATGACTGCCTTGCCGTTGTCGCTCGAGGGTAACGGATCGTTCTGCCGAGGTTACAATACTTCTTTGTCACAGGAGACGTTTGAAAATATGAATGATCTACACTGTCATATTATCCATGATGCATGGTGGATTGTATTATCACACACTGATTTTTTTTTTATTTGCCTGATACCTCACTGGCAAGGGAGGCATTTCTTCCAGGAGTTAATGGTGTTTACCATTTTACAAGGCATTGTTGTCTTGTTTGTTTTTTTTTTTTTTGGCAACAAAGCATCCTGCTGGCTTGTTTGAACATGTATTGTGGCGACAGTCTAATGATGCTTGGGCATTCACCACCAGCATAGCGGAATTTACAGTCAATGTTTGTGTAGTCACCATGACAGAGGCTACTATGAACTTCAGGTTATTTTTGAGTCAGGGTCTCAGGGTATATATTGCTCATCAAGACCATCTATCGCCATGTCTGCTTTTCTACTCCAGGGCCCCAGGTGCATCGCAATATCGGCTTCACCTATCTCCCACGCTGATACCACCCGCTCTTCATATCTACTTGACCAGCAGGCACTTTACTGTCGGTACCACGCGCGTACCCACTATCGAGTTCTTTTACATAGATCTACATTGCTGCCGATTCCCTGCTACACCGTTGCCAAATGGCGGATATGCGGTACATGACGGTTAATTTGGAGGTTCCATTTGGCGGCATGCCACCCTGTTTTGTCGCGGCCACAGGCCAACAACATGGCGTGCCACCCGTTGCGCAAGCTCAATTCATCCCCGTCTTGCCGCGGCCAGACATCGGCGCCGTTCCTGGTTGGCAGCCGTGGCAAGAGCCCCCTGGTGTCATCCCTCCGCCATATAACGCTGCTCCGCCTGCCGCCGCACCACCCGCAGCCGCAGCAGCATCACCACCTCCACCGACACCTACCAGTCCTCCGCTCCCCTCTGGCGCACACATCCCTACCACAACCGACAAACCAGTTGTGCTCCCGTCAGGACAGGGCTACATCTTCCCACAAACCCATACCACCCTCCATATCATTGAATCTAATTTTCCGCCTTGGGAAAACCCGGGACGACCATTCCATTGGCGATCCTTCCTCGCCCCTATCACTTTGACGCTTAAGGAGCTCATTGAACAAATCTGTCCTGACAAGGGCCCTAAGGGAGAAAAGGTGACTAGTCGCGGAATCACAGAGTGTCTTGAACTTGGGGACGGAGCATGGTTGAAGGGCACGGAGTTTTGGGTTGGGGAGAAGGGTAAGGGCGATGCAATGAAGGGCAAGGTTGGCCAGACTTTGAGTGAAATAGGATGGGATGAGAGTCGCGGAACCGAATCTCGACCGGTATGGTTGGCGGTGTCCGTCGCCTATGTTTAGATTGTCCTTTTTTTTTTTCATTGCCAGAGGCTCTGGGTAATCTGATATGTTGTCAATATGATGGATGAATCCCCTTGAGCGCTTCCCAAGGTTAGGGATATATGGGATGTTGGTGGATTAGTCTTATTGCTTTTGCATTCTTGTTTTGGAAACTTCTTTAGACATGTATAATTACCGGATTCACTAGTGGTTGGCATGAAATCTGACCCGTATTGAGCCTGAACCTTTGAGGCCGTTTTCTCCAGTGGCGAGATTTAAAAATGTAATGTCAAGAAGTTAGAACTATCAATTGTCCACGGACGTCGCCTAGAGGCTCGAATTTTGTCAACTTGGGGATGCCGTTTCCGGCAGACAAGGCAGTGATTGTCATCAATTACTTCGCCAACCACCCTGCAGTGCTCGGGTTTGTCTCAAGTATGAACGATGTTCAGCCGGAAGAGCGAAACTGTCATAGCGTATCTAGAAAACGGATAGGGGGGATCTTCGCTGATGCGCCAAGCATGAAGCCGTTATTGTCCCCCTTACATTTACCCGATGGAGAAATAGACTAGACCTCCGTTCTGTCAGGGGTTTTATTGCACACGTCAGTCCATATTGAGAGGAAGTCTCGGCATCCTAGAGAATAAACCAAATGGGTTAGGTAGCTTCCAAAAAGTAAAAGCATTCTGAGATGGGAGTTGATTTCGAATAATTTGCACTGGCCATTAAATTCTTCAAAAAATGATTGAATGGGAAGAACTTAAAAAACTGGCTCTAAAGGCAAACATGAGTAGAATAATAGAGCGGACGGAGCTTGCAACTCGGAGATTTGCACGCCACAAGTCGCCGTGGGGAGTATCAAACAAAATTGGGGGAAAGGAGATAGAACTCCAGCCTCCAAAAGCTCAAGCTAGCGAGAGACAAGGCCATGGAATTGGAGACCGCTAGGTAATACTTGAATGTAATCTAGACCGGTCGCCAGTTAATCAACACCAGATTTCGCCAATAAACCGATCGTCACTCTGGAATGTCCGTCGCCGAGACGCCAAAAGATATATTCCTGTAATGCAGTTCACATTTCAAACTAGGTGTTTCCTCGAAAGTTCGCCATGCATACACAAGGAGGGCTAACCATTATAAGGAGCAGGTCGTCATTGTCACAACCACATCCCTGATGGTTACAAACTTAAACCTGGAAGTTATCATGGTAGGCTATTGGGTCAATATCCTCATCAGGAACCTCTTGAATTAAATCTTTCGTGCGAGGACCGGTGTATTTCCTAGACCCAGATAACTTAACGTCATTCACAAGTAGGACCAGACACAGAGCATACCTTCGAGCGGATAACCACCACCAGGACATTGCAAATAAAGCAATAAATGCAGCCACACATATGGCATAGTTCCTAGAAAATCATATTAAAATCATACAGCACAGGCTTTTAAGACTCACATACATGTTTTCTGGTGTGACCGGCTTATGTGGCGGGAAGAACAGCACCACACTAATGAATAGCACCCAGACAATGGCAACGATATTAACAGGAGTACCCCATCTGCCAAGCGTAAATGGGCCTTCGATGAAGCGAACTCGATTTTTATATATTTGATGCGCTAAAATGACTCCGATGTATGATAAATCGAGAGCTGGTGCGGTGATGTTGAAAATTGCTGTTGCGGTCTCGGTAGATCCAATAGCAATCAGGTTGAGGCAGATACTAAAGAGTACCACAAACCATACCGCATTGACTGGAGTCAGGGTATATTGGTTCACTTTAGCAAAAAATCTATTGTCCATTAGATATGGTTCTGGGCCGCGGAGGCCGGAGCACTCACTTCGAAAAGGGGAGGGCGTCATCACGAGCAAAAGCGTATGCCATTCTGGTATCCGCTAGCATTGCGGAACATCCGGTGAAGAATTGCACAAGGATGCTAAATGCAAACATTACAGTCCCACCCGTTTGGCCACCAGCATTGAGGAATATCTGCGCTGCAGGAAGGCCAGTCGGAGTTGCCAATATGGCATCGAGGTCAGTTAAGCAAAAACACATTGTCACAGTTAGCATCCAGCCAAAGGTGCCAGAAACCAAAACTGCCGTTTGAATGGCGACTGGTCCACGTATAGCGGCATCGTGGGTTTCTTCCGACATGCTGCCACAGATAATACGATCAGAACTGAAGAAGAAAGAAAAAAAAAAAAAAAAAAAAAAAAGAGGATTTCAGGGCGTAAAATACTGTGTTGTCCCATCATAGTCCGTCATAGTCCAAGCTACAGATATGAATCCCAGGAGAAAAGAGAACGCCTTGGACTGCCACCCAGACCCATCCGTTACGTGCGTGAACACCCATTTTGCTGATTGTTTATCGGGAGTAAGGATCAAGAGAGCCACGCAAATTCCGATGGATGCAAGGACTAGATAGGAGGGTTCCAGCTGAAAACTTCACCAACTATCTCAAGGGTGAGAAACGTACTGTTGATAGGAGCAAACCACAGAATAATCCGATGTAAACTTTTCGTGGTCAAGGAGCAGATAACTCCCATAATGCACAACAAGCCGATAGCCAAAAGTACAGTTTGGAGAGCCGTTCTGAATACTAGTTAGCCAAGAGACATCGGCATTTGAATGGAAAACGGGATCGGAGTAGGTGATTGGGTTCTCACGGTGCATAAGCGTATTTTCCGTCCTTGAAGTTGGAGTTCATGCTCGCACAGGCCAATAGCATCTGGCTTACGGTGTATGCCACACTGGAAACACCAGCGGTCTGTCCTAATAGGTTGCACCAACCTTGGATCCACGAAAATATCGCAACCTGATTTTCGGGGACCACGTGTTTTGTCACAAAGTACATTCCTCCTGCGGTTGGATACGCTGATACGAGTTCAGCAACAGAGCTCGCAATACACATGGCCATGATCGACCCTATGAACCAGCACCACACAGCCGTTGCAGGTCCGCCCGCAGCCAAGGGTGGTCCAAAAGTGGCTGGCACTGATCCCAGCACCCCGAGAATGGAGATGGCATAAGAAACTGTCGACCACTTTGAGAACTCGCGCCTCAGTTCCTAATGCTCAGGTTGTCAATTGTGTGAGACATCAGAACGACACAATCGTTGGAAGATGATGCTCACTTGCTTGTAGCCAATTCTAGCGAGAAGGCGTTCATCATCGTCTCCGATGGTAGCCATCGGAGGATCCCTGGATTGGAACCTTCCTTTGACAGCAGATTTCTCCCTGGCCTCAGATACCTCGCCGCCGGAATTGGACCGTTCCTGAGAAGCTGAAGTCAGATCCATGTTAACACGACGATATTATGTCAATATGATGTCTTAGCGGTGAGTTTGCATGTTAGGTATGCAGGAAGACAAAGGCATTTGGGAGTAAGGAGGATTTAAACAAGTCATGGATGCACTGTTGTACAAAATGGAGCATAGAGCACTCTCCCTGGGAATCTTCGCCGTACTCAACCTACCCAAGTATTCTAAAAAAGGTCAGCCTCCGTCAGTTTGGCGGTGACCACCCAAGAAAGAAAGAATAGGAGCCTGTGAACATTTAGCTTTGGCGCGGTGGAGCATGTTTAGTCGCGAAGCATTTCAAATCTTCTGAGTTGACTCTGCACAGAGGTGGTGTATTTGCTTTTGTGTTCCGCGAAGGTGCCGGCGGCCGGGTGGATTTGTGACGTTTGGCTTCACCACCCGTCGGAAGGGGGTGCATCACGGGATTCAAGAGGCTAAAGTTAGCACTAGGCATGGTTGAATATCGACTACACCGTCCTCCGCAGCCTGGGGGAAATACATTGTTACTATTGGGAGATGCCCAAAAGCTCGGTTGCAGCGAGGCTGGAAAACCGCACCGGAATCTGCTGCTTCAATTTGAACGCCCCACAACAACTGCGACCACGGTTATTCGCATCATTCTGGAGGATTGATGGCGTGGCCTTTGCTTTCTCTTTGACCACAGCTTTGGGAGTCAAAAGCGCTGTTTTTCTACTTGTGAAGTGTGACGCTTTGCTCTTCGAATCTCTCTCATGCTCTGCTAGCAGGCTCGAGGTTCGATGCCGGAAGCGTAATGCGGAAACACCAGCGAACACGTGGCTTCTCCTCGGCTGTTTCAGAAAGGACGAGGAGGTGGAGATGGAGTTTTACAACAATCAAGTCAACAGCCTGTATCCTGGTGTTTGGCGACGGATACGATGTTAGACCCAACTCTTCCCCTTGATAGTTCAGTACATCAGAGACGAAAGTGGATGAAGGAAGAGGGATCAGCCGGAATTTGTTAAATCTCTGAGGGCTCCGTTCCCTTCCCGTTTGACGGGGTGAGCGCTACTCCTTTATTACCAACCCATGTTTGGGTTTCAGGAAAGATATATCCTGGCGAATCATCGAGATATCAGAAATCCATGATCTTCATGATCTCCAAACTTATACCAATGTTGCTGGATTTCCCACTCATTTGAGATGGCAGGCCCCGGTTGAAGCCAATGGCGGCTTGCGATGCCGAGAATTCTTTACTGTTGTTCCCTATCGGAAAGGGGTGGTCTTGGGGGCTGCCAGAATGCTGGGGGAATGTCGGATACAAATCATCCCGAGTCGATTCCCATAGCTCAGGTAAACAAAACCAAAAATAGAAATACTTTGCGCGATCAGATAATTTCTCATCAGGAGGTTCAGTGGGGGTTCCTTGTCAAAAACAATGGATGGATAAACTTTGTGACAGGACGTTGTGATCAACCCATATACATAATGGACTCCGTACCGGATTTTGCTTCTTTGGTCAGAAAAAGGAATTCGTTTCGGGATATATTGAAATTGGATGTGAAATATGCAGGGAGAAGCAACATTTCGTCACAGTGCATGATATGTCCGACCGACACTGGCATGGGGTCGTCTTGTGCCAGAGTGGGTGGATGATTCATGGCAAGATCGTATCTACCCGTATGCCCAACGTATGGGCTGCTTAACTCGATCTGAGGCGATGGTATGATTGGCTGAAAGTCAGCGCTTGAAATAATCCGCAGAGCCACTGTGATGGAGCATGAAAACCACATTCCGTGCTGTGTCTTGGAACGGGGCTGATTTTCCAGAAATATCGATTAATTATCGGTAAACAGCGTGAGTTCTCTGAATTTCGATTGAGAAATCATGAAGTAAGAAATCTGTTGGATAAGCGTGAAGTGGCGGTCAGGATTCGGATCCGATCTTAATGATATTTCGCACAATCTGGCTTCTGGAGGAGCCTCTCCGAAGAATAAAAGTGCGTTGCTGACATCATAATAAACGGCTACAAATGCAGATGCACACTCACTCGCATCAGCTTTATTTTAACTTTTGTGGGGCCCCCTGCAAAATGATTGGTATCCAAGGGGCAGGAATGGGAACCAGTTTCCCCATCAGAGAGCAACGTCTCACCGTCTCAAAAATACCACAGGTTGGAGTCTGCGGCCAAGCAATTGCATTCCCCATTGACGAGCCCGAAATTTAATGTGCCAAACATATATTGGCCGCGGGATAACTGGCTAGTTATCCCCACCACGTGTTTGGGTTTCTCACCAGTGGGACCAAACCAATCCTTGACGAGCCACGAGAAGAGGCATCAACTCGTTTCCTGAGGAAGTTGGTGTCCCCATCAATGCTCTCGACAGTCACTGCTGACATGGGGTGTGAAAAGCTTGAGTTCTGATAGGCCTGAATCAACCCCCTCTCCCAAAAAGAAATGAGAATTCCTTGCGACACTAGAATAATCACTACCAACAACTTGGCTGTTTTCGTGTCGACTTCGTGGTGAAAGGACAACCATTAAAAGTGGAAAGGCTTCCCGTTGCAAGAAAATGCGTAAATGGGATGTTTCCATTTGTAAGGGCCCTCTTTACGCTGAAGCGGCTGAGCTGCAATTGGAGTATCTGATCGAACTTTGCCAAATGCACCTCAGAGCGAACGCCAGGCATCCATTGCAAGTCGTTGGGACAAGCTCTTCGGAGGATAGATCTGTGGAGCAGTGCATCGCTACCCAAGTTTCCGCCCTCCATGTTTAAGGCCCCTGGTTCTTCCTCCTTCGCCTCTCTATGTGGTTAACCAGCGTGGTCAAATCAGTTTGACGCCCGTCGTCAGTTTTCTGATCTATAGTTTCCATCTGCGTGCTAGTTAGGAGGCCCTTAAGACTTCAAATAGACCACATCCTCTATGACTGATGGATGAAAGCACGGGGGCCACAATGAGGGCGAAATGTATATTGACAACAGAGCGCCATTGTCAGTCGCCTATTGTAGGCGGATCCCGCTCAGAAGCAGTGGAATGCGAGAGGCTGTGGGACGAGAAGTTGGGTGCCCATAAGCGGGGATAGCCGAGAGCTAAATCTTGTGGAATTTTGTAACCCGAAAGCTTGCAAGTTTTCTGTGTGAGAGGTCAGTCACCCTCAAGTCCAACGTCAATGCATCCCGTTCTCCATATTATTAGACTTCAATCGTCCTTCGTACGTAGACTCAGCCATTTCAGCAGAAAACCCTTTCATTCGACCTTTTCTGGCAGCCTAAAATCTGGACCGATATCTAGTGACATAACAGCTCAAGTACGGAGTATAGCTCAATTGGGAAGGATTGGGTCGTGAATAGATATCCCGGAAAAGGCGCTGACGCGTGCTGAAAAGACAGATTCCTTGATCAGGCTCCAGGATGGAAAGCTTTGGCTTCTGTCTCCCCTGCATTACCCCTAATCTCCATTGCTAGATTCTATCGTTTCGAGCTTTGTATGGAGCAATCCTGCCGTCTTATATACAATATTCATTGGAATTAAAAAAAAATCGTCAGTAGCTGCCTTTGATGCTAAGTTTATTAGCTGGACGCAACAGGCCAAGCAGTTGGATCCATGCAGAAGGTTGACTGTTGCTTGAAGATGACAACCGAAGCACCAGGCGAACGGCAAGACGGCAGAGTCGTGTTTGCACCGGTTGCACTATGCATCACGTGATAGGTTAACTTGCAGTGACCGGAATTATGTGCGCCCGACATCCGGGGAAATGTGGTCAGTTCAGTCGAGCGCATCCGTTGCGGGAGCTCCTCGATACCTGTCCGGTTTTACTCCCGTACAATTGGGGGCTTTAAAATGCCTAGTGATAACTAGGGGGCAGCTGATCTACGGAATTGCCTGCGGTGAAATTGATTCTCGACCATCCTTTCTGTCTGCGTTGGCTCTGTTGCGGATGAGACGTTATGGCTGACTGGTCCATGTACCATGCCTTGGGTCAGGGCGAAGACGACCAGAACAAGCATATCAGAACCGAGCCTGCCGCCCCTCAATTCATACCTCCGATTGCTCAACAACCTTCCGGCTACCCTCAAGGTGGTGCTGCTCCTCCACCAGGACAGTATGGCGCTATCCACGGGCAAGCTGCTCCTGCGGGGTTTCAACCGCCACAGCCATTCCAGGGTCCACCACAAAGCAGTCCTCAAGGTGGTGCGATTGAAGGGTTAACAAGCCAGATCGGGGGATTGGGGATATCGGGAGATATGGCAGGCAGCGTTCGTGGCCATAAAAAGAAACATCGCCACGCCTACCACGATATAATTCCACCAGCAGGTTCTTCTCAGGCATTTGGCGGTATGCCCCAAGGCCAAATACAGAATCCTTCGCAGTACCTAGACACTGGTGTTAATCAACCTCCACAACCTATATCTCCGATGATAACCCCCGCCCAAAGAACACCGGGCCTTCAGCCAACCTACGGGACTGGAGATGGATCCGTAGCTACACATGGCAAAGTCGATCCTGCGCACGTACCCGGCGTTCCGCCTTCGCGTGATATACCCGCACAGTACTACCTTCGTCATGTTTATCCGACCATGGAACGACATCGCCCTCCTCCAGCTGCGATCCCTTTTATAGCACACGATCAGGGAAATTCCTCTCCGAAATTTGCACGGCTCACACTAAACAACATACCATCTACGGCCGATCTCCTTTCCTCTACGTCCCTTCCATTGGGCATGGTACTCCAGCCCCTGGCGCCATTGGACCCAGGGGAGCAGACCATTCCCGTATTAGACTTCGGTGATGCTGGTCCACCACGGTGTCGCAGATGCCGGGCATACATTAATCCCTTCATGGTATTTAAAGCTGGAGGAAATAAATTTGTCTGCAATATGTGTACATTCCCGAACGATGTCCCTTCAGAATACTATGCGCCACTTGATCCTTCCGGAATACGCGTTGATCGAATGCAACGACCCGAGTTAATGTTGGGAACAGTTGAATTCATGGTCCCAAAGGAATACTGGAATAAGGAGCCAGTAGGACTGCGGTGGCTTTTTGTTCTCGATACTTCACAAGAAGCAGTAAATGGAGGGTTTTTGGAAGCATGCTGTGAAGGGATAATGGGTGCATTGTACGGAGGCGAACACACTGCTGACAATGAAAACGGCGAGGCCTCCAACGAACGACTTCCCGCTGGCGCGAAAGTCGGCATAATTACCTTTGATAAGGAAATGCATTTCTACAACCTCAGTGTAAGTTTGTATTGTCCCTATCCTTTGACCATTCTTTGGCTCATGTGAGTTGGTAGGCTTCCCTCCAACAAGCTCAGATGATTGTGATGCCTGATCTAGACGACCCATTCGTTCCTTTGAGTGAAGGATTATTTGTTGACCCTCAAGAGTCAAAGTAAGCACCGAGTAGATGTTAATGCAGCGATATTCAAAGTATTGACTGGAAATTAGGCATGTCATTTGCTCCCTTCTAACGCAGATACCCGCATTATTTTCTAATATTAAAAACCCTGAACCCGCTCTTCTTCCAACAATAAATGCTGCATTCTCAGCTCTAGAAGCAACAGGCGGCAAAATTATCTGTTCCCTGGCCAGTTTGCCGACGTGGGGTCCTGGGCGGCTTTTTATGAGAGAAGACGGCAAAGGTCAGGGGACCGATGCTGAGAAGAAGCTGTTCACGACAGAACACCCTGGCTGGAAGAAAGTTGCAACGAAGATGGCTGAAAGCGGCGTTGGCGTCGATTTCTTCATCGCAGCTGGCGGAGGTAAATATATGGATGTAGCAACCATTGGTAAGCACACGCTACACGATCGACGTTGCCAAACACTAATAGAAGGCAGGCCATGCTGCCGCTACTTCGGGAGGAGAAACTTTCCTCTATCCGAATTTCCAAGCGCCACGCGATGTGTTAAAGCTTTCTAACGAACTGTCCCATGCTGTCAATCGCGAAACTGGATATCAGGCCTTACTCAAAGTCAGATGCTCGAATGGTCTGCAGGTTTCAGCTTATCACGGCAACTTCCTCCAGCATACCTTTGGGGCCGATCTTATAGTTGGAACAGTCGATGCCGACAAAGCGTTTGGCGTCACCTTTAACCATGATGGAAAACTGGATCCCAAACTCGACGCACACTTCCAGGCTGCTCTACTTTATACCACTTCTGGAGGTCAAAGACGTGTGCGATGCGTTAATCTTGTCGCAGGTGTTAATGAAGGTGGAATGGATACTATGCAGTACCTAGATCAAGATGCCATCGTCAATATCATGGCTAAAGAAGGTACTTCAGCGTCCCATTTGTGCTTTTATTTGAATCTAACGTGGTGGTCATAGCTGCTTCCAAAATGCCTGAAAAGTCGTTGAAAGACATCCGTGCGTCATTAACGGAAAAGACAATCGATATCTTAGCCAATTACAGGAGGCATTTCTCCACATCACAGCCTCCCGGCCAACTTGTCCTACCAGAGCACTTGAAAGAGTTTCCTATGTATATCCTGAGTTTGATCAAGTCGCGGCCTTTTAAGGGTAAGTGGGAGCTTTCTTTTGCGTGATCCAATATTCTTTTATGCTTACCCAGAATTTAGGAGGACATGAGCCTTCGGACCGCCGGGTGCACGATCTCCGGATGCTCAGGTCGTTCGGGTGTAGGGAGCTTTCCCTTTACCTATACCCGCGCATCATACCTATCCATAACATGAAATCCGAAGACGGCTTCGCAGATAAGGACGGTCAACTCCAAGTTCCCCCTTCTATACGCGCATCATTCTCCCAGATTGAAGAGGGTGGTGCCTACCTTGTTGACAACGGGCAAATTTGTCTCCTCTGGATACATGCTCACGTTTCGCCCAATCTCCTAGAAGATCTCTTTGGGCCTGAAAAGACATCATTACAGTCCCTCGACCCCAGCACTTCCTCTCTTCCTCTCCTGGAATCTCACTTGAATGCTCAAGTTCGAAATCTCCTTCAGTACCTGGCTACTGTTCGTGGGTCAAAGGCCGTCACGGTACAGTTGGCAAGACAGGGCATGGATGGTGCCGAATATGAGTTTGCTCGATTGCTAGTCGACGATAGGAATAATGAAGCTCAGAATTACGTGGACTGGTTGGTGCACCTGCATCGACAGATCCAACTTGAAATTGGTGGCCATCGGAAAAAGGAAGACAGCGGCGCGGGTGGAGTTAGTGGGATGGAAAGTACTTTGACGGGACTGGCCGGGTTACGACCACCATACTGGTGATGATTTAGTTAAACACCCATATCGTATATTTTCCGTTTCCTTTGGCTCCCATACGTACGCAATATTTATTCACTTCTTTCATGGCCGGCCCTTTCGCCGTATAGACTCCGCTCTGTTATCAAACCTTTTCGTTCGACTTCAGGGAATAGAGCTTTCCCCACCATAGTCTATCCTACGACTATTTTTATTTCATTTAATCCTTCAAGCCGCGACCTGAGGACTCCTGATCATAAACCCGCCGCACTTCGGTTCCGAGCGTCGTTTGCCCCTCTCGGAGAGCAATACCGTGCTGATATAATAATTTAGAGTTCTTCTAAATAATTTCCAGACCACGTTCTGGGACCCTTTGGAGTGGAGCGAGCCCCTGAAATAGCCGAGTTATAGAATAGGCTTTACATTTACCAAATCGCTAAAACTTCGCACCAGTCGTTCCTTATTCGGAGAGGAAGTCGTGGCAGCTGACATAATCGGCACCGCTTCCGGCTTTCCAGCTGCATAATTTGATGAACCAACAGATGTCGGTTTGTAAGAACCATCATAGGAAGATGGAGCAGTGGAGATGGCGCATACGAAACCAACTCGAGCAGTGCGGCAAAGGTTGGGCCACTTGTTCCATCATATGTGTCTCGCGATGCGTGTACAATGGCAAAATCGCCCGAACCCAAGAACCATTCGGAAACTCCAATCTCATCACACGGAACCATAGAATAGGAGCCAAGGAGATCCGTCAGATTGGGAAGCCACTGCAGCCAGACAACATAAGCGACACATTCCCAACGTTGCTGTGCGTTTTGTGGCTTGCCCGTTACGAACATCCCGGCCGTCGGCCCCCGTCTTCGCTTGTGTTGGGTTACACATATACATCCTGTTTGAGGGAGGGACACAGGCCCGCTCGCACCCTTTGTCGATGCGCGGGAAATATCTGCATTTGGATATTGCAGGCATTCACCCCATCATTCCCCGTGGAGGGACCATTGCACAGTGTTCTAGCTGTCAGGCCAGCTTGCCGCTAACATCTGCACTTTTCAAGCTTTGTCCCTAACACTCTGCGGCCTCGCTGCTTAGGATCAGGCCTACGACGTTGATGGGATAGCTCTTTGCCGCGATTTCTCGCTACGGTTGCCCCAATTACCATCATACACCGAATGTCCGGGTCACCCTGGGGCTCCGTTCCATCTAGCTGGGTTATGTGGAGCCATGGCGGCTCTTGTCGCGCAATAGGGTTTCACGATATCTCTCGATCCATGGTAGAGAAGATATGGCAATTCCGTGGGCCTTACTTGGGTCTGGATTCGCGTTCAGGAACCCAGAACGTACCAGATATTCGCCGGCACCTGCCACCAATGAGATTTCTAGCAATCCGGTCAACTTTTGGTTCGCACCGTTAACTTCCCCTGTCTCATCACTCAATAGTCATTGCTTGAGAATGGAAGCATTCTGATTCTCCATTTCTGTCATCAGCTTCCCCGAAGAGCCTACGAGAGTGCAGTGGCGGCTTGCCCAGATACTGGTCAGAGTTTATGATCGTGCACTTTGGGCCTGTGCATAGAACTGATCCGTGAAAACGGGTCTGCCCCTAGATTGTATTCCACGGTTCGAAGGTGAGAAATTTTCATTGAACGAAGGTCTTTTCTTTAATGAACCTCCCGATCGGTCTATGTGCCTCAGGTTCTGCGGAAGCTTCTTTTGCCCCGCCGCAAAACCTTGCTCCGCAGCGCTCATGCACGCAAGCTCAATTGCTGTGGGGGATTTATCTATAAATAATGGCCCAGATCCCCTCCGCGAAGACCATTTCGCTCAGGACATATAACTTTTAAAGGCAGTCTTTACCGTCATTTGATACTCAGTGTTCTTAGGACACTCTCTTCTGCCAGATATCTCTCTCGTTTTGCTATCTTATTTGCTTTTGGACGTTCGACATAAGAGTCAGCTTTAAAAAATGTATCCCAAGACTATTTTCGCTACCTTCGCTGCTGTCGCTTCTATTTTCCCTGTCGCCTTGGGAGCTGGCACCGTTATCATCGAGAACCAATGCGCTGATGATGTCTATCTTTGGTCCACCGCCGAGAAGGCATCGGAAATGAAGACATTCCATAGTGGCGAGAAGTACACCGAACAGTACCGCTTGAACAAGAATGGTGGTGGAATCTCGATCAAAATGTCTCTTGACAAAAGCATGAAGGATATCTCCCAAATCGAGTACACCTTAGACGGGCAGAAAGTGTGGTACGACCTCTCCAATATCGACGGCTACCCCTTCAAAGATGGTGGTGTCAGCATCGCTCCATCCGATAGCAGCTGCCCCAAGGTTTATTGTGCAGCAGGTGACGCCAAATGCAAAGAAGCATACAACAAGTCCGATGACAACGATGCCACCAAAGCCTGCGCAAGCACTGCTGACCTCCAAGTCCAGCTCTGTGCTGAGAAGAAGGGCGCCAAACTCAAGCAGAAAAGCTTCATTCCCCGCCACCCTCACGCCCGTCCGGAATAGACGCCAAGCAGCGTCCCTGGCATACGGAACAAATCGATTTTGTACCCACAATGTCCAGCTGGTTCCGTGACATTCCTTTAATTAGAAGTGTTTCTTTACATTTAATTGCATTCGTTTACTCATCGCTCGGAACGATGAGCTGGGAAACTTGGGATGTTGAAGACATTGAAGCCACAGAATTTCGTGAGTAGTTCAAAGGAAGATTGGAGAAAGGGAACTTTTTGGCTTTACAAAACAAGATACCACAATGTACCTGAATGTCTTACGACATATAAAATCTAAATCAAATCTATATCGCTTTTCTCTTGCGCGACCTTGCGGGTTGTCAGTCTGGGCGGTGCCTCTTCTGTGGAACTGGAGGTCGTGAAAATTAAGTTAGCTTGGCCCATATTCAAACGGGGACCACGTGGTTGGCGCGCACGTTTCTCGACTACCATTGGCTAATAGAACCCCCCTGATGGGAGAACTCTAAATTGCTTACTCAGCAAGCCTGAACTCACGATAAATCCCCGAACCGAAAAGCATCGAGCTTCGTGCAACCCGTGGTTAAGGCGGGATGATTGATAAGTTCTTTTTAATCGGGTAGTGGTGCCCTTACTTTCCTTTTTTAAAGTCATTCTATGCTAGCGGACGGGTGCTGCTTTGACTGCTCTCCTCGATGAATGAGGTTTGCAATATTCCGAGCTTCCAAGTGACACCAGCGCGACTGAACTGCGGTTGACTGATGTCTGCGTTACAGGTGTGGAGAACAGCAATCACTTGGTCTGGGTTCTATACTCCGTATAAGATGATATCCATGCGCATCTTAACCTAGTCACACGGTTATCGACTTCTTACCCAGACAGCAACTCCCCGCCGATATCCGTGCTGCAATATTTCTCCTCTTTGTCAGACTGCCGCCTCCATTATATCGACTTAGGACCACGGGTGGATATCTGCCCACAGATTTGGTACTAATGGACATCGAGACTTGGACTTTCAATGGCAGCTCTGTATACCAAAACCTCTTACATATGCACCCTCCCCAGCCCCATTGATCACAGTACCGTTCATTCAGCTTTAAAATGTTCAATGCTTACTGTGCGCCACATACTTCTAATATGGGAGTAATTTCACCCGCCCAAAATGTATGATGCTATATCCAACACATCTTCTTGGGACCGGAGATGCATATTCCAATTACCCCGCAACACTAACTAGACCAATATTGCTTCGACCTGTTACACAGCGAATGTTCTCAGTATTGTGCGCATCCGAAGTGAGAATATGTACTGCACAACGCAGAGGTACAATCCCATTTTTTGAATCACCATACATACACCAAGTATTATGTGGCTTACAGCATGAACATGTTATGTTACACTTGTACTCATCTCTGATGTCCCTATCAATGTAAGCAATACCGCTCAAATCAGGAGGCTAAAGTAAATTGGTTGCTTGAACCAGGGTCCAAGTGTCCATCTTCATTATGGTCCCGCTTATCCTTTAACTCGGGAAAAGGTCCTCGTTGCCCCTCCGACATGTACGCCAGTGACTACCTCTTCTTCAACAAGAAACTTAAAACAACATTCAAAATCCTAGAACACATGTGCAATGGCACTCTATGCTGCTAAAAAGGTACACCTCCAGGGCTACAAGTCTAGAAAATGACATAAAGCACCCATTGTTTCACTCAAATGCACCTAATGACATCACACAAAGCTTTCTGTGAAGTCTGGCCAAAATGACCCCGTAATTTCCACCAGGATACATCCAGATCATGCCTGTGGCTTCTTGGAAGATTTGGATAGGCCGATCCAGATACTCTTCGATATACCATGGCTTCTCATTGCTTTCAGAAGCAAATATGCCACAAGCCGGTATCCGATTGCAACTAGTCCCAACGCCATCACATTGATTGCAGGGTTTTTGTCGTCCTGATTATACAACATGAGGACCTGTTCTCCCGTCTCAATGGGGCAGTTTCCATTGGGTAAACGCTGGGCATCGGTACACGTGAACACCTGACCCGTCATGGCATATGGGGCCAAATTAGAGACCGAATACTTGATGGGAGAAAGGTGGTTAAACGCTTGAAGCACGGCGGGGACATTCAAACTTAGTACGCCTCCTAACACGGTAGAAATAGAGAGCAGAACAGAGGTTATGTTGACTGAAAACCCGACGTGAGAGAATAATGTGCAGAACATTATACCTAACGACTCTCCACAGCTTACAATACAGAAACAGTTGAATGCGAGAATGAAGAGCATCTTGACACTGCTCTCGAGGCGGACAGCGAAAGCGGCCACGACGCCGAAAATCAAGGATGACGCGATCTCGAAGGGAAGCTCGAGGGATGTGTATTGCAGAATGAAGGCTTCGACGGAATAGCAGTTGTCACTTTCTTCTCGGTAGAACACGTCTCGTTCGTAAGGGTATATTGCAATACATTGCAGCATCCCTAAAAGGTATATTCGTTAAGAACAGTTTCGGTTTGGTTGCTGCACAGGGCAGACAAGGCCGTTTCACATACCAACAAAATACATCGCAGCAAGCTGTTGAATGAACCCCATTCTCGACTGAACCGATTCGTAGTTCTTTTTTAGTGGCGCAAAAAAGAGTGTCAAGATAATAGCAATGCCTATTACCTGCATTGTGCGTGCCACAAGAAGATGCGGTTGTCTCCTCAAATTGATGGCAGATCTTCGAAGTACCAGCGGGTACATAAGATGAAACGGGCTCATCTTCCTCTTCAAGCTTCCCAGCTCGGCCGGGGTTGATATTACTGAAGTCTGCCGAGTGAGCTCTACCGGCTTCTGCTCCCAACCAGATATCAGGCGCTGAACTCTTTCACGGCTAGCATCCTCTCTCCCCTTCTCCTGCAGATCAATAGTTATTAAGTCCAGGACGAAGTCAGCAGGATTAGTGGCCTCTGGACACGGATATCCCAATTGTTTGAAATGAGGCAGCATCTCAGATCCCTTTCCAGCATAAACAAGATGCCCACCCCTTGCTAGAAGCAAGATGTTGGAAAAATAATGAAAGAGGTCCGATCTAGCCTGGTGAATGGTTAATATTAGCGTCCGGCCCTCAGCAGCCAATCCATTTAAGGCGTCAATGATAGATGTCGCTGTGAACGCATCCAAGCCAGATGTAGGTTCATCGAGTAATAAAACTTTCGGATCCGTGAGGATCTGGATCGCAATGGTAACTCTTCTCTTTTCACCACCACTAATGCCCTTAATCAAGTCACTTCCAATTAAATTGTCCGCACAATCCTTCAATCCCATCTTTAGGAGGATATCTTCAGCGCGTCGGTTTTTTTCTTCCTTAGACATCCAGGAAGGTAGCCTCAAACCAGCAGCAAATTGAAGGGACTCTCGAACCGTAAGTGATGGCATCAGAGCATCGTCATCCTGGGTAACGAAGGACGATACTGCTCGAATCACGTTCTCAGATGGTACCGAGCTATTATAGAGCATTTGACCGCTCAGATGATATCTCGTGCCAATAGAACCGTGTAATCTCCGAGCAATGGAGCACAGTAATGAGGTCTTTCCACTCCCTGAAGGGCCCATGATTACGTTTAGCTGACCGGGGCGAAATTCAGCAGATATAGGTCTCAAAATGCGCAGTCGCCGAGACTCAATACCCCGTTTACCTATCCTTCTTTTCTGAATTTCAAGGGCGTAGTTATCAAGCCGGATAGAAACATGATGGGATTTATCGGGCAACCGTGCGACGAATTTTTCCTTTCCTGCTGACAGATCACCCTCTGAGCTTCGCGACTGGGCAATGTCCATATCAACTTTCCTAAATTGAAGTATAAGATAAGCTGCCCCGAAGAACAGAGTAATAAACCCAACCAATGCCACCATAGGCCGCCAAATCCAATTTGATGGAAGGCCTAGGGTTTCCAGAATAAATCGCCCGGTGTATTCCTTGCAATAAGGATCTGAGGGGTCATCTGAGAATGGGCAATCGTAGAATTGGCCTTCCGGTGGACCACTGGGCCCGATGAACTCATTCGCGCAGAGAGCACCAAATACATAAAAGGTGTAAGTCATCCACTTTATCCATCGCACATAAACGGGAATCTGGTTGGCTTGGACGAAAAAGCCGCACGCCATGGTTTGTAGGGTAAACGACAAGTTTCCGACCAAGCTTGCTCCTGGAAAATTCCGAGACAGGCTAATACAGACGGATGCAAAAGACACCGCCAAATATTGAGTGAGGATGTTGAGCGCTAAGAAGATGAAAAATTCCGGCGCAGCAAGCCTGTAGCCAACCATGAAGTAAAATATCACTGAGAACAGGCACGGAACCGGCAAATCCTCAAGGAACAATCGGGCAGCTCGTCTGCTTAAGAGAAAGGCTGGAACGCCAACAACGCCCTCGTTTCTCTCGCGATCAAACAGTTGAATATCCGTAGTTAGACGGAAAACTTCGTAAAGGAGAATAAGGTAACCATTGAGACTACTGGCCGTATACAAGCTTCCTTGTCGTGACCTTATCCCAGCTAAACTACGGTCTAGTCGAAGATAGACCCACCCGTTCATTACAGCCATACCGATAGCTTCGAACAAGCTGGCTGTCATGCCCATAGGATCTCGCACAGTCATTTTCATTGTACGGGCTGTGAGCACGCGAAATTGTTGACCGAAACTGGCGCCTTTTTGCGGCGTGATCGACTGATAGGCCTTTTCCGATGCGATGCCCCTATTTTGAGAGCTGGCCTTCTCGTCTAACAGTCGATTGTTAGGGCTTTCGCGCCATGCTCTCTGGAGCTTTTCGATACGTTCTCGCGAAAAAAACTCGGATTCTTCCGATCGATTATCGTATGCCGCCAAGTCAATCAAGAACTCTGCTGGGTTCACGAAAGCGGGGATGGAGTGACCACATTCTTCAAAGTGGCTTAAAGCCATATCAACCGGGCCACTGTAAAGCACAGAGCCGCGTGATAGTAAGATGACTTGATCGAAAAGGCCCCAAATCTCCGAACGCGGAGCATGGATGGAAACAATGACCGTTCGCCCATCCCGCGCGAGTGCTTTCAGCGTTTTGATGACCTGAAAGGCACTGGTGGCATCCAAACCTGTTTGAGAGTAGCGTCAGCCTCAATATAGAAAAAGACTGGTTTCCCGACGGTGCTGCTTGAAAGCTGCAAGAATTACCTGTGGTAGGTTCATCGCAAAACAGGACGGATGGGTTGCTTAACATCTGAACTCCGATGCTAGTCCGCCTCTTCTCTCCGCCACTACATCCTTTATGGGTCGTAGTGCCAATTCTCGTATCTGCACATTCTTTCAAACCCAGTTCAAGGATCACATTATTCACAACGTTTTGTCTCTCGTCGTGGGTTGTAGGAGGGGGTAATCTCAAATCCGCAGAGTACTGCAGCGTTTCTCGTACAGTCAACGTCGGGATTAGGACATCTTGCTGCATTACATACGCGCTTCGGACGCTGTTGATGTTGTCGTGCCCGTTAAATGTGGCAGATCCCGAGATCTTGACGCGACCTGTGTTCATGCGACCAGCCATCACATTCAGCAAGCTTGTCTTCCCGGAGCCACTGCCACCGATTATGGCTGTGAGGCTCCCACTCGGCATCGCCGCGGTGACTCCATCAAGCACAGTTTTTAGGGGGTCCCCCTTCGTCTTCCTCCGTAGCCGATCCCATAGCAAAGACGGGGAGCTTTGCCATATTGGTGGGACAGTGTCAACTCGAACAACAAGCTCCTTCACGTGGACATCCACAGGCTGGACTTTGCGGAAAGAGAGATGGGTCCGGCTTTGGTGCTTTGCAGCTTGAACGTGGCTATCAATGCCGATAGCGGCCTCCTCGTCTGCTTCAACACGGGAGATTCCTTTCTCTTCAGCGATCATCCTTGGTGCTTCACCACAACAGTATTTCAAAGCCACATTTGAACGAAAGTTTTGATCGCAGTCCCAATAAGGTATTTCACATAGATAACGTCCAGAGCATTTCATCAGACGAAAAGAAGATTTTGTATTTGTATGAGTAGTAAGTCACAAAATATCCGAGAGCCTCCTAGCGTCGGCATTCAAGGTACGAATGCGACCGAATGCGATCGTATAGGGTAAAGCATACGACACTAGCTAGTATGTCGCATCCTCCGGTTGGCATTTTCTCCAATTCGAGGCCGGTTCAAACCCCGCCGACTCCTCTGAACTCATGACTAATCGAGCAAATCCAGCAGCGACTGGGTTGAATCCTGCCGGCCTTCAGATGCAAGGGTGAAACCTTGCACCAGGGTGGTTTGAACTGCGGTTGTTCCCCATTCATAACTGCTGGCTGGTTCGTGTGCGACAAATATTATGGAGAACGGTCTCATGCGCTTGCGGCGAACGAGTTCCCGGTAAGGTTAGTAATGCCGGAGATATAAAGTTCCGGCCGAGACCTACATCGGCCCGATCCAGCAACCTTGGCAGCCCTCGCTTCCAACAACCGCGAACAGCTGCAATTCTTTTCAGTGAAGCATTGGAGTGGGAGCGATGCACGTCTTCCAATGTCCGCCCATAGAAGCGTGTGCTACATGCTAGGTGAGGAAACTCACTTTGGTCGGGATTGGGGTCGGTTTGACACAGAACCGTGATACGGAGTACCACTTGGTCGAAGGTTGGGTGTCTCGATGCAATTATATCTTATGAAATTTGATCTTTACCGCTGTAGTGTTTCCTGCAAAACAAATTCAAATGGCCTTAGGGCTCTGTCCGGTCTTACAACTTACCTCTCTGCCTTGGATAACAAACAACCCCCGTTTGCTTGAGTCCGGAAGCCCGATGCATTTCTCACGGGATCGTCAACTCCCAACCCTCCACTCTTAATTCAAACCCAGCCTGATGACAGCGCCAGAAATGGGTAGCGAACATTCCCGGGTGGTGCTTTCGTACTCTCAAAGCTCGGATGCACAATCATTTTTATATCTACTCCGTGGGAGCGATGCAGTGTTCCCCGTTGGAAGGTGGTATATGAGTTCGACTGCGCCATAAAAGTTACCAAACCTTTCAAGATATTTATCGACCAACAACAGACTGCCTTGTTATTCCACAGCAGCAGCTAAGCCACGGGAGGAGATATCTGGCACCGCCCCTTTCAGGACCATCTTAGGAAGTTCAATCATCCTATTCAACTCCACAGCGTGTTCACAAAATGATTGCATGCCCTTGTTAGCAAGGTGGGCATCATCGAGCACGGGCTTCGAGCTGGCCGTCTTTTAGGAATGGAATTTAATCGACCCAACCGTGCAAGGCTTGTTTGGGTCTGGGCGACGTTTTGCCTGTTCCAGTAAGGCCGCCTGTTGTGACACGGACGTGCATTGAAACCGCTCGGCAACGGCCGTCGACCCTCCCATTGGCCCAGGAACTCTCCAGAGGATGGGAGCCATGAGTAAAGCGTAATTTTGTTCTGCCGCATCGAAGCTGGAGTTGAAATTCCAGAATGTTTTTGATCTCGGATCAGCAACTAGATGTGGATAGAGCCAAATCCCTGACACGACCACACGGTCGCTTGGATGGGGTCATTGTGGGGATTTTGTATATCTTAATAGCACCCTAAGAGCTTGTTTGACTTCATGAGATCCAATGGCTAAAGAAGCCTCCCTTCCTGCTCGGAAGCTTAGCCTTTGGCGTTTTGAGCGAATTGGATGCTTTGGTGGTTAAGCCGATTGTGATCAAGACATTGCTCGGTTTGATTTCAGCTTTAAGGCAGGACACGATGCTTGTAAATATAGCTCCTCGCCTGGAAGAAGGTAAGGACGGTCCATGCAAACAGCAAATTGACTTCAATGATGTTCCTTTTGAATAGATAACTCAGAAATACGCGGGAGCCGCCCTACGGGGCCCGATGACGCTCCCAACTATCGGGAATTTGCTCCGGTTCGTCACTCTACCCGTCCGACCACATTAGATCCCCGCGGAAATATGAAATCCAACGGGATTTTGGCCGCATCATCAGCAGTGGGGGCTTTTCAACCTCTCGAAGCGAATCCCCATGCGATCTCCATGCGATTGCCTTGGTTGCGAAGGATGAAAAGACCTATCGTCTAAGAAATCCTGTTTCTGCATCGAGATAATCCTCTACAGCCCTCTACACATCCCACAATCAAAAGCAAATGTGCAGTCCCCTGAGCCATCGCGTCAGCCACGAGACCAAAGTCACCAGGGGAATGAATACTTCGTCAAGTGCAACATACAATAACAACGACTCAAAGACAAAAGCAATATAGATTGCCATCGTTCGTGTCACTGGATGTGCATCCCGAGAATCGCTGTAGTCATATTCGCTCCTATGGGTATCTACAGTTGCATTGACCATCAGCACAAGGCGAGCGACCAGTATGGCAATCGCAAAAAGGTCCAGCCCGATTTGAAAACCGATATTGGAGCGTCCGACTGAGAAGCTACTGGAGTTATTTTAAAAAAACCGAATAGAAAAGCTTCTATATCAAAATCTTACAGAATTATCTATTGAGCAACCAGCTCCGTTTTGCCTTTTTCACTTGAAGAGATTAGACCATTCCTACTACAAGTGCAATGTGAGCGTCTTGGGACATTCGCTGCCGCGCGTATACATCTCCAACTTGTCCTGCTGACACTTTGTCCTTGGTGGCAATGATCAGGGCGACTAAGGGAGCCAAACACAAGATGGCCGCTAAGATATGAAAAGCTACCTTTAGATAGCCCAGATGGAAGTTTGTCACAGCACTTACGCTCAAGGAAGCTCCCAAAGGGCCGAGATTTCACAATGTGTATGGGGGCCAGAGATGATGTGAATAAAAGTTCCAGTCTTGCACCCTCAGCATTGTTGTTGCGGCTTGAAGGCCGCTCGAGGGCGGGTGGTTAGAGGTTAGAATGAGAATTCGGGATTCACATTGCACTCGGTGCTTGGTCTTGGGTTTGGGAGTGTGTGCCTACACACGTAGGGAGGCAAGCCACGAATGTAGATGTGTAACTGCTACCTAAGTACCACGGGTAACACGGGGATTCGAGTAACCATCATTTCTCACATGTCCTGCCTGTGTCGACAGCTTGTAGTCGTTCTAACCTTCATACCAGAAAAATAGATTTTTCAGAGAGACCATAGATCTATAATTCCAAACAGGTTCAACCAGCATCAATGTTTCTCTGGAAAAACTGTGAGATCACTGTTTTTTGGAGGGAAATGTTGACAGAAATTAACAGGTTGACGGAAAATAAGATGGCGTCAAATTCCTGATATCAACGATGAATCAGGTTATGACAGTGATCAACCTGATACCGGCGGCAAGTTTGCAAGACTGACCGAGATCTAGTGGGAACCCATTGTTTCCCAGTTTTCCAACGGCATAAAGCGACCATGTCTGTCCAGACATGGGATCAAAACTTACCAATGTCAAGTTGGAGAGCTTCATTGGAGACAGGAGTTTGTGTCCTCTCACTGACCGGGATCAAGGTCAAACTCGGGAAGGACCAATATCATTCCACTTCTTTGGCATGATACAATTCCTAATCCAATACGGACAAGCTATACAGAGTGGCTCCGGATCAAATTGCGAAGCTCACAGCGAATTGACTTCTTGGACCCGAGGGAGATCCGAAGACAAGTGACGGGGTCTTCATACTCTGGACCTTGACACAGGTATTCAACGGCCCATCCAGGGCATGGTAGTCATGGTCTTTAATCACACAGTAATCTATGCATTTCGCGAGTTCGCTCCGTTTTCATATCCCAATGTCCTCGATGCTGATTATCTTGGTGCCCTGTATGGGGCGTCGAAGGACAGAACGCAAGAAGAGCGTGTAAAGAGGACAGCGGCGGATATTGACTCGCTCGCGCTGGCGGTGAACTTGCAGTTGGCGAGGAGAAACAGTTATGTTTTCTTTGGAGGGTGAGGTTATATCGGGAACAGAGTTGTCTTTTTCTGTGGAGCTGAGATGTCATTCACACATGCCCTTTGAACCTGCTAGAGGGTTGAGAGTCATGCCCATCACATTTCTCAGTCAGTCTTTGCTGGTTCTGGAGCGAGACCTCTGGGAAGCAAAAGCCATTATGAAAAGCAGTAGATGCTAGAAAGCGGGGTACACTCCCCGAATATAATAGAAGGCATAAAGAAAAAGTTGGAAGAAAGTGAAGCCTTGGGATGAAAGAGCAGGCATGGAGCACTCTTGTGTCTCTTAACCGACCAACACACCGTGCTATACCAAACAGGTGCACTAACTAAGCTGGAACAGGAAATTCAGTGAGTCCAAGAATTACAGAGGACACACCTGTACACTCTGACCAGGGAGGGTCTTGATGGTGATCGTCCGCTAACCCCACAGGAGCTTTCCACACAACTCAATGAGTCTTGAGGTTGTTACTCCGTACACTTCGGACAATTAAAATCAGTAGGGTACATGGTGTCAGCTGGCCTTGTGCCCCAGGAGGATCCCCCGCGATGTTCCAATAAAATGGCAAAGGGTCAGAGAGATATTTATACCCTAGTTTCCCTGTAATATGTATATATGTATAAAAGCAGCAAGGGTAGACTAAGATGGCTCTGGGTTTGATATGAGTTGGAATGTCAGAGTCCTGTCCTGCTTTGAAGCACAGCCTTCCCCTCATTCCGGTGCAACTCCTTTCAAAAATGATGTTTCCATTGCATGCCTACCTGGTACTCACCTAGCGAACAAGGGAAAAAAAAAGGTTCGCCGAAGGAAATCTTCTCAGATGCCTGCAAGCAGGGTTAGATCATTAAGAGCGAAGGGTGTCCAGGCCCTTCAGGACCTGAAATATCGCGTACTTTCCTAGAAATCACAGGACAACTGCTACCGTCTTCCAAGCATTCTTTGAGCCAGGAATACAATGGAAGTTCCACCAGTCCGCAAACAAATTCACAATCCTCAAATGAGGTGAATCCACGGAGCCGGTGAGATGCAGCCGGTGACATCCTCTCGACCGATACGTCTCGAGAGACATAAGTTGGCGTTTCATCTGAATGAATATGCCATTCTCCCTGCGATATCAAGGTTCAAATTTGAGTCTGCAAGTCATCAGGGACCCTGTTAGCAGGGGACCCCTTGCCAACGTTAATTCAACAGGTACAGGTTCAGAGCATTCATGGCTTCGATCTCGATCGCACGAAAATCCTATGACCGATTATCGTCGAAGCGGTGACGTTTTAATAAATTGATGTAGGTTGAGCAATCATCAAATCAGATGGGACTCAAAAGTCATTGTCGTCCCTGTGCACTTCTATCTCAGGTCGATGTATTATTGTGAGATTGGCTTTCTGGTAGAGTCAAAGAAGCCACAGCGTTGACGTGTGACTGCCCAGTTAATCCGCAAGGGCGAACACCATCAACTTCTCGGCAGGCCACCATGAGCAATAGCGATATTTCGGTATATTTTCTCCCAGAGAAAAGGGCATAAGTGATTACCTTCAGTTCCGATCCTTAGGATTCTGAGGATTTTCTATCCTCACGGACCAGGAGCAAGATGGCCCATCCCTGTCTCGGGGAACGCGGCCCGCGGGTAGGAGCGGAGACTTCCACGCACTTCGTGCCATCGGACAAGGTGCATTAAAATCGGATAGCTTCCGTTCTCCATACGTTGGCCAGGTCATTGTCGACACCAGAATATATTGTCCGAAGCTGTCTTGTTGACGGATGTGGAACGAAACTCCAGGAGAAACTCCACAAAAGCCAAGCGTAAATCAATCGTGATACGAGACCTCAAGATCTTCGATCCGCAGGTTGGATCTTCATCAGAAAGTGGGGTTTGAGATCGAGCAGGACCACAAGCGCAATGAAGGCTTGTTCTGGGCCCTGGGCTCAGCAAAGGGCCAAAACGCCTGGCAAGGTATTGTTCCACTGGACCACCTGGCAGGGATTTCTTGGGCACCAGGATCGACGTCTTCCGGCAAGATGAGATCGAACTAAATTGCTTCGGAGGCAGATCTCACAAGTCACCTCCGGGTCTCTTGCGCAAAAGTCAAATACAGAAACAGGCCGCGGCTCCACCTGCTGACAGTTCGAAGAAAGGAGATTTTGCGGCCCTGTCGTGGAGTTACATACATGTGTCCAGACATCCACGCACCGCCTCTTCTGAACCTGGGAGTGCATTGCTTCCGGGCCGCGTGCCAACACACATGCAACGCTGGCACGGCAGCACGCGAGAAAGTAGCAGTGGACAAATTTACGAAAAAGCATGAAGATACGAGCAACGAAAAAGGATCCGCAGGGCGATCATCTTCCCCCTTTCCCAAGAACTTGTAACTCCGTACGGAGGACAGCCTTCCGGTAACTGTAGCTGCGCAGCCAGTCAATGGGTATCTCGACATCTTTCGTCACGACGCCCTCGGCCTCCTAGAGGAGGCAGAAACAGAATGGTGATCCAGTGGGACTCCATGTGGTTTGATGGTTCTCCGCTCTGATTCGAAATTTCAATGCTCGTATTGGTCGAAGCATTGTAGGCGGGACAGAGACGGGAACGAAACGACGCCCCGCGCAGCCTGGGTTGGTCTAAGGGGCCGATCTCGACCTTTGTCCCAAAGATCAGGTCTCCCCATGGATATCGTCTTACCGCTTCAGTGACATAAAACCCCGAATCCCTCGAGACTGAAACTTTCTCAGCCCCAACCAAGATGCTCTCGACTGGTCTCCTGGTGAGATGTTTGATGACTATGCTCTTCGAATCCCGCCCAGGAAGTGATTCGACGGATTGTTGACAAGGGTCGACAACACCGCGGTTTAGTCCCTGCGAATTCAGGCTGGAAGAGTTACTCGATGACGCCTTGAAGCAAAATGGTGATGCGAAAGGCCCGTCTTCCGGTTGAGGAGTCGATAGAAACTCGCCGTGCCAGGAGCGTGCGATGAGGAAACTGACATTGCACGTCCACTTCATCTTGTAATTACTTAGTTAGTAGCCCTGTAGTTACGAAGACGGAAGAGGGCGTTTGCCTGGGGATAGTACTCAAGACCCAATAAATATCCCAACGTTGGCTTTGTTTACGATTGTTGTGTACGGAGTATACATCATCCTTGTGCAACAGAATTCCATCGTCGGACGCGCGAGCAAAAGTACGGGAGCTTTGCGAAGGATGTCTTCCCAGCCTATAGGCGGCTGATCTATCTTTTTAGCTTCTTTCGTATCCCCGCACAAGCGCACAGTCCTGCGCCCGCCTTGCCCCAATCCTCGGTTTGACTAGGCACATAAAACAGCGAACCCCGATAAATTGGAACCAGGATTGCAGTTAAAGGGACCCCGAAGGCTGTCAAACCCGCAAGCTCTGGGCCTCGACAAGGACTTCCAAGAGACTAGTTCCGTAAGACGCATTTGCCTTCCTAACCTCAATCTTGGAGCAAAAGCCAAATTGACCAGGTCCAGGGAGGAGGGGACACAGGCTTCATTGGTCAATCGGGTCATCCTTGTTAGTGCAACTCGTCGCACCTCCACGGCACCATAGCCGTATTTAAGAGGCCAGTCACTGCCAGAAATAAGTTGTCTGTGAAACTAAAAAGTGCTTGGGTTGCCCTTGGAACGCTGCTCTCTCCCAGACACAGAAAATCGATCGGGTTTTGGATGTTGGAAGAGTCTATGTTGTTCATGCAGAGAACCTCAGCATTCAACTCTCACCAACTCCCGCTCAACCCGAACAGAAGCCACCTATCCCACAATGTAACGAATCATCCCGAATTCGACAGGGATCTCACTGCTCCTAAGCGTTCGGAGCCGACCCCTTTGCCCTCTCCCAGCCTCGAATCTCCGACCACCTCTTGTACCAACGAAAGCTTCTCGCGACTCACCATTACGACACAGAACGATGGACCTGGACATCCCAGCTTCCGGCTATCAGAGCCAGTCGCGAACCTCGTCAGATCCCAGGAACATCACCGCGAATTCCGGAAAAGCTTTACCGCCCACAGTTATGTGGGGACCTCCTCCTCCTCCTCGAGCCCATCCCTCACTTTCGGCTTCCAGATGATTTCTTCTCCAGATTCGGATGATGTAGTTCCAAAAGTTGAGGAGATCGATGATGACGAGGCCCTCGCAATAGAACTGGGAAAGGCACCCACGAACAGCCAAGTTCAAGCGGACACGGCTGATACAAAGAGCGAATGCGCGCCACCAGCACCGATTATCGGACCAAGAAAACGTGGAAGACCTCGGAAACACCCGCTTCCCGTGCCCGGTCAGGCCAAAGTTACCAAGGGAAGGTCAAAAACCGGCTGCATCACCTGTCGACGGAGGAAGAAGAAATGCGACGAGACCAAACCGTCGTGTTTGAATTGTCAGAAGAATTCGGTGGTGTGCGAAGGATATCCCGTCAAAGAAATATGGAAAAGCGGGAAACAAAAGATGGAAGAAGGTAGGGCTCGACCCGGTCGATCATGCAGTCGTAGGTTTGTTGTTCGAGAGCTTCGATCGCTGACATTGTCCTCCGGTTTAGCTGCGCGCCGAAGCTCCATGGCTCTCGTCTCACGCAGTCTCCCTATTCTGATCGACGGCATCGAAACTGAAGTCGACAGGCAGTTTCTGGATCACTTCGTATATGATTTCAGTCGAGTGCTTACATTGATCAACGATGATTCAAACCCTTTCAAGGAAATCCTATTACCGATGGCCACGCAGCACACCGGGTTGATGCATTCTTTGATGTGTCTTGCCGGATCCCATCTCTCAACACGAAACCCGGAACCTCGTTTCAAAGAACGTAAGCATTACCATTTTGACCGTGCCATCACCGACCTGAGGAATACAATCGCTGCCCGGTCTTCCAGAAGCGACAATGATGATGCAGAATTCCTCGTTGAGGATCCGATGATCGCATCAACAATCGCACTGTGTCTAAATACAATCTGTGAAGGAGAAACCAAAGGCGAATATAGGACTCACATGGATGCCGCTAGATATCTACTTGTTACCCAAAGACCAAAAAACGAGAAGTTCAGACAGTTTATCGTCGAGTTCTTCCAGTACCACGACGTTTCTAGCTCGTTGACCACGCTAGATCGCCGCCCTATCTGTCTCACGGGAGACCTTCGTCTACCGGATTTTATTCCCCATGCTCAAGCCGGTGCTCTGTTGGGTATATTCGACGGTCTGTTCCTCTATATCTCCGAGATCACCGTGCTTCGGGACAGAATCCGGCAGCGTATCGACGCAGGACTTGACCCTGCGGTAGACTACCAGACGCTCAGTGAAGCGGTCGCGATTGACTCTCGGATTCGAGCTTGGGAGCCGACGTATCCTCCCGAGCATCAAAACTGGTTTGCGGCCCAGCTGTATCGCCAATCGACATGGGTCTATCTTTATCGTACCATTCGGCCCTCGCGACCAAACGACAAAATCTCCCAAGTAGTAGATGACGGGCTATTTTTCCTCGATCAGCTACCGATAAATGCTGGAGCTTATAGCATGCTCTTGATGCCGTTATTCCTCCTCGGTTGCTCTGCCTTTGAAACCCATCAGCGAGACCGCGTCAGAAGAGGTTTCGACAGTCTTCAGGCCTATTCCAGCCTACGAAACATTGAACCCGCACTCCGTATCGTGGAGAGGGTATGGAATATCATGGACACTGACCCTGATCAGAGCTGGGATTGGGAGAAGATCATCGACGACATGCAAATGGATTTTTTAATTACATAACGACGGGTTTGCCTCAACCCCCCTTGATTTCTCGCGAGATCAAGTTCCCAAACATCGCATTTATGGTTCTTATCATTATAACGGCCGCTTTCTATCTTTCATTTGGAAGTTATTCACAGGTAATTTCAGTGGCTTTAGTCTTTTCAAGCATATAGGGGAGTTGGGCGTACCAAGCAGAAAACATCCTTCTTCCCACAAATTCCATATTTGCTCTTTATACCCGATTGTATCAGTCCATTCGTTTTCTTTTTTTTTTTTTTTTTTTTTTTGCTTACTACCTACGAACGGCCTGTTTCCTCTCGCTATTAACCTTCGCATAATCCTATGTTACATTTATATTCCTTGTTGCAGGTTGATGTTAATCAGGGGGCCCAGTCCATTCCTCAAGTGCCAATACGGAGTTGCTGGTGACACCGGAAAACATCCCAGGGTGGGTGGTGGTTTTGTATTCTTTTGTTTTCAGTTTTTTCTTTGGGATTCCGGGTGGCTTAGGAAAAAAAAAAAAAAACCCCAACTTCGTCGAATTTTCCTTTTAACATACAGCAGTTTTCACTGCAACATCTATTTTCGGATTTTTCTGTCTCTGTCGCCAACACATATACCCCTCTTTTTGTTTTTGAGCTATGTTTCTCTCGTTTTGTGGAATTGAAGTCGGCATATGCACTACTATTGTACATGCACAACTCATGTTTGTAATGCATTCATCCTTGCTCCCTTTTCTGTGGCCTTCAGGGAGCACTGAATATATGGAAGATTTTGGTTTTCACCAGAAGCTCGCTTGCGATATCAAACTAAGTCTCAACGCACTGGGAATGAGACCCTTGCCATTATCATCCCTCCACTCCCCTCGTCTATAGATGTCCCGCGTTAAGATGCCCCTTGCATCATTTTTCCGGGACCACGCAAGGGGTTAAGTCTGAGCGAATGCAGGTCGACAAATTCATTTGGGGAAGCCTAGGTTCCGAAGACCCCAATGAATAGGCCAACAAGGAGAGGGCATCAGCTATTGAGGTTGCAGCGATAACGATAGGCTATCTGCATTGTATAACCGCCCAACTATGATAATAGAAGGAATAACGAAGGTGTTATACCAGTCCTCCGCACATGTACACACTAAAAGTTCGATACCAGGAAGTTTAACCGGTTGGCAGGCCTAAAGAAGGCCCTGAGATGAAATTTGGGAAAGTGATGAAAAAAGAGCGGGATTCGCCAACGGTCTCGCCCAGCTATCTAAATCAGCACAAAAAACGCCAGGGAATATGAAGAATGGCCGAGACATGGGTTTGTGCTGCCGGGTGTCCGTTTTAACAGACCACCTGGGCAAGAGGCCGATCACTTCACCAATGGGTGAGTTCTACTAGTTAACTAGTTAGTTAATCCCTAACAAGTTTCAGGGACACGGGAAAAAAGTTCTTGCGAATTCCGTTGCCGGCTTGGCACTTCCATGTCCAACAACAATCCAGGCGACAAACGAGCGCAGACGCAATATTGAAACGTCGCCTTCTTACGGAGTACAGCTACAGAATATGCAGTCTGATTCCCGATGCGCGTTACGACGCGCAGTACTATTATTTCTGGATTCTAATGTCCATATTGCTAGAAATATGGATTATGTTTGACCACCCCCAGAAAGAGTGGTGATTTCTGTCCGGATTCACCCAACTCGGGAAGTGTTAATGCTTCGTGAGCTTCTTTATGTGATACATAGTTTCCGCTACTGATGTAGGTATCACCGCCTGAGCTGTTCCGCAGTATGTAGGGACTTCAGCTGCCTCCTGTTTGTGCAACCGGGTGTTCGAGTGTCCATTCTAGCTCAAGAACCATTGCCGGAATTTCTTTCAGTTTCCTAGACGCTATGTATGCTGTCCTGTCGACGTAGTCCCTGTGCTTCAACTCAGAGACTTCTGCAATACCCATTTTATTCTCTCCTAAACTTTCTTCGAGTGTTTATTCCCTATTGTCTTGCGGTATGACACCTCTCCGGGAAAAAAAAAAAAAAAAAAAAAAAAAAAAAAAAAGAGCGCCGCAAGCTCGCCTCGTCCCATAACTTCTCAACCCAAGGTTCTGCTAGAACAAAACCAATCCTTATAGGCAAGATCTTATACACCATGGCGAAACATTTCATGTTTATATATATATGTGTAAAGTCATCAATATAATCAGCTTTGATTCCAGCGTGTGAGTCCAGGTTTTGGCTTTCCACACAATCCCGCACACTCTTACACAGCGCTAGAAAAATCTCTTTGTCTATCCGTCCAGCGAGCTAACTTACCGAAGGCACAGCTTGCATATATCAGACCAAAAGACAATTGGTGGTGGGGGGGATTGAGCCTCAAAACAAAGAAAGTCACACAAAGTCCAATGTTTGTTCCATCACCTTAATTTGGCCTCGTCATCCTACACTCGAGGCTCTTCTCCTTTCCTCTCTGTCCTTCGCTGCTCACTGGTTTTCAGGTCCCTCTTATTTTCATCTCCTTCTTTCTGGCATTTCGTCGCATCCCGGGCTCAATTGTTCATTCTTTTTGCATGTGAGCGCCCTTCTCCTGGTCACCGGCATACACCTTCACTCATTTGACGTGTTTTTTACTCTGGTTCTCAAAAAGACACTCAAGTTTGTGTCACCTCTCTCTTCTATCTTACCAGAATGAAGTTTCAATACATTTTGAATGCTGCTGCATTTGTCTCTGTGGCTTTGAGCGCCAATACCCCGAACAGGTAAGTTGATAAAATGTCGCTGTTGTTTCTACAGCCGATCAGCGCTCAACGTACCTTATACCCTGTCTTCACTTTCAAGGTTATTCCATTTTTATCCAAGTGTCCATTTTGTGGTGCACATATGGGTTGATTGCATGTTGTGACATCTTGACCTTGCGCGCTGACAGTCAGATTGGGCGGAAAGCAACATTAGGTCCGTGAAGGATCCTTCTGGTGCCGTCCAGACTCACAAGGAACATAAATCGAGTGACGATCACAAGTATCCTGTCGCACCATGGGCTGCCCGCGGAAAACTTATGCATATTGGGGGGGTAAGAGGTGTAGGGTGGAATTCCACTACCTTACTCACTAAAACTCACGCACAAGGCTCTGTAACAAGCACGTCTGGCACAACTCCCCTCTCCGCTGTTGTTGCCATTACCGGGAGTTTTGTCAACAGCCCAGGACTGATTGAAACTGGCAAGCCTTCGGCCACCAAAACTATAAAAAATCCCCCAAGTGCAACAGATCAGGGTTCTCGAACAAGCTGTGTGGGAACCGGCAAGTTCAAGTTAAATGTAAGGACATTGTGCTCCTTGCAAACTAAAAAGATTTCGACTCCTACTAACATTTATACCATCAGTTTGACGATTTACCTGCGTACAGGCCTAAAAACCCTGCCAACGCCGATTTCCCGCCAGTATTCAGTCCATATCATCATCTTTCTTTTTCTAACGGATGGTCGTACGGTCCCCCTCCGGCACAGCCGTTCCCACCAATTTCTAATCCGCATGTTGGTATTTTTATCCCCAAAGGGCAAAATACGACTGGAGGAGAAATTGGGGCAGGGCTTCGTGTAGATGAAGACGTCTTTTGGTTCAATGTTTCCTCAGCCTATTTCGGGTGCAATAACGGAAATAAAAACAACACGCCTTGCATGCTTACGGCGACTGCAAGCAAGTATTCAGCGGAGCATGGAATCGAAGTGCAAGAAGCGGCAACTTCATTTAAGATTCCGCCTTGTCCTGGGTTTCGGAATTGCAAACTGACCAAAATCGAATTCGGCCCCGACTGGAAGGGATTGTCCAGAGTCAAGCTCACTGCGACGGTGAGCGGCAAGCCGGCTATTTGGTTAATCGATGATATCCAAATGGGCTGGTACAATAACACCTGCGCCGCTGGACTTCTACGAAGCCGTTCTCGGTAAGACATCTTGAAAAGGTAGTTGGGTTTTGGAGAGGTGGGCGATCGTGGGAAAAATGAAAAGAAAAAAAAACGGGGTTATGTACGAACAGACTACGCCGTCAGTCTTCGGAGGTAGTAAATGAGATTCTTCGCTCCTGGCAGGCTATGGAAGTAGTTACAAAAAATGATAAGCAATTAAAAAGGCTTGATTCAAAAGACCGCAAGTACACACGATCCTAAAATTTCAGAATTTCCAGTTCCCTCAATGCCAAACCAGGGCTATACAGATGTAAAGACGAGAGTTGTTCCAATATCGGATTGTATCCTACACACGATATGGTGCAGCCAACGTTTTTGAGATTGCATTCCACTAGAACACCCACATGCGTACCATCATCGAATTTGCGCTCCTCGACGTACGGTCATCGAAGAGCAGCTAGCTCGCTGAAGCCGTCGAACAACGCTGGAAGTTTTGGCAGTTTTTGCCCTGCGTAACTTTAGGCGAGTCGGCAGAGCGGGCGGCCAAGCGCAGCCGAGCCAATGACGTCGGTTCCGACTGAGCCGTTTTTGGACCGACATTCGACCTTCACGCCAATTTTCATCTTCACCTTCACCTTTCTTTCTCTCTCTTTCTCTCTCTCTCTCTCTCTCTCACGCTTTAGCAACACACTCTTCCCCCCAGGATAAACAAGCTGGGAAGCCTTACGAGGTTTACTTCGAGGTAATTCAGCAATCACCCTCCGGCATGGGAGCGGGCTTGCGCTGATTCGACGAAACTCCCGCTCTCTCCCACCTCCCCCGCCGAGGCGTCGAGCACCCTCCGAGTCCCAATTTGCGGCTTTTCGTCACCCCCTCCCGGATCAACCATGGCTCTAATCCAGATGAGGGAGCTGTTGCAGTTCCCCGACAACGGGGACAATGCAACCGACACCGTTATCAATGGCATCCATTTCAACCGCAGCGCGCTGCACCACTTCAACTACACACTCTATTCCAACGGAACGCTGTCGAACGGATCGAACTGCTGGCTTGCTTTCCAGATGTACAAACCGATCATGTTTTCCAACGGCACCTTTATCAACGGTACATCGTGCTATTCTCCGATCGAAGGCGTTGGGACGCGAGGCAGTATCGGAATCGCGTTTGCGTCGATGTTCGCTCTCACCATCCTATTCTCGCTGATCAACCTTCGGAAGCACGGCCGGAGATACTTGCCTGTAGATAAGAGATGGAGCTTGGTAGGGCGGAGATGGCAATGGTACTGGATGCTCTTCGTCGGTGCATGTGGAACGATCAGTTGCTTCATGAGCATCGATGTCGATCGGGATTACCTACAAGGCCTTGCGATCATCCTGCAGAGCTTCTTCTATTATTTGACGCTTCCAACGGTGTTGGCAGCTGTATGGGAAAGCGTTCGGCATTGGTAGGCTTATTTTGTGATGATGGATTTTGACAGAAGCGAAATTGCTAACTATGATTTAGGGGCTCGTGGCAGGAGCGCCAAATCCAGGACCGCGATAATTTCGCCTTCGCTGCTGAAACGACACGAGAGAAACAGGAATTTTATCTACCGCTGATATTCTATCTCTTTGCGTTTCTGAATTTCTTCTTAACCATTCCAAGATCGTGGACGAATGTACAGAAGCAGCGGAGCGAAGACCAGCAGGAAAGTTTGGCGAAACCAACCGCAACCGATGGTCGTTTCAAGTCCGCAAGTATTCTGGTGGCTGTCTGCTTGTTCCTCATCTGCTACAGCCTTGGCCACAGCCTATACAGGTATAAACACCGTCCACAGGGACGCGTATGGGTCGCCTTCTACCTAACCATCATACCGTTCAAATTCATCATTACGATCCTTCTTGCTGGGGCGCGAATTGGGTTCGGTATTGCATCAGCCTTCAATTGGACTATATCACCCTTGAAATATAACGGTGAACCAGGATGGCTGTATGGACTCGGCTATACTCCTGTTCTGCTTATTCTAATAATCTTGAACATCTACGGCTATCTCGATCGTAACGAGGATAAGGAGCTTATCCGTCAGCGCGTGGAACGTGGTCGTATTGCAGATAACGAACTAGGGATTGACCGGAAGAACAGGAAGCCGCACTGGTGGCACCGATCGAGGACCGACTATACACCCAGTACTCTCGGTCTGGATGCAGATGAAAGATTGCGGACTCTTGTTGCGGAAGTGGGCGGTGGCACGGCGACGAAGAAAAACCTTCAGAAGATGGTTGAAATGGGCGTCCTCAATCCTACCAAGTATAGAGACGATGATCCGCCTGAAGAACTCCCGGTAGAGGAGCCTTCCGCGGAATTTGAATGGCCACGAAAAGACAGATTTGTTGTTATGGATGAAGAGGAAAACAAGCCGGAAGCCTCACAGGGTAGCAGTATACCACCAGGCCCGAAACCTGAAGCTTCGCCTACACTAAGCCGTGCGAACAGTCATAACACGGCATTTTCTGGAGAAACACTTACGTCTCAAGCCAAATCTCATAGAGTCAGAAGCATGTTAGATATCTGAAAACGAGAATGTGGTTGGTATTTGTGATGATCTCGATGTGTATATAGTTTTTATTTTCTTGGGTTTCTTTTTAGCTGATACTCCGGAGCAAAAAACGCGTGTAGGTAGAAACAATATGACTTCATGATTTGACGCTATATTGATGACCGCATGAAGTAGAAGTTAGGTAGCCAGTGCTTATCACGCCGCGGTGGCAGTCCTCTGATACAAGGGAGCAGGCACGCAACGGCGCCTCTTGCGGGGATCTTCACTAGTCGTTAAACTCCATCAGGATAGGTGGCCGAAACGGCGAAGGGGTCAATAAGGATAAACCCCACTGATCGTCAGAGGGAAACGGTATTCCGAGAGCATCCCCGGTTCTCCAGCCACCGTTCCGGCCGGCCTTGTCCGGTAGCGTAGGGTTAGTGCTGCTACACCAAGAAATTGGCAAGCGAGGAAGACAAAACTGCAATTTTGATCCAGAGTGCTAGAAATCCCCCTCAATTTTCTTTTTCAAGTAGCATCCGTGAGGCTTGTCCTCGAGTAAGGTTTGTCTCGCGATCTGCGTAAAAACATCAGAGTGCAGACCAGGGACTTTGAAGGACAAACCCCCAGACGTACTATAAGTGCAAGGAACAGGGGATGGGAAGGAGAAGGAGAACAAACTGACACACTTCGAAATGATCGACATTTTCGTGGGATGTGACACTGAATTTAAGATTTTTAGGATTTTCTCTGCTACTTATGTGTCTTATCACATGCCGTGGGAGAGTCGACCCAGATTTCTTGTGTTTTAGCTATACTTCTCTTTCAAACAGTGAGATAGCATTCCTGATACCTTTTAAGGGCATGTTCATGTTGGGTTTGTGAATCCTGGTGGGGTTTGTTGGGCTCTTTGGGGGCTGTGCTCTTGCGGAAGAATTATCCGGGCTGTCAACCCTTGCTCCTCTTGACCGAACAAGCATCGCAGAACAAGCATTCGAACGCGGTTTAACAAAGACCCCCCTGGCAGACCCTTCAAAGTCCCTGTTACCATGAACGCTTTGCTGCATATATGTGGTGTTGAAACCCTTGTATGACCCTATTAGACTCAGGAAGGCCAGGGATTGCAATGGATTTTTCAGTCTTCAAGAATACCAAAGCAAGGATCGCCATCATCCTTCTTGCACCTGTTTTATCCGCGGGTAATTTGTAAAGAGCAATTACAAGACTTGTCTGGATGCAAATTCCAATGTGGCCATTTAGTAATGGTTATGTACGGACATGGGATCTCTTGGCCTGCCTCGACGGGCATGTACACATACACGTTATATATATATACAACAAGGGTATAGAGGAAAGATGGCGCGATTGGAGGTCGGCCCAAAGGCGAATAGCCGCCATAGAAAATCCGAGGATGCAGGGGCAGAGTGTAATGTCATCCATATTACTTCGGAATTACTTTCTGAAAAACCTCCGTAACCACATGGGCCCATCTTACACAATCCGCCCGTAAGCAGGAGAGAGACCCGGTGAGGACCACCTGGGATAATCCACTGGAAAGGCAAAGAAGTTCCCCTTAACATTTTTTTTTTGGGGGTGAGATATGAGATGCACCTTGAACGCCCGTGAAAATAGTGAGCGAGAACACGGTCAATTCCGATCCGCTTTTATCCTTCTGACCTCCAGAGCGCCTGGTAAACATCTCATTCAATAGCGAATTAAAACGCAAGAAGGAAAAAAAAAAAAAAAAAAAAAAGAAAAAAAAAAGGAGCTTATGCATGACCAGCCTGACCTTTTAAATGCTTAACAAACCCAAACGAAACCGCTAAACGGAATTGAAAAGAAAATAAAATGGGTGATGGAAAAAAAGGGGAGGGGTTAGAAGTAGGGTATACAGAATGGTAACTGTGTAATAGATGTCGTAAAACAAAAAAAATAAAAAAATAAAAAAAAATAACCATTCCGACAGTTGAAGATGAAATCCTTGACATAGAGGCTTTTTTTTTTTTTAAAAGGTCAATCCACTCTACGGGGTGAACGTGGGGGTCATGCAGAGAAGACTCTGTCCAGCTGCCTTAGAGCTCTCATGTCCTCTCCAAAGCCAATCTTATCGCTTGGAATGTCCTTTGGCCCATCAACTTGCCCGGTCCCGGGCTTGGTGGGTGTGCCGAACTCGCTCTTGACGTGCTCAGAATTAGGCGGCGGAGCTGTCGTAGGGATGGCCGGGGTTTGCACCGAATTCACAAGTGCATTGATGCTGGGCACGACATTCGCTGACGACGTAGAATCTGATGCTTTACGCACGCCATTGACTGGAGAGCCAGTTACTGAAGCTTTCATGGGAGACTGAGCCGACTGCGAGCCATTTCTCATGTCGCCGATATGATCAACTCTCGAGGCCGCGATGCGCGAGTCAGCTTCAGTCGGTGGAGTAGCAGGGTGCGAATTTCGGGCGTGTGGGTTGCTGGAGTCGTGACGGGGGATAATCGGGGAATGGCCTTGCCCGTAATAAGGGACACCATGCGGAGGCATGGGGCCAGCGTTGGGGTGCATGTGTGGAGGCATGGTTGCCTGTTCAGCCGGATGGATCAACCTGTCATACGGAGAAGGGTAGCCTGGAGGAGGATGCGCGTAAGCTGGGTGATGACCGTAGGGGAAATGTGGATGCCCGTTAGGACCCAATGGAGGCAGATAATTCGGAACGTATGGTATAACGGAGACGTGTGACGGCCCGAGCAAAGGTGGCGGGGACCAAGCGTAGGGTGAAGAAGCGTATGGATGATGGGGAGGGCCACGGCCGTAGGCCATTGGCGGAGGAACAGCTAACGCAGCGCCCCCCATGGGCCCACGAGTCACTACAGGTAGGTTTTGTTGGTCGTTAACGCTGGACTCTGGGTAGAGGCCCTTTTGGGGTCGGATTGACCGCAAAGCTGGATCGGTCGAGGGTTGATTTAGGCCGGGGGCGTTGGGATGTGATCGCGCATAGTAACTGATGAGATGTAGATGTTGACCCGTGGAGGTGGTGATGCTGAACGACTGCTTCATCAGCCCGTCCGGTTTGTAACGGTACCCATCTGGACCTTCTTCGCCACCATCTGCTTGATCCTCATCGCTTCCTCTGTTGCTTTCTGGTGTTTTCCCAGCCCTTGACGACGAGTGGCCACCTCGCTTGCCTTCCATCTCTCGGTATGTCAAAAAGCTTCCGGACACTCTGCTGGCGCTCCATGACTTTCCATCTGTCCATCGCCTCATTCCGGCTTCTCTTTCGTCCCAGACAAAGACGGATCCCGATTTTATTGATTGCCGTTCTTTTTCCGATAATCTTCTCTGGACACGGGGCAGAAGACCAAGCCGACATGCCTCGAAAAGGATGATCGCGTCCGCCGGGGTGCGGACATGTCCATGATAGGTTTCCATTTTGCCGAATATCAGACCTATCCGGTCGAACAGGAGCCCTGGTGTTTTGAGTCGCAAATCCTCGTTTGGGTTTATCCAACCCAGACAAGTTGATCGTTCATAGATCTAGTCGAATTCAAACAATGGGTTGTTGGGCCCTGCACGCCAACCGTGAGGCTGGATCTAGAGTGACGACCGCTGTTAGCTTCGAGAGAGGGGAAAAAAAAAAAAAAAAAGGAAAAAAGCAAATCTTCAGCAATCAAGTACTGTTGTGCTTTATACCCGGGTCGCAAAAGGTTCGAGCTGGTAAGCTAAGACCGACAAGATAACAGAAGCCCAAGCACTGGCTCTGCGTTACAAAGTTGGAACAATAGGGCGAGATCGCCCAAGTCAATCCACTGGGAACGTTGGGGGATAGCGAACGCCATTCTTGAATGCAACTTACCAACTGTTTTTGCGGAGGATCGGGTACGTTTTGGGGAATTGGAGATATCCCGTTCAGTAAGCTGTAGGCGAAATGTGTCCGAGGCTGTCCACGTCGGTGTGGTCAAGGGGCGGCTCGGCTAGGTAACAATCGAGGGTTCAAATCGGTGCGAATACGGCGGATTGAAGGAGGGTGCAGAAGCAGAGAGGAAGCGAGATGCAGAGAGCGAGGAATGGCGGGAGAAGCGAAGGCTTGCTCTTTTGGTCGGCGGAAGCAATGCCACGTGAGGTACCAGAACCGAATAACTTACGGTACCGAAAAATGCCAAGACACTAGCTCAAAACTCTAACCTTGCCGTAATGCACTAGTATTTACCCTGTAAGATTAGACTCTGAATTATGGTTGACGTCGCTTCCAGCTGTTGCGTTGGGACTCTTTGCTGCACGGCGCTCAACTCCGGACATGCCAGAATGGCCCATGTTGACCCGCTCGTTGCAGCAGCCAAACCAGCAAGAGGAAAAAAAAAATAATAAAAATAAAAAAAAGGAGCACAAGAAAGAAAGAAAGACACAAGCAGAGAGGCAGAATCATATGCTCAACATAAACATATGGGCTATTTGTGTTCAAGGGCCTTTGAGCCGACGAAGGTTCGCTGACGCTGCCTTTCGTCACCATTCTGTTTAAGCTTGCAGATAACAATTACTCCGTCAGCACGGAATACGACGTACGGAGAACGGAGTACAGAGTCAAGAGGACCGCGTACGAAACTTTGACTGTCAGTGACAGCCAAAAGATTCGCGGTGCTAAGACCTCGCCAAGGCTGGAGGCAATCCACACCTTCGCTTGCTATCCCAACGCCGAGGACAAGGCTCGTAGAGGACATATGTAATATTTGTTTTCAGAAGGTGACACAATAGTCCCCTGGCCAGAGGCGGAAGCAGCGGCATGATTGGAACAGCTGCTTTGTGCACGATCGCATTGGCCTCAATTTGTGCCTCTGTGGAGGACTCCGTCCCGTCGCTTGCAAATCTGTGTCCCAGGACGGAGTCATTTTACAACGTTTTGCGATCGACTTCGTATCTCCCCGATGTGACAGGTTGAATCCGTCAGCAGCTAGCAGAACGGCGCATTGCCCCCGGGGCGGGAATGCTGAACCTAAAATTTCAATATTGGGCTTTTCGCAAACAGACTTAGCACCCTTATGCCCTCCGTATGCACAAGCTTTCGCCTTTTCTTTTTAGCCAGTGACTTATGCCATCTGCGTACGGAGTACGGAGTACTTTCCTCCTGGATGAACATTTTAGCTCTGCAAACATAGCGAGTGGCTGGCACGAGGCCTTTGGTAAGTTCCAGCGTAAAGTTCGCGAGAAACCTGTCTCTTGCCCGAGCTCGGCGTGGCGGGCCAAGTCCTCTCTGTCTATTCGTTCGTTGGATACGGACAGACTGGGCTCTTCTCCACACACTCATAAAGCTTAAGCTTAAAACCTAACTTTCCTCGGCGCCCAAGTTGCACGTCTAGGGAATCCTCTCCGCCCTTCCCAAGCCAGATCACTCTCGGTTGTCGCAGCCAACCGCTGCTGCGTCAGAGGTGTTTACGGAATGCCCGTGTTTTATATTTATCTCGTAAGATGTAATGAGAAGATAGGAGTTTCACAAGACACTCACCTCTATATCTTTAAAGTATGTATATACAAGGTGACGTACGGAGGAGTACTCGTCATTGTTGAGAAATTTTTAGAAAAAAAATAAAATAAAATAAAAAATAAAATAAAATAAATAACAATAAAAAAAGGACACGACATTGCAAGATGTGCACGAGGTGGTCAACCTTGTGGCCTGAAGGACACCAGTCTCAAAATTACCGCTAGACACCCGCGCCCCACAGCAGCCGAAGTTTCTTTGGAATCCCTCGGCTCCTTTGGAAGCGCCAAAGAAAAACCTAAAAACCTAAATTAGACTTGGCACCAATGTTTGTTATGTAATGCGTTAATAGTTTAATTTGGAGGGCGCGCAGGGATACTGTAGCTCGCCGCACCCGCAAAATCGCAGATGGTTGAGAGACGTGTCGTTGGATGGGGCCTGCGAATGGGCGGACCGGTTCCGGTGGTACAGGGGCGGCGATGGGTCAACGACCCCCTTTGTCAATAGTCGCTCTTACCAGAGGCATTCAAGTCTCAAGTCTAGGGGTGCCAGCTGAAGAGCAGGAGGTTGTGCTTTGTTAGTCAAAATTGTTGCAACTCCACACTCCTGATCGTCGAATACAGCCCAAGTGTGCAACAATAATAGCGCCTAATATATATGAAAAGTTCCACACCAATACCCCTGTATCCAAGTTACGGAGTTCAGACGACGATTGCTCTGTAAAGCAATCATCCTCGTTTCCGAATTATGCAACAAGAATCGTGGCTGAGTGTCCGTTGGATTAAGGTTGCCAATCAGCCGTGTGTCTACGGAGTACTGAAGTGGATGAACACAAAGGCGCCACGGCAAATTAATCTTGTCGATGTCTTTTAACTCTTGGCTAACTCCGACAGGCCTGGCCAGGCCTCTCCTTCGCCATCAAGCCAATTTTTTGTCCTCCCCCTGTTGGGGTTTGTCAGAACCGGAGGATTAATCCGCGTACGGCGTACGGCGTACAACGTTTGTGAACCTGCATATTTATTGTATACCCCTTGCTTGGAACGAACAAAAGCACACGATAACATATTTAACTGTATTCGCCGTCCCACAACCGATGATCGAGTACAAGTCTCAAGACAGCGACCGTTTCTCATAGATGACAAAACCCTTCCGCTTACGCACAAAGGCATTATGATTTTCGGGGACCTTGCGTGTCGAAAGTGAGTCCACGCACTGATCTGGGGACCGAAAAGGCGCACACTCAAAACAGCCCCTTGCCATCAATTTCACCAATCAGCGAACAGGAACTCTGGACCGCTGGTAACAAGATACTCCCTACACCCAGCGCCTTGCCTAGGGATTATCTGGGGAAAGCCAGATCTTCAACAAGGGGAGTACGAAGTCTTGAAGCTGTGACCGACTCGTATTCTTGTTCTCTTAACGAGGCAAACCGTTTTTGCGAACGATGAGTCAATCGGTGTGATGTGGGATAGAAAGGAGGTTCCAACGATTTTTCATTTGTCCATTGCTTAACATTAAAGTCTCAAGCATCGAGATCATGCAGCGAATCGTATCATCCGAAGAATGCCATGCGCTGGAGTTAGATCCTCCCCACAAAATGAGCTCCAGAGCAAGAACGGAGAACTCCGTACCTTGTCTCCTTTTACATATAAAATCAGTTTTGAGTCTCGCTGTACTCCGTAGTAGCCGGACAGACAAGCAGACAGACGCAGCATTTCTCCCACCAATTCGAGACTTCTTGCCAACCGCCCAACAAGTCGGATTCCAAACAAACTCAAACTTCGACAACCTTTTTGAGAGCGAGAATTGCCTTTTGTGCGGCTGACGACTCAGTCGGGCCAACGCAAGACCCTGGCTCGAATGTGACAAGCCGTCGGACAGTTTGAAACATCCTCACATCCGACTGTCAGCACAGCGGCCCTGACTCGCGCCGCTTCCCTCTGCTATCAAGTATAGTATCCTGTTCGGCCCGTGGCTTACTTTCTGCGCTGCAACATGGGTTGACCACACTCAATACGTCTCAACTTACATCCTCGACTCCTTCCCAGACGCCCGGATTTTACCTCATCGCATTTTTAAAATTTTGGCTAAGCATTTCCTGCGTCCACTCTCGCCTGTCTGCTTGGCGACGTGCAGAGAAGCTTCGTAAGGGAGGATAAGCATTGATGGTGGAGTACGAAGCACGCTGGACGGACGGGGCCTCCTCAGAGAATTTTCTGTATGGTTCAGTAGGCGAACGGGGAACGTGATGCGCGCGCGTATACGGACTTCCGCCCGGGAAAGGTGGGGACGGTGAGGCTCCGAGCCAAGCTTTCCCGCCCGAAAAGGGGAAAGTCCAGCCCTCGAGCGGATCGGCGACGGGGTGGGGTGCCAAGGAAACCAAGCCGCCAAGCCCGAAAACTTGGCTGTGGTCCGTGTCCTATCTTGGCGTAAACTGGGAATGCAGCCTTGGCGCGCCGTCGAAGGTGCTAAGCTTTTGGCTCTTGTGGTGTGCCATCGCCAAGCGTGGCGCAGATGCACGGCAAAACTCTTTTGGGGGGAAGGGAAGGGAAAGGGAATATGCACACAATTCCCCGAGCAGAGGTGACCGCAAAAGACTCATCAGCAGCTGAAGACAGAGGGAGGAGGGCGCCCGCTGCCTTGAATGTCGCACTGCATTCTGACCGGCAAGCCAGGCTCCTGCATCACGCCCAGCGAGATATCGAACAAGAGGCTGGATCCACCGCAGGGAGCTTTTTGTCGCCGCACAGTTTAGTATTGTACCCAAATTTGCCAATAGAATCACCGCTTCCCGTTCCACAGCATCGCGGCGACAGAAATACATTACCGCGCAGGATGGAGCATCTTTTCGTGCGGGCCAATTTTATGCTTCTTTTGCGTGTGGGGCAAGCCCCCCGCCGCTTCCAGCTGAGAGTTTAAATTGAAACCAAGCGAGAGAGCGTGGTAATTTTCAACTCTTTTGTGCGGGAACAGATTAAGGTTATTTATTAGGTTTAGATTATGCATACCTGACGCCTGGGCCTGGATTCTTTCCGTGATGGGGTGCGAAAGGGTGACAGGCATGTGCGAACAGGAAATTGTTTTGCAAGGGCGTCCTCATGTGCAGAGTATGTATGTATGGACGGATGGAAGACTGGTGACCGACCTTCCCCGGAAGGGATCAGGTTTTCCGTTTAATTACGAAATCCCCCCCCTGGAGCAACGGGACGATCGATCAAATTTAGCCCTTTGATCTCATCTTCGGTTGGGCTGTATTGGTCAACTCAACCTTCGATCCGCCAGTGGATCCCCGATCTCTTCTCCCCTACGATAAATCTCGTCGGATGCGTCGGAATCCAACAGAAACACCCAACCCAAAACTCATTAGGGCCAAGGAAAAATTTCTCTTCGTGGGAGGATTTCTCGGCAAATAATAAAAAGGAAGACCATTTGAGAAATTTTCAACCCCAGAGCGACACTAACTCAATTCAAACCCATAATCCGCCAACGCAGGACATCGACTCTCGCCCCGGAGTATACAGTGGGGGGAGAGTCAACGTCACCCCACCCATCGTGAACCTCAGAAATTGGCGATGAATTTCAAGGAAAAGCAGCCAAGCTTGTGGCTTAAGCCCCGCACCCACGTTGCGGTCCACTTTCGCAGTCTCCATCTTGTTGCTTTTTCCCGTTAATGCATCAACGGAGTACTGTATGTACTCCATTTCCGGAGAATGCTCGCGCTGCCTGCCTTTGCTGCTCCTTGGGAAGAACACTACCGTAAATCCGCAGTGCTCGCTGTTCATGATGTGTCTGCGCGCTTGCAAAGAGAAGGGTCTGATCCCAAGGATTCTATGCCCGAAGATTCCCGCTCGCAGGCTGTGCCTATCCGCAAAAACGCGGCGGAGACTGTCACTCATTAACTACGGGGTATTGATCACGAATTTTTACCGCTCAGTTATTGCCAGCAGACATAACGTATTACCAATGCTGTTGATTCTCACAACTGCTGCCTTGAGCGAGGCCGCAGAGATCCTCGTATGCGAGACCCATACTCCGTACTCCGAGTACGGAGTATGCTCGGGGTATTGGCTTTTCTTGTTGGCGTCCCGGCCCAACGAACGGGGATTACCTGGAGCAAAAGCCAGAACGCCAACTCAAGAGGCCGATCATTCGTGATGCTTATATTATTTTCGCGCAAGGAGGTGAAGCTTGACGAGAGTTTGGGTGATCGACGAGATAGTTGATTGACGATTCGATTTCGCTCATTAAACTCGATGCACGTTCCTCTGGTCAACTTTTGTCCAAGTCCCGTTTGTTCAGAGTGCGTAATCTCAGCTGGGTCACGCTAATCATAACTCCATGAGTTGAGATGATTACTGTATTAACTATAGCTTCTTAAGTGATCCCCAAGCGGCGTTACCGGAGATGACGCTGGAGGGAGTTAGGCGACGCTCACGGCGCTGCTGCAGTTGACTTCGCCCAATATTTTCATGTGGATGAAGGTAGGCAAAATATTGAACCTCGGAGTGAGTTGTTTCGACGGTGTTGGGAGGGAATTGAAAAACGATCGCCTCATTAAATACGCTACGTTCGCGTCATACCAATATTTGCATTAATTGTTCTTCTCACATTTACTCCATACATATCGTTGTATTTTCCAAATCGAGTTTCTGTCAGTTGGAGAATATGTTCGCCCTATCCTTCGTCCCCCCTTCTCTCCCCCGTATTATTCCGCTTTCTATCGGCAGAGCGAACATATCTTTCGTCGTCGACGACAGGCAAATTTCCTTTTACAGTGGCAATATAAAAGATGCCTTTACTAAAATTATCAAGCGAACGCCTAGAATATATTCTTAAAAATGAGTTTCGTTTTTTAAATGCTGCGCCTTCCTAACTACCTCTTAGTTCACAAGTTTATTCACAAAGCAGAGCCCGGTCGCGGAGACGGACGGATCGGACTCCGACGTGGCAGTCAGTTTGACGACCGCAATCAGGGACGCGGATGATTCCGCGGCCACAGCAACGTTGACCGTCGTCGACTCGCCAAACTCAGCTGCGGCGAGTGCGTTTGGCAACTCTACCTTCCAGCCGTCACCCTTCACTGTAGCTTTGAGGCGGTACACATCGGACTTGAGGAATCCCGAGACATCCTGTGGGTGCTCCACCTTCTCTGCGTCGGATGAATAGGAGCCAGTGTTGCGGAGGTTGAATGAGCAGGTCAGTCCCCCGCGGGTTGGTTTGTTGTCCCCGGCGGTTTTGGGTTTTCCCAGGGAGAGACGGGCGCCGTGCTTGTGCGGGTCTTTACCCTGGTCGAGTGATCGGACTGCAGCCGTGTATGAGAGAACGCCCTCTTCGTCGCGGTGAATATCAACGATATAGAAGTGGAGGCGATTAGCTTCATCCTTATATTCGTACTCACTGCCCGAACGGGTGCCAGCATGGAAGAGCGCGTCAGCCAGCTGGCGGTAGTCGCCAATGGTGATCATCACCGGGGTGCCGTCTGGGCGATAGAAGTCGAGGAGCTCAATATCCTGCGGGTTCGCGTCAATGGTCCACTGATAATCGCCGAACGCCTCGGTCCTGGTCTTGCTGATCATGACGCCGGAGTCTGGAGTGAAGGAGTCGGCGCCCATGCGGTCAATCACTTCGAGTTCGTAGTTATCGTAGTCGTTGCCATCGCAGAACGGGTCAGTTTCAATATCGCAATGTGGTGAGTTGTCTGCATCCATGACGATGCGAACACCGATCAGTTCCGACTCCCCTGGGTTTATCGCACGGGCTGTAACACGGGCAACGATAAGGCCCGAGTCGGCCAGCGCCTCGCGCGACACGTGAAGAATGCTCTTATTGTCGACCAATCCAAGCTTAGCCTTGTCACGAACAGTGTGCAGCGACCCCATAGAGCTTCCCTGCACTGGTGGAACCTGCCAGCGAGAGTGTGGTCCTCCAGGGCCGTTGAAAGATCCTCGAGACATCATTGACCACGGTCCGGTATACGAGCGGCGAATCGGGTTGCCGTACGGATTGTTGTAGTTATCTCCAATATTGAGCAAGTGCGTGAGTTCGTGGGCGAATGTGCCCATGCCAGAGCTCTCAGCCTGCGTGGATGAGCCGTCACCAGCGTTAGGCCAGATTGTTGAGGCGGACGCCCATGATGTCCACTCAACGTATCGGGTGCGCGCGTAATTGGTGTGTGATCCATTGCCATTCTTAGGGGGGCCGAACTCATCGGTGACATCCTCTGGTGTTTGAAATTTCATTTCGCCAAATTCCTGCCAAGTGGCAGACTCGTCCTGGCCAGCCGAAAGGATGAAAACAAGCTCAAAGGAGTCGGCTTTCTCGTCACCGACATCCTCACGCCAGGCACGGAGCGCATCTCCACGAATCTCGATGTTACATGCGCCTTCCACGGGGCATGCGCCCAGGTTCATTCTGTCACTAATTCCGTACTGATATGACAGCAAGGGCAGCCGGTAGACACCAAACGCTGTCAGATCAACACCGTAACGGCCGCCCGAATCGCCCATCCAGTACTCATGGAGGGTATGTCCCATGTTGAGCTCGCCGGGCTTATTGAGGAAGTCACGGTAGAATGCGGTTACATCTTCGCGCCTTATATTGGCCGCACTCGGTTGCGGATTGCCGAAGGGGTCCGAATGAGGCTCCCTGGTGACGGTGAACTCCTTGTCTGAGTAGTCGACGGTGACGAGGGCGATGTTGAAATTGCGAACGGAGCCCTTTCTGGACGGATCAGCCCAATTGGTACCAGGAGGAGTTCGCCAATCGTCCCAGGTCATATTGTCCGGGTTGACCCAGTTTTGAGGGTCGAGGACGGCGAATGGGTCAGTTTGTCCATTCCGATCTTGCTGCTGGTCGCTGCGGCGGTAGCCTGGGGCAGCGCTCGCGGGAAGGACCAGTAAGATGCTGGTCAGAGTGGCCGCCAGGCGCCCGTGGCGGCCGGATGCCTTCAGGAGCTGCATGCTTTTTCTTCAATGACAATGAAGCACTGCGCCAAAGAGAAGTCGCCCTGTCAGAGCACAGGGTTAGGAAACGCACACTGATAGGGGACGGTGTCGGGCCGACCTTATTTTTATAAGAATCCACGTAGCCCCTCAAAGATGAAGAGCATCGTAGGTAATATCCGAGTTCGAAAGCTCTGGAATTACGGCTTGTTCGACGATCCTTGCTGTCTGCTGCATGGCGATGGGTCTTTTTTCAGGGCAAGGTCAGGTCCGTTCCCGACTGCAAGCGTCGACCGAAGATCAGCACAACCCAAGAATACTACCTGCTGCATGAGGAAGCGGAGAACAAGCGAAAAGGACCAGGATGCCCTGTCGCCTGTCGTCACTAGCTTCCCGAGATCCGGAGATGACTCTTGTTCGACTCTCAACGCATTCTCAAGCAGGACGGGTTTTGCTCGAGAGCAAGAGCCGTCAGGGACCGAGATCTAACGGGGCTGGGACATCGACGAAGGGGCTGGCCAGAAATAAAGCCGTGCTGCAGGAAATGGAGATGACTTGTGCTACGATAAGCATTTGTTCGTATTGCTCTGTCTTCTAACGAACTGTGCTGCCGTCTCCATCGCGGCAAGGATCGGAGTGGAGTGCCGCAGAGTCATGACAGAACGCGGAGTACGAAGTAAGTTCATAGGTAGTAAGATGAGAGTTCAACCCCTCACGACCGTCGATGGGGCTTCGTTATATTTTAAATAGTAGATGTTTATTCCGCCGTCGGTCTCAGTGCCAACCGGACCCCGTCTGCTCGCGGCAAGTTCACCGTCGGGTGCCTGTACGAGTCGCATTCGTGCAGGGGGGTGAAGGACGCGAGTGAGACCCCGCCACGGACCCCTCGACCGACCACTGTGCTTCTGCGCCGACAGCAGCATGGTCTCGACAGGGTTCGACGGCAGCAGAGCGACCAAGTTCCCCAGAACCCTCTCTCTCCACTCGCAGCCGTTCGAAGCTGAGATCCTGGCGCCACGTCTCCTCCACGCGATCCTGGCGTTCGGGCTGTCGTGAGTTGCTTAGCTCCGTCCAGACGAGAAGCTTAGACGATCTGCCGGCCGAATAAACACTCTCCCTCTCGCATGAAATCCGATGGAGCGGCACGAAGAAAGAGTTTCTGCTATCGCTTCGCGAGTCAAGCAGTTCCACGCCAGCAATCGGCCGTTTCGCATCTACCATGGCTCCACGAACAGCACCAGGCAGTCCCAGCACTGGGAGGACAACACCGTTGATGTTAGTAAGCTGTCTAACGTCCTTCGCGTTGACAAAGAGGAGAAATTGGCTGTGGTGGAGCCCAATGTTCCCATGGACAAGTTGGTCGAATGCACCCTGCAGCATGGCTTGATACCTCCGGTGGTGATGGAGTTCCCCGGAATCACCGTGGGCGGAGGCTTCTCTGGAACTTCCGGGGAGAGCAGCTCCTTCAAACACGGGCTCTTCGAACAAACTATCGTGGCGATTGAGATGGTTCTGGGTAATGGAGAAGTCGTCCGTGCCTCGAGCACTCAGAACTCGGACCTCCTCTATGGCGCCGCATCATCCTACGGAACATTGGGTGTCATCACGCTTCTCGAACTCAAGTTAATTGAAGCGAGGAAATACGTGGAACTCGAGTATCGCCCCGTAGATGGCTTGGAGACAATGATCCAAGCTTTCAAAACCGCTACGTCTAATCCCTCAACCCATTATTTGGACGGCATCCTTTTTGCAAAGGACCGTGGAGTCGTTTGCGTAGGACGGCTGTCGGATGATCCTGCAGACGGTTCACCCATTCAGCATTTCACCCGTGCTACAGATCCTTGGTTCTACCTCCACGCAGAAAGAATCAACAAACGACAGCGTAACCAGCCGGTCTCGGAAGCTATTCCAATCAACGACTATCTCTTCCGCTACGATCGTGGAGCATTCTGGGGTGGCTACTTCGCCTTTCGATACTTTATAACCCCATTTAACCGTGTTACCCGCTGGGCTTTGGACCGCTTTATGCGTCCTCGAGTCATGTATCACGCCCTTCACAAGAGTGGGCTCGCGATGCAATCCATCGTGCAAGACGTGGCTGTCCCTTACGAGAATGCCCTAGACTTACTTGACTACTTAGACCATGCTATAGGTTGCTATCCCCTCTGGTTGTGCCCTATCTCTTTGGCAGACCATCGCGGTCCCTGGTCCCTGATGGCTCTAAGCCAGCAGCAGGGTTTGAATCCCAGCAAGATGCTGCTAAACTTTGGCGTTTGGTGTTCGGCCTCGCCAAATCGAGAGAAATTCGTGAAATTAAACCGTGATATTGAGCACAAGGTTCAGGAGTTGAACGGATTGAAGTGCTTATATGCACATGCTTACTACACCGAAGATGAATTCTGGTCGATATACGATCGGAAGTTGTATGATAAACTTCGAAGCATATACCACGCTGACCATCTCCCGAGCATTTATGATAAAGTAACCGTCAACTTCGCTGCAGAGCAGAGAGCCCTAGCAGAATCGTGGGCCATTTGGATAAAGAGTTTATTCTGGAGAATTTGGCCGCTTCGTGGGGTGTACGGCGTTCTGCATGTTATCCTAGGACATGGCTACATGCTACAGCGAGGAAATCAGAGAAGAGATACTTGAAACGGATGACCTGTTCAAAGAATCGATGATTGCTAGCTGCACAACCAGCCGCATAATATTCTGTCCTTTTTCTCTAACCGCATATCTTACACTCTACTATATATAACTATGGAACATGGGGCATATCTAGGCATGGAGTTCGGGTTGAAAAAACGTAGGGACGCCGTTCAACAATCGGCTTTTCCAAAGTATCTTGGGAAGGGGACAACGTCCCGGATACTTCCCACGCCCGCTAAATAACTCAAAAACCTATCGAATCCAAGTCCAAACCCGCCATGGGGTGCACTGCCCCATCGTCTCAGGTCGGCATACCATCGGAGCGAGCCCAAGTCTTCGTCTGGTCGTAAGAAGGGATACGTCATGTCATCAGAGGCAACAGATGAGCCCTCATTAGGTCGAGCCCTGAGCATCTCGTGCTCACGCATATTCTGGATCAGATTCTCTAATCTATGCTCACGCAGAGAACCACCAACAACCTCACAGACTTTCGGCATGATGAGATCAAAGCAAGCTACCGTTTCTTTTTCCGGATCCGTGGATTGCGTGCCAGAAGGAGCCATATAAAACGGCTTCAGGGCTTTCGGATAATCAGTGATAAAGATCGGTGCGCCGTTGCCCACAGTAGAGACTAGGTATTTTTCGTGTTCGACCTGGATTCCTGCAGGCCACGAGGGACAGGACTTAAATTCTACTTTGTCCGATTTCATAGACGCGTTCTGCAACAATTCAATCGCTTCCGTGTATGTAATTCTCGGCCACGTAGCAGCACCCATCAGGCCTTTCCAGCGCTCAGTCACCTCGGAATTGACAACCGTTCGACCGGATTCTCCTGATCGCTTCGCAGTGAAGAGCTCTCGTGCCACGGGAGTATTGTATAGTTTTTCCGTCAACTCGCGAATAAACGACTCCACGAATTTTGTCAATTCATCCAAATCGTTCACAAAATTCAACTCCGCCTCAAGCATGTAGAACTCGCTTAAATGTCTCGGCGTATCACTTTTCTCAGCGCGAAACGTAGGCGAGAGCGTCCATACATTGCCCAGGTCCGCGGCATAAGCTTCCAGGTGGAGTTGTGAGGAGACGGTGAGATATTTGGGTGCCCGGAAGTATTCTTCATCTTCGCCTTCAGCAGCGGCTTCGCGCGGGCTCACTCTGAAAACTTCACCAGCGCCTTCACAATCCGATGACGTGATTAGGGGCGGCTGGACCTGGATGAAGTTTAAACCTGGGCGCGAGTGAAAGACGTTCGTAGCTTGGTATATACATTCTGAACGGAAACGGGAGAGGAGGGAGTTGAAAGGAGTTCTGAATCGTAGATGGGGAATTGTTCGGAGGAAGTCTTGACTGTGGTATTTCTTTTGGATTGGATATGTCTGTAGTTCGGTCAATGATTATCAAGACCGTGTCAAAAAAAAAAAAAAAAAGAAAAAGGGACAGGAATGGACTAACCTGAGGATCTGCTTCTCCAACAAGCTTCACATCAGTAGCTTTTAACTCATGACTCTGATTTCTACCGGGAGACGGAGTCCAAACACCGGATATCTCAACAGCTCCTCCAGTCGTTAAACTAAAACCGAACCCACCCCCAGTATTAGCCATTCTCAGCAGCTCAAACCACGCTCAATTGAGCCGGACAAGATCGCGCGAAGGAAAAAGGGTACTCACTCCGCAGCTTGCTCCGGCGACAAAATAGCCTGCACAGGCTGAATCGTCGACCCGTCCGAGATCTCCGCAAACGCCCAGTGTTTCTGCTTACGCACCGATCGCACCAGCCCTCGAACAACCACCTCGCGGTGGTCCAGGGAGGTATTGTCGCTCAGGGAAGGCTGGGAGGCTTCAAACAGCTGGGCGCATCGCAGAGCAAGGGGACCTGGGGGTGCGGAGTTGAGTTTCGGGGTGGAGGTTGACAGGCAGCGCCGCCATGACCGCATTGCTAAATTGGCCTTTCAATTGAGCAGCGAGGGTTTAAAGAAAATCATGACTCGCCCGACTGGCTTCTCCTCGCGCGCGTTCGACCTTGTTTTGCGTGGTCCATCCACACGCAGGCTTGGCGGGTTTGACTTCGTGAATAGAGTTTCGTGGACGACCTTGGAGGAACTGCAAGGGCAACGTGCGGGCAAAGCAGGAGTTTTATGTTGTGAAAGAATATGATGATCACCTCTCTACTTAAATATGGCACGAGGATATCTACTTGGAGGAAAATCCACATTCTCGGAGTTGAATCGCAAAACTAAAAGTTCTCATATACATTGAAATGGCAAACAAATTCGAAATACGGAATACGGAATACATGAAAGAGAAATCATGGGCCAGAAATTCGCGAGGAAGCCAACAAGGACTCGCAATTATCCTGGGCTAACGCCTCCACCGAACAACCATGTAAACAAGAAAACGACTCAAGTGTGCGTCGATCGCCGTTCGTAAGCCTTTCTCTCCTCTTCGATCAGTTCAATTGCCTCATTGATATTACCGCGGGCAGCTTCGGCATATACCCGGAGCCTTGCAGTACTTCGATTCTCGCCGGAGTACCCCAGTGAGACGAGATTGTTGACGCAGGCGTTGATATCCTCGTGCAGGACTGGAGACCAGGCATCGCTGAAAGGGTTGTGATTGTTGGGCAAATACGTGCTCGCTTGGGGCTCAGGTGGGAAACTTCCAGGGGTATTATAACTTTGTTCAAGTGGCGGAGCATGCGATGAATGCGGACGTCCGTGAGTGGCGTAAGGGTGGTATCTGTCATTCGCAATCAGCGGATGGGGGTGGGGGTGGGGAGATGAGGGACGCTGTCCAAATAATGGTGTAAACGGGCTTGATAATCTCGGCCTAGTGAGGTTTTGCGGCTCGTTTACATCGGGACGGTGAGGTGCTGGAAATCCCTGGCGTGCAGCACCAGAGATATTTCTGTTTTGCTCTCGAGGCCAGGAACCAGGAAGTTTGTCTAGAACCGGAGGCGGTAAAGGACCTCGCTCGTGTGCAGACATTGCCGATGAGCCCTGTGTTGGTGGCTGCTGACTGGAGGCCCCTGCGGGTTGCAAAAGGTTAGAGATTTTTATGCTGTCGGCCGAATCGCGTTGCCCTGAATCTCGACTAGATTCGTGACCGCCAGGATTACCTCTAGAGGATGCTGGATGGCCAAGCAACGTAGACAGAGGCGGATATCGTGTCGAGAAATCACTGGTTATATCCTCTGAATCTGCAAGTATTGGTGGGCGAGGATCGGCCGGGCCTGAGCGAGTGTGCTCGCGGCGGCGGTTAGTAGTTCTATCATATACAGTTCGTCTGCGGAGGATGTGGTCGCCTGTTCGTACACGATCGGGCCGCGAATTACCATCCTGGGTGCTATCACGATTTCTCTGCTTTGAAGATAATGCACCAAGAGAGTTCGCACGTCGGACTTTTGCGGAATGGGAATTTTCATTATTCGAGGCATCGAAGGTTACGTTTGGATAGCTCCTTTGGGAAGCATGACCCCCGATCGGGTCTGCGGCCCTGGACTGGCGATGTGGAATATTGTCGCGAGTTGGAGGTAGGAGGACGTCAGAGGCACCGGCATTCCCAGAACTCGACTCTTCTAGCGGAGAAACCCTTGCCGACGGAGAATCACTGGGTCTGTCGGCGGGTGCGCCTTGGCTGTATTCAAGATTGATACCCTGGTCATCAATGACGGAATTCTCAAGAGCCTGTAATGCACCGGCAGCCGCATAGCTGGATGGGAAATGGATATAACCAAAACCAGCATGCCTTCCGGTGGTCGCATCCGTGGGTAGCTTGACCCGGCCCACGAAGCCATGCTTCATAAGGGTAGTGAGAACCGCGGCTTCTGTGGTGGTGGACTTCAAGCCCCCAATGAAGAGAGTATTACGGGAAGTAGATTGGGTTTCAGCAGCATCGAAGTAAGCCTCGATATTAGAGAGGGTATTCTGCGTGATCGAAGCAACATTATCATTACTATCCGGCTGTGGTGAACCATCTTTATGGGCCTGGGATTGTGTTGAATCATTAGGCACTTCCGTGGCTGATGAAGGATTATGTGTTTCCCGGGTATTTGCTCCATTGTTCACTGAAAACCCAGTTTCGAAAGCAGAAAACAGGGTTTTTCCCATCTCTCCAAGTTCGGATGCAAGACCACGAAGTCCCTCTGCTTGGGCCGCAGCTAACATTTCAGCATGCCGACTTCGAGCCGCCGCTTCTCTCGTAGAGACTGCAGCGTCCTGCACCGCCTTAGCAAGATTTTGGACATGGATCCTCATCGCATTGAGGGCTTCTTGGACCGTGGCTTCGATTTGTGCCGGGACCTGCTGCTGGGCGCTGGATAATCGCTGCTCCACTTCGGGGAGCCTAGACCGCAACTCTGAAGCAAGATGTCCTATTGTGCCTAAGAGTGCCTGCAACGTTTGCCCGACAAGTTCAGCGGCTTTAGGAACAGGCTGTTCTTCTGGTTTCGGGCCTGAGGCTGGTTGCCGGGTCTCTTGCGTAGAGCTCATGGCAGGCTCTGTATTTGACTTGACAGTGTTCGCTTCAACATTTGCCTCGGATTGGGTGTTTTGTTCGACAAGCTTCGAGAGCTCAGCTTCAAATGCTGCGAGAAGCGATGGCGGTTGTTCTCCGATTGGGGATTCTGCATTCTTTGGTTCTCTTTCAGACAACTCCTTACCATCGCTCTTTGGCTGCGACGCTTGATAGCAACTCCAAAAATTCTGGGCAGCTGTGGGAGCTAAAAGCGGGGACGAGGACTTGGACCAGATATTCCGGGATTTTCGAAATTTGGCACCAGCAGCTTGAGCTTGTTTCCTCCCCTCATCCGTAAGAGACCCGCAGGAAGATGTAGAGCCACACGCCGCTTCAGCTTGATCTTGCGGTGACTTATTCTCTGAAGCAGCCTCAGCCTTTTGAACGTCCTCGGGCGGCAGCTTAGGTGGATTGCAAGCCTCAAACCAGCGTTTGAGGGGATCATCCGATATATTATTGAAATTTGAGGGTGGGACGGCGTGAGCTTCATGGGTCTCAGAAACGTCAAGTAGAGGAGACATATGCGACTGTGATGCGCGAGCGCGCGACGAGGTTCTTGCGTGAAACGTCTTCCATGTCTTAATAGAAGATGATGATTTATTGATATCAAATATATGCATCGGCGAGCCCCCTAGCTGGCCAAGAGGAGACATGGCCTGTAGGGCGGATATTCCCGCTGGTGGTTCGTCCAGCCGTTGGGCCAGCTCAAAGGACGATCCTACCTAAATTCGAGGTGAGCATAGGCAACAAATTTGAAAGGATAGCTGGACTGACTGTCACTCTCTCGCCGTCATCGTCATCGATGTAGTGGAGCTGAGCTTCAGGGAATTTAGATATTGTTTCATCGTACTCGCTCCTGGATACCTCCACGACACCGTCATAGATCGGATGTGGACTAAGGACTGATTGCCTGTGCCCTTCTTGCACAGTATTGTCGGCACAGCCGGCATGAAGATCTGTTCGATCATGGCCCTCGCTGTCTTTCACACCCAAACTTGCGGCGTGAACCTGGTCATCAAAATCAGGATCGAGAAGATCCCGAATGCGAAAAGGCTTCAACATTGGTGAATGCAAGCTCCGGAGGCACTTGATATGGTCAATTCTGGAGGAAAGTCTTGGTTCTGTCCTCCTTAAAAGAAGCGACAGCGGAATCTCAGAAAAGTGGCAGCCTAGGACTGCGATAGGGCCACACGGGGGTTCCGGTGGCGTCGGAAGAATAGGGAGCCGGACCAAGTGGTGGCTTTGCTCAAAGGTTACCGTTGCCGATGCCTGTCTGTCGCCTTGACGACCATCCCACAGACACTCTTGGGAGCAGCGGACAGGCAGCAGGATTGATGGAATGTCGCGATGGATGGAGGGGAGCTTCGAGCAGTGCAAGCTCCAGACGGCGCCGGCTGCGCTTTTGCTTCGTCATCGGCCCGGGGAAAGGCACCCCACGCCGCGCTAGTCCCGTTCCGGCAGTCACATGGCGCCTCCCGGGTCTGCGATGTTCGAAGAGCGAAAAGTTAGCTGCCGGCTTGCACGTCCACGTTGCCACTCTCAATTGATCACTCCACGATGCGACTTTGAGGCGTGTGCTTTTGGACGGTGTGTGATTTTTATAGCTCCAATGAGATGCTCCACCATTACCAGAAAATACTGTGCCGACCGACGCGAGGCGGGGAACCAGCTCCCTCTGTACGTAGAGCTCTAGTCGCGTAACAGTCCAATGCCTGGCCGCCAAAATGTGATCTTCATTGATAGCTGTCGCTTACTCATTTAAAATTGTCATAGATCCGCTTCCGTATCCTTGTATGATGCCTCCATCTTCATCGCGACAAGCCCAAAAGTCGCCTTCCACTGGCCATAAAGTCAACCAGGTCATTCTTGGGAGCCTCCTCTTCAAAACCTGGTACGAGGCTCTGTATCCGGAGGAGCTTGTCGCCAAAGACACGGACACGTTATATGTCTGCGGTTGGTGCTTCCGGTACACGTGTGACAGGACCGCGTACGCTGCCCATCTCCCAGCCTGCCAGCTGCGATCTTCTCCTCCAGGCAGCCAGATTTATCAGCACGACGGCTACTCGGTGTGGGAGGTAGACGGGGAGGACTACAAGCTCTTCGCGCAGAACCTATCCCTCTTCGCGAAGCTATTTCTGGACCAGAAATCGGTCTGCTTCGATGTCTCTGGGTTTCTCTTCTACCTGCTAGTGTACATTGACCCCGACAACCCGGACGCTCATCACATCTTAGGCTACTTCTCGAAGGAGAAAATGTCCTGGGATGCAAATAACCTCGCCTGCATACTCATATTTCCTCCGTACCAACACAATCAATTGGGGAAGTTTCTTATGGGGATCAGTTACAAACTCAGTACCTGGGAATGGGAAAGGGGTATCGGCTCCATTGGTGGCCCTGAGCGTCCGCTCAGTGAGATGGGAGAGCGGAGCTATATCAGATTCTGGGAGGAACGAATTGCGAGGTACTTCCTAAGAGACCTTCCGCGGGGGAACGGAAAGCCCGCAAAATCGAGGCCGAAGAAGAGGAAGAAAGTTACTCAAGAACAAATAACCATTGAGGAGCTTGGAAAAGCCACTGGAATGCTGGTTGAGGACGTCATAACCGCCATAAAATCAATGGGGGTTGCATCGGAGGAACAGCTGAAGCAGAGACGGAAGAGAGCTGCCTCCGAGAATGCCAACGAGGTCGAGGAGAGCGTGGCGGTCATCAAGAAATCCAAAGTTCTTGAATGGGCCAAAAATCGTGGTATTAGTTTAGAGGATCCGGTTAAAGACGAAGGTTTTACTGGGAAATGGGCGCTTAAAAGGGAACAAGAGCAATCTGAACCTGACAACGACTAGGGAGTCGTGTGGTTGCATCGGCAGGCGTTAGGGAGGGAAGGTGAATGATTTTTGATTCTGATGATACCCTGTATAAAAGAACGGTTGCTATCGTTAATCAATGACTTTTACCAAGCCGAGTGACCTGCATTAGGCAGCACGCTGTAGCCTGCCCGGAGTGAAGCCCATCAAGCCTAACCCCGCAAAGGTTGGCTATTGTAGTTACTGATTGATCAGGTCCAAGGTAATAAACCGCTTTTGAATTATGCTGCATGTCTAGCCGGTCCACGTGGATCTAATGTCCCGAACCAAAATTGACACCGTGCGCGAGAAAATCTAATTATTTTCGCTTCAGTAGCCTACTCTAGCTGAATTACTCGTCCATCCCTGCCGGACCGCCCTGTCTTCCCATCTGCCTGGCTTTGAGAAGCTCATCGCAAAGTAGTAGGTTTGACGCGATCCCAGCACTTGATGCCACACAATTGCGCAAAACTCTGTAAGAATCAAACACACCCTCTTGAACCGGGTCCATGGGCCCTCCCGTCGCCAGGTCAAGCCCTGCAACATTGCCCTCGGAAACCTCATCTTGCAAGGCTGCGAGTGCTTCTTGAATATCATGGCCGGAATTTGCGGCAAGCGTTTTCGGAATGATCAAAAGGGCATCAGCGAAAGCAGCCACACCCCATTTGGTTTTGCCTTTGAGAGTCTTTTTGAAAGATTCAGACGACAAATGAGCAGCACATGCAACCTGGAAAGCACCGGCACCCGGGACAACACATTTATCAACTATTGTGTTATACACGGATCGAAGGCCATCACGGACGGCGTCGGTCACTTGGGCAATTGTATGCTGATTTGGCCCTTTGATTAAGAGTGTGACAGATTTCGGATCTTTAACCTCCTCAACAAATGTATACTTCTCCTCCCCAAGCTGATGTTCGTATACAAGACCAGCCCAGCCGAGGACATCTGGTGTAAGGTCATCAACGCTATTTTGCGCGGTACCACCACAAACCAATTGAAGTCGTTCCATATTCCGTCGCTTCGCTCGTCGTAGAGCAAAGATCCCGTTCTTCACAAGAACATCCAAACTCAGGGGATCGATACCTTTTTGGTTGATAACGACGAAACCTTTCTTAGGATCGTTTCCACACACTTGCTTCTTCAATTCCACAATCTTTTTCAACTTTGCATCCACGAATTTCCGCTCGCTCTCGACGAGCTTATCTCTCTGTTCTGCGCTTGAATAGTAGAATCCAGAGTTAATTTCTGATTTTTCATATTCGAGACTAACGTTGAGGGTTAGGATAAATGCGTTCTCCACTCGTTTCGGCATATCAGGATGTCTAGCTCCATGGTCCAACGCCAATCCGCGAATAAGTTGGGTATCGGATGCGGTGCGGTGTTGCATTTTCATAATTTCAATCATGTGTAAATCTGGTTTCTGAGGAGCACGATAGATAGCAAGGACAGCATCAACGATTGATGGAGTCAGATGTTCAGCCAAAGATTTATTGAGCTTCGTTGAGAGCGAGGTTCGGGCGACGGAAAGCAGGAGTTCTCTATCGATTTCTCGTTCAAGCTTAAAGGAGTCGAGAAACTATGGAAAATATCGCGTTAGAAGAAAATATTTTACCTACTCACAAATAACTCACCTTTAGCGTCTCATTCTTAGCAATCTCATATCCATCCGTTATTACGCGCGGGTGGAGGCCCTCTGATATATGTCGATCTGCTTGCTTGAGGAGTTCTCCAACCAAGAGAACAACGGAAGTTGTACCATCGCCTGTGATATCGTCCTGCGCCGTAGCCGCTCTCGCGATCATAACCTTTATAAGCGGGAGGAGTCAGTTCTCGCTACGCTACAGGTGGCGTCATTCCTTAACCATACCGCAGTAGGATTTTGAATTTGCTATGCCATAAAAGTCAGCAATTGAATCATAAGGATTTACAGCTTTCAGACATACCATTTCTCGTAGCAGTACGTTTCCATCCTTTGTAAGCTTGATCTATTTTGGCAAACTGTAAGTCCATGCCTCGCAAACTGATCGTATAAACCATACCCCGCCAGCTCCATCAACAAGCCTGTTCGAAAACGAGTTAGATTCGGCACAAGTAGGGTGGCAAAGGGAGAAAGCGAATACATTTTAATGGTCCCCGAGGGGCCTAGGTTTGATTTTAAGACATCTTGAAGACCCTCTCCGGCGCTGATATTGACCTTGAGAGCTTCACCTCGTCTCTGTGCGGGCAGTTAGTACAGGACCAGAAATGCATGGAAGGGTGGGGTACTGCTCACCCTGGATTCAGCCTTGGGATTGAGAAGCTGTGTGGCAGACATGGCAACTGCAATGAGTGCTAAACAACTGTGCTGTTATTGATTAACTACTAACTGAATTAATTGTCTATCAGAGGAGATGCTGGAGAATGCCCTGGCTTAGCTAAGAGGAGCTTGTGAGGTGCTTGGCATTGTGTGTGTGATGAAAAGGGAAAGGCGCAGCTTTTAGTCATACAGCTCTCTGCCTTTGAGAAAAAGCGCTGATGCGCAGGCACATCACAGATGTTCACATATCCCATGCGATGGACTATCTGCGGTTGGCTGAGGCTAAGGGTATTTTCAAGAAGCTCATAAGTAATCACTATGAACCTTTAGCTAATTTATAGTGTTACAAAGGGTCAAACTATCCAACACTTGTATTCTTGTCCCAGGGACACATTTTAAGCGACCCCCTTCTTCTCCCTCTTTTAATCTACCTTTATATCCAAAACTACCAAGGATTACCAAGCTCTGAGGAAGGCCGATCCCAACTCTCCAATTCTTGCTTTATCTCCCGTCCTACTTGATGAGGGAGGTGGAGGAACTCATCAATATGGACTATACCTTCACCATATCCCTTTTCAATAATTCGTCTCACCACTTATATACGGACTTCATATGTCGATACACAAGGTGGTGATTCTAACATGGTTTATAATGGAGTGTAGCATGGATACAAATACCCAACTCATTTGCTTGAGAATGTGATCGGCGAACCAGCTGGTTTATTAGCTCTTCAAGGTGATTGCTTGCTTTGTGTCCACAGCCAGTGTTTGCTGACGCAAACATTTCATTTGACTGAACGTCCGGCGGGATTAGAAGCAAGATTCGGGCCCAAAGGATGATTATGGCCAGCAGCAGATTGTTTTCATGTGGCAAACTTGCACTCGTTGAAGTTGACCACATTCTACCCTGTCCAATGATGTCAGCAGCCACAACCATCAGTGGTCAGCCCAGGTTAGTACATCCAGGGCATTCTATAACCAGGCTCAATATTTATTTTTCTGATCAGGCTAGCTCTAGAGTGTACCTAGTGAGCTCCCTCTTTCAACAGGCAACATGGCTGATCTAAGTGTGATCCTTTATTGAGAGCCCGGGTGGCAACTGTGTGGGCAGTGTTCTTGCTCTGACGGTGGGGGCTCGTGGATAATATTGTGGTCTATAAATCTCCTTTAGGCTTTTTGACGCTTTGATGCATCCAGCTCATATCTCCGGAATACATTCATCAGACGATGGTGTCTTTCTATCGATCCTTCTACAAGAGGCCCAGTCCTCCTATCTGATCTCGCCATTGATTCATAATCCCCAAGGCCTCTTGCCATTTATCGGGTAATTGCAGCTCCCTTTCATCTTAGCGGAGCCGGATCGCATAATCATCAGATAATGTACCATACAAACAAGGGGTGGGTCAGGTGCGATGACACCACATCGTCTATTTGAAACTGGCGGTTCTACGGTAATCTGATGCCTTAGCAGTGGAAGGCAGCCTGGAACACTGTGGGCTGGTTTAATAGGTATCGATTCTACGTTATCGCGATCATGCCATGGGCGCTGGAGCATTGAACCTTTTGTACAGGGTACTCTGTATGTATATAGATTGGAAAAATCTTGCTTCGGAGAACAGGGTAGACTATCGACAAGGGAGATGTCAACGATAGCTTTGAGCGGCTCATGAGTGAATAAAATTGACTATATCCAGATGAAATATGCCATCTCAGGGTGTACCAGAGTAGAAAGGACCCGTTTCCAGCATAGAGAATCGTGTGCTTTGAGGGCGAGCCGTGATGACGAGCGCGGAGACGCTAATCCCTTTATAGTTAGTAACCAGCTAAGTTGCGGTCTCCGGGTGTGGAAGCCACACTCCTGTGGCTGGAGCACTGAAGCAAAAAAAGTTCTCGCTTTGCACACTTTCTCGCAGTATCGTTTTGCTCACGATACGGTCGGCTGTCATTTCAGCAAGCTCAAGGCCTCGAGCGCCCCCCCGTATCACAATGGCCGACTTCATGCTTTTTGAGGGCCCGATGGGCTACTCGCTTTTTAAAGTCGCCCACCAGGCCGACACTGTGGGCAACCGACTAAAAGAAGTACAAGACGGCATGCAGGACCTTGCGAAATTTGGGAAAATGGTTGATCTCGTCAGCTTTTTGCCCTTTCAGTAAGTCATTGTTGCCACTGATAGCGATATACTTCGTTGCTCACGGGTTTCCAGAAATAATAAGCAGGCACTCGGTGAAATCAACGACATTTCCGAAGGTGTCGCATCAGAAATGCTCGTCTCTTTCCTCGACTTAAACTTACCGAAGCCGAACAAGAAAAAGCATGTCGTCCTGGGGCTTTCCGACAAGGCTCTTGCGGGTAGCATCAAGGCTGCATTTCCCTTCGTCGAGTGCGAGACTGGAGATACTAGCGAAATTGTTCAAGATATGCTCCGGGGCATTCGAATGCATGCTGCGAAACTTTTGAAGCAACTCCGTGAAGGCGACTTAAACACAGCCCAACTTGGTCTTGGTCATGCATATTCTAGAGCGAAAGTCAAGTTTTCTGTCCAGCGTGATGACAACCATATCATCCAAGCTATTGCAATTCTCGACCAGTTGGACAAGGCCATCAACACATTCTCAATGAGAGTCCGGGAGTGGTATTCTTGGCACTTCCCTGAGCTCATCAAAATCGTTTCCGACAATCAGCGATATGCCCGTCTCGCCCTGCTTATTCGAAACAAAAAAGAGCTTACTGAGGATAAACTACACGACATTGCGGCCATTGTTGAAGATGATGAAGGGATCGCGAGAAGTGTCATTGATGCAGCAAAGCATAGTATGGGACAGGATATCTCCGAGTCTGATATGGAGAACGTTATTTCCTTTGCAGAGAGAGTCGTCAGCCTTGCCACTTACCGCAAGACTCTTCATGGATATTTGGTGTCGAAAATGAGTGTGGTGGCTCCAAACTTGGCAGCTCTAATTGGTGAAGTTGTCGGTGCGCGCTTGATCTCCCACGCAGGAAGCTTGACCAATTTATCCAAGTATCCAGCATCAACCGTCCAAATCTTAGGCGCCGAAAAAGCTCTTTTTAGAGCTCTCAAGACAAAGGGAAATACTCCAAAATACGGTCTCCTCTACCACTCCTCGTTCATTGGACGTGCAGGTCCCAAAAATAAGGGGAGAATCTCTCGATTCTTGGCCAACAAGTGCTCTATCGCTTCTAGAATAGACAATTTCTCTGAGACTCCTTCAACGAAATTTGGAGATGTGCTACGGAAGCAGGTTGAAGAGCGCCTTGAATTCTATGCGTCTGGCGCTCCACCTACTAAGAATGAAGTCGCCATGGTAAGTCTAGATGTAAACGGCCCGGATACTTGGTTATATCTGACATAATTTTACAGAAGGATGCTATGGATTCGCTTTTGGCTGACCTTGAGGTGGATGATGAGGACAAGGATGTGGAAATGGAGGGTGCCGCAGACTTGACTGAGAAGAGCCAGAAGAAAAAGGAGAAAAAGGAGAAAAAGGAAAAGAAGGAGAAGAAGGAGAAGGAAGGTAAGAAGGAGAAGAAGGAAAAGAAGGAAAAGAAGGAAAAAAAATTGAAATCAGAGGAGGCTGATGCCGACACGCCGAAGAAGAAGAGGAAGAGAGACAGCGAGGTTGGCGTTACGAAAAAGAAACAGAAGTCTTAAATAATCTGTTTGAGGGATCTGACGGCGTTTTATGTATTTTGAATGTTTGAATATGGGACTGGAAGGTTTCTGGCTGCGTGTTTCTTTCAATATTTTAGTCTTGTCTACTAGAGAAATTTCACTTCCTATCGAAGCTCCTCTCCGATCACACCCTTCACTTCCCAGCGGTGATGGTTGCCTTACTGAAACCACTAAATCGTAGGGTTTTCCAACACACGGTTGATCACTTCGGTCAAGGCTGGCCTGGTGCGAGTAGTAAATATGGCAATGTCCTCTGCACGTCAAGCCTCACTTCAATCTTCCCCCAATATCAACCCCAGCAAACATTCTCTTCCATTTCAGTTGTGCTAGCAGGCTGATGAATTGTCGGGTTTTTAGACTCACATGACTCTAGCTCCGACTTGATTGAAACAGCAAGGTCTCCAGCTCCGGGTCATACACTCTAATTCAACGACAACCACAGCATAGCCGCTCGAAGAGGCTAGGATTTGCCTTACAGGCTCGCACAGTCGTACCGGAGATAAAGTGATGGATAGAAAGCTAGCAGATCTGCGCAAGTCTCCGAAGCGAAAACGGGATGATGTCAACTACTACTACGAAGGGAGTACATCTTCTGCATGCCCCAGCCCCTCTCGCTCGGCCGCGAGCGTAGCGGAAGTTTGTTCGCCAGACGAGATCAGCGTCGGAACAAGTAGTCCTCAGATTACTGTGACCGGCCAGTTACAAGGCCTTGATATCCACGGAAATGCGACAAACATAGACTATCTCGCTCACGGCGATCCTCAGGCACAGCATGACCACACCCATCAGGAACAGCAAAGAACTCCGAGGCGGAAATCACAACTCGGCACACAAGCTGCACTCACAACTACCCCGACAAGGAGTACCAAGAAGAAGCAATCAAGGACGCCGACCGGCACAATCGAGCCTTCAAATTCTCCTTGCACACCACCAAAGGCAAAATCTCAACGAAAATCCCCCCCTCTTACTACGCAGCCAGAGGAAAACCCGCTTACATGGCACGATTCAGAAATAACAGGGTATGATCCCACAGACCCAAACGACGATGGATACGGTATGAATGGGATAGGGTTCAAGCCTACTGCCGCTGTTGCCTGGGACAGAGTGCAGCGGAGAAAGAGGCAAATCGCTGAATGGAAATCTCGAGAGGCACGCGAAGACCGCAACAAGCGACGAGAGAGGCGAGATGGTATTGCTCCAAGCGAAGAGGAGAAGGCAGACGATAGGAATCGTAAAAGGGTCAAATTTGAAACTTGATGTGACCTCGGAAAACGGCACGGCGGTTTATATTATTATACACTGGAGCTGAGTATTCACACTTCGAATTATCTTCCTCTACGCAAACAGAATGATATCGAACGCCCGTGTTCCCGTTCCAGAATGCGAACTCCATAACTCCACCCCAGCCGGGAAATGCTACCAAAACTTATAACTGGAAAGGTTGGTCCAACTTTTTCGTTTCCGTTCCTCTTCGGCCAAACGAGCTTCCTCCTCCTGTTTCCTCTGAGCCTCCGCTTGTTCTTTCTGCTTTTTTATTTTTAGTTCCCTCATTAATTGTACAGCTTCCTTCATTCCGTCCATTTCTTTGACCCGTTTCCGCTGGCAGTATTGGTGTGTCAAGATCGAGGCCACCGCGAAGGAACCGACAGCCCAGTTGCTCGCAGCCCATAACGACCTAAGGCCTACGAAGAATCAGCAAGCCGCCCTAGATAGAGAGATTGGGCATTACAACAAACTCATAACGTACCTCCGAGTACAACTCTTAGACTACCAATTCCGAATCCCGTACCGATGCCAACGAGAAGGGAATCGCGCGCGCAGGGTGCTTTGTAGAAGGATGTGAAGTCGTTTGTAGATAAAGATTTAACTGCATCCATGACAGTTACTTCTTTTGGTTTTCCTCCTGCGGAATTGTATGTCCCTCCGGGCATCAGATTGACCGGTTCTTCGGGATTCCCAAAGGCGTCCCATAGCTTTCCGACCTGTGACTTGGGAAATTCGTGCTTGGGCTTTTTCGGTCCCGTTTCTGACGGAGGATGTGAGGAACCGTCCGGAGCCGGTTGGCTGGTATCTCGAAAGTCTTCCGCCATTGCTGTGATAGTTGCAGATTTATTATTCAAAATCTCACAATTCCACCAAGCGATATCCATTTCGAAGGCATTCGACGGAAACTGGTTAATCCGGCCCCTCCACGCAGGAGGATTGTTTATCCGAGACCTTAGTAATTAATCCGACTCCGGGCCAATTAAAACGCGTAAACCAACCGCGAACGCGAAACGCGTTGTCGTGCACCTGAGCCCGCCCGTCTTCTCTGCCGAAGCGATCAGAGCCTGAAGCTGCATTGCCAGCCCTTGCAACTTGGAGCCGTGAGGCAATCGCACACATATCGCGCTCCAATGGATTGTTCTTAACCTATTTCAATCCAGATTGTTTCAGTGGAGTTTGCATTAGCGGTCGACATGTCGCGCCGACCCAGTAAATATGGGTCGAAATTCAGGTCTGCTGCGGCTTCATTCAGGCCGAAGCGCGCCAAAACGGTTGAATTCTCGGCCCTTCGGACCAGCGAGGCGACCTCCCAGGATGAGAAATTTCAGGCGCTACGGCTGGCCAACAGCATCGACGAGTCGATGGGATTTCCGCGCTTCGAATCGGGAAAGAAGAGAATTGGGTGGCTCTGCAATATGCATAGTACCACGATTGACGATCCAAAGGTGCCTGGTGGGAGAGCAGGTGTAGAGTTTTATTTTTTGGAAGACGACGGCGGCAGTTTCAAGGCCACGGTTGAATATGACCCCTATTTCCTTATCGCGGCGAAACGGGGCTATGAAATGGAGGTGGAGGAGTGGTGCCGAAGGAAGTTCGAAGGTTTGGTGAAGAGTACGAAGCAGCTTGAAAAGGAGGATTTACAGATGCCGAATCACCTGCTTGGAAATAAGAGAAAGTTCTTGCAGCTGAGCTTTGCAAACGTCAATGATCTTCTTGCTGTCCGAAAAGTTATCCTCCCAATCGCAGAGAAAAATAAGAAGAATGTGAATGCCATGGATACTTATGCAGAAATTGCTAGTGCAAGTGCTGGCTTTGACATGTTCGATGACGAAATGGCCGACAAGACGAAAAATGCATATCTCGAAGCAAGCGAATTTATTGTGGATATTCGAGAATACGATGTTCCATACCATGTGCGCGTATCGATTGATAAGGGTGTGTACAAGTCGCAGCAACTTTGCGGAATTTAGGGGTCTAACAATGCCTAGATATTCGAATTGGGAAATGGTACACTGTAGATGCCACCCACGGAGCTGTCTCCTTGACTTGCATCGAGGAAAGATTACAGCGAGCGGATCCCGTTGTCCTTGCTTTTGATATTGAGACCACGAAACTTCCACTGAAATTCCCTGACCCTGTCATTGACCAAATAATGATGATATCTTATATGATCGATGGTCAAGGATACCTGATTACCAATAGAGAGATTGTCTCTGAAGATATCAGTAATTTCGAATATACCCCAAAACCAGAATACCAGGGCCCCTTTACGATATTTAATGAGCCGAGCGAGAAAAGTACCATTGAGCGTTTCTTTCAACATGTGAAAGAAGCAAAACCAACAGTGATTGCGACTTACAACGGTGATTATTTCGATTGGTCATTTGTTGAAGCTCGAGCAAGTGTTCAGGGGATCGACATGTATAGGGAAATTGGATTCCGAAAGAACAGCGAAGATATTTATCAGAGTGACTACTGTGTCCACATGGACTGCTTTGCCTGGGTGAACCGAGACAGTTACTTGCCGCAGGGAAGTAGAGGCTTAAAGGCCGTTACTGTGGCAAAACTTGGTTATGACCCCGATGAACTCGATCCAGAAGTTATGACGAGATATGCGAGTGAGCGGCCCCAGACTCTGGCTGAATACTCAGTCTCAGATGCCGTGGCGACCTACTACCTGTACATGAAGTACATTCATCCTTTTATCTTTTCTCTATGCACGATCATACCTCTCAACCCCGACGATGTTTTGCGTAAGGGTACTGGTACCCTTTGCGAAATGCTTCTCATGGTTCAAGCCTATAAAAACAATATCATATTGCCCAACAAACATAAGGATCCAATAGAAGCATTCTGGGATGGTCATCTCCTAGATTCGGAAACGTACGTGGGTGGACACGTCGAAAGCATCGAAGCAGGAGTCTTTCGCAGCGATATTCCGGTCAACTTCTCGATAGATACGACTGCCATCGACGAATTGCTTCGTGATCTTGATGCCGCCCTAACCTTCAGCATTACGGTGGAAGAAAAGAAATCTCTAGACGACATAACGAATTATGATGACGTGAAAGCGCAAATATCTGACAGACTTATGAACCTGAAAAATACTCCTAATAGACACGAAAGACCGTCTATTTACCATTTAGACGTTGCATCGATGTATCCTAATATTATGACCACTAATCGATTACAGCCAGACTCGATGATCAAAGAATCTGACTGTGCAGTTTGCGACTTCAATCGACCTGGGAAAACCTGCGACAGGCGCCTTCCATGGGCGTGGAGAGGCGAATTTCTTCCAGCCAAACGAGACGAGTACAATATGATTCGGCGAGCTGTTGCCAATGAGAAGTTCCCTGGAAAGACGCGGGACAGTCCTCTGCGGAGCTTTGATGACCTTAGCGAGTCCGACCAGGCAAAACTTGTCAAGTCTCGACTCCAAGAATACTGCAAGAAAATTTACCATAAGATCCATGACAGCAAAACAATCGAACGTGAGGCAATTATTTGTCAGAGGGAGAATCCATTCTACGTTGACACCGTCCGCAATTTCCGTGACCGCCGTTACGATTTCAAGGGACAACAGAAAGTGTGGAAAGGCAAAGTCGATAGTTTAAAAGGATCAGGTGCGACTGCGCCTGAAATTGAGGAGGCCAAGAAGATGGTTGTTCTCTTCGATTCGCTTCAGCTTGCCCACAAAGTTATCTTGAATAGTTTCTACGGATATGTTATGCGAAAAGGATCACGCTGGTATTCCATGGAAATGGCGGGTGTAACCTGTCTTACTGGTGCTCATATCATTCAGATGGCCAGGGAACTCGTGGAGAGAATTGGGCGTCCCCTAGAATTAGATACCGATGGTATATGGTGTATGCTTCCGGCTACATTTCCTGAGAATTTCGCATTTACTCTGAAAAACGGCAAGAAAATCGCGATTTCATATCCTTGCGTCATGCTCAACCATCTCGTCCATGGACGCTTCACAAACCATCAATACCAGACTCTCGTCGATCCTACTACTTTCCGCTATGAGACACACAGCGATAACTCCATCTTCTTTGAGGTTGACGGTCCATACAAGGCCATGATCTTGCCGACTTCCAAAGAAGAAGACAAAAATCTCAAGAAGAGATACGCTGTTTTCAACCACGATGGTTCGCTAGCGGAACTTAAGGGCTTCGAAGTCAAACGAAGGGGAGAGCTGAAACTGATCAAGATTTTCCAAACTCAGATATTCAAGTTTTTCCTCGAAGGAACCACGCTGCAGGAGACTTATTCTGCAGTGGCTGAAGTTGCGAACCGATGGCTTGACGTCCTTCATCTGCATGGATCTACATTAGCGGACGAAGAGTTGATTGATTTAATTTGTGAAAATCGAAGCATGACCAAGACTCTTGAAGAATACGGTAGCCAGAAATCAACATCAATCACTACAGCCAGGAGATTGGCAGAATTTCTGGGAGATCAGATGGTTAAGGACAAAGGTCTAAATTGCAAGTATATTATATCTGCGGCTCCAAAGGGCTCCTCAATTACCGAACGAGCCGTTCCCGTTGCGATTTTCTCCGCAGAGCCGAATGTAAAACGGTTCTTCTTGCGCAGATGGTTGAAAGAAGACCCTGGCGACATGGATCCGCGCAGCATAATCGATTGGGAATATTATCTGGAGCGATTAGGTTCCGTGATTCAAAAATTGATCACAATTCCAGCGGCCCTGCAGAAGGTCCGCAATCCTGTCCCAAGAGTTCCCCACCCAGACTGGCTCCAAAGACGGATAGATATCAAGGATGATAAATTCAAACAGAAGAAGATGACCGACCTGTTTGATAAGACTCCCCTTTCTAGTGTGTCGACGAATATAATGGATCACCGCCTTCCAACCGCTGGAGATATCGAAGATGCTATGTCCACTCAGAAGCTCAAGACACAAATAAGCACGCAGATGTCGCAAAAGAGGAAAGCACCAGAATCTTCACAGTCCACAGACCCTTTTGCAAGTTTGCCAGCCAAGATGCCATCGATGAACGAAGACTATGAAGGCTGGCTGAAGTATCAGAAACAGAAGTGGAAGATCCAAAAGCATGCTCGTCTTCGACGACGGAAGTTATTCGGTGAACGTACAAACGTTGCTACTGACGCCCTCAGCAACTTTTTCAGAAACCAGGCTGAGCTGACATATGTTAGCACGTGGCAGATTCTGCAGTTCAGAGAGACAGATATTCCGGGAGAGATACGGGCGTTCGTGCTCATTGATAGGAAGGTCCACGCCATTACCGTTAAAGTACCACGGCAGCTTTTTATCAACTTTAGGGATGATCAACTCCCCGATGTCGACATAGAAGGATGCACAGTCCAGAAGGTCAACCATGCCCTACCGAACGGCCATCCTTCAGTGCATTTATTCCAATTGACAATGCCCGAGTTTACGTATGTGAAAGATGTAGCAACAATTTCTGCACTTTTAGACCATCCTAGCGTCGAAGGTGTCTATGAGTCCAAGGTTCCCCTGGATATCCGGACTGTTCTTAAGCTTGGTACGCTATGTACTTTCGATGAGAGCCAGCGCGGAGTGTTGGGAAAGGGGTTGGAACATGGTTTTGAGTTGTCCACCTTGCTAAAAGCTGCTCCAACCCAAACATACCTTGCTGACTCCCAGTTCGAATTCGTGTTCGTTTATCATATTGTATCAGGGGACCGCCAGATATTCTCTGTCTTCTCAACACGAAGGGACGAAGCCCATATCGTCATATTCTCAAAACAACGAGATGGACAAGGTTTTCCGAATGTTGACAAAATATATGCTAACTCTTTGCGTCGTCGGATCGAAGAAGGC